ATTAAAAGGTCTTATATAAAAGTAGAAGCTTTTATAATATATATTAACTAATTCTTTTTATTATAATATAAAATTATATAAAATTAATTATTATAAAAGATTTTATTAATTTATATATTAGCTTATAAACTAGCTTATTTAAATATATTAAGTAAATAAAAGTAAAAGATTATTCTATTTATATAAATAAGATATAAATAGCCTTAATAGCATAGATTATATAGATTCGAAAAGGTGGAGGCACGTGGTCTAGGCACGTGACGATCCGTGATGCTGTAGCATGTCACTGTGGCTTGTGATAACAACTACCAGCATCTAAAAATCAACTACTTAGAACCTCGTTGGCCACAGGAGCTACAACTGCGCATAATGCTGCAAACATGTACACGATGTCGACAACGGAGAATTAAGGTACTTACGCTTTATTCTATTACTCTGTATAAAATTATGCATAGCTAATCCATACCGCAGTGCGATTCCCTCCTTCCGGCATGTTTAAACTGTGCCAAAAGCGACTTGGAATGCACATTCCGAGACGACGCTCTCCAAAAAGACATCCCTAGAAGGTATGCCTGTACCTTGCGCCGAATATCACAATCTATGAACTTACTTTATATCTAGTTACATTCAGTCATTAAACAATCGGATTCAAGAACTCAGCTCAGAATTGGCTCTGCACCCACACCGCTTGCCCAAGTAAGTTATCTATAACCTGCTTTTTGAAATACCACGGTCGAGCTGACGTAGAATAGCGATCACTTACATCTCAGTTCAATGACCGCAGCATCATTATCATTATCACCAAATCCTCAACCATCCCACTCTTCATATGTCTTGGTACGCGGTCCGTGGCAGAACTTGTATCTAGACCTTTCATTTCTATCACGCATCACAGAAGTAACCTTTGGAGCACTCTTACTTCCAGGGAAGATAATTGATGTCCCGGACGCAGCTGATGATGACCCTTCCATACTAGACGTCTCACACCGCTTAGATCGTTCCTTACTAACCCCTAAGATAATTCGGTTTCTTCTCGGTCGTTACGACAGCTGCATCAGACCTCAATATGATGTTCTAGAGAGAGAACTCTTGAGTCATGATGGGGCGGGGTTTAAAAAACTGCCTGACATCCAAAAATTCAACATTCTGATGGCATGTGCAATTGCTGCTGCCCGCGAGAGCTACAAGGGTCCTTACTGGAAGCTACTGGCCCAGATTTGCCGAGATTGGGCTGACGAGTTGATTACCCCAATTATCTCTGCACCAGATGGCGATGCGCTATCAGCGACACTGCTGCTTCTAATCTACGAGTTGGCGGAACCCAGCAGAGGAAACGCCTGGGAATTACTCGACCTTGCCCGCCGGACATGTTTGCAGTTAGGCTGGCATCGAAATCTTCCAATCTCAAATACTAGCGCCACTTTGATAGAGAACGGGAGCACTACAGAGGAGAGCAACTCAAATTCCAACCAACTCGGAATGATATCAGCACTGCAGGATATTGAAGTGTAAGCTTAAAATAGTGTCGTTATGCTCCACCCGGCTTACCGTTCATAGAGTTTTGCAAACAATTTTCAATCGGCCGACGATGTTGATTGGGCCCAAGTTGCAAACCAACTCTGACAAAGAGCGCATGTTCCAATTGTATCTTCAATCATATGATCAATTGTACGGCAGCGGTCAATTCTATGAAAGCAGCAGCTGCCCATTCGTAGGTGAAGTTGCCACGTTGATAGACTCGGCCGAAAGTTTCGAAACTCAACATCCGATTGTCATGGAAAGTTGGCTTTTGTTCTTGCCTATCTGCGTCAACCATAAACAGTGCATCTATTGCTTTCAGGAGACTGATGAGGATGGAACTAAAGGAATGAGAAGCTTGAGGCGCAAAGTAATTCATGCGGCGTCTCACCTGATTTTCGCAGTCCATCGAGCGGCCACCGCGGAAAATGACTTCATCCCACCTATCGTCGCAAGCTCGAGAGCTCTCATCTCTGGTTGCTCACTTGCTACAAGCATCTCGAAACGATGGACATCTTCACAGTTTCATGTCAAAGACTTAAGCAGGTGTACGGAGATTCTATCGATATTTGCGCCACACTGGCAAGGCGGACATCGCTATCTCCACGTCTGGAGGACTATCATCGAACTCCTTGACATCAAACCAGCTCATATAATATAAAACATGGCCAATATCTCGATTCAAACGCAATTTGTTATCAATCTAAGTTTTGCAGAATTGAGGTCGAAAATTACGACTTATCCATAATTGTCGCATGATTCATCTTTCCACCATATTCCCTACTCGATCGACAAAGTACGCACAGGAGGTGAGAGGCTTGGTTTGCCAAAAGACACTTCTGCTTTAAACTTTTGTAGATCAAAAATGACCGTTGCCAGGGTTGCCATCCTCTCGATTCCGACAGCCTTCTCTGGCGTTGAGCGACAGATTGACACGGGCGTTCCTTCTTCGTCTGAAAGCCATAGTCGAATTTTTTCGATGTTCGCTTCTTGGTCTTTACTTAAAACCTTGATTCGTTCTAGCCTGGAGAAAGAATTCTTCGAAGGATGATCCCGAATGCCGTCAGGTATATCTGGCGACCAAAGATGATTTGTGTGGAATGTTGTCCAGCTTCCTGGCTCTGGAAAAATAGGGGCTAGTCCTTTTGGTGTACATTCTATTGTAGCCATTCTCCCACGATTATCGGCAATGACAAGATTGACACATGAAGCTAGCCCTTTGCTAGTCAACATAGCCAGAGCTTCATCGAAGGATCTACACTCTAGGACACGTCGCATCGCAAGATGAACAGGCAGGTGAGACTTGTTAACTGTTCCACACCGGATTGCGTTCATACAAATGCCAACACCTGAATCGTTGAATCCAAATTTGCCAACCATGCCTGCTTCTCCCATCATCCGGATTCGTGGCTGGCCAATTCCTTGAATATCAAAAAAGGCGGTTGATGAGCCTGCTTCGGCTACCCAGTCCCAGTTCTGTGCTAAATACACTTCTCCTCGAGCGGCATTCCGTGTGACGATCGATGTACAACCATCTGAATAGTTCGTCAAGGCTATCTCACTCCGCAAATTGAGCGCCAGGATATCCAAGAAATCCCGTCCAGCACCAGAAGCAATTCCTCTCATTTCCTCCACAAGGTCAGCCTCGTTTTCTTCCAGCGCCGGAAGGTATGTAGCTGCTCTGGCTTTTGATTCTGCCCAGTCGGCTTCGGCAGTCTCGAGGAAAAGGCGCTCATAGTTTGAAATGCATACTGCTATTCGAAGTGGTATTTGGCTTCCGTGAGCAAATCCAACCTCCCAAGGTGAACCGCTAGCAATTACCTCGGGTACTCCATTCCAAGTTGCAGCTATGTCGCTGGAAGCCTTTTCAATATCCATAGTTTCGGCCTTCAAGTACGTGAGATAATAGTGTTGTTAGAAGACGTGATGTAGAATTCTGAAGTCTTGAAAACAATAAACTTGAAATAAGCAGATGATGTTTAGGCATAAAGAGCCTCATATAACAATTCATTTGGTAATATTCTTAGAAGAAAACAGGCTCAACCACCAGCACGGCTTTTCGCGAGGTTTTGTTGTCTACCGACGGAGTGATCCGGTCTACTCCGCGGTTTTAATTGAGGTACCAAGTAATATTTTACGTGGTTTCCCTATAAATTAGCCTCAAGAGGCTCCATTTTCTCATTTGCTGAATACAATTCGCGGTCTACTGCTGAATCCATAAATTGACTTCATTCAAGCCTGTCCTCTGAATATGAGACTAGGTCTATCTCCATCAAAATTTGCAGAACTGGCGAATTTCCAAGTTATATAAATAATAAAGTATACTGCTCATTATTAATGAGATCGAAAGGCTTGGAACGCTCTTGACATGCAGTACGCTTTGCGAGCAGAATTGGCAGTTGTTAGCAAGGCGCTGGCTGGTAGCAATAGGCAGTTGCCTTCTCTTCCTTTTACCTTGTTTTTATGCTTCTGCAAAAACTCACCCGATGACCACCGTACCAATCCTACGACAAGTCAATCTATGCTAATGATATTTAGATGTCGGCCCAAGGTCTACATAAGGTCCCAAGTAAATCGATCCCTGTTTATTTGGTGGCCAAGTGTAGATGACATGGAAAACAATAGCTTGCTTATTTATAGTCAGTTGCATTTATATACCACAAGAGAAAAGAACACCCGATTCAATCACGGGTTTATAGATCTTTAACTTAAGCACAGATAATGAACAGAGGATGAAATAAAGGTCGTGGTTTACCTTCTATATGTCAGTCCGAATTCGATGTGACACCTTTTAGAATAAGCAGGCGTCCACCCTCCATTCGGACGACTTTCCCATCCATGAAAGCGCCAGCTTTGCTAATCAACCACAATGCACTTCCAACCATATCTTCTTCGTTGCCAGCTCGCCCCGCTGGCGTCTTAGCCGCGAGACTAAGGTTCGATTTACCATCACTTGGTGTCATGCCAGAAGGAACTATGCCAGGGGACATGGCATTGACTCGGACTGCAGACTGGTAAGCTTAAGTCCTCGAAAGAACATCTTCTAGGTCTTACTATAGTAATCGGCAAACTCGGCTGCCATTATCCTGACAAGATGATCCACTGCCGCCTTGGAAGTCTGATAGCAAGGAACAAATTGGTGGTTGTGAACACTAGCAGGGCTACTAAACAAGATCACACAACCCCTTCCCTCGCCCTTTGCGGCTGCTGCTCCGAGAAGTTTGATTAATCCAGCGGTCAGGAAGTATGGCGCGAGAACGTTCAACCTAAAAGTGTGTTCCCAGCCTTGATATGGTGCAGACAACGTTGCGGCTTCCAGCTTGTCCAGGCCATCACCTGGAACGTAAGTGACTTCATTCATATACCGAATCGCAGCACAATGAATAAGAGCATCAAGTGAACTTTGCGTCGACTTTACTTTCTCTACAACTCCCTTGATCCCATCCTCACTTGATAAGTCGCCATGGATGCTAGCGTTGATGTCAGTATATCAATCTTCAGAGTTGACAGCAGCAGACAAACACGATGATTTTTGAGGAAGGCGAGATGTTTTCTAGCTCAGACTGAACGCTTAATAAAGCCTGAAGGTTGACATCCATCAAGATGGTATTTGCTCCATTAACAGCGCAACCTCGTGCGATCATGTGACCAATTCCGGAAGCTGAAAATCTAGTATTAGTAAACTCTAATATATCTGCGAAAATGGGGTTTTAGAGTATTCTCACCTGCACCAGTGATCGCTACCCAGCGCCCTGTAACATCGAACAGTTCGCTCAAGCGTAAGTTGTTCGCCATAATAGATATTGCTCTTGACGACCCGAGATGTGACTTGACAAGCTCCTTTGAAGCGTCTGCATTGGACCATGTATAAGTCTATGCTGCTTATCAGTATGTAATTGGTGTCATTCTTTTCGGTGGTCCATAGCTGATTAGGCAAATGGGCCGGCCTTTTTCGCTTTTTTGCGACGAATTCTATAAAAGTGGCGCAGTACGCCGATGACCCTATCAACCGATTTCCGTGCCGGCGTGATGAAAATAGCAATGAGGAATAAATGGCATTGTGGATGCTCTTTAAAGATTAGCAGACTTCCTTCAAATAAAACCTATGGACGGGTACGTAATTTTCTAGAAAAGCCTACAGCATGTCAAGAGATACCGTTCATATATTTGTATTTCCTTGAAAACCTGCATCAAAGCAACACACCCGCCATGGATATCATGTTTTTAATTTCAAATTCAACCGTCTTAGTTCTCTCCGGCCTTTTCCTGACAACTACGGCGGTAGTATATGTCTACCTCCGCTTCTTTTACGTTGACATACCAAAAATTGATGGGATTCCCGAAATTCCAAGCGGCGAAATTCTCGCAGGCCATCTCTATAAATTGGGGAATGACCATGCCACCACTGCGGAAGCATGGGCATCCAAATATGGATGGCCAGTTTTCCAGCTTAGAATGGGACAACGACGTGCGATCATGTTGAATTCTTTTGAGGCCGCTCGTGACTGGATGGTCAAAAACCAGGCTGCCACCTTAGATCGACCATGGTTTCACACATTCCATGGGGTCATTTCAGCTACTTCAGGTGTGTGAAAGCAATCCCACTGTTCCTATGTAAGCTGATAATCGTTTGTTATAGCCGCGACAATTGGGACAAGCCCCTGGGATGAGAGAACCAAGAAACAGAGACGTGTTGTAGGCTCGTTTACAACCGGACCCTCAATTCAAAAGCTGCGGAAGGTGTTGCACATGGAGACTTGTGCGGTAATTTCGTCGCTGTATTACGACAGTCAAAAGGGAAGAACCGACATTATGCCTCACATTTACCAGGAGCGGCTCGCTCTGAATCTCATGATGATGTTTTGCTACGGGACACGATTTTCTTCAGTTGAAGACCCCCTGCTTCTACAGATATTGAAAGACGGTAGTACCATTGCTAGGTATGATTCCCAGACGGAGCATGTATGTACTGGAAGTCAGCGATCCTCATGCTTTACAGTTTTCGGTCAACGAGTTCCAATGCTCAAGATTTCATTCCCCATCTAAGATATCTTGGTGAAAATAAGCGGACAGCAACAGCCAAAGAGGTCCGTGGCCGACGGGACCAATGGCTGGCGAAAATGTTGGACAACGTTCGTGGCAATCTCAATCTGCGCACTGGGCCTAAAAAGAGCGTGGCCGAAATGTTGTTAGTAGACAGCAGCAAAGATGATCTCACAGAGCGTATGTGCCCCCAGTTCAACATTTCCTCCTTTTAAGTACACTAACCTCCAAAGTGGACATCAAAACCATCCTCGGTGGGCTCATGTCGGGTGGATTTGAAACTATCTACTCCACTGCCATCATTACCATTGGTATGTTGTCGACGTTACAGGGACAACCAATGCAACAAGAGGCATATGAAGATATCATGAAAGTCTACGATACGCCCGCAGATGCTTTCAATCTCTGCTTGACGGAGGAGAAGAGCCCTTATGTGATGGGGCTGGTGAAAGAAGCATTGAGGTTCTTTCCGCCGCTGAAACTTCTTCCAGCACGACAGACTTATACAGAATTTGTCTACCAAGGAGCTACTATCCCAAAGGGTGTCCTTGTTTACATGAACACCCAGGCAATAAATCGGGGTAGGAATTTCTTTCATATTCTCATTAGGGATGTTCTTGTTGACTGACTAAAATCTAGACAAAAATACATATGGCCCCGATGCTGACCAATTCCGCCCAGGCCGATGGGTAGAGAAAGATCATGGTATCCCGCCACCGTATCACTTCGCCTTTGGGGCTGGTGGTCGGATGTGCACTGCTGTCAACTTCTCTAATCGGGTGCTTTATGCACTATTTCTCCGCTTGATTATATCCTTCAATATGACCGAGAACAAACTATCGCCTCCAAACACAGATTATATCAATTATAAACGCGATTCAACCGAATCAAATGCCATCGCCTCCAAGTTTAAAGTAAACTTCACGCCAAGGGATACGGCGGTCCTGGAGCAGTGCTTAGAGCAAGCGCAGGATGAATTGACGGACTTACTACCTGGAGTTGTGGCAGAGCCTCTTATACGATAAAGCTTTGGTGGCAGGTGCCAATGGTGGACTTAGCATACTGCATTGCACAAAAATCACATAAATTATACGTGCCAAAGGGAATCTCTATTATTAAGTGATATTCGGGAGTCGTGAGTATAATGTAAAACACAAATTTTAGGGATGTACCCTTGGTTTTTATGCATCAGCCCAACCTCACCGTAATCAAGTCAAGTGTCCGCTGAACATGTGAAACCATACTTTAAGTCTGGGGCACGTATATAAGTCATTTGATATCTTAGGTCAGTAGCTGGCAATGCAAATCGTTTTGCAATTGTAGTCGCATAAAGATGAAGCTATCGAATTTTTGCATAAATCTAGACCATGCCACATTGCTCTCCACCCACTTTCCAGACCTTGGCATCTTTCATCACAAAGTTCACTGATCTCAAAGCGTCAGGACTGTGCATTGGGTCCTTGTCCAAAGCAATAATGTCTGCTTGCAAATTCTCTGCAAACCACCCAAATTGCCTTCCACATAAATCGGCTCCACAAGCCTCCCAGCCGCCCACGGTACATGATTCAAGAACATCAGCAATAGGTATGCCAGCCTTGATCATCAACTCTAGCTCTCTGACATTTTCACCATGGGGAAATGTGCCTGTATCTCCACCACATGCAATTCGAACCCCGAGTTCATGGGCTCGTTTGACTTGACGCAAAATATCGTCGAAGCGGTGGGAATGCAGCTTCTCAGCAATCGAGAGTGTGGGCACCAGTATTATAGCTTTCTCTGCCATTTGCTTCAACATCTCGTCCGTGAGGAAATAAGCATGCTCAAGCGTATTGACGCCTGCATCGATTGCTGCCAACGCTCCTTCACGTGTGCAACAATGCGCAGACACTGGACAGCGTGCCATCGCAGCCTCTGAAACTATAGTGTTCATCTCCTCTTGAGAAAATACCATATAATCAGGGTTAGGTTCTTTGGGAGGATGAAGCACACTTGGAATGTAAGGGTGTTGTTGCTCGGGTGGAGACCTCATAATTCTGCGCCTATAATCTGCAAAGAACTTGATAATGTCTGCTCCCGCAGCAACACGACGTCGAACTGCCTGACGACACTGCTCCACACCATCAACAGCATCAGCACCGGCCGGTAAGCAGTGGCCCCCGCCACTATTCTCTGTGCGACACTCGTAAGAACCGGTGCTGGAAATCACCTTTGTCGCAACGAACAGGCGAGGACCAGGAGTCAAGCCCCGAGCGATAGCATCTCGTAAATTGGCATCACATTCCTGCATACCTTCTGAACCCAAGTCCCTGAATAAAAGAAATCAGTCGGAATGGACAGATAAAAGGGAGGGGTACTGTAAATAGGTACCTGTAGGTCGTATAGCCTGCAAGAAGCGCCGTACGGCAGTGATTGACCCCACGAACGGTTCTTTCAGTCATGCTTTCGTCTCTCTTCTGCTGAAGAGCGCCTTTCTCGCTGTGAATTTAAATCAGAATCGAAGATAGCGTCAATAAAGCAATTAGAGACCCACTCGTAAGAATGCAGGAAAACATGGGTGTGTGCATCAACTAGTCCAGGCAATATATACTTTCCGCGCAAGTCGATATCTCCCTCCTTTATGATCTCCGACAAAGGTTGTCGCTCGTCATCGCGCTCGAAAACCCGAGTAATCAGGCCAGTTGCAGAATCAACGGTAACTGAGATATTTTGGCGGACTTGCTTAATCTTGGGATCGAATAGCCATGATGTGTGCAGTGTGTATTGGGTCATGATGGCCGTTGATTCATACGTTGCACGAATAGGGGCTTTTTGATTTGCTACGCAGTTGGTGCAGGCCACCTGATTAGATAGATTCGCGCAAACCCCAGTTATACAATTGAATAAAATACGAGAAGCGAAACTGAGTGAGCCTTTGATGGTTAACTCCGAGCAACGTGAATAACAATGGAATAGCTGATGTTCCAATCTCGCTTTTTATCGTCCGGTGTGAATTTCTCCATAAAAGATAGTGTAACTACGCGCATCAAGAGATAGTAGCCAGAAGAAAGTAGGTAATCAAAGCCCCAAGCACCGCTGATAACGCAGTTTGAAATGGAGAAGGTGGGAGGTGAATATCTATACTCCATTCTTGACGGGGAAAGTCCGGGCCTAGAACGGAAATACCGCATTAGGCTGTGGGGTACATGGGCTCCTGATAATCAGGTTCGGCGCAACGCGACGATATTATCCATTGTATCGGGTAAGTCCTAACAAGAGGTTTTCTCAAAGATGCAAATCTACGGTTATCTATCCGCGTTTGATCCTTATCGACTTGATCTTGTATGTGCCTTTGAGAGAACCAAGATTATAAAGGATACCCACGTAGCTATGTAAATCACCTAGATTTAGATCTTGCAATCCTCTTTCAACCCTTTTCAGAGTCGACATTTGTATATCTGCGCATCTATGCACTCTTAAATAGTGAAAGTATATTTACAATGGGCGAAGGAAGTATCTCATCCGAGATGAATGCTGCATCGACGCCAGATCTCAAGGTTGCTATAAAAGGGCAGGGAGATGCGGCTCTAGCCTTCTTTGAGACGTATGAGGTTGTGACTTATACAAGAGAAGAGGAGAAAGCGGTTGTACGCAAGATTGATTGGGTGTTGATGCCACTTGTATGCCACGCCTATCCTCCCCGCTATATGATTTTGATATTTTCTGTGTTACTCATCTATATCTGCATTTTGTATACTTACAAGCGTTTTGGTTAGATGACCATCTCCTACACGATTCAGTATATGGACAAAAGTGTAATGGCTCAGGCGGCTGTCTATGATCTGGTCGAAAACCTTGGGCTAAAGGGCCAAGAATACTCTTGGTGCTCGTAAGTGCTTTCAAACCCTGATATCCAGCCTTCAACTAATTTGAAATGCTCAAGATCCATTTTCTACTTTGGATATCTCGCCTTCCAACCCTTTGCAGCACGATTGCTCAACTACTTTCCCCTAGGCCGCTTTGTAGGAACCACTTCGATCATCTGGGGAGTCATTTTATTCTGTACTGCTGGGGCTATGGACTTCAAAGGCATGATGGCAGTGCGTTTCTTCTTGGGCTTAGCTGAGGCCGGTGTGTCTCCAGCATATGTCCTCATTACAGGCACATGGTATAAGAAGGATGAAATTCCACTGCGCATCACCACGTGGTATTGTGGTAATGGCTTTGCAATCATCCTTCAATCTTTCATTGCGTACGGAATAGGACACATCCACACTGGGATCGCTGTTTGGAGGTGGTTTTTCATCATATTTGGTATTGTTGGTCTGGTGTGGGGTTTCGTATTGTGGTTTTTCATGCCAGATAGTCCATTGACTGCCAAATTCCTCAACGACAGGGAAAGAGCCATTGCGATCGAAAGGCTTCGCGACAATCGGACTGGTATTGAAAACACAACCTTCAAGAAGGAACAACTCGTTGAGGCTTTGACTGATGTCAAGGTCTGGTATGGGTTCTTCTACAGCATCGCATGCGTTGTCCCCGCCACGGCGGTCGCTAACTTCGGTGGCCTTATCATCAAAGGTAATATTCTTTCAGCGGATGTGAAGAAGCGTGAATTAACATGTTTCTCTAGGACTTGGTTTCAACAGCTTCGAGACCTCTCTGCTTAACACTCCGCTAGGGGTAACGCAGTGCATGGGGCTTGTGACCGCTGGATTCGTGGCACTTTACTTTCCAAATACGCGCTGCTTGATGCAGTTCCTTTGCAATATCCCTGCGGTCATTGGATCCGTTCTCGTGTACACGCTCCCCACTCATAATCGAACTGGGAGGCTCATAGCCTTCTACTGCACAAACTTCACCAACGCTTCGCTGCCTATGATGTTCGCTCTCACCACCACCAACATCGCTGGCCAGACCAAAAGATCCGTATCTACAGCCCTTCTCTTTGTCGGATATTCTACAGCCTTCATCATCGGTCCCCAGTTCTTCCGCGCCAGTGAGGCACCAAAATACGGTACGGGGTTCAAGACCATGATTATCATGTTTTCTATCGCCGCTCTCGCTCCCGGTCTCTATTTCTTTTATGCTACCTGGTTGAATCGGCGCAAGCAGAAGAATCTTGAGGGGAGTGGTGATGATAATGGTCCTATGGTGAATGAGGAATTCTTCGATCTCACAGACAAACAGCAGCCGCGTTTCGTGTACGTGATGTAAATGGATTGTGGCGATGAAATGAGACTTGCATCTCGGACCATGGTACATCCGGTAGGCTACCCAGGGAACCACTGAAATATGATAGACCTTTGTAGTCATTTCGCTGCCTTGTTATGCCTTCGATATTTTCTGCTTTTTAGCTTTTTAGTTATACTTCAATACAAGAGTTGCGTTATAATACCTCTATCATTGCGTCTTCCAATGCCAGCTCCTCTTATCACGTCGTAAATAGATTGCAAACCCTAACGAATGGAGCCGGAATTCATAATTTGTGATTGTGGTTTCGCGTCAGAGAGTTCCTGACATAAGATAAGCCTCTGTATTGTGATCATAAATATGAAGCTAGCGAGCTTCATCACAATACGGACGTCTTGTTCGTCAAAGGATTTAGCTCAGCCGGCACAATCTCCCACTCAGCAGCCCACTGAAGGAGCACCGTATCATCACCAGATGCGTTATCAAAAAACAAATCGTTCTCGAAACCATAGTCATAATTAGTTTGTGGGGCATGATCCCAAGTCAGAGACGTCTCAGAGAAGAGTAGACCGTGAATCTCTTCCGTAATCGAAGTGTCGTCGTAAATTGAAAGACTTTCTGCTGTTACTGCTGTGAAAGCAGACGAGACTTTTTGAAGCAGTGGAGTTAAACTCTGGGAACACAAGGTAGCTTCATTCCAACGCTGTCCAATTCTGGTAAGCAGCTGAAGGCACTGTGGGATGGAGGTCTCGAGCAGTTGCACAGCTAGGTCCCTTGAGGGCTGGTAGGCACGAGATGACCAGCTTGCCTCCAGCGCAATGACGGCAGTCTCGAACAGGATATGGACACCATGCCAGGGGTAGAAAAGTCTTCGTCGGCGGTCCTGGCCGAGATAGTCTTCGATCAATTCCATACATGATTCCAACACGATGCGTCGATCCTCAAAATCCCTCATCCGCAAACGTGGAGTTGGTCGATGAATCCGTGCTCTAAGGTGATAAAATTGCACATGTTTGAACTCAAGCATGTTATACTCCGTATAGGCTTGAGCTTCTTGGTACCAGGACACTAACCGGCCCGTAATGTCAATGATCCAGTCTGCTACTGATGCGCTGCCAAACCTTTGAATATCCTCTTCGAGATGAAGGACCCTATGTACCTCTGTTTCTAAACCTCGATACAGGTAGATGTGATGAGCAGAAGAGTTTTTCGCAACGTCGCCAGCAGGAAATTGGGAGAACGGCTGTTCGTTTGAAGAGAGTTGATACCATTACTGTGAGAGATAAAATCGGAGCAGAGCGTGACCACGTACCTTGTTGGTGACAAGCTCTTCTGGAAATGACAAGGGTAGTCGAAGATTTGTGCACAAAGATCTCTCCATTCCATATGTGACCCAAAATAGTACAGATCGCAGCCGGACTTGTTCTGGGTCAAGCCCTTCTGGAGATTCCCTGTACAGGCCCAGACTTAGAACAATCCGAACTGCATTCGCGATGCAAGTCCAATTATCCACTCTTTCCGGGCACATATGCGCGTAGTGGGCTAGAAGCAATGAAATTTGAAGGGCTTGAATCTCGCTATGACCTTCCAAGGCCTGGAGATGTTTCAAGGCAGACTCGTAAAAGGACGCGGACGCATCTCGGGCTTGATCCTCGGCCTTCCATGTTAGAGTGATGGCCGAAATAGCTAGAGCGATGAAAAGAATAAAGTATTCGAAGTGTCCAAGACCCGAATGGGCTGGGATGCCATAGATCAGGATTGAATTAGTGTCTCCAAGTTCTTCATCTTGGGTGCGTCGAACGATATCTTCCAACATCGACTCCGTAATGCAGGGGTATTGAGGCAGGTGAGTACTAGCGTAGTTGCTTATCATGCGTGTGATGGCCGAGTGAGGCACGCTTTTCAAATTGATCAGATTGCCCGAATAGGGTCTTTTGCGCTGATCAGGGAGATGCTCATTGACAGGCGACTTGAGTCCTTCCCTTCCTCGTTCCCGAACGACAGCCAGCGGCGGGCAAGAAGGGCGGAAGAAAAGTGCCGAAGAGACCTTAGAATGCAGAAATGAGCCAGGCTTAGGTAGATCGAACGAGATAGTGGCCTGTGCAATCTTGGAAGCCATGGAATGAGGGACATTTTGAGGAGCTCCTCGAAAACGAAGCACTTGGGCCTCAAGTTCGGCCACACGAGCCTCAAGAGACGTGACTAAACTATGGGGGGGCTTGTTATCCTCCATTCTATATCATAAAGTGTCACAGGCAGCAAAATTGAGGGGGTACCTTCGTGGCACTGATTTTCTTGTCGCGGGGTCAAAGCCTAGACAGGTTGCGTTTGCTGTTTTACAAGTTGTACATGCGGGGAATTTGAAGTCGCACTATGTATTTTATATCAGCATAGGCATGAGTGGAAATAGGAGTGGCCTGCATCGGTACGTACTTTCGTCTTACGCTGTCTGCAACGAGTGCATACCTTCGTTGAGCGTCGATGCGATCGTGGGGGCATTGGGTACCAACTGATAGTACGAATCTAACATACGTCTGGATGCCCGTAGAGTCTCATGTATGCACAGAATGGGAACTCTGTATTAATAGTACAAATGACCGTACGAAAAGAGAGCCTAAGGTAGGTAAGTCAGTTAGTTATCTTGATAGTACATTACGTTTACGTACAAGCCTTTAGCGAACACTTCCACTTGATGTTCCAGGATCACTTGTAAACATATGAGTAATTATTAACACGGTATTACTATTGTCTTATTCCTTAGTATATGTACGGAAATAAAGAAAGAAGAGTAGTTAAAAATGAAACTAGCATACATATGAACCCCGCTGGGGAAGAGAGCACCTGATGATCCGTCACGTGCCAAGGAGATGTCAGTACCTATGCCTACCGGTAAGTCATTTGAAGAGATATTTCCAACTTTTAGGAGAAGTAGAAACAACGGAATCTCTTCTCTTAATAGAATTACTCTAGTCCCACCCACATACACATGACTCTAATACTTCGATAAATCAGACATATAAGCAGGACAATTACTAGTGCTCCTAACAGTAACCAGCCAGCCACCCTTCCTAAATCTTTTGACTCTACCCCAACCCATCAGCCTTTATTATCATCAATAAGTACCCGGTCTAATGCTCAAATCCCCCACCATCAGCCAGATGCACACTCCCATTAGTAAAGCCCCCCGCTCTGCTCGTCAGGTACAAAATAGCACCAGCCATATCCTGCAACAGTGAGAACCGTACAGCCTTCGACTTGACAACATCGCACTCACCTCCTTATTGCCAGCCCTCAAACTAGGAGGTACCTCCTTAGGCATATTCCCCGGAACCTCCACCGGTGCGCCGCCCGTCATACCTTCCGTAGCCTCATTGACAAAGAATCCGGGCACAATGGTATTGGCTCGGATTCCATATGGCGCAAACTCAGTCACCAGGGTCTTGGTCAGATGCATGAGGGCTGCTTTGGAAACTCCGTACGGATAGCCGACCATATTTGCGCGACTGAAACCAGCGATGCTGCCCGTGTTGATGAACTGACTGGGCACATAGCCCGCAGCGCTCACGCTCTGGGGATGTGTGTTTCCTTTTTCTAGGAGCGGGAGTAATGCTAGGAATTTGAAATATGAACCGGCGATGTTGAGGCCAAAAGTAGCGTTAACGTATTCTTGCGTGATGGTCCAGAGATGTTTTTGTAAGTCGGACAGAGACGGTGTGTCTATGAAGTTGCCGGAATATGCGTCCATGGGTCCAGATGTGCCCGAGTTGGCAATCACGGCGTTGAGGTACGGGGCTTGGGGAGAGATGGTGGCTGCTGCGGCGGCAAGAAAGTCTTTTCGCGTCACATCGTAGACGATGGGGATTAGGGAACCGTTTTTCTGTATCTGTTGGGGGTGGTTCGAGAGGTGGGAGGAACCTACGGCTGCTGCCGCGACTCTCTGGAGAGATGCTTCGCGTCGGCCGAGGATAAAGACTTTGGCGGCTCCATTGACGTCGAGGGCATGCGCTATCATTTCACGATGCCTGAAGACATTAGCTAGTGTTTGTGAAAGTGAAGGAGGGATTTGCCTGAGCCAGCGCCTGTGATCAAGAAATACATCCCCTTTACAGAGAATAAGTTTGCTGCTTGGAGTTCTAACATTTCAGGTTTATTCTGAAGTATCACTCATATTTAGATGTTTTAAAAAAGGGAATCAGAACTTTTTTAGCTGTTATTGTCCTTCATAGCTTATCACGGCTCTTCTATATACCCTGAAAGGGGTGAATGGTCAGAGGCATCTTATAAACCCAGGCGCGCAAGAACTCAAAACAATGATTATTTATCAGGTGAGGCTAAAAAAGACGGAAGAATCTTCATTTCAGAACGTAGGCAATGAGGCCTTTCACTAATCATGGTAATACTAACAATGGGGGGAACTACTTGCGTAGTAGCTACTGTTCGAGGAACCTCGTCTACCCTCGGACCAAAGATAGATAAATCAACCACTTCAAAATCACTACGAACCTGGGTTCAGCGGGGAAAGAAAACGTGAAGTATAATTTATACAGAGATTAGCAGGGTTTTGTGCGTATAATGATAGGCGGCAGTTTTTTTGGTAAAAATATCTAGCAAGTAGATATAACGCCTCGGCTTCAATTCGCTCGCAAGAACGGCCACGAAATGCAACACGAGATAAATATAGCTGACAACGTGTCAGTCTGCCACAGCGTGTATCATTATGTGTTCACTTGAACGCGCATGGATAGATTTCAAGCACTACCAACAGGTGAACGTCGTCTATGCCATACTGAAAATCTGTCATTTACTCCGTACCAAACTATTAAGTTCTTGGATGTGAATCTCAAATCTACCAATTTTACACTTGTGTTTCAGGGATCTTCTTGTGAAGTCCGAGACACTATAACTCCAGGTATCACCCTGATGGTTTCGGTATCATCTACTCGCGGTCTGCTTTCCACAATCCGTATGGGCCACGGCAATTCTTCCACATCTTGATGGTTCCGTCCTCGCTACCGGTGGCGTAGAGCTTGCCGTCAGGAGAGAAGGCGACACTCCAGATAGGACCGTGATGACCTTTGTGTACATCTGGAGAAATTAGCAACGAAGAGTCATCTGGAAAGGTATAACATACCTAATTCCTCCTCGGTGTCAAAATTGTACACCTTGGCCCATGTATCCTTCAACCCACCGGTAACAAACTTCCTCTGGCAGGGATGGAGCGCAACACTCGCGACGTCATACGGCAGATTGACCGTCTTGATCAGCTGGGTGGCTTTCTCCCCTCCGTAAAAGTATACAGACTTGCCGGCAGCGATGCAAAGAACTGGGAAACCATTGCCAATATCATTCGGCTCCGGCTTCATAGTTGTAAACTCGCAAGACCCGATGTCGCCTTGGACTTCTTTCTCCTGCAAAATAGCGCCTTGATTTCCTAGATCCCACCAGCGAATTTTCTTGTCGTCGGCAACGGTAACGAGGATGTTTGGGTCCCGAGTCCAGACAATAGCCTTGATACAACCCTGATGAACTCCTGCGCCAATCTCGAATCCTTCCTCTGCCATCATCGTTGGCTCACTGGCGCCATTTGTTCCATTCGCCGCGGGATTAGGGGCATTGGGATCGAATCTGGAAAAGTCGAAGATGCGAAGTTTCTTCTCCATTCCTCCAGTTGCAATGAGGGTGTTATGTGTAGGTGGGAATGCGATAGCTCGGACAGTATGGTTATGTTGCAGAGTGCAAAGAGTTTCGCCGCTATGGGTGTCCCATACTCTTCTAAAGATCTATTAGCATTAGTATTACAATAAAGGTTTTAGGACCTACGTAGTAAAGTCGGCAGAGGCGCTTGCAGCAATGTTGGCATCTGTAGAAAGTCGTGCTTGGTAAATGGCACCCTTGTGTCCAAAGAAGGTGCCAATCCTACAGAGAATAAGCAAAGAGCCGTGCATCAAAAAGCAAAGAGCAAAGAGGGGCAGGGCATACCAATCACCAGTAACGCCATCTCGAAGCATAGGTTGGTTGTCTGCGCGCTCGTCAGCCTTTGTCCTTCCAGTCCTTTCCTTTCCGCGGCATTTGGGAAATACCTTTGCAAGCAGAGATCAGATAATAGATGTCACCATCATCAGCCCAGTCGGAAAAACTCAGATGGGTAACTGGTCGTGAATGGCCATGACACGTCAATGGAACATAGAGTTTGGATATTTCGTGTCCCGCCATAATTGGCTTTACAGAGGAAGATTGGAGAATGATTGCGACCCCGTGAAACTCGTTTATTTTGGGGTCGGGGTCGTGCTTGGAAGCAAGGAACAAGGAACGTTCGTTAGGTGCGCGGTGACAATGGGAGCGAGAAGGAAATTCGCAGTTGCAGAGATATATCTGTTGGTGGTAGCTGGCGGTGGGGATGCGTTTGGAAGGAAGGGACCGATGTATGGAAGCAGCCGTACGTAGTTATTCAGAGAAGTGTCGCGTCGTTTGACGTGGTGTGGTATAGAATCGTGAGAATAGGAGTCTTGAAGTGTTCGTTTATTGCAATGTACTGTGATGCCTTGTATTGTGGTTGTGATGAGAGAGTCGAGTCCAAGTCGATTCGAGTACTAAGTAGCAAGAGCCAAAAAGATTCGTCAATGGTCGTAAAGTCGTTACAGCAGATGGCGTCGTCTCTTTAGTAGAACAGAACAGAACTTGCACTTAGAGCAGCCGTGAGGGTATTGCCTGCGATGAAAGGGGAGAGAGAGGATCCTGAGGAATTCAAGAAATGCGGGACATTCATAGTGAAGCTAGTCTGTTCCAGGAGATAGTCGTTACTTTAGCCTCACGCTTGTAGATAAGACTCACGTGCGGCTCTTATCGTATCTACGTCTGCACTGCATCTGCACCTGCACGCCCGCAGCAGAAGCTGGAAGTCAGCCATGGAACACTCAACGACAACAACATCATCCTGACCATCTGTGCAGGAAGAGAAGGAAAAAAGGATCTTATAATAAGCCTTCTTTTCTCTTATTCTAGCACAATCCATTCATCATGGCAGAATACAAACTCTCTGCTTCTCTCGCAGGCCACGAGGACGATGTAAGCATTTCCCAAAGTCAACAATCCATCCATCCCCCGCCTTTTCGCATATACTAACCTCCCACCCCCCCCAACAGGTCAAAGCAGTCATATTCCCCTCCCCCAAAGCCGTCATATCAGCCTCACGAGATCAAACTGTGCGAATATGGAACCTCCTTTCCGACAACCCTCCTCTCTTCGACGCCTCAATATGCTCCAACGCCACGGGCTTTGTGAATAGCGTCGCATACCTTCCCCCAAGTGCTAAATACCCCGAAGGTCTCATTATATCTGGTGGAAAGGATACCCTCATAGATGTGCGGCAGCCATCGAAAGGTCCGACAGATAATGCCGAGGCTCTACTGCTTGGTCATTCCAGTAACATCTGCGCTTTGGGTGTAGACCCAGCTGGAAGGTTTATCGTCAGTGGGGGATGGGATGCCGAGGCAAGGATATGGCCGGTTGGGAAGTGGGAATGTCAAGCTGTTCTCCGGGGCCACGAAGGCTCTGTCTGGGGTGTGGTGGCTTATGATTCCGAGACCATCATTACTGGTTGCGCCGACACCAAGATCCGCGTTTTCAATACAAGCGGGAAGTTATTACGGTCGATTTCAGCGGGACAACACCCCGTGCGAGCTTTATGCAAGATACCGAGGGGTCATCCATCAGGTGCAGACTTTGGTTCGGCAGACAATGAAGGCATCATTCGCCTGTGGACTCTAGGAGGCCAACAAGTGGCACAGCTGTCGGGCCACGAGAGCTTTATCTACGCCCTAATATGCTCACCATCTGGTGAACTGTTAAGTGCGGGTGAGGATAGGACTGTGCGCATCTGGAAGGGCACCGAATGTGTGCAGACGATTACACACCCAGCTATCTCCGTTTGGGGGGTGGCTGTTTGCGCAGAGAATGGGGATATTGTAACTGCGGCGAGCGATAGGATCGTACGAGTGTTTACGAGAGATCCGGCGCGTGTGGCAGATGCAGAGACCACCAAATTCTTCGAGGACTCGGTCAAGGAGTCATCCATACCCCAGCAGCAACTACCAGAAGTGAACAAGGAGAAGCTACCAGGGCCAGATTTCCTAACTCAGAAGGCCGGCACGAAAGATGGGCAGGTGCAGATGATTCACGAGCTGAATGGCGCGGTCACTGCACATCAGTGGTCAGCGGGTCAACAGCAATGGATTAACGTAGGGACAGTGGTAGATGCGGTGGGAAGCAGTGGCAAGAAGGTAGGGATTTGTTTGTCATCTGAACTTTCAATGCTAATGACAACAGGTCGAGTACCTTGGCAAGGAGTACGATTATGTTTTTGAAGTTGACATTGAGGATGGAAAGCCTGCCTTGAAGTTACCATACAACCTGTCCCAAAACCCCTACGAAGCAGCTACGAGTTTTATCGCCCATAACGAGCTTCCTGTATCATATCTAGACCAAGTCGCCGATTTCATCACTTCGAATACAAAGGGTGCTACTATCGGCCAGGCACAGGAACAGATTTCTGCTCCAGACCCATGGGGCAGTGACAACAGATATAGACCTGGTGGAGAATCAGCTGCCGCGTCTACTCCAGCTCCTCCGAAGATAATCCCACAAACAGCATATCTGAACATCACCACGGGACGAATTCCAGCGATTCAGAAGAAGCTTGGGGAGCTCAACCAAGCACTCCTTACAGATGGCCACAAAGACGTCTCTTTGAACCCGGCAGAACTTTCGCAATTGGCAAGTCTATGTAAACATCTAGAGTCAAACGGTGCAACGAAGACCTCGCAATCAATATCAGGAGGTCTTGATCTGGCCGTGAAAATATGTACAACATGGCCATACAAAGACCGCCTGCCTGGTCTAGATCTCCTCCGACTCCTCGCAGTTGCGCCTCAAACAGCGACATATTCGCACCCCCGAGGGGGAAATATCATTGATGTGTTCGAGCAGGGGGCTACAGAAACGCAACCCCCAACACTAAATCTCGTGATGATGGCAGTTCGAGGATTTGCGAACCTGTTCGAGTCACCTGAAGGTCGAACACTAGCCGTCAACGAGTTTGATAAGATTCAAAACATAGTCGGTACAGCTATCACGAGCTCCACTGATAGGAATCTGTCGGTTGCAGCTTCGACGCTTTACATCAACTACGCCGTATATTTCAAGACGGCGAGTCAATCTCCGTCATTCGAGCATGTCATCAAGATCATTGAAAGCCTAGGCAATATTCTAAGCAAACAAGTAGACGCTGAAGCTGTTTACAGAGCGATGGTGGCTACCGGTACACTGCTGACGCTTGATGATGAGACGAGAAGTGCAGCAAAGGATGTATATAACATTGAGAAAAGCATCTCGATTGCGGTGGCTAAGGCTATGGATCCGCGGATCAAGAATGCAGCGAGGGAGATTGCGAGTTTATTGAAGGCGTGATAAATGGATGGATGATATAGAAGGATGATGAGAAATGAAGTACGGATATTGCATTTTCATGGAGCGCAGCACGTCCAACCTTTATATTCATTACGGCACAGACAGACAGAAAAGTAATAGACTTCTTTTCCTCGACCGCTCATCGACGTGACTGCGGGCATGGCAAGCGTCTCTGTGTGTTCTCATTCTTAATTGCCATTTCATGATTTTCATCACAGTTTCACTCGTATCAGTACCAAGCCCATGGGATTATTTATTTGATCGTTCTTTCTTCTTCATTTCATTGGTCGTTTGACAAAGAGAGATATTCACTCCGCAAATCCCTTTCCATCCCTCGGCATCCCGCCTCATTCGTGCGTGTTGTTATTAACAGAACAGGCATAAAAGATTACAATCGGTAAGTATATAAAGCCTTGCCTCAGCCGGAACCGGAACCAGAACGCCCCAGAATAAAATGTACAACCATGCATGAATGGTGGGTGGTATCTACAAACTCCTTTCTTCCTTTGCTATGTTTTCCTGCTCGTCAATTCCAATTCCAAATCCTCCTCAGTTCCCGGCTTACAACAGCGTAAAGGCAAGGATTCCCACAAGCGGTAATAATAAAGTCCTCGAGATGGCCAGAGTCGGAGCAGGGGCACCACTCGAACTATCGCCCGCGCCAATGGAATAAACGTTATTAAACTGAATATCAGTCGAATTAAAGCAATTCGTCTCATTGACCTCTGCCACATCCTTCGGGTCCGCGAACGTGATATCGACGCATGAGAAGAGACTCGCGCCGTGGACAGCAACCTCGATGACCTGGATGGTGGCGTTGTCGCCGGCTTTGACGGTGGTGTTTGCGGGGAGGGGGACCTGCGGGAGGCAAAAGGAGCCAGGGTAGGGGTTTTTGGAGGGGCCGACGATTTGGAAGACGGGGACCATGGGGAAGGACATGTTGGGGGGGCCGCCGGAGGGCCCGTCGGTGCCGAAGCCGAGGTTTATGTAGAAGAAGGCTGTGGCGTGACCTTGGAACCATCCTGTGGGAGTGGGTGTTAGTGGTGGGCAAGAAAGAGGGAGGCATGGTTGGGAGTGGGAGGGATGGAATGATGGAGGTTTGGAGGGCGCTGGGATGGGATGAAAGTACGAACCTGGTTGTAGAGCAATTGCACCGCCGTTAATGGGCCAGAGGGTACGGTTTGTGGTTGTGGGCATGCCGCCGCCTGAGGGGAGTTGTTAGATGATATTCTACCATTTGAAGATTGGGAAATGGAGAAAATAACGTAAAAAATTAGAATATAGCCAAAGATGAAAAACAAGACATGGCGTTGATCAACTCCATCACTGACCCAGAAGGAATAAGATGTTTCGTTTCAGCGTTTCGTTTCGTGTTCCATTGGCATTGCGGAGTTCCAAGATCTACCATATATCCCACCAGATCCGCAGATCCCGTCTTTCCTTTTTTGAACGACTAGCGAAAGTGCTTGCTACTCACAAGGGTACATCCATTGCATGCCATAAGGAAAAGTATCATTCGTGATCAAGTTGTCTCCTCTCCATCCAGGATACGTGATGACAGTATGCGCCGCGACCTGTAGGGCGAACAACGCCGTTGCGGCGATAAGACATAATCGGGAGAACATGGCGCTTGCTTGTTTGCTAGTTGGGTGAGGATGTCGATAACCAGTATCGTGAAGCTCAAAAGTTCATAGGGTAGCGGAGGAAAGCGAGAGAGAAAGAAAGAAAGAAGGAAGACGTTGAAGTTGAAGTTGAAGTTGGCTGAAGCTGAGCTGGTCGTTGAGAACTCGGCCCGCAGCGCAGGGGAACCATCGACCTTTTGTTCTCCCATGTTGCGCACACTTTGCGAATAGTCTGTGATGGGTGAGTGTGAATGGTGAGTGAGTGCTGCGTCCATGCAATGCAGAAGCTGGGCGGCTGTAAGCACGTCGGAGAGCGCCAATCAGCGGCTGAGGTTCTATTAAACACGGTGACAGGGACGGGTACTCTAGCCTGCATCGAGGATGGTGGATGCATTACAGGGCATTATAGGGCACTGATTGGCAGGTTACAGGGAGAGAGGAGCATGGTTCTAGCGAATGAGGGGAAGGAGACAGGGGAGTTGGACTAATCGCTGGACTTCTGTATGCGCTCGGGATGGTGGGTTGGATGGGGATGTATGGGTTGGGTTGGGATGGGGGCGACAAAAGATGGTGGGCTAGTCTTCAACACTCAAGTCAAGAGTCAAGATAGCCGCTGGATGTTGAGCTATGGTTCGATAGAATGCGTAGAATCAGGTGTTTGGGGAGAATAAGATGTTACATCAATGAAGTTGAGCTAGATTGGGTAATTCCCAGCCAGGTATTGAGAGTATAGCAGCGCTTTGGAGAGCTTCATACGAGTTGTAACGAGTTGTATTATTGCAACTGTTTAAAATATGGAGATGACTGCATCTCAAGTAGGATATACAAAAATAGACACTGACCTAGTGTAGCTGTGAGCTGTTGTGTCTGCATTCCAAGATCATGGTACCTGTGTCTACTATCTACCTATCTCTCTCTCCTCTTTCTTTACCTCACAGTGAAGCTTCTTCCTGATCATCATTATGAACCCCGTGAAAGACACTTCTAAACACCTGATGAGGCCGCCAATCCGGCCTTCGCCTTCCTTTGAAGGAGCGCCTGTATGATCTCTCGTTACACATATGCATTCCATCTCCAACATCACGGATGTTGGAATCTCCTTTTCCACGCGCCGTATCCTAAGCCCTAAGTTCATCACATCTTCCAGCGCTTCGAGTACCAAATGGCATGGCGCATCTGATAAGCTGACCTGATCTCTTATCGTCCGATTGCAAGCAAAGGCGGTCAAGGGTTTTTGCCATCCGGATAAACAAAACGCTAAAAATAACCCCTCCCCTCCTCCACAGGAAAAATTACTTGAATAGATTAATTAATTGATCGTGCATCTTACCAACACTATACGCGAATACTACTCTGCTCTGCACGGATATCCCCTTTTGGATCCCTCTCTTCTCCTCGGTGAGAATAGAACTGGGCAACGGAAAACATGCCGCACACGAATCGAAAGAAGAAGTCCTCCCCCACTACAGTCCCAGGGGAGAACAAGAAGAAGGTGGTGGTGCATACGAAAAGGAAAGAAGTGCTGGATGAAGAGGGGTGGGTGCATGTTGTTGATACGCCGCGTACGCGACGCTCGACCGTCTCCAAGGATGCGAAGAGTTTGCATGCTGGAGACTTCGAGGTGGATGGCGTGCAGTATATCAATCGGACGTTAGATGAGATGCGCGAGGAGTTCGGGTACTGGAAGAAGTCGTGGGAAACAGATAATTCTTCTGCGGATCTGAAGAAAGCCCTGGAGGGGAAAGAGGGGTCCGGGGTGAAGAAGTGCGTTGTGCTTGGATTGGGGAGTCTGCAGAGTGCGAGGCGCGAAGGGAGAAGGGCGACTTTTACACAATTGGCTGCTCTTGAAACACTTCTATCCATAATTGGTTTGTCTCCCCGAGCCATATGTCGTGAAATGCTAATTGGAAGCAGGAGAGAAGATTCCAATAATCTTCCAAGAACCCCAGTTCACCGACACAGACAAACAGCTCCTGCGCGAACTCGGATACGAAGTTGTGGAGGACCCAAAAGCGTTCGGCGAGATCGAGGAGAACAGCCTGGTCTACGCTATACACTGTTATGCGGATGTGTACAAGAAAGTCAGCGAGCAGAAGAGGCCGGCTGTGTTTATCGGGACGGACGTGGAGAATTTTGGGAGGTTCACTCTGTGAGTCTTGCTTCCACTGCAATGGAATAATGCTAATAATGTTCGCAGATCTGAGACGGCAGGAGTGACGGCGGACGCTTTAGTTGAGATGGTCAAGCAATACGAGGCGACTGACTTCCCGCAGATTCGACATGACTTCTCGGATACGAAAATATACTGGCGAAAGAATGAAAAGAATGAGGAGGAAGCAAAGCCTTGAGCTGGATAATCCTCGGATTCTTCTACATGACTAAGAAGCCAGGATCTGTCACAATGATACCCTCTCAGAGTTACGAGTAAAACTGAAGAGAATGGGCTCTGCAAAGTCGTTCCTTGCAAGAATAGGACAGCAGTTGAAGCTGCTCGAGAAACTAGTCTCAGGCCCTGTGACAGCAAGAAGCGATCATCTTGATCCTCCGAGCGATACCCAATACAAGTCTCTCAAGCCGTGTTTCCAATATATGGTAACTTATATGATCAGTACTTTCTCAACTTCGCTGCAAAATATATTGCAAGTGCGCCGGCAACAAGTTCATTCCATTCACAGTTTCTATTATGCTTCTCCTTCTCATTCTCATCTACTACTTCCTAAGACTGGGCGAGGCAGGGCGGAGCAGATAATCTCACCTCACTTCAAAATGGACAATAGTTCATGGCCTAGTCATATTGCTATAGATGTAAGTCTACCTCAACCCTTGAAACATGAGATCAAGCCTCCCATATACCTGCCTGAAAACTTAACCGGTCTTTCATCTTCCACTCCTTTCATCTTTCGCAGCCCGTACCAACGCTGAGTTCGGCAGCTAAAGCGTATCAATATCGATACAGCGAACATGAATGAACCCACCCAGGCTGTTCCAGCCACAAAAAGCATGAAGCATACTTATAGATGGATCAACAAGCCGGGGCTCCCTCTCCCTCTCCATCTCCAACCCAGATTCATGCATTGGATGGGAACGAGTATGTACTGATGATGGATGAAAGGGTGGTGAGTGTATTGTATTCCTACGGGCACAGTGCATAGGAGGATTAGACAATCAGGCGAGTGCGCGAGTGCCAGACTTCTTGTCACCGTAGCATTGGGATTGAGAAGGAAGCTTGCGAGGTGAGCTGATAGATCTTGATTTGGTTGTTGACAATGCCAAGGTTCGATCGTGAAGACGGAGAAGAACAATATCATATGTGCACGCCGTTAAGAAACCACGTGGTATATATAGACTTGATCGTACGAGATCACAAAGTGATACAACACCTATGTTACCAACACATAGACCTGACTATTTTCAACGAAACACTAGTACGTTTATAGCACGTTGACGAACTCAATAACATAGTAACTAAATGACCATATTCTAAAATTAGATGTATTAATAATGAACGCGGGAACACCATTCACAATCTCAATGCGAGTTTTAACCTTCTGATCTGCGCCTCGTGAGAAATATTTACTAGAATAGCAGGAGAGGCGGGATGAATTATTGACTAGTGTAATGGGGGGTCTTAATATGTTGTGCATTGCGGTCTTGCATGTGATTGGCTAGAAGTGCGGCAATGCTAAGCCTTTAGCGCGTTTCCATCCACAGTAGCACGAGCACGAGCATGCAAGCTACTCCGTACTTGGTGCTCCTACTTTAAATCAAGGGGCTAAGCGAGAGGCATGCCTGTCTAATTGGCTGATGCCCCCGAGCTATCGCAGCTACCCTTTATATGTATATACAGTAGATATATACGATAGATTCTCGAGTCTTCTCACTCCAACTCCAGTCAACATCAACTGACTCCTTTGTTGCTCTTCCTTCCAGTTGTATCTGCGACTCCAATACCCTCACCCCACCCACCTCTCCTCTCCAGACACGACTTTGACCACTCCATCTTCGCAATGTCTGCCCCTCATGAGATACTCGTTCTCGGTGGAAACTTTGGAGGCATTGGTCTCGTACACTACCTCTTCAAAATCACCATCCCCTCTCTGCAGAAGCTTGATCCCACGAAAACCTTTCATATCACGCTCGTTACCCCAAACACGGATCTTTTTTTCAAGATCGGCAGCCCGCGCGCACTCATCAACGACAAACTAATCCCCGAGTCCAAGATCCTGCGACCTCTGTCAGAGGGCTTCTCCAAGTACAAACCAGAGCAGTTCACCCTCGCCCAAGCTCTAGCAACCTCCCATGACGCCTCCAAACGAACCGTTACCATCACCCCAGTCGGTAGCGAGACCACCAAGGAGCTACTTTACAACTCTCTCTTTATCGCCACTGGCACAACGTCCTCCTCCCCTCTCTGGACCTTCCACCCCGACCCAGCCCTCACCTCTGCCGCCTTCAAATCCCTACACGCCAGTCTCCCAGCCGCCAAGACCGTGCTCATCGCTGGCGGCGGGGCCGTGGGCATCGAAACCGCAGGCGAAATTGCAACATTCTTCCCCTCTATAAAAGTCACCCTCCTCTCTGGTGCTGCTCAACTACTCCCTAACCAATCCCCAGTCCTGGGTCCCCGCGCACAGGCATACCTCGAAACACATGCCAAGGTCGAAGTAATCCACAATCTGCGGGTGTATGGAAGCGATATTTCCGAGACAGGCACAACAATGACCTTGAGTGATGGTAGCACAAAGACCACGGACTTGTATATCGATGCTACGGGTGGGAAGGCAAATACTGAGTTCCTAAAGGCAGATTGGTTGGACGGTACAAAGCGTGTTTTGACCCGCGATGCGTATTTCCGCGTCAAGGGCAACGGGTCGGATGATGTGGAGGGTGTGTATGTGTTGGGGGATGTCGTGGCTGGAAGCGCAAACTCGGCTATGGCGCTGGATGGTCAGACGCCGACTGTTGCCTCGGCCTTTGCCGTGGACTTTGCGAGGAAGGTGATTGGGGTGGAGGCGGGGGAGAAAAAGAATCCTGGTCTGTTGGGTGGACTGGTGGGTTTAGTGTTTGGGAAGAAAGATGCAGCACCTTCGCTGGTTGAGTTTAAGCCGATGAAGGATACGATCGTAGTACCTATCGGGCCTCATGGTGGTGTGGGACTTGTGATGGGTTGGAGGTTTCCGAGTTTCTTCATTTCGAAAGTGAAGGGGAAGAGTTTCTTGTTGGAGTTAGTGGATCCGCTGTTGACAGGTGACAAGTGGAAGGCTTGATGAGTTATGATAGAGAAAGGCTCATTGGGTGATGGTCATTGTATTCTGTTTTTCACAGCGAGTTTCTCAGGGGTAAGATACCACGGTTTAATATTTACAAATGGGACATGGGATAAAGTGTATGCAAAACCCAATGTTTCATTTCCAAGCAGTTACTCTCTACTGTCTCTCGGTAGCCTATTTCACTTTGGTACACTTCCCTCTTTTGCTTTTCTATCCTCCGTAGTATGATGTTGTCAGTACTACAATACCCTTGGTGCCCTATGACGAGGGGCACAATTCAGGCGACAACAAGTCCTGAGCGTAGTTCTGCCAAATGTGTCTCTATTTACTGTGCCGAGACTGTTGCTTCAAGTGTCAACAGCGAATTTTTAGCACCAAAGCAGTCGTCTTGCAGCTCACTCTTGCTTCAGAGCACTCACAGTTGAGATATACTCGGAACATTCACTTTGGACTGTGCGCAACAGGATTATCTGAGTGTATAAAGACGTACGTACTACGTGCTAAAGTTGAAAGGCATGAAGTTTTGCTGCGAGCTCTTGAACCAGGATGATTCTTCTTGTATACGTGTATCTATCTTCGCTGCATCACTGGTCTGAAGCTACAGAATACTTCTACGGGTTTATTTTACATTATAAAGCCGTCGATTGATTCCTAGGTGAAAGAATGTCGGGATAGTAGGAAGTGCAAAAGCAACGAACAGCGCCAGAGTGTTGTGAGCTGAGGAAAGATGAAGCACAAATTTATTATGGAGAGTTTCTTGCAAGTAGTGAATTATGAGGGGTGATGATAGTCGTGGTTATACTTAGGTACGGAATGCTTGTTTAGCAGCTTAAGGAATAATAAAATGATGGGTTTCTGTCAAGCATAACTTTAGTGTTAAGGTTTGTTGCTGTCAAATATAACATTAGTGTTAAAGTTTAGGATCCAGGCTTTGACAAAAAGGGCAAGGACTTATTAAGATTGAATTAAGAATGAGGAAATCAAGAAATTTATTCTCTGCTCCTAATACTATTGCTTTTACGAGTACTCTGCCAAGTACTTTATTCCCTGGACGGTTCAAGGTGGGGACTGATCTATGTTTTCAATTTTGCACCTCCGTACTCCCTATCTTGCAGATAGTTCCTCAGCTACAATCCCTAAGACTCACGGCTCAAACGTCCTATATGTATTTTCTATCAAAGCGGCCATTTGTTTATCGGCTTTATAGTCTTCATCCATCTTTCTGCCTATTAAGACCCTACTATATAATCCTCCACATAACCTACCAGGCCCTCAGATCTCAGCAGTCAACGCATAGTACACCTGCGCAGTGAATCCCAGCTCCATTAAACGTCCTAAACAGGAAACCCAACTATTTTGTTGCACTTCGCTTTTCAGCGAAGGAAGAAAAGAGAGGCGGCCGCTTTATATTCACATCTACATGCATGCCGGGCTGAGGACATGGGAGTGGGTATATATAAATGAATAAACAGAAGGCAAAACACATCCAGGTGTAATGGTGTATTGGTCTAGGTTTCTTCAAGAATGAATCGTTGAACTTGTTCGAATTCGAGGGTGTCCTAACCTATTTTTATTTTTGGTGTTTGTTTAGCAGTTTGGTTTCCGGTTTCTTTTTTGACAACACTTTAATAGCATATGCTTATCGGCTTATGGGTGCGATTCTAACAAGGACTGAAGCATACTTGTGCGTTTTATTTTGCCATAAAGTCCTTGGAAATATATGAAAGACGAATAACTATAGATCATCCCTTAAAAAGACAAGTAAATTCTGCCAGATCATTCAATACTCCCAGCCTTAACAACAGTCCCAAAAGCATCCCCCAACTCCTTCAACACCATAGCGACAGTATCCGCGGCGCTCGCCCCAGGAATATCCCTATCCCCCACCGCCTCCTCAGCTATAATCACATCATAGCCCTTCTCGGCCGCCTGTCTGGCCGTAGTCGAAACACAAACATGCGCCATATAGCCCACCAGCACCACCTTATTCCTGCCCGTGCTCTTCAGATAGTCATCGAGGCCTGTGCCGGTGAAGGAGCCTGGGTGCTGTTTGGCTAGGACTTTTTCGCTGGACGTGGCCTCGACTTCGGGGAATTCTTTGGCGAGGTCGGTGGCGGGTGTGAAGACGGGGGCGCCGGGGGGTGTTTGGTGGACTATGTGGACGAGCGGTGCGGAGGCTGTGCGGTAGGTTTCGAGGAGCGTGGAGATGGCTTTGCGGGTTGAATCTATGTTGTTGGTTTTGAGATGGCCGTTGGCATATCTGGGGGGTTTGATTAGCAGTTATCGTGGATGTAGAGGTGGAGGTGGGGGGATATACTCATTCTGGGCATCGATGATGATGAGGACGCTGTCTTTGGTGGATGCTGTTGAGGGCTGGACGCCGAGGAGTTCTCTAAATGATTTCGCCATTGTAATAGCAGGTGGGAATAGAAAAATATAGAATAGTGGAAGTTTGGGATGTATGTTGATACGATGTGGAAGTCAATGAGGGGTAGCAGGAACTGGCGATTTATGAACACTTGAACCCCTACAAGTAGGTAAGTTATAGAGCTAGTCACCTTGAAAACATGCTTGATTCCATCATAGGTATCCTGGAAGCCATTCTTAGTTAAAGACTTTCTCCTCCGACCCGATCCAATAAAGTCAGTCTATGGAAGACAGGTAGGTGTATTTGCCTTTAACCCCTCGCTAGATGTAATGAGGGTTTAATAGAAAACTTGTGGGGTAGTAAGAAGTTGCACATACAAACTGATATATAAGAAAAAAAGGAAACAAATTGATGATGCAATGACTGGAATATCTTATTCTTATTTGAATGGCGGGGGAGGGGCGTTTCCAGCCCCTCTAGTGCAGATCCGAGGCCATTATTGCCTGGGTTCGCTACCAAGGCATATTTAAGTAATTCTGCAACGAAGCATATACAAGGAGAAGTAGGTATAGGAGGATACTTGTATATGAACATAAATCCCAACATCATTATATTATATCTTCATCTCGTGTTTTCATACGTCAGACTCCAGTTCTGTACACTTCTCCAGCCACCTGCACCTGCTATATTTGGAACTGTGGCGGACAGGGTATCTGGCGCCGTATAGGCTGAGAACCCTGCACGTTTCAGGGTTGCCCCTCACAACCATCCAATGGATCCGGGGGAAATACGGTGGTAGACAGCCTGTTGTACGGGGTACGAAGGAAGTAAGTACAGCTGAAAGAAATTGACTGCGCATCGTATTTACTCTATATTCTTCTGCTCATGCTTACTGTTCTTAACCTTACGAAAGTCTTTACGCGTAAATGATTTATTGGGTTGGATGACTGGACGAATGACCGATACATCATCATAACGTATTGCAAGTTTACATAAATTGCACGGCTAGCGAGTCAACAATACGAGACCGACCGAGACATCCAGCAAGGAACAACTCGGCGACCGGCAGCAAGATACAGTAATTTACCAGTACAGTCCTTGTTTTTGTTTCTGCCACTATGAGCCGGCGGTATTCCTTTGAGGAAGACCTTCCCCAACCTTACTCTCACTCGCTTTCACCTCAACATACACAACCCTACGACCCTCCTCCTCAGCAACCACCATCACAACTCTACGATCCTCCTCTACACCCTCAACCCCCTCAACCCTACGACCCTCCACCCTACGATCAAATCTTGCCCTCTTTCAATCCCGCAACACACCCCGAAAGTGCTTTCAATCGCTTGCGAGCGGAAAGACGATACAGCAGAGAAGGCACAGCACCAGTACCAGCACCCCCTCCCCATCGTGATACAGAAGGGCGAAGCAGGGGAAGAGAGCTGGGCTTCACAAACTCGGGCGTATCCAACGTCACACCTGGCGTCGACAACTTCGGAGAACAAGCAGCCGGCGGATTAACAGGCATCGCAATGAGCGTGGCAGATCACAACGCAAGAGAGAGCGGCTTGGAAGCCTTGAGGAATACACCAGGCTACGACGGACAAAGAGACATGTATCCTTACGATGACTACCAACACCAACGACCTCCTCCCCGACAAGAACAGTCCTCCTCTTCCCTAGCTCCCCTCGGCGCGGCTGCCTTTCCTCCTGGAATGGCGACACCACAGTCAAGGTCGACCATTTCACGGTCACCCCCTCAGAGCTATCATGAGCCTTACGCAGACACGCCTTACCGATACTCGCGCAACCTCGATCCAAGCATGACTGACTTCGATCCTAGCACCATTGAAGACGACGGAGATGACGGGTTGGAGTATCGACAACCGAATAGAGGGTCGATGATGAACCTGGCATCTAACTCTGACAGAAATGTACCTGCCGGGGCTGCAGTTGCTGGCGGCGCCGCTGCTGGTGGAATCCTAGGATCCCTCGGAGGCGTGGTGGGAAAGAGCGGAGCCAAAGGCACGCAATACAACCCTGTTGCTGGAGCAGGTAATTATAATATGGGAGAGGAGAAAGGGAGCGAATGGCTCAAGAAACAATCACCCGGTAACAGCAAGAGGAAGAGGTGGACGATCATTATCCTCGTCGGTCTTGCTATTGCAGCTGCGATCGTTGGCGGCACTGTCGGAGGCGTTCTGGGCAACCAGAGGAGAACAAATAAGGCCAATTCGGATTCATCCCAGTCAGCTTCCGATGACACGAAGGACAACGGAGTTCTCGACAAGGACTCGGACGATATCAAGGCGCTGATGAACAACAAGGATCTCCACAAGGTCTTTCCCGGAATGGATTATACTCCAATGTACACTCAATACCCCGACTGTCTGACATACCCGGCTTCCCAAAACAATGTCACCAGAGATGTCGCCGTTCTCTCTCAACTCACCAACACCATTCGACTCTACGGCACAGACTGCAATCAAACCGAACTGGTCCTTGAGTCCATCGACAAACTCGGTCTCAATGACCAAATCAAAGTTTGGATGGGCGTCTGGCAAGACACAAACAAAACCACCAACGCACGACAACTCCAACAGATGTACGATATATTCGACAAGTACGGTGCCGACCAATTTATTGGCGTCATCGTCGGTAACGAGATCCTGTTTCGAAAGGATATGAACATAACTGAACTCGGAACGCTCATCACGGACGTAAGAACCAACTTGACCGCAAAGAACATCAAGCTTCCTATCGCAGCTGCAGACTTGGGCGATAACTGGACCGCAGCTTTCGCGGCACAGGTTGATTACCTGATGGCCAATATCCATCCCTTCTTTGCAGGCACCGACTCCAAGGCAGCCGCAGCCTGGACATGGAATTTCTGGCAGGAAAAAGACGTGGTACTCAAGACCGACCTCACTAAGAATATCATCTCGGAAACCGGCTGGCCCTCTACAGGTGGCACTGATTGCGGAGAAGCTACTACGTGTCCAGGAGCAGGATCTGTTGCGGGTATCAGTCAGATGAACGATTTTATGGATGGGTGGGTTTGTGATGCGCTTGCGAACGGCACCAATTACTTTTGGTTTGAGGCCTTTGACGAGCCGTGGAAATTCAAGTTTAATACAGCTGGCAAGGGGTGGGAGGACCAGTGGGGATTGATGGATGTGAATAGGAATTTGAAGCCTGGGGTTACGATTCCTGATTGTGGGGGGAAGGTAGTGTCATAGTGAGTGATCTGAGGGAGGACATGTTGAGGAAGCAGTCTCTGAGATGAGAGAACTTTTGCATCTGCTTTTTGGCAAGGGTATGAATGAGCTTATGGATGGTATGTTAAGGATGAAGATGACGAACGATGACACAGGTTTAATAGAAGAGATAAAAGGGCGGGATTTCTATACGGATGATCATTCATAATGCTGGCGTTATTATTGGAAATCAATCATGGGCGGAGAGATGCTTGCTGCATTAAGCATTTGTATATACTATATAACACGACACTCGATGACTTTGGGCATGGATGGATGGAGGAGCGGAGATAGATAGTTGAAGCGGGCGTAATAGGATATTTGATGAAAGCAATTATGGTTTTGATGTAATTGGAAGTGATATAATGAGATTTGAAATCGGAATAGAGGGGGAGAATCGAAGACGGGAAGAAGGGGAGGATTCAGGAGTCATATATTAATCTACCTTCGTATATTAATTCCCCCCTAGCGCAAGCGAACTCCTTTTATATGCTACCGTCATATGACACGCAACTAAGAGTCCAAGGGTGCCTATGATTTAGAACTACTTCAATTCAAAAGACATTAACACTTTCAGATCTCCTTATCCATTTTCTCCTTTCCTCATTCTCATTCTCTTCCTCTTCCTTACAATACCCCCCGCCCCGTTCTTCTTTAAGAAGAGAGCCGGGGTATTGATATAGCTTATCATATAAATATAAGCTTTATTTTTATTATGAGGGTGCCTCCGATAGTGACAGGAAGGGAAAGGAGAGGTATATGCGGAGTAGTGGAAAATATATGGTGTATCTCGAGACTCGATTGAAAATCTGAGAGGCATGTGGAAGCTTTCCTAGCCACCGTAGAGTGAGGAAGGAATGCGGGGATGGTGGGAGTATATGTTAGAGTGCTAGGTGTGTGAGAAAGGTTGCTGATGTTAAGTGACTTGCTGGTAGGGAAGGAGGGGTAGAAGGTGAGGAGCAAGTGAATTTGTATTCCTAATTGTTTCGGCCGCCGGGATAATCGAGTTGGTTTGGGAAAGAGATACCATTGTTTTGTTCTGCTTGGTTCTATACTCTACGAGGTAGGTTATGAGCGGGGTGTATATTTTGTAGTGGAATTTTGTAGTGGAATAAGCAGGTAGGTAGGTAGGTATGCTTGGGGATGAAATGGTAAAATTAAAGGTGGAGCATATCTAGCGGAAAGGATGATGGTGAAGCAACCAAGAGCTAGTAATGGATTGCTTTACTGTAAAAAGCCTATGAAGTTTAAATCAAGTTTAAATCAAGTGACTTCAAGGAATTGATAGGTGAGAAGCCTCAGCTTATTGAGATGATTTGCTACTGTATATCCTAGCTGTCAAGCCCGATTGTATATGTTTGGAATCAAAATCCGGTTATCCCCATGGGAGAAGAGATCACTTGAACAAATACAGGACGAGATATATCCTATATAAGGACAAAGTAGAGTAAGAAGTATTGAATTTGTGAATGGACGCCAGAAATACAAATAACGCATTCGATTCGACAGCTTTACTGCATGAACCTTTGTTTAACCAATGAACGATTTAAGGACGCAAAGAGAGTGAAATACAGGATAAATACAAAATGGAAGATCAAACCACGAGGAAGCCATTCATATCCGCACAGCTTTGGTCTCTATGGAAGCCATTTGGCACGATATCGTCTATTGGAGCTTCTGTGACCATTCTAGCCTACTTTTCAGATGATTTTGTGCCAACTTGGAATTTGGGGACAAAGCAGAGAGGTATTGGCGGTATTTAAGGGCATGATAGTAAGGAGGTCATGGTGGTGATGGCGATAGAGGTGAAAAGAAGGGAGAGAGGAAGCGGATGCAACAGGAAGAGCCTCGAGATGGAGTTATAACTCCCCACTGCGTCATAGCTTCGGCATATGTGCTTGGAAGGGGTATGGAGCGCTCAAGGTGTCTCTGTTGCAGTACATCAGCTATGACTTCTTCGCTTTATACGTATATAAAGCAGAGGGAAATGTACTCATTCACCTCGTAAACTTCCCCGGGCAATCGGGTCTCCCATTAACTTTGTCTCCACTGGCATATCTATAGCCTTTATACCTCTGCGTTCCTCAGTCCCTCTTCGTGCTCATACATCTTTCTAGATATCTTCGTTAGTCCCGCGTTCTCTTTCGGTACAATCTCAGCAGCCTTTATCTCGTCGTCATCGCTTCCTTTTCATCTTCATTTGCTTTCTTTTCGCAGCTCGTGTACTTGGCAGAAGGTATACAAGCTCATAAAAGGTTTACATGATGCTGTAGTAGCTGTCTTCGTAATTGAGGAGATGCGGGACTGCGGATCTTCGCACACTCGTGGTAAGCGAGAAGGAGGGAAAGAAGTAGGGTTCAAGGTGGTGTGGTGTCTACTTTTGTTAAGTAGGGGTGTTCAATGGATGTAATTAGAGGATATAGAAAGGCGGGAAGAGGGGGATGCTATATTTTGAAGGCTGGTGTGCTTACTTCTTCCACTTTAGTAGTATATGCCGCCAACGTCGCGCGGGGGGCATCTAGATGCTGTTGAGAAGAAAGAGGGGAAAGCGCATCATCTACCCCATCACGTCGGCGCCCTCGAGACCTTGTAAGGTGGTCCATTGCGCCCAGGCTGGTCTTTTAGAAGGTGTGGCTTCGAGACTACAAGGATCTGACATGTCTGTCTTTCTCATTCTCCCGGCGGGTATTCACGGTACGCTATGGAAGATAGTAGGAGCTCTCTAGAAGGATTTTTAAGGTATTGTATTACTGTATGTAATGGGACTTTGATATAATGGATAACTGTGTAAACTAGTGCTGTGGAAGTGGTTCATGTAAACAAAATAGGCTCTCTGTATGAGGTGCTGCTGCCGTCGCCACTGGGCTTGATGTTTCAAGGAGAAGGAATCCCTTGCAGATATCTGATAAAAAAAAGCGCCCCCAAAAAAACTCCGTATGTCTCAACAAAACAAATGTATGCCACTTGGAAGACATGTGAAATAAGGAACTGAAGGCCTGGGCCTCCCAGAATCTACGAGACCGTTGACATGTCTCTCGGCCGTCACTCCACATAAATAACTTTGCGTTCCCCGCTATCATGGAAATACCTGGACTACGGAGGTAAATGGGTATTGTCATCCCTGAGCGGATCAGAGCTCTGATACGATGCAAGTCCCCGCCTCGTGGATTTTGCGCGCTTGGTCACCAACACAAATCGCGCTATGAGTGGAGTGGTGCGCAATCGTGCCCCATAAACACTAGCTAGTGACATCCACATACAGAAACGTCCACATACAGTGCGCTTACACTAAGAAAGACCAATAAGAAAGGCAGCAGCCTGCTCGTTTCCAGCCATTATTTTCATCCCACCACCAAGAGTAAGCGTTGAAATAATCGGCTTGCGAAAAGGATATATTTTTAGATTCTTATCTTCCAAACCATCAAGGTTAGGAATCAAAATCCTTGGAACAAAGGAAAAAGGCGGGTTGGTGGTTGCCCATAGCCTCCTCGTTGTTCGATGGTCCAAAAGCTCTCGGACCGAGTAAAAAATCGTCCAACACAGTGGAGGAGGGGGGAGAGGTGCTAGTACCAAGTACGCAGGAGCTAAATCCTCCTCCTTCCGCCCCAAACGCATCTTGAAATCTGACCCCTCGCAAAAAGGGATGAATCATGAGAAGCGCATGCTCGAACACACAGTACTACCTCCGTAGGTACGCCTGCATGCAACCGACCAGCCCTCTTGCATAGGAGCATGCACAGTCCAGGAGTAGGTACTTCGTACATACAAATACAGTCAGGGCTTACGAAGTATTATTTATTCCACCCAGCGGCAGCTATGACTTCCGGCTCAGAGACCGCGGACCAGCCGGCGGGTTTGTTATTCCTGCCCCTCTGCCCTCCCCTATCTTCAGATTCTTCACAAGATGACAACACTACTGACTACTGTAAGCCACATGAAACACGAGCTCCTCTCCCAACTGAGTGGGACTAAAAGCTTGCGAAATCTCCCGCAAATGGGGATGAACCTGATAGTCCCACTTCCCCATTATTTCAATGATAGGCAAATGGTATGGAGTATAGATTAGCATTATCGTATCCTATGAGGCTAGAGTCGTATCCTATGAGGCTAGAGTAGCTCCGCTATTCTACCAACCCCTTGACAAGCTCAAATGGCGATAGGCAAACGGTTACTCCGCACTTACCCAGCCTGGACTAGCATCAGGTCTAGTGACGCTCACTTCATCTAGGGGTGGAACCTAATCGGGTGGGAAACTACTTTGCCCCCCCCCGCCTAGACTTATCAGCCAACCACAGAATTCATTTACGGAGGTAGTCTGTGGACTATCTTTCCCCTCTTCAACAGGACGTAACATTAAATGCTTACAACCATCTACAGCCCCATTAGGTAAAGTCAACACAACAATGCTCGGAGAATTCCCTCCCTCTCCATCCTCTAATTCGTCCACCAAGTGTCGCTTTTCTAACACATTCCCCAAGCGTCCCTAGCGTTCCAGTACGTGATGCTATTTCAGGGATAAACGGTCATTTTGTGGGCTGCGGTATGGCTTCGGTTGAAAATTGACCTGTAAGACGGACACATCGTCAGGAATTAACAGCATGTCCTTCTTCTCTACGGAGTACGGAGTAAGGTAGGCCTTTTTTACAAGCTATGGACTAGCACACGCGTAGTATTATTTATTATTGTGCCGCTCTGTACGGAGTAGCTCCTGAGTCCCCAGTGTTTAGGAGTGGACCCCTGGCTGGTCGTGGTCAGATCGACGGTCAACCACCGTACATAAGGGAGTCCTGCCTCCTGCTTTTCCTGAAACTTAGATCTTTAGCACTCGTCAATTTCTATTTAATCAACGCTCTTCTCACTGTCGATAGTCATTCGCTTTTCCATTGACCACTTGTCTTCGTATTTGCATATTTCACTCGCTATAAACATGCAACTCACAATCGCTCTTCTTGGCTTGGCCACTGTGGCCTGCGCTGCTCCTCAAGCACGCGCTGATACCAAAGCCCCTTCAGAATCAGCTCCTGCTGGATGTACGGTCGATTTCTCTGGAACCTTTGAGCTTCAGGCCGAGACCGTCATTCCTAACAAGAAGGTGAGATCACCGGAACTGGTACATTCCTCTCGATATTGTTGCTGACATTACATTCCTTAGCGTGATGCCTGTGGTGGAACAGGAACCCTTGTTAGCACCCTTAAGGGTGGTATCCTTACCGATTCCGAGGGCCGCCAGGGAAACATTGTTAGCGATAACAACCAATTCCAATATGACCCTGCCCCAGGTCAGCCAGACTACATCTACAATGCCGGTTTCTCCGCATGTGCCAATGGCTCCCTTGCTCTTGGTGGAACGACTGTCTTCTACCAATGCAAGAGCGGTGGATTCTACAACATCTACCAGACTGCCTCAGCTGAGCAGTGCGAACCCATCCAGCTTGGCATAATCCCTTGCGGCTCAGCAACCAGCAGCGCCGCTGCCGTCGGACAGGCAACTGATGGACAGGCAACTGGCACTTCTGTTGCAGCAGTTGGACAAAAGTCTGATGGACAGCCCACGGGTACCTCTGTTGCCGCTGTTGGACAGAAGAGTGACGGACAGCCTACAGGCACTACTGCTGTTCCAGTGTCTCAAATCTCCGACGGACAGCCCCAAGCCAAGTCCGCTGTTCCTCTCTCCCAGATCACCGATGGTCAAGTTCAAATTGTGACCGCCGTCCCAGTCTCCCAGATCTCCGACGGACAAGTTCAGGCTACAGGAAAGGCCACTGCCACCGCCCAAGCCTCTGCCCCCATCTCCCAGATCTCAGATGGACAAGTACAGGCCACGACTGCTGTTGCCCCCATCTCTCAAATCTCCGACGGACAGGTACAGGCCACGACCGCTGTTACCCCAATCTCCCAGATCTCCGACGGACAAGTCCAAGCTACTGGTGCCGCATCAGTCAAGCCATCTACCAACGCTACCACCACCCCTCTGCCCGTCACCAGCTCTGGCAGCAGCTTCAACATGTTGGGAAGCCAACTCGCTGCCATTGTTCTTGGTGCCGTCGCTGTCCTTTTCCTGTAAAATGGAGAAATGAATAATTCAAATGGGGAGGATAACATTATTGTAGGAGTTTCAGGTTCGCTATGGTATGGAGTTTTCTCGATTACCAGGTCATTCATTTCAAGCAGGCATGTTGCATCGGGAGGGCACATTTGATCTTGAGATCGAGGAGGTTAATTAACAGGATTGGGAACTGCATTGCATGGTATCTAGCGACCACATTAATAATGTCTTGTATATATGAGAATATTCAGCGATCTCAGGACGCTTAAAAAGAATTAAATAAACATAAACTTATCTTTCACATTATTGTCGTGGGTCCTGCGCCTCGAAGGATGGCTGACTGAGGCGATGTAACTCGTAAGATCCAACTCATTAATCCTGTTAGGTTCTTGGAACAATTATCTTTCTATTTCTCTAAACGTTTCGTGTCAGCATAATCTGAAATTACTCCTGTAGCACCGACTTCCGTTTACCATGATTCCATTCCATTCTTGTTTCAAAAAACATATGCACGATGGAAATCTCAACGCAACGTTTCTACTCTCCCTCAATACGTGCCTCGATCCCACATTCCCAAGACCTGTGTTATGTGAAATTGTCATACATGCCTTGGGGTCACACTCTCGCGCTCCTTCTCCCTCGTATAAAGCCGACATGCCATGCCATAATCATTCGTTCCACTTCCGCTCGCCGGGGCTCCTTCCCGCTCGGGATGTCCGGAATCCACGACCCCTGCAATCAGTCCGACGATCAACGAACGACTGTCCCAAAAAGCCCCATGTTTACTTGCGGGGACTGCAAGGATGTGATGTGAGGCATGCACCTCGGGCGGGGGAAATATACATCCGTACAGTAATTTGGCCGGGAAACGATCATAATAGGCTGTTTTATTGCGATTGTCCTTTCCAGTGACATCGTAATCGGGTCCAAGCTCGGTGGTTCTACACTTCCAATATTTACTTCTTAGTCCAGCTTGGAGAACACAAGTCTCCAACCCAGCTTTTTCGGTTTATTTCTGTTAGCTGACCGGAAGTGGGCAAATACGAGGTATTCTTATTTTGGTGCGAGAGCGTTTCATTAGTTTTGCAACGGCGCTGGACGTGTTAAGCGCGAAGAAGCTGGTAGTCGACCGGCACTTTTCATAGAGTTTTATAATTGTTGTGTCATTCCGAAGTCGGAGCAGTAGACGCAAATTTTATATTCTATATTTGAAAAAAAAGAGATGACTATGGTTTGAAAACAAAATCTTGCAAATACTATTAGGATTTGGTAGTGAAGAAGTGTTGTATTTAGCCATATTTGGTTAGAGCGCTGAGATATCAATGTTGGTCGTTGCCTCTTTCCTACTTCTATAAAGCTTAGTTAATATATAGTATGTAATATTCCATCTAACTACATTTGATATAAGGAGTCCCTATATTCAGATTTGCATTCGCTTGCTATTGTGAAATTACTTGAATGCTCAAAACCACTCTTCGATTACAAATCGCTCATTGAGACACGAATAAGTATTATTGCCAAGTTACTTTTCATATCGAATTTACTCTAATGTCTATATTCGTTGCTCGTCTTATCTTTTTAGAGGTATTAGGACTCGAAACCGAACTAAACAAAGTCAGTCACTAAGCATTATAGCGTCAGCTTGACCGCAGAAGTTTCAAGTAGCTTAGTATATCTCTACTCTCTTCCTATGTTTGTGAGCTTCACGCTGGAAATTTCAATGATTTTGGTTTACGGAATACACGAAGAAAGATGTATCTCATGGCTGCTCAAACCCCTCAGAACAACAAGAACAGGCTAAAAGTCTAGCCAGCCATTTACTTTAGAACCTTGCAGAATCCCAGAACTAATAATAAGTCTCTCCACTGTAAAGTCTACAGTCCGCGACCTTTTTTGAACTCCTACTTTGAGAAACCCGGGGCCAATCCGGGTAGGCTTGACAGGTGAAGCAGTTCAGATTTATGAAACTCTAATAATAAGTACATCTTAAACTCACCTACTAGTAAAAGCTTCGTTGACTAATTGTTAAAAGATCACGTCGGTCCTAGTCAGAAGTAAGCCCTGGGTCAAAATAATAAATCAAGAAAGTTTTATTATCCTTTCCATCTCGATCTTTCGCGCTCTTTGGATGATTCTTTATGTACAACCCTTACCACGTGCTGAAGCATCAATTGCATATTACATTTCAAGCAAGCTCCTGATTTTGTCAAAGAACGTGGCCAACATATATTAGCTCTTAACAGGCATCGAACGATTTCGAACATAACGTCTGCACGGTGAGCTTCGTTTCTTTCGAAAACATACTTCATGCCATTCAGGTCTACTAGTTTTTCGCCTAAGGCTTCGTGAAAAAGACATAGACAAGCGCCTTTTTCCTGCCTTAAAGCCTTCTGACAGCTATTCTTAACAATCACTTCGCAGAGATTCCAGCCAACCTCTTAAGATAGTAGTGCACAGACTCTGCGGTAAGGGTCCTACCCTCCCTCCCCTGTTCGTCACTCAGAAGCGTTGATAGCATGCACTCTGTAAGACGTGGGAGAAGTAGTTGCTGTTTTGCTATATGAGAATTTAAGAAAGAATCGAAGTTATTGCACTCTGAGAAAACTGTTGGTGGATCTTAAGTGCAGTTACAGGCACGTAACTAGCATAGTGGGGTGTCTGTCTTCCAACCTTCCGGATAGCGAACTATGCTTGACACGACACGTCACACATACAGAGTCATCAGATGAACCATAGTCGACATAATATTAATTATAGATATACGTATAATAGTAGGGCTAAGCCGTTGCACTTTTATTGTCCAATGCCAATTAGTATGACATTTCCATTCTTAATGACTCTGTAAGTTCTGAGCCATTCCCTGGCTACTTGGATAGTTGAGTATCCTAAAGTATAGCAGGGGTATCATCTCGTTTGATATCTGTAATTAGATGCTCAAACGTACTCGAATACGTAACCCGTTCTGTTAAATCATCCAAGGCCCAAAGTTCATTGATGAACTTTAAGATACTCGTATGCGTATATTCCCCTCCATTGTTGAGACCCTTTTTCTCAATAATGCCCTTGCCAACCCACGGACTAATTAGCAGAGTTGGAACGCGGAGCCCGAGGCGTTTGAAGTCGAAGGTGTTGTTTCTTCCATCAGGCGCGAGTTCAGTGTAGGTAAGGTTGTCACCAGCGGGGACATTGACAGGTGGTGGGACGTGATCGCCAAAACCCCCGTGCTCGTCGAAGGTTAGGATGAAGAGGGTTTCTTCCCATTGTGGGGAGTTCCGGACAGCTTCATAGATACCCTTGATAAATTGCTCGCCGAGAGTGATTGGGGAGGGAGGGTGAAATGATTGGTAGGAGCAGCATTCCGGATTAATGTAAGTAAACTGAGGTAGTGTGCCAGCCTTGGCATCAGCATAGAACTTGTCCAGGGGAGCAATGTTAGTGTCCTTTGCGCCGGATGTCTCAGTCCACTAGATGACGGGGGAGTTAGTAATTTCCTGTTCAAGACGGTTTCGAGAGTAGAGGGAGCGTGTATTTCTAGGGCAGAGCACATGAGACGAAACATGACAGAAGGGGGTAGGGTAAAATCAAAGAGCCAGTTATCCTTACGCTGTAAAAAGCAGCGTCTGGGTTGAAGCCGAGTCCTGGACCGGTGGTGGAGTTCTGGTAGTTCATCCAGGTGATGTTGTTCTCGGACAATTGCTGGAAAACAGACCTTTGGGGTAGACCGTAAACGTCGAAGGCCGCGTCATTTTTGCCGTGACCAGCTGAAGTACCCGAAGTGAGATACGCTCGGTTGGGGTTTGTTGGTCCTGGGACAGAAGCAAACCAGCGATCAAAGAGAACGAAATTCTCTGCTATGGTGTTGAAAAAGGGAATCTGATCAGGGGTATAGTAGTTGATTGCCTCCGCAGCACGTGTCTTGTTTAATGTCTTGTAGGTGACTGATTGTTCGGTGACGAAGCCACGCATATTCTCTGCCTCGTGGAACTTATCGACTTGTACCTCATCTGGATGCCAGGTGCTAAAGACTGGGAAATGTTAGAAGGACCGGTAACAGCGGTGGCATAACTTACGCTGCATGTTTACACCACTGATGCTGTGATTCGGGTCATCCGGTGCAACATCATTGGCACGGGGTCCAGCGCAGACATCATCGTGTTGCGAGGGGTCAGAAGCATTCCTTAGGTCATCGTCAGCGAGGTTTCGGGACCAGGAATAATTATGAATACTTACATGGAGTTGCAGTAGTTGTGGTGCAGCAAACCATCGATGGAAGGCTGTAGAAGTAATTAGTATAGGCTTCGCGATTTGTCTAGGAGCAGAAAGTCTTCAGACATGCTAATAATCGCATGTTGTGGCAAAGTTCGACGTACATCATAAGTTAGACCACCAGCAAAGGTATCAAAGGATCGGTTTTCTTCCACCAAAACGACCACATTCTTGATTTTACTCCTCCAGTCTCCGTACTTGTTGCTTTGGTCTTGAGGAGCAGCGAGCGCAAGGCTGGATAAAGCTGCGACGACAACAAATTTGACACAAACCATTCTCAACTTAATTTGGCTTGCAAGCAGTTGCCAGGAACAGAAATGGCTCCCCATTTAGCTGTATATTTATATTCCAATCTCGGGGACGCTGATGCACGTGTGCGGCGCGATAGGTTAGGATTCTCGCAGGGCAAGGATGACGATGACCGATTTAGAAATAATTTATAACCAAAGGCGATGGATGGTAATGACTTGGAGTAAGCAAGCAACCGCACTGCTAAAACTACTAGAGTTAAAGGAGCAAATAATCTGTCCGCCTGGTTAAGAGGGGAAGTGTGCGACCTTCTAAATGTTGATATGTTTCTGCACATGTTCTGGGCATTCATTGCGACTGGCTAAAAGTAAGGTCGGGACTCGGGAGGCCACTTGCACGGCATGCTTTAGTCTGCCGCTTTTTTAGGTATGCACTGTACCTGGACCCCATTTCTTAAAAGGAAGGTGCAGATGGGATAGCTAGCAACCATTGGGAGAAGGGTCTGGCGCACGTTTTCGCGCTGACAGCTCAACTTTTGATTCGTATCCAGATGTCGTCCGTCCTCCGGCGAGGAATCGGTTCGTTCTCCGAACACGTTGCGTACGGTACGAAGTATAGCACGCGGTATTACGTTTGAAGTCCCCCGCATGGTGGTGGAAATAAAGTGAGGCGCATCCCAGCAGAGGCTTTTTTAGGTGAAGCTTGTTTTTTTTTCAGCGAACTCAGATTGGTCCCTTATTTAAAGTACCACAGTTGCTTCTTCATATAAAGTCAGAACAATTCCTACATATACTATAGTATTGCTATTTAGAAACTATAAACGTCAGCGACAGTATACCGTTAATAAGAGTTGCTTTCCGTTTTTTTCTCTGCGACTAGGAGCTATTATAGATATTTTATATTTCCATAAAGTCAACGACAATCGAGTCGTCCCCCGTATTACTATAGCCGTCTTGTTGTAAGGGAATCCAAGTCGACTATTCCGCCATCTTCAGCTAGTGAATACAGATCCTCCAACGGTTGGAGTTGCCCGAATTAGTTCCAATAGCAACCATGTATTGGATAATACTCACAAAGATTGGAGAGACTTGGGAACTTGTGCCATTTATTCCGAGTGGCGTATAATGCAAATGATCAGGATTGTTACTGCCCGCTGTGATATTAGGATTGACCGATCGATGAGTATTCTACTCCTTATCAACAAACAATCGTGCAAAGAGAATAAATTCGGAGAACATGGACCCACGGAAAGAGCAACCACTATCGTAGTCGAGTCTGCTGAAATACCCAACTGCCTTGTCTAAAGAAAATAGGTTGTGTTTTATATCTGTACAAGTGGGATCATCATGTACTAACAACTCGAAGAGAATGAACATTGCAGCGAGAGGCATAGCAGCCACTATCCTGGGCTTGTTAATGGTCGTGTCAGATGATATGGAGAGTCTAGACATGGGATTGTGGCTTACTATAGAGGAGACCAAGCTTTTAGGTCGGTGTACTTCGTTAACTCCAAAATTGTACGGGCGGCTTTAATGAGGCCACCCTTCCCGATTCCATCTTCCGACAGTATACTCGGCTCCCTAATAGGTATGCTAAGTCTTGATATTGCTACCAGGGTGTTCTGGTAATCAAAATGCTGATATAATAGTGTTGTAGTTAGAGTTATCGACACATTATGTAATTTGATGGATTCGCCAGGACGAAATATCTTTGGTATGCTCATCTTCTAAACACTTCAAGCCTGCATAGACTTAACTTACCTTAACACGAATTTATTCAGCTGAGTTGTTAGCAGCCTTGACAGAAAATAGAGTTTCGTAAGAGATGGATGCATCCAGGCTAATGTAGTGGAAGAAAAAAACCAGCCGCATTCTTCAAAACCCGACTCTGATACTTCTGGAATAGAACAACCAATATCGGAATCTACCTACTATTAATGAGCTCAAGCCATCATTAAAGCACAAGGGCTCCTCTAGACAGTAGATCACCTATAATATTATTACCTTTTCACGAGAATCGGCGCAATGTATAGGTTTATGAACGTTGGTAGTGATTGCAACTCTTGTCGCTTTAGATACTCTGTGAGAATATTGCCTGAAGAGTATTAGAGCTATAGTGCAGTCAAGATATGATTAGATAATAGCACAAGACATATAATAATTGTTACTGCCTGTATTTATCAGATGCCAAGCTAACAGATTAAGAAGGTGTCCAGATCATACCCGAACAATTATAAGTGTCGTGTCAAGGCTACCTAAATTTGGCATCAGCCGCGGAGCATGCTTAAAAGTTGCCAGAACAAGCCCTTCTCTGGCGCAAAGTCTTCTTTATTGTGAAATTGAGAACCACGAGCGAGTACGCCGTGGTAAAGAGCTGACTATGTAATATATTTCTGAAGCGACTTAGGTGTGTAAGCTAGAAGCTTTGTCTTCAAAACGTTTCTGGTCAAAGAAAGGATACATCGAATGAATATGTTCGAAGTATGCTATGAACCTAATTAGAGATAGGCGAAATTATATAAGTTCTCTTACGCCTGGCGTAGCCCTCAACTTCTTGAGCTGGAACTAGCAAGTGGCTAGTCTTGTCTAGCCGCGCTTTAGTGAAATTATGAAAGACGTTTTGTTAACATTTCGGCGAGCCTGTATATGTGTCTGCATTTTTTCAATCACTTCGATGTACTAGTCTGTAGCCTAGATTTCCGAAAAAGCCGCAAGACTAGAACTTGCAACTTTTGATTATTAGAGAAACACGTGGGACTCGTCATTCCAACCACTATCAACTTACCATAGCTGTCCAGTGTCTAGTAGATTTCAAACTAGCATTTCGAGTATCAACCTATTGATTGCTTATGCTGCTATTGCCCACGTGCCCTAATAAGTATGTTTATCACATCTTCTTGTCTACCAGTTAAGCGCTAATGTCGTAGTATATGGTAATATTGAATAGGGCTGGCTGCTGAGCAGCGATATTAGTTGTTGAGGCATAGTGATCTACTGCGGGTTATTGTAAAGTGTTTTCGTCTCGATGTCCGATACTTCTACCATAGTGATGACTGTCTATCCGGAGTCATATCAGAACCTAAGACTTTAGATAAATCTATATTCTTTCAGCACATGCTTGCTTACCTAAATTTGCGCTTTGCTCTTTGTAAGTCTTTCGATTGCGTCTACTATGGTTAAAATGGCAGTCCACACGCCTGCGCTTTGCGGAGTAAGCGTATAGAGATCCGTAGACGTATGCAATAGATTACCAAGCAGTTGATACACTTCTCATCAGCTGGTTGAGCTTCTGCACAGGAGCTCGCTTAGTTTCACTTTGCTTGAATTAGAGCAGGTCTCAATACTTACTGGAGCAGCGAACCTTCCGAGAGTTACAATTCTTACACGCCATAGCGTACTTGATTGGCTCCATCTTTTCGATGGCCAGATGCTTTTTAAGGGTCTCGGAGTTTCAAGACATAATAGCTTCACAAGGCAATGAGGTACCTAGAGAAATATCCGAAGGATACCGAGCTCTATACCGAAGCAGATACCGAACACCGAGAAAGTCTCGAGTATAACAACTCGGCAACTACCTAGCGTACCGGGCTACCGAGAAACGGGTCATTGCTTACCCTAGCATTATACTACTGGAGGATCCGGAAAGGAAACTATACCGTTATCTCTTATCGCTAGGAGATTGATGTTTACGAACATATTGTTAAATTCAAGAATTGATTAAGAATCAATGATTTAGCCTTACGGAGGTATTAAATTCATGTATCAATGCTTACCTTAACACGTAAAAAGGGGTAGACTAATTAGTAAGCCTAATGCATATAAATTCGATACGGAATTCGAGGGTCCCAATGCCCTAAGTAGGACCGAGGTAAAATTACAGGGTTTTCAAGGATTATATGACTTTATAAAGCTTATATGGACTCCGGCTCTCAGAAACATTCTTATTCTAGTATATAGACTCTTTTTAGCGGGGTAATCTCCAAATAAGGTATAAATTATTATATTCAAGGACCTATCTAGCCAATCAAGACCTTGTTTTAGCTATGTTGTAATCATTGGAATGCAAACAACACGCCATTTTTCAAACGAAACTAACCACCTCAGCCTCGTCACAATCATACCACTTCTCTTATACCGAAAGAACCGAGCTGCGCTTGAATTGGCGTTCGCGCTGCCGGCTCTAGCCTTCTTCTTATTCATCATAGAACAGGATTCAAGGTCATAGCCCGTGATATACAATCAGCTACTATTAAAGATGCAAGCCTTCCGCACAGCTCGAGTTCTCTCGAATAGCTACATCTTTCGGTCACCACTGCGTCTAGCAACATACTCAACAATGAAGGCACTTGTGTACAAATCAATTGGTGAAGTGAAGCTTGAGGAGCGGCCCAAACCAAAAATCTCTAACCCCACAGACGCTATTATCAAGCTCACCAAGACGACGATCTGTGGCTCAGATTTACATATCCAAAAAGGAGATGTTTCGACCTGTACTACTGGAACTATTTTAGGCCATGAGGGAGTAGGCATAGTTGAAGAGACTGGAGACTCAGTCCGCGGATTCAAGAAAGGGGAGCATGTCTTGATCTCATGCATCTGCTCTTGTTCCACTTGCGAATACTGCCGTAAGGGGATGTATTCCCACTGCACGACCGGAGGTAAGCCTCCTCAATCTCGCTGAACGAGCCCGGCTGACAGGACCAGGCTGGATCTTAGGAAACACCATCGATGGCACGCAAGCAGAATACGTCCGAATTCCTCATGCCGATTCCTCCTTATACCCAATACCCGCGGGAGCAGACGAGTCTGCACTGGTCATGCTGAGTGATATTTTCCCGACTGGTCTCGAGTGCGGAGTGCTGAACGGCAAGGTCCAGCCGGGAAGCACGGTTGTGATCGTAGGTGCTGGCCCCATCGGACTTGCTGCCATGATCACAGCGCAACTGTATTCTCCCTCGGAAATCATCATGGTGGATCAGGATCCCAATCGTCTGAAGGTTGCAAAATCATTGGGGGCCTCTCACACTATCATAAGTGATGGAAACGTAGAGTCCGCGGTCAAGGGGCTCACAGATGGAAAGGGTTGTGACACGGTCATTGAAGCTGTTGGTATTCCGGCAACGTTTGAGCTTTGTCAAAACTTGGTTGCCCCGGGGGGTGTCATTGCAAATGTCGGCGTGCACGGGACGAAAGTTGATTTGCATTTGGAGACTCTATGGACTCAGAATATCTCCATTACAACTCGGCTCGTTGACACCGTCACCACTCCAATGCTACTGAAGCTTGCACTTTCTGGAAAGCTGGATCCGGCGAAGCTCATTACCCACAAGTTTGCTTTCAAGGACATGGAGGAAGCATACAGTACTTTTGGTGCAGCTTCCAAGCATAATGCTTTGAAGGTTTTGGTCGAATTCGACTAGAGCTCAAGGCAATCCTTTTCTGGGAAATCCTCGGCGCTCGGGTAGAGGAAAGGTCAAGCCAATGGTTGGGTCATACAATATACTACAATTTGCAATCTTTCTCTTCTACTTACCCCTTCCACTTTCCTCCCAAAGCTTCTTCTTCTCTCCATCACTCATCCCATCCTTCACTTCCCTCAATCTCAAAGCCTGTAACAGAATCCAATCCTTACTATCATTTTCCTCCTCCTTCTCCCCTTCTTTCAATTCAGGGATAACATCACTGCCTTCCAATCTTTTTAACACCACCTCGTCTCCAGGCCGCGCAAAATATACCACACTATATCTAATCTCCTGCCCTTGTACGCCGGGAGGAGCAACCACGCGATGTATGTTGCTCCTCAGCAGCCCATTCATAAACTTCACCATCGCGTCACCTAAGTTTACTATACAGTGACCCGGCAGCGGTTTCACGTATATCCATTGCGGTTCTTGGTCTGCGGGGGTGAGGGATGAAGGGGGCAGGATTTGAAGCCCTCCTAGGCGATTGAAAATAATGGTGAGGCTGCCGAAGTCTGTGTGATTTCCTAGGGTGGTCCGCAGTTCTGACGCCGGCTGTGGAGTGGATTTGATGAGGCAGACTTGGTCGCCTGAGTGAGAGCGGAGGTAGTGGAGATTTTGGAGCGTGTTGGGTGGGAGATGCAGATGGTTGTTTAGGTGCGAGAGGATGAGTATTACGATGGAATGTGCAGTTTGAATGTATGAGTTAATGAGGTCAGCATTCTTGTAGAAGAGTTGGGGGTGCTCGAATGGTGTCTCCGAGATGCCTAGGAACTCGTCTTTGGGAATATTTCTGCTGTCAGCACTTTTAACTTCCGTAAGGCCAGGGACTTGAGTAGTTCGTACATTATAGAACTCATTTCGGTCCAGATTACCCTTTTCGTCTACAATCGATGTCCCGCTTCCCTTGTACCCCATATAGCTCCCGCGGCTTTTATAATCAATTTGCTTAACTCATCCCTTCCTAAATCATAACATGTCTGTGCTAGCTCAAAAGCTTGATCAGCCTCTTCGAGAAGCCTCTCCCCCTCGACATCACCTCTCAAATCTAGATAGAAGAAGTCGAGATCCTTTGAGGATTGAAATAGACGTGCGGATTCAGCAGGGTTCGAGCGAAGTGCTGAAAGTGAGAGTCGATACAGGGGAGCTGTAGGGATATCCGAAGGGAAAGGTGGTATATTCGGAAAAGCAATAGTTTCAAGAGTTTCCAGAATGCCAGTGTGTGTAATTGTTTCAGTTGTCATGTTGGTTTACTGGAGTTGTAGGATAAGAGGACTAAGAATCCGGGGAACATGAGGGGTAAGTAAGGACGAGGATTGCCCCACATTGACCCCGCCTACTAAACTCGGAAAAAATGGTAAAGTAAATCTGAGGTTATTCTCAGAAGATATCACTAGATTCGAGGAATAGATTGATAACACTGCCAGTCATGTTTCTGATTTGTTCGGCACGTCTTGTTCATTATTATCAAGAAGTTGAAGGGCATCTGTCGTGGACATCCTAGTCATTCCATTAGCTGGGTTTCCTAGAAGTGAGACTTCGAATTATAAGTTTAATGTTTATACAAACACCTGTGCGTCCTTCCTCGATGATCTCATCAAATTTCTGATTTACTGATTCCAAGGTATAGTTCGACGGATCATCACTTGATAGCTTCCTACGACTCTCCAATAAGAATGAATATCTTCACACTGCACGCGGATAGTGTCGCATTAGAAGACTTGGTCAACGCGTTTTTACCTGTTCAATATCCGGGCAGACTCGCTCTGAACAACCCAGACATCTTAAAGCTGACACAATGAAGTCTACTGTGGAAAGATATCGGTCCTCAAAAATATAAACGTGGGGCAAATGCTCTGTTACCGGCCACGTTATTGTACAACACGGCGATTTGGCCAGACAAAATGTTCAGGGCAGTGACGCTAGTTACAATTAAAAAAAGATACATCAGAATGCAATGTATTCTGACGACAGCAAATTGATTTGGCAACAAATCCAATGGAAATTGATGAAAATGGGGTTGGTTAGCTAAATTCTTGCTTATGTGAAGCTGTTATGCACGGCAAGCCTAGAAAGGTGAAGGCTCGTGGTTGAGGCAACATATGATCTATAATTACCAGAGGCCTTTTAGAGTAAGTAGTGGCTAGGAAAGACTGACAATTTTGTCCTGATATTTGCGATACCGGTACTTCAAAGCGCGACGCGTTCGATTCTACATATATATACTTTTTTTAAAAAGAAAAATATCACGTGTCGTTCGACCAAACTGACTACACCATACCTAGGTAAGTTCTTACCGGCTGTTAGAGAATTGTTTAATCATATTTTGATAAAAATATATCAACTTCAACACGGGCATATTAGTATCCTGGTGTTTGGAGCAATATGATTAATCTAATGTACATAAATGAATCATTCTATCCACTCAATGCCTTACGCAAGTGGGGTTTTAGATAGAGAGCTCCACTTTGACAAAATAGAATGAACGGAAAATTGATCAAAACTTCTGCGATTAAGCGTATACCCTGTCTCTTTGAACAACATTCTCTCAGTTGCTTTTTGTGGCAAATTTCGAGGTCACAGAGTGACAGAGAGGAGAAGTTGTGTTGCCCCGCAGCGCTTGGCACTTTCTAGCGCTGTATTTCGACCTTCCCCTTTTCTCTTCGATGCGCGATTTGCTGTCTTGTCTTCTCACTTCCGGCCACATTATACCATATTCTGTGTTCAAGATGAAATCCACTCCAAGCGGGGAATGGCAAAGTCGCCATCACGCGATATACGGAGGTAGGGCAGCGAGCGCAAACATGGCAGGAGCCATCGTTGACTTACAGATTACTGTTGCCATGCAGATTGACTGACTTGCCTGTTCGAGACGCACGGCAATCAACACGAACGCAGATCTGTGGCAGGCTCCAAATAACAGGCCAATGCCGGCAAATCCTCCACAATCTCCATCAGACGCCCAATCAATCGCCCCAAATAATCGCCCCAAATAATAACCTTATTGTATTAGCCTACGGCTGTGAGCGGGAAAGGTACCTCGTAGGGAAGCTGCGAGACATGTTGTGGCCGGTGGCTTTGAGCAGGACCTCGAGGGGTCCAATCTCAAAGGATCTAGCGGCAGGTACAGTAGGTACAGCAGGTACGAGTACCGGTACAGTTATCGGACTCGCTGATCTCAACTACTTGTACATAAATAATGAAGCCCCTCACTTCATGACTTTTACCTAGCCTTCTCCACTCTTCTCCCCCGGCGCATTTCATCATGGTTTCCTTCAAGAGTATTCTCGCCGTTCTTGCTGCATCAAGCTCCTGTCTCGCATCTCCATTAACCAACCCAGCTCGTAGAGATGGGGACTTTAAGAGTAGCGTTGTTGAGAGTCTTTCTGGACCTCCACTTGGATGGGCCAAAGATGAAAGTCTGAAGTTGAACAAGGAGGATATGAAGATTTCTTTGAGGATCCACCTAGTGCAGCAAGACATGGATAAATTCCACGAGTTGGCCATAAATGTACGAGATCGCACTCTCCGATGCCTAAGATTTGGCATTTGAACGAAGCTTTCTTTCCCATTGTGTGCTTCGAAATTTTATTGCAATATTCTGACTGTGTTCTAGATTGCTACACCCGGTCATGACCTATACGGAAGTCATTTATCCCAGCATGTGATTGATGCCATGATTGCGCCCAAGGATGAATCCAAAGATCTCGTCATGCAATGGCTCGAGAGTGAAGGAATGAGCGATGAGGCAAGCCTGTCTCCGCGATTGGACTCTGTCTTGATCCAGACCACTGTCGACAAGATTGAAAAGCTTTTGAAGGCAGAGTACAGTGCATTTAGTAAGATGAAATGAGCTGATAGTCTTTTTCTCCTGAATCCTAACTATCAAACAGTTCACGCTACGACTGGAGACGAAGTTCTCAGGACTCTTGAATACAGCCTCCCCGATGTCCTCAAGGGTCACGTGGACATGGTTCAGCCAACGACTTTCTTTGGTCTCCGAGCCCTGAAATCCACAATTTCAGCGGTGCGCCCCGTAAGTCAGAAGCAACAGCCCGACTTGAACAGCACTGGGCCCGTTTCAGCAGTGACAGGATGCAGTGGAGGCCAAATCACACCAACATGCCTCGCTCACCTATACAACTTTGCATCCTCCACATCCACTCAGACCACTGGCAAATTCGGAATTGCAGGATTTCTCGAACAGTACGCTATCAAGTCCGATCTCTCAACGTTTTTGGACAGCTATGCGGTATTCAGTAACGAAGATACGTCCTTTACTTGCACAGCAGTCAACGGCGGTTCCTGCACGTCTTCAACTGCTGGAGATGAAGCAAATCTTGATGTCCAGTACGGACGAGCCATTGCGAAGAGTATCCCCATCACCTTCTACAGTGTAGGGGGATTAGGAGAGTGGGTCGGCAGCGGGACCAACACCAACGAGCCATACCAGGAGTTCCTCACATATCTCCTTGGTCTCACGGACGCCAATCTCCCGAATACGCTATCCATATCCTACGGCGACGATGAAGCCACAGTCCCAAATTCATACGCTACCAATGCCTGCAACCTGTTCTCCCAGCTCGGCGCGCGTGGTGTGTCCATTCTCGTAGCAGCAGGTGACAGTGGAGTCGGAGATACCTGCACCGTTGACGGAACTAAACAGTTTACAACTGCCTTTCCCGCATCATGTCCCTTTGTAACCACTGTCGGAGGTACCACAGGAACCTCTCCGGAGAGCGCCTGGACCGATGGTGGTGGCGGCTTCTCCAATCTGTTCGCTCGGCCTAGCTACCAGTCGTCAGCCGTGAGCAGCTGGTTGTCAACCGACACTACCCACACAAGCTTTTCAAAGTACTTCAACTCATCCGGACGTGCCTATCCTGATGTGGCTGCCCAAGCTACAGACTTCGTTATTGTAGTTGGGGGCGAAGAGGAGGAAGTCGATGGAACGAGTTGCGCAACACCAACGTTTGCAGGTGTTGTGCAGCTATTGAACAGTGCCAGAATCGCGAGTGGGAAGGCAGGTCTTGGGTTCTTGAACCCGTGGCTGTATGGAAATGCTACCAGTGCGTTGACAGATATCAGCTCGGGGAAGATCACAGGGTGTAGTGGGGTCATCACCAGTGCTGGATTTGATGCTGTGACAGTAAGTTTTCTAGTCTTGCACTTCGGTCTGGATGATTTACTAACGTGTCTTAGGGTTGGGATCCTGCGACTGGGCTTGGGACTCCGAACTACGCTAAACTTCTTACTATCGCGCAAGATACCGCTTAAAGCCCGTCTCCGTCGGAATTGATGGATAAATAATTAGGTGCATCAATGTATAAAGTTTCTGGAACAGTCTTATAATCCTCTATGGCCTCGTCCCATTTCTTCTCCCTGGCAATCTAAAATCGATAGACAATAACGTTGAGACGCAATGTTGCATTGTATTCCTAAGTTTGTCGACTACACACGCTCATGGTTTTGGCGGGTCGCCACTCGACCAGATTCTGAGATGTGAGCGACATGAAATTCTCTTATCCATTTCTCCCTTTCCCATATTATGTTTTAGCCCATCATTCCTGATACAAGTGCAATGCAAGTCCGCTCCTGTTAGGCTGGTATTGCAGAATTATTTGCTTCTCCTGCAGCCTGGAATCTAGAAGCGAAGTCTCGATTTCAAGGAGAGCAGCCCTACCCGCTAGGCTTCAGGGGTCGAGCCCTACGTATAGCGACGTGCGTTCTCCAAACACAGATGGAAGTAGACGAAGGGGGAGTCTGCGCATGAAGATAGGGCAAAAAGGAGTCCTCCGGGACTCCCAGCCCCTAACAAGTTCAGACATGCGTAAGATCATCAAACATATTCGGAATTGTAGGCACTCTCAATCGAATCCGAAGCCCCTTGCATAATGCATCTCGTCGTCTTCACGCTCCCGTTTTATTGCCCGAAATAGCTGCGCGTCAATCGAAGTAGACCGTATCCCGCTACTGCTTTCTTTACTTCCTTCGAAATCATTGCAATCATCGTCGAAGTCAGGGGTATTTAGGCTCTTCCTTGGCCTCTTCTTGGGTTGCCAATTGTCGTCGTCGTCGTCGTCATATTCTCGCTTGATTCGTACTCGCGGTGTGCATTCCTTTCCGAAAAGCCTCATTAGCCAGGATCATTAGGTGTCAAGGTTACACTTACCTCGAGTGTTTGCAGCCAATGTGTGGTGTAGTCAGCGTCTAGATCCTCTTGCTTCATGGACTCTGCCAATGCAGGCGGCATCCGCAACAGCGAGTGTGCTCTCTCTGTTTCCGAACTCCATGGGAGAGTTTGGGCGAATCGATGTCTCAGGTCATCTGTGATATTCCCAGGTTAGGAATTAGAATTGATAATGTTGGTGAAACTGCTTACCTGCCGACCTATACTTGAAGTGAAATACTCCCAGTGGCAAAGACTCCAATAGAGGGGCGTGCCAGAATGTTACCGGCTCAGACATCGGGCGGGAATGACCAAGTCTGTATGTATCATTGTGAGTGAGCAATGTGGGGTTTGAATCGGTAAGGGAAAACGTACAAGATGACCTGAGGCGCTGCACGTCCCGTTAGTGCTTCTAATGCGTGTTGAGCATAGATATCTGGAATTGCTTCCAAGTTGATTCTTTTTCCCTCGCCGCGCCGCTGTACCTCCACAATTATCTCGCCCGTTCCGCTGGACATGGCTACACTGGAGAACATGAAAGGCCGGAACTGCCCGTCTCCTAAAGCAAGTTGGCCCATTTCTGTTCCTTCCACAAGCAGTTTCCATTCGATCACTTTGCCTCGCTTTGACTGTAGGCAACACTTGGATGCCACCTTGACCCCATCAACAAATATATTAAACCCGAGTGTAGGACAATCGTGAATGTACTCAGAGTTAATTGAGAGGGATATGCTGAATTCTTCATCTGCCGCAGCCGGGATGTACTTGGTGACATTATTCGAAGGGCTGTTAAAGTTTGCGTAGGTAGGGACTTCGTATTCGGTGATAGGGCGATTGTCGGTCTGAATTTTCACATGTATATCTTCAATGCCTTTGATGACCGCCATGTTGGCGGAAAAGGACGGGCGATTGTGCGGACTCAACTGGAATACACAATGGTGGAAAATATCTCAGAGTCCATGGAGGTCCAGATTAAAGTCGAGGCTGGAGGTTGAGATTGCGCCGCAAAACTTCTTGTTGATATCGCGTGTGAACTCGGGAAAGCGCGACCAGACCAAATTCACCATCAGATTGACAGATTTTCATCAGGACGCAAGGAAATCATTGATAACTTGAATGTTCGGATCGCATTATGATGTGTTTGCCTAAAGATAAATTGATGTTAAACTGGTAAGATATACAGGTATATCCATAGCTAGCCACCTTGTCAACCCCCCTTTCTTCCTCGCTTGACTGATGTTTACAAAAACAATAAAATCAATGAAGCCCAACAATAAACCCCCGCATTTCAAAAAAATTGCTTGTAGGGCACCATATTGCCATCCCATCCTCCTGACTTGTTCAACTCAGCAGAAATACTTTTTTCATCTAGAAATAAAACATCCGCGCTCTTTGTACTAGTACCATACCAATACAATTGCGAGTCGATACCGTACACGATACGATGATGAACGAAGAGGCCCAGAAATACGTAAGATCCACCTTTACTCGTAAACCTCACCACTAAGCTTACATCAGTTTGTTGACACCTGATAGCTTATTGAATTCAAATTTCCGGAACTTGAGAATTATAAGGTGTGCCACGTCAATTACCGGCGTTAGGCCTAGACTAACGTTGCATTCTCGTGTCATGTAACCTCATTATTTCAAATATAATCAAGTAGATCGTGATTGATGCAAAACCTGTTCTCGCCATCTATTGTGCTTATTATGTTATTCCTAGACTCCAAACCCCTATCAAATGCCAAATTTAACGAGTAACCCAGATGCTGTGGCCAAGAATCTCAAGCTCGGCATGCCGGTCTGTTTTGGATCCTGTATGTCGCGATGATGAATTCGGCTCGGAACTTTCGGGTGGTCTTTCTCCCTCGACTCTTCTTCTGTTCTCATAGGATAATTCAAGTAGAGGTGGGCACCGGCGCAGAAAGTCAGAAAGAAGGCGAAATTATATTTGACTTTGGTCAAGTCAATCTGAAGAGCAGACGGCTCAAGATCTTCGAAAGAGTCCTTTGATTATAGAAGTTCTTCGTAATCATTTGACTCAGGACGAGAAACCTGATGAATTTGACGTGATAGAATCATGAGGTGCGCTCGAACCTGGGGAGACCGTCGAAGTCGATGCGTCTGAGATTTATGGTCTCTCAGAAAAAGGCGACTTGTGCAAAGACTAGTCAGATGCCATTTTAGCTACTGCTGGATGAGTCTTGGGACTCGTTGCTGCGAGAACAAGCTGATATCAAGAGCTCACCTGAGCGGTTGGAGCCACATCGGCCGAAGTATACTGATAGCTGAAGACATTGTTCTAAATGACTGCACGAAGTATAGAAAGAGGTGCTTATATGTCTCGATATATAGTGTACGTGATATGTGAAAATCAGTCCTGATCATCTAGAGGAAAAAGAAAATTGTGGTCAAAAGTGTCATAAAATCGGAGTAGTCGCAATCTATACATTTAGGGCCCACTTGCCAGGTAGAGGGTACTTGATGAGTTTTTCACTTGATTAACTTGCAGACTTCTAGCTTCCGTCTAGTCTCATGAACCGGACCTTCACACTTAAATCGAGAGAAGATAGAGTATAGTTAGCGTTTTTCTCCGTCTTTTTTGACCCCGCGTAACCCGGTAAGGCGGGCCAAATTTGTCGCGTATCAGCGGTTACATACTCCGTACTAGAGCTCTGCTTACTAATAACTCAATGTAAGTTCCGGAGGATTATCTAACATCACAGGAGCAAGCAAAATCGGCGGCGCAAAACAATTCAATTCAAAATAAGTAAGCCTATAGAAATGATAACGCCCTGTCGGATATTTTCAACCCCTTAATACTCGCTTGAAATGCTTGTTTGGGTCTAGTTTCGTGTAGTTAAAAGTTCAGCCAGTGTAGAGAAGCACAGACATTTATTTAAAGTGGAGTTTCTACACTGACGGAACCCGGGCCTGGTGGATCTAATGGGAGACAACGATTGAATTTTGATATTTGCTGTGTGCTTTACGGATTGGTTTAGGGCTGGCGTTCTTGCGAATAAAAAATAACGTGGAAACAAATGAACTATTGTGAAATTCAAGGGAATTAGAGAATCTGGAACAACTTCTAGACGTGCAATTTATAAGTCACAGTGCTTCCACTCTATAGTACTCATGTGACAATCATGTGACTAGATCTCGGGCGTTTCGCATCATGTCTGTACTGAACTTTATCTGGGCTCGACCCACCTCAGCCTTGCCAATATGAACATCACAACTCTCCCAATTCCCACTTTACCACGACAAACATTGTCCATTTCAGGCATCACCATTTGCTCCCGCTCAAAAGAGGAGTAACCACCATCTTCCACGAGATACCGCTCGTGTCGTGTTGAATGGGCTGCTTAGCCTATGATTGAGGTGCGACACGTAAGGCTACGAAAGCTTCTGTGAGACATTATCCTTGACAGAATCACTTTATTCCCGCGTACTTTGAAGCCTTACCTACCTTATGCTAACGGGTGTATCTATGCAGATTGCGTAGTAGGTGCTAAGCATTTCTGCGACTCCCAGTGCTGACCGACAATGGCTGTACTGGATGGTCTTCCGGGAATCAAGGTGGAGGTCCGAATCAATGGGGAGCCTTTGGTAGAATACGACGATGATGAAGAGTATAAACCACAAGACGAAGACATTCCCGAGGACCGCAGAGCCAAGACTGTCTCGAAATACATCGAATCGCAAACGGATCAGGAATTCACGATCAACCTTACACTCCAGAGACCATATGAATATGACTGCGATGGCATTGAGTTTCACACATATATCGACGGTATCCGAGCGCAAGCCGTTCTTCTTCGGCGCTTGGAATATAAACCCCACAAAGGCATACATCATGCTGTTATAGGATTCAGTTCTACCGATGCTGTTACGCTAATTAAAACCACAAGACCCTTCAAATTCTCGAAGCTCGAAACCAGTAGGTCTACCGCAGCCTTCTCCCTAACTTATGGGTTAATGTCTCATACAACTGGCAGCCTCCGATGATTCCAAGTTAGCTCAGCTGAAAGAAGATTCGGAACGGGTACGAGGCATTGGCGAAATATCAGTAAAGGTTCATCGCAAGTCCAAGGTCACTAAGCAAGCCAGAATAGTTGGTCACCAGAGCCTTTTCGATGCTCGTGCTGATACACCAGTCCACGAAAAGGCTCTCAAGGGTGAGGCAAAATCTCACAGCATATCGTAAGTAAACGGTGATTATGGCCACATGAGTCGATGTAGCATTACCTGACTGGCATGTTCTAAAGGTACGGGGAGAGAGAAATCGTCAATACAAGAAAGTCCTGGACGTACAGGGCCGACTACCTGGACGGCAAGGAATTCCCGCTTGCGCTATTTCGTTTCCGCTACAGGTCGAAAGGTATAGTTGTTTTCTTACTTGATTGCCCCATCCTTTTTGAGACATTTGAACCAAGCATATAGGGACTACAGTACTCGGGTATCTCTTGAACTATTCTATGCACCCTCTCCCTACTCATCTTACTAATATTTTCTAACAGAGGCACTCAAACAACTTCTCATTATCGAACGCACCCCTGAGCCTGAAAGTCTCTCTCCAGAACCCTCCTTCATGCAGGCACTCGATCCAGAGCAACAAAGAGAGGCCGCAACCTACATGAAGCAATTGAAGAATAGCCAACAAAACTCTGGAGTTGCGATAAAGCGCGAGCGAGGCAGCACTAGAAATGACATTGTTGGGTCCATTAAGAGAGCTAGGAAGTCGGGAACGAGGATCATGATTGACCTCACTAATGACTCTGACGACGACGAAGTAGAGGCCCGGAACGCTGAGATGGGTGTCCTTTGAAGTAACTCAGGCCACTTCGTTACTCTGACATTCATTGGGTTTTGGGGAGTTGGGGTGGAAAACCGGAGTTGTTGCTTACTATATACCCACTGCTGGAATCTTGCTTTTACTCACCTGCTCTGCATCACAGTTTTCACGGCGTATATAATGTATGTGACTTGGCTTTTGCAGCTTTGCAGTGCTTATAGATGGGAGTTTTCGAAATAGATCTGTTTGTTCGGACCATACCAGCACGTGAAACAGTCACGTGAAACATCAATCCCGGAGAAGATTGATATTTACACAAGAGGAATCTTTATTTAGGGTGACCGATGGCAAAGCTTAGTGAACGACATTTCCTGTCCTTCCGGTTCGCCCGACATGAATCGGAAGCTTCAATCTCGATGAGTCGAGACCAGATGCCGAGCTCGTGATTACGCGGATTATTGCTGCTTGTATTCAGCGCTAAAGAGACCCACCAGGATCCTGGTTGCTATGGAGATTTACGCGTTTCAATGTAATTTGAGCCTCGGTGCAACTACCTACTTGTAGTTTACCTGGGTATTGATTATTTCTCGAACAGACTGAGTGAGGCTGATACTGTACAGTATCGATGAGGATAGAATCAGCACCGGAGTCAAGTTCGAGACCTCACATGGTGGCAATGGTGATGGCTGGGCGTGAAGGTTCTGGTGCATGTGAAAAACGGGGATTCTCCAATCACTGAATTCCACGACAGGAGTCCGTACTCGGTAGGCGTAGAACATGCCCATATGGTCGACACCACTGCTGCAAAGAATCGAATAGCCAATATTGGACCATTCATACGGGAGAGATACACGCATAAGCAAGATTCAGTTTCTTCACACAGCTGCAGCTCATCCACCGCCTGGCCCAACCCCCCTTAATTGACCCCGGTTCGTCCTAGTGTCGCTCCACTTGCCAGCTCCCCCGGCATAAACAAACAACATAACACGACAAGCGAATATTTAACAAACCTTGTCAGACCGACCACCAATCTCCTCCATCCTCTTCCGTTCCTCCACATCTCATCACATCCCTCAACAACACCATACATACACATACAAATCCTTCCAACAACTCAATCGTCCCCTCCATTCCATCCCCTCCATTCCAGTCAGCCCTGTCTTATCTGAGTCAATCAATCAATCAAATCAATCATCCCATCATTGCCATTTGAAAGACCAGAGTCAAGAAGCGTCGTCAGACACGCTCTCTTCCCTCCCCTTCTTTCGAACCAGAGAAGCAAGAGAACGCGCTTTGAGAAGACGTTCTCTCGCTGCTAAAGGTCGGCACACTGGATTTTGACGCCCGCGTTCCTATCCCTTTCAGCGTTTTTCCGTCGTCGTATCGCAACGACGCCGTAGAACAACAGACCGTCGAGGAGACACACGTCGAGGCTGAGATCAATCTTCCCCACAGACATCAAGAGCGCGTCGGACGGGAAGGTGAATACTCTTCTGTCTCCGCACACCCCCCTCCTCAGTCTCGTACCAGCGAGTTCCGACAGGAAGAGGTCCATATCACTCGTGAAGAAGATCGCCAGCACCGTCCGAGCCGCCGAGAAGATATCTACATCCGCGAAGAGAGAAGGTTAGTACTCGCGCACACTTTCTACACTTGGCCCCTATATCTGCCAATTTTGCCATTATTTGCTGTCTCATGCGCAAATTACCACGCTTGAGCCTTGACCAGGTCCCACTGGGCGCCTATTCGATCGTATTCTCCTACTTTGTTGACACAGTAACCTCCACCGCTTATTTCCTGCACCCTGCTAACATTTTCTTTTCTCCTTGCTATCAGACCCCAACAACTCAAGCACACCGAAACCCACGTCGACATCGAGCTTCCATATCAACGCAGACACTACGACGGAGACATCTCCATCGAACTCCCTCGCCACCGTCGTCAACCACACGATACCGAGCTTGACCTCACCGAACGTCAATACCGAGCCAAGTTCCAGCCCAGCTATCGCGAAGAGGTCCGATTCAATCAGACTGTAGACCCTCCCCGATCCCGCCCAACCTATCGCGAGGAGACCCGTGTTTCCGGTACCACTGTTGACGCGCCACGCTTTCAACAACAACCCTCCTCCTACCACGAAGAAGTTCGTGTCGGTGGTTCCACTATTGACCCAGCTCCACGTTTCCAACAACCTTCCCACGAGGATATCCGCATCACTCAAGAGACCGTCGACCCTCCTCGATTCAAGTCCAACAAGATGGGTTACTATGATGAAGATGGTATGTTTTCTTTTACTCATTCACTGCCCCCATTCTTTCCTAAACGCCTTCACACATAGGTCATTACCATTCCTTCCGTCACGGTCTCCACCGTGCTGCCGACAAGTTGACGGGGCGTTTCCATCATCATCATCATCATCACCCAAAACATCATGACCACATTGACCAGGAAGAAGTTGACATCAGTGTAGGCTCCTCGGGCCCTGCTCCTGTCCGCTCTTCCGCTGGCGCCGAACAATCCCACACGCCCAACACCGTCACCATCCCCTGCCACCACATCCGTCTCGGTGACCTCTTGATCCTCCAAGGCCGTCCTTGCCAGGTTATCCGCATCACCACCTCTTCTGCTACCGGGCAGCACCGCTACTTGGGTGTCGACCTCTTCACCAAGCAACTGCATGAGGAGTCCTCGTTCATCGCCAACCCAAGCCCAAGTGTTGTTGTCCAAACTATGCTTGGTCCGGTTTTCAAGCAATACCGTGTTCTTGATTTGCAAGATGGCACTGGTACGTTTCCCTGTCCTCTCCGACATTACAGTCTACTAATGTACGCCTACAGTTGTTGCAATGACCGAGACTGGCGATGTCAAGCAATCCCTTCCTGTTATTGACCAGTCCAACCTCTGGGCCCGTCTCTCTGAAGCTTTCGAGACTGGTCGTGGCAGCGTCAGGGTCCAGGTCATCTCCGACCATGGCCGTGAACTCGCTGTTGACATGAAGACGATCCATGGTTCCCGTTTGTAATCTGCTGCTTGCTTGCGTCTTTGAATTACATAGCGTTGATATTTCTCTAAATCGTTCTCTCATACATACAGTTTAAGGGAGCTATCTTGGGGAATTGGATGGATGGAGTCATAATGCTTGCCCGTGGATCTCATATATCATGTAGAAAGAATCGCCTCTACATGTACTGAACTTGCTCAGCTTGGGTAAAATGGCTTTCTCGGCTTGTGGATCTCGTACCCACGGTCGATTAGCTGGCCTTGAGGAAGCCGTTATTTCTCAGGGTATGAGTTAGTTCAGTCTGTAGGGGTCGATGGTTTCTACTTTGTAGTGTAGATAGGATGGATGGATAAAATTGAATACAATGATGGGTGTTCGCTGTCTTTTACATGATCTCGTCTGCTTATTGATGCTGTGATTTTCCTGATATATATATGTCTTGCATGAGTGCTGTTATATTTATGTGTTTTTATTTACAGTCCCATCGCGTTATAAGAGCGCTCTTTCTCATACTTCCTTTCATTATACTCAGTCATTCCTATTCTCTATTTCCTACCTTAAGGCACTTGCTGTGGTTTGGATTATGAAGGTGAAAAAGCTTCAAATTGCTAGGTTCCGTTATGGGGGGATGGATCAGATGTGAGTTCTACTGTTTTGGGGGTGGGATGACATAGTGAGATGAGATGTTTGGATGTCTAGATTGGGGAAGGGAGAGAAAGTATTTATGTGGGATGGGGTTTCCTGGGGAGAAGAGAGGATAGAGTACTTGGGTGAGTGAGTGAGTGAGTTCACCAACTATTGATTGGAGTGTCGGATCAGCAGAGACGGAGGAAACAGCTAGCAGAATTCAATTCGATCCCAACGACTTCAATCCATCAATTGAGATATACTTCCGGATTAGGCCTTCTTCCACACCCAACAACAAAAACGCGACAATCTCAGCAACCAGAGACTAAGCTACACAGCATTGTTCATACTATGCAGGAGTAGACTACCAGTAGATTATCGCTGTCTGTCTTATGCTAGGCCTCGGAAGCTGATGATCTCGCAGGAAGTTTGCCCGCGCGTGACGGGAAGTCGAAAGAAAGTAAGGAGTAAAGTGGACAGCTCTGCCGCCCACCCCCTTTTAAACAATTATTGACTATGTATGATACGTAACGCTATAAACCTCAAAGCCACCAACCCCCCACGTCTGAAATACATGCCCCAGCCTACTAACCCCCAGACTCAACACCCCACTCGGCCGTAAATTATACCCCCTCCCAGCCCCCAAATCCGTAATCCGATACGTCTCCGCCAGCACCGCCCAACTCGTCAGCCCCTGCAGATAACTCACATACCGCCCATCCACCGCACTACTGATGGTAAACCGATCCCCATGCTCCTCGCCCACACGATGCATCACCCATCTCTGCCGCACATCATCGTGCATGCTTGAAGCACGCGTGCTGCTTACGCGCATCGCGCTAGGATCCGCGTTCGTGAGCGCGTATCCGTTGCGCTCGAACGTGAGGTAGCGGCCCTCGGTCAGGGCGCCGCGCACGCGCTTGAAGCCCTCTTCGACGATGAGGCTGGTGTCGGCGTGGGCGTTTGAGGGGCCGTAGGGCACGGGCGGTTGCGAGGTCCGGTGCTGGGCTTGGCAGGAAGCGGCGCCGATGTAGTTTCCGGCTAGGGAGCCGAGGGGGCTGTCGGGGGAGATGGGGATGCTGGGGTCGGTGAGGGGGGGGATGGAGGCGGTGATAGGGGGGATGGAGTGATCGGGCTGGTGGTGAGGTTAGACCGGGGGTTGGAATGAGGGAAGGGAGGCAGGGGATGGCTTACGTGCTCGAAGTCGAAGGCTTTCAGGAGGTTGGACATGTGTTCACGGCGCCAGGGAGGCATTTCCTTGCTGCGGATGTTTTGGTAGCCGTGGGCTGTAAGCCACTCTTCGACGAATAGGTTTTGGGAGTTGTGGTCCGCGTGTTCTGTGAAGACGTGGCCGCCACGGGTCCACGGCGAGATGATGGAGAACGGGAGACGAAAACCTGGGCCAACGGGTGTATTGCCTACCATCCCATATGGGTCATGAATCCATTCTCCAGGAGTATCTTTCGGCGCAGTGTAAGGGGTAACGTGATCCGCGTACCCTCCAACCTCTACAAACGCCATCAAGTCAGCACTCTCCTATTTCGTCGGATATGTTCTCTTACCATCATAACTGATTATCAATACAGTTTCGTTGTAAAGCGGACTACTAGTAACAGCCTCAACCACATTCTTCTGCAGCCATGCTCCATCGCTCGGCAAATAGGGGTAATGCTCCGATAATTCGGCTGGCCCCACGATGTAGCTGATTTCAGGTAAAGTGCCATTTGCAGCATCGTCATAGAACTGTTGGAGGCCAAGGTACGATTTACCGTGCTTTGTGAGCGGGGAATCTTTGCCAGCTTTTTGGTACTGAGTGAAATACGCAAGCATGTTATCTTGAAAATTGTCTACCTGCAAGTTCTTGTGTCAGCGATATCTGATTAAAGAATAAGTGAAGAGTAAGTGGCTTGAACTAATGTACACGGAAATTCGAGAAATCGAAAGATTTCAGGAGTTACTTACATCTTGATAAACTTGCCAGGAAACACCAGCGTCTGTCCAGTATTCAGGTATCGTCTTCCACGTAAAGGGGTAGCAGTTGAGATGCGGTCTCTCGCAGCCTGTACTCGAGCTTCAGCATTGGGTAGTTTTTCGCCTCGAAATCATTTACCTGGACTCGCGTTGTTATCGAGAATCATGTTCCCATCGCCATCGGGATTATTTGGAGTCCCTGGGTTGTTTACCGTCCCACTCATCCAGATGATCCGGTTCGGATCAGTTGCCGCCAAAACACTCTCCTGGAATGACAAGTCAGCCAAGAATATCAGGACTATGGAATCGACACCAAGCTTACCTGGTACATGTCCCCAACGGTCCATCCTTCTGCAATGTCGAAGTGCACGGGAATGTCACTCCTTTTGAAGAAGCCAATACTGTACGGAGTATTGGTAGCAGCCCATTGATTAGTGAGTCCTCCGTTGTAGGCGGCATGCATATGCTCCCATCCCCAATCCCCAGCTCCCATGCACTGGGTAGCTTCCAGCCATTCTCCGCCTAGGTAGTTGATATACCACGGAGTTAACTGATCAGCTTTATTTGTTTGTTGTTTTGTAACCGGTCTGTGACTCTGGATTAACATCTGAAATGCACTAGCGACTGGTAATACTTACTGCTGGAAGGTCGTTCTGCCATCGGGGTTGACTTGAACATTCGGATCCGCAAAGCCACGGACACCCGGCATCGTTCCAAAATACTTTCTCTGTTAGATGTTTATTGTTGTTGGAGATAGGAGAAATGCAAACTCACGTGGTCAAATGCCCTATTCTCTTGCATGAAGAGAACTACATGCTTGATATCTTTCAACGAATCCGCGGAAACAGAAACAGAAACAGAAACAGCGAGCGCAAAGAATATGGTGACCTCGAGATAAGAGATGCACGGCATGATCAGATGAGATGAGATCAAGTCCGACTAGTTGACGATAATTGTGGAAGACCCTCTAGCTCCCCCTCATACCATCTCATGATGATTAAATCTACGTTAAATCTAAAGATATCAAGTTGAGTTGGGCGGTGCCCAGTGGATACAAGTAGCCATTTGCGCTTTCGTACAGTCTGACGCGTACTGCAGCATGATCCAGAAAGGAAGCCATGCCGTTATCTCTTATCGGTGAGACTCTGCTGTGTACAGTACAGTATATGTGAGGTGAGTAATCGTCCATGACCAATGGCATCTCTGTAAAACTGCACGAGTCGGTATTTTATATTTAAGCTTATTGTTCGACCGTGAAGATGCAACTGGTCAATACTCCAGCGTCCTCATCGAGATCTCACACTCGCTTCTCGCATCTTTGTACCTTTTCCAGGTCTCTAGATAAACGCGGCGGAATGCAGACTAAACGTACTGAAAAATACCACTTGAATTCGTACATGTACTGTAAAATACCGCAACTTCATTCCGCCGTGCTTTTCTCCGACGTAGAGGAGGTGTAAACGTCTTGTGGGTGCCTGCCCTAGGCTATGCCAAAATTCCTTAAATGAACATCTAGATCCAACTATGTATTAAGAACTCGTACGAACACGAAATACAGCACTCAAAAAATGAAGCTCATTCTCACAGGAGCAACCGGTTTCATCGGCGGTGAAATCCTTACGCAATGCCTAAACAATCCATCCATCACCTCCCTCATCATCCTCTCTCGACGCCCCATTGATTCTCTCTCCTCTAATGCAAAAGCAAAAGTAATAATCATGGAAGATTTTAAATCATATCCTAAACCCGTGATCCAGGAGATCTCAGATGCGGATGCGTGTATCTGGTAACCAACCTCATACTCATCATTGTGAAGAAGGAAACAAGGATTGAAATACTGATTTATACAGGGCAATGGGTACATATGACGGTAACCATCAAGTCGAAGTCGAATTTCCCACTGCCTTTGCGAAAGCTATGTTGCACGAGAGGAAGGCTGGGAAGTTCCGATATGTGCATTTGGGAGGTGCGTTCACGGTGGAGGACCAGGACAAAACGTTGTATTTTATGCCCGCCGCACGGCGGGGGAGGGTGCGTTATTCCTCCTATCTAGTCTGCTTTCGGATGGTTCCGTTCATGAGCCAAAAGAATTATTGGAAATACTAATTTGGATCCAGGGGCTAGGTGAGTTCACAATGAGGCATTTTGCGAAAGAAAATGGGTGTGAGGAGAGGTGGGAAACGATTGTTATGAGACCTTCGGGGGTTTTGAAGAAAGATAGGTTTAGGTTTTTGAATCTAACTATAGCGGATACAATTGGGTTTATCAGTGAGCAAACATTCTCCCCAGGCTGTATCATAGCGATGGAATTGACTGTGGTTACTGTTTAGGATCTGATGAATGCGCGGCGAGTATGATCGATGTAGCGTTGAATGGGTCCACAGAGGAGGTGTGGCAAAACAGTGAAATGGTCGCTAAGGGGAGGATTCTCTTGGAACAGTGAACAAGGCGCCTGCGAACAAATTGTATTTGTACCCTCACAATACAGTACGTATAACATTTAGATAAAGGCTAGGGAAATATACACAAAATCCATGAGCCATATAGGTCATGTGATAACTACATCACGTTTTATCCACATCTGGACACCTCCTGTTTCATCTCATACAGTCTCTGGAGAGGCAAAGCATCGGACGTTGCGCCTGCAATGCCCTAATAGACTGCGGACAGATTTCGTATGTTCTGACATCAAAGTCAAAGTGCTTCGAGTCTCCTGCTCAACTCTTCGTATTTTCATTTCCCAGCACCATCATGCGCCCGTGAGACTGCAACACCAAGGCTGATGTTGCTTTCGGCGAGGTGTCAACTGTACCTCACCACAACGCTCCTCTTATTCACCATCTTATTTTATATCTCAATATATTTCAGTACAATCTCCCATAGCCTTCTGGGCTCATCCTCTCGTCTTGGCGGCGCAGGATCGACAGCTTCACAGCCACCGAATCTTGCGTATGTGTTGAATCCTGACGAGCATGCTTATCGAGAACCGAAAACGATACGTTATGTATGGAACATAACGTCGGATTTACGGACTCCTGATGGAGTCACGAAAAATGTTTATTTGATCAATGGTAGGTCTAAAGAGCTATCAAGAAAAATAAGACTAGATCGTTGATAGAGCTTAATTCACAGGGCACTACCCGGGTCCATTGATTGAAGCGCGATCTGGGGATGAGATTATGGTTGAGGTCAAGAATGGGCTTGATGATGAAGGGACTGCCATACACTGGCATGGGCTCTCCATGAAAGGTGAGTAATAAGTTGCAATGGAGGGGAAAGAAATGCTAACATTCGTGGAAGGTGTCAATGAGATGGATGGAGTTGTAGGGGTGACCCAATGCGCTATCGCCCCCGGGCAACACTTCACATACAAATTTAAGATCCAAGATGATCAAGCTGGTACCTTTTGGTAAGAAAAGACGTCCCAACACGCAACAAAATAATAACAACTTTGCAAATTAGGTATCATGCGCATTCTGACGTACAGCGTGCTGACGGCCTTTATGGTGCATTCGTTGTCCACAAGCCTGCGGTCTCTGGCTCGTCCGAAAAGGCGATATTTGAGTACAATGAAGATCTAGCTCTTATGGTCGGGGACTGGTATCATCGATCTGCTCAAGAAGTCCAAGATTATTACACCGAAGCCACGAATTTTGGGCTTGAGGTTAGTAGCATGAGACCTATGCAATGAACTACGAAACTAACATATGCACAGCCAGCTCCGGATTCCATTGTAATTAATGGGCAAGGATCTTTTAATTGCTCCATGGAAATTCCAGCACGACCCATAGAATGCAAAAGTGTGGAAATGCAACAGTTACGGCTTAGTGGCGAGTTTACGAGGCTACGGATCATCAATACGGGGTTAGTTGCCTTTCCAGACCTCTAGACTTCGGTAGTGCTGATATTTGGTAGAGCTCTTACTGGATTCTCACTGTCAATTTCTGGGCATATCATGACCCTGTTCCAAGTTGATGGTGGGAATGAAATCGAAGCCGCACCGGAAGCGAAAGCTATCGGTATTCTCTACCCCGGAGAGAGGATTGACGTGATCGTAGAACGAATCGGACCTGAAGAAGTGAAGGACTCAATGTTGACCATCACACTTGACCGAGAGTATATATCCCCTTCCCTCTAAGGAGATGTGCGTAGCTAACAAACCATCCAGGAACTTGAAATTCAAGAATTTCGCCCTAACTCCCACTCAAAACTTTCCCATATCCTCGACTCTAAAGCCCAAAAAACAAACCCGTCGGTCAGAAGACGAAATGGATGAACTCCTCCCGTTCTTCCCCCTCGCCAACGCATCCGGACCAACGACCACCATACCGCGCACAGCAAACAAGACCATCCTCCTCTACACGAAAATCGAAATGCTCTCCGAGTTCCACAATATCCCAAAAGGCTTCATCAACCGCACGTCCTGGGAAGCACGTGCTGGCAAGCCGCCCTTACTCGCCTTAAATCGGTCGGATTGGGACGAGGCGTTCGTGCCATGGATTAGCCCGGGCATAGGGATGTGGGTTGACATCGTGTTGAACAACATGGACGATAGAGGCCATCCCTTCCATCTCCACGGCAACTCCTTCTACATCCTCGCGACCCACAAAGCCAGTCCCAGCTCCTACGACGCCTACAACCCATTCGCAAACCCCGTCCCCGCAGGCGGGCCGCTCAACACGCTAACCCCCGTGCTGAAAGATACGGTGTATGTGCCAAGGATGGGGTATGTGGTGTTGCGGTTCCGGGGAGATAATGAGGGGCTGTGGTTCTTTCATTGCCATGTTTTGATGCATCAGAATGTGGGTATGGCGATGGCGTTGCAGGTTGGTGGGGATGAGGGGGGGATTGAGGGCTATGGTGAGAGTGCCATGGGACTTTGTGGGGGGTGGGAGAGCGATGACAACCCAGTGTGATGGATGTACTTGCTCCCTTTACCATTGTGGGGAATCCCCAAATAGCAACCAGCCATCAGCCTGCTACCAGCAACTTCAATCTCATGCTATCAACCTCATCGCTACTGTCATTCATTACTTCTCCTTTCTCATTCACTGCATTCACTACATTCTATTTGCAATAGTCAGATTCCTGACGTACTCGAGACTTCTATGCCTGATTAGATGTGGTAAGTTAGGCTCTAAGACTGGGATATATAAAAGATGGTTTCTGCGGTGCGGAGGGTGAGCACGTGAGAGTTGCCAAATGTATCCGAGCGAATACCAAAGGCATGGAGTGGTGCTTGTTTGCTGGTAGTTGAGCATTGAGATCCGGTCTCTTCTCGGCTGTGTTTCAACGTGTCTATTTTTATATAGAGTACGCTTGGTACTTGCTTTTGTATTTAGTCGGTCGTTTCTTTCGGTCGATAAAATGTTTGTTGTCAAGACGGGAAAGTCAGTTGATGTCTTGAGATGAATTGAGCCATTCACAGCATTCGGGGTTTAATGTTCCTTGTAAGGTGTGAATTTAGATTGAGGTTCAGGACGAGGGGAATAGCTAAAGCTCATTATACCGTACTCGCTGGTCAAGTGCGCAGCGCTGGTAGTGCGGTATGGATTGAACTTTGTCTTAGTTTTGATCTGTTTATTTGTTTTGCTTGTTGATTTATACCTCCATATGCATGCTACCCACATGTATTGTATGTATTTCCTGATACACCTAGGATTGGCTCGTGTCCTATTCATTCATTCATTCATTCCTCCCTTTGGTTATAGAACGGTGGATCTTGAGCTTCCAAGACTCTTGTCTATGACATAGGTAGAGTAGATGACGCTTTGCAAAAGGACAAAAGGGATCACGTGGTATACTTGGGATCTCGGCGCCGGAAAAGGGCCTATAGTCGGTTACACTAACGACTCGGCGAGGGATAAATGGGGAAGGGAGGGATGAAACTGCGTCAGAATTTGAATCAGAAACTGAGGAACAAGTGAAGAGAGGGTATAGATATGAATATAGATATAGACATAGATATAGATATAATCTTAAATACAAATATTAGATATAAATAGAGGGAAAAGATAAAGATTACAGGATAAGCATTGCGGCGTATGGTGTGGCAACGTCATTTGCTTCCAAGTCGCTCTCCTGACTTGAGCCGAGAGTGAAAGACCCCACCCCACCCTCTCACTACCTTGGCTTGGGTTCCTACCCTTGCACAGGGCTGGCCCGGGCTTGGAAACTTCCATTTGACCTCCCTGATTAAGAAATAACGATACTCTGCACTCTTCACTCAATTCCCCCCCCCCCCCCCGCGTGCCTCCTCCTTCCTCACCTAAGACAGTCATTCTCTCATAATCTCCCCTCTGACAATCAATCGTACAACTATGCGCTCACGGTAATTGAAACACCACAACACATGACAGCACTCGTAGCCCAACAATACAACCCCCACCCCCACCTTCATCCATGGGCTTCACCACCAAAGCCTCGGGTTTGCTGCATTCCCACCACTCCAAACCCAGCACCGCAGAAATGGCCGTGACCACACAGCAAGACAAAGATTTCATCGCCCATTTCTCAGCATCGCAACATACCCTTCCGCCCGAGGAGATACAGCAGGATCCGCGGAACAAGGAGCTTGGTCGTAGTTCCAAGGGGCTATGTGTGCGCGATTTCGAGCTGGTGAGGACGTTGGGGACTGGTATGTTTGCGAGATTGAGTTGGCATGATATGATAGTGGGGTTGGGGGGCATTCGCTGATTGTTGGGCTGTTTTAGGGACCTTTGCGCGCGTGTGGCTTGTGAGGCTGGCTGATCCCAAGGAGGAAGATCGCGATAAAGTGTTTGCGTTGAAAGTTCTGCGGAAGGTTGAAGGTCTGTTATTCGTGTTCCGGGACGATTGGACCGAGTCCTAATGTTGCGCAGTTATCAAGCTGAAGCAAGTCGACCATGTCAACCATGAGCGTTCTGTTCTCGCAGATATTGCGGGTCATCCTTTCATCACTACATTAATTACCTCCTTCTCAGACCACGATTCTCTATACATGCTTGTAAGTCCTCCTGGTCCTCCGATAGCCAAATCCTAACAAATTCGTCTCAAGCTCGACTACTGTCCTGGTGGTGAAGTATTCTCCTACCTACGAAAAGCCAAACGCTTCGACGAAAACACCGCTCGTTTCTACGCCGCCGAAATCGTACTAATCCTCGAATTCCTACACGAACGCGAAGGCGTCGCATACCGAGATCTCAAACCCGAAAACCTGCTCTTGGATGCGGAAGGACATATCAAGCTGGTGGATTTTGGCTTTGCAAAACGACTTGGTAACAGTAAGCGTCGGTCCTTTACTACAATTTTCAGGCGCAGGACAAACAGCAGACCCGTTTTGCCGAGTTCGGACAGTGAGGACAGTCTCTCTGACTATAATAAAGGGGAAACTTATACGTTGTGCGGCACGCCGGAATACCTAGCTCCTGAAGTCATTCAATCAAAAGGCCATACGACAGCTGTTGACTGGTGGGCGCTGGGTATCTTGATTTACGAATTTCTGACGGGATACCCGCCGTTTTGGAACGCAAATCCAATTGAGATTTACAAGCAGTACGTATAAATTCCCCAGTTTCCCTCTTTGGCAGCTTATCCTCTTCCTATAGAATCGTCTCTAAACCAGTCCACTTCCCTACCAACCCCGTCATCTCTCCCGACGCAAAAGACATAATCTGCCAATTCTGCACCGTAGACCGATCCCACCGTCTCGGCAATATATCTGGCGGCGCCGCGAGAGTAAAATCACATCCATTTTTCACCGGCGTAGTGTGGGATGATGTCTATTACAGGAAATACAAAGGCCCGATTATCCCACAAGTTAGATATCCCGGGGATGCGCAGTGTTTTGATATGTATCCCGACGAGAAGAGGAGTCGGGATATGTATACGGATGAGTTGAGGGGGAAGTGGGAGGATCATTTTAAAGATTTTTGAGATTTCTTAGGGATGTAATTGTATATTTGGGAGCGAACGATATTGGGATTGGGTAGGTATATACAGAGGGTTTTGCTGGGATTGATTCATCATCACGAACGAATTGGCGGTGGCGTTCAAGGAATAGGTTATGGCTGGCCCAGAATTTAGGGCTATGAATTGAATGGGTAGGAGAAAGGAAAGGGATTGTATATAAATCTATCGATTAAAGTAGATAGCATGATTTAACGCGGAACGTATAACGCGGAACATAGAACGAAGATGCCCTCGCTTTTTCATTCCTTCCTTTTCCTTTAATCGGTTCAGTGACCTACCCTACCCCTATTCCCCTAACCGAGACTCTACCCCTCAAAACCCAGCAACCTCACCATACCATCATTCTAATCACGCACTTCACTCCCCAAGACCCTTCATACTACTAAACGCATACCTAGCAATCTTCCACTCCCCATCTCCATCTCCACCTTCCCCGCCATCCTTCTCCAGTATAAAAAGCTCCTGATTCGCATGTCTCTCCTGTCTATTTTCCTTGACCCAGTATTTCGTCCCCTCTGCCGTCGTCCTAGCAAAAGCCCACTGTGTTTGTTTCTGCTCTGCCCCCTCATTTCCACTGGAAGACGGTGTTGGTGTTGGTGTTGGTGTTGGTGTTTCCGACGAGAGGTTTCTGGATCCCATGACGACAATCTCGCATATGGTGAACTGGATATCCAGTTTCACGGTGCTGAGCACGCGCTTGTAGGCTGTGCGGAGAGCGGGGAGGCCGGTTGAGGGGGGGTGGTTGGGGGCTAGGAGGGTGGCGGTTGGGGTGTAGAGCTGTGGGTTGGGGGGTGGTGAGATGGAGTGGGAGGAGAGAAGGAGGGGAAGGGAAGGGAGAGAGCGTACGGATAATACGTCTGTGAGGGATTGTGAGGATAGTGCGGTGCTGTATGCGGTGAGGAGGGCTGTTATTGCTGTTTCGTCTGCGGAGGTGGTGGGGGGTGGTGGCCATGATTGATGGGAGTGAGGGAGGGAGGTTTTGGAGATGAGAAGGAGGCGGATAATTTGACTTCGAAGAAGGGTGGGATTAGGAGGGTTAATAAATCTGAAGAGTTATTTACTTTATATATGATATGATACAATACACGAGTAATGAGGGTGGGCGTTTTGTTTTATTTCTACCTTATCCGTCAGTCCCTCCTCCACTCTTGGGGAAGTGAGTAGGGCGTCCATTTTTGTGATGGAGGCGGGATGTGGATGGAGGTGGAGGAAGGAAGGGTGGGGGAGACTAGAAGACAAGTATGTATATAATAGATATCTTTCTACTGTACTGGCTCTTCCATGTATGTGTATGCCGAACGAATGAGTACTGTTTATCATCAAAGGAAATGAGGAAAAAGAATAAGCATAATAGGTAGTTAATCTTGATATCTACGGAGTAACTAGTTCTTATAAAGTCTCCCTGTACTGTAACCCCTATTTGGCAGCCTAAGTATACATATCGTCGATGATATCAGTTAAGAAAGTTTATACAGTGATATCTATACGAAAACACGCTTATCGACATCCAATTACGCCCTTCGCCGCTGCAATAAAACGACTAAATCAGCTATCAAAACACCACCTTCATTACCATTCATCCTCACTTCTTCAACCCCTCCAAATGCCACTGCATAACCTTCTCGAAAACCCCCTTCCCCATCTCCCACAATCGAATCCCCATGACACGGCACCAGATTCTCAAACCCCCAAGAATTAATCCTCCGCACACTATCATTAAACCCCGGCCGATCCGCCTTGCTAAACACATACCACAACATGCGTTTCTGCCAAATCGCCTGCCCCTTCGTATTCTGTATGCCCGCAAAACACCTCGTAGCCAACCCCGTCGCTGGATTCTCCCCCGTGCGCGAATACTGTTCCGTAGCCGGTAGGTTAAACAGCAAGTCGGCCTCGATCAGCGTGCGGGACGGCTTGTGGCAAAACACCAACTCCTTATTCGGATGCGCGTCTACAAACTCATATTGAAACTCGGCATCAAACTCGTCGGAAACTTTGATCGCGGCTTTATCCTTGGCTGTGAAGACCGTGTTGATGGGCACGATGGTTACTTCTTTGTCGGTCTGGTTCAGCTTGGCGCGTTTCTCGGCCAGGCCTTCGGGCGCGATGATGTGCGCGGAGGGGAAGGCGGACGCCCAGGCTGACAGGAAGATGTGGTGTTCGAGGTCTGGCGCGGTGATGTAGGCGACGTTGTTGCCGAGGGATTCGAGCTTGGCTTTTACGGTGGGGGTTAGGGCGACGGGGGAGAAGACGGCGAGGGAGCCGGATTGCATCTTGACTGTTTGTTGGGAGGAGAGGTTAGTATGGGTTTAGAGAGGCGGGGGGAGAGAAGGGAAAGGGAAGGGAATTACCAATTGTAGCTCGTCCACCGAATTTTATATGTCCGAAGCGTAAGAAGGGGACAGAGAGTGTGGTTATGCCGGGGACGAGGTCGCGGATGACCATTACGTCGTCAGGGTGTTGGGGGATGAGTTTGGAAGTCATTTTGTGCGCCAGATCAAATGTTGTTGTATCTAAATGTGGAAAGAAAGCGCAGAAAAGAGGTCGATGTTATTGTATGATTGAAGTTGTCGTACGAGTTGATTGATGATGTAGCGGGGTCTAGCTAGGCCTATGACGCAGTGTGTATGATCGCTGTACAGTGAAAAAGAACTCTCGAGATATGAGTGAAAGAAAATAAAGAGAGGACTTGTATGTATATTTATATATGTATGTATATATATGTACCATACCTAGTATTCCAGCCATCCATCTAGAATTTGATCTGATATTATAATCCATGCCCTGCTCCACATGTTATTCAGCACTCCGGGTCCAGATTCTCAAATAACGGCGCATGTTTGATAAGCATCGTGATCGTGCATCCATGCCATCCAGCGGGAGAGCTAGGCTAGCTACAGGGGTAGGCGTCTGCATTTGTCATGCACGCTCCCACGCACGTACTTACATCTACCGTCTACGGCTTCTGAATGAGTAGTAATCATTGCTCGTATTTACCCCCTATCAAAATAAACCTCCGAGGTGCACAATAATCAAGCTGGGGAAGTTACAGGTCGGTATTTGTGTTTATAGGAATCAAATATGATTTACTTTGTGAGTTGCAACGTAAACCTACTCCTTCGGACCAATGCTCAGGATTCGGACGAGCTCGGAAGCCCGAGTATATCATGCAAGAGAAGCATGTGAAACGAGCAGATATCCGTCGTAATGAAATTAACAACATGCGAATCCTATTATTATCGGTCTCACCGAACGTGCAATTTTGAGGGTATTCCCAACTCCAGCACAGCCTCTGCTAAATCAAATTCTGGTCGAATGGCGAAGATGATGTATTTGTGAATGAAGAGCTGTATTGCACCGAGTAAATCAGAATAATAGCTTGCAAAAAAATAATGGGTATCATCCCCGAAACACCATCGTGTCTGCCCTGTGAGAGTCATAAACAAACGCCAGGTACTGTGGGTATCCGAGACAAGACAACTATAAGAAGAGCCTCAACCTAGGAAACAACTCTATTTCAATGCCCTTCTAAACTCCATTTGCTCCCCAGTGACAACATAACACGTCCACGAATAAATTCAAGATGCCATAACATGAATCTCCTATCCTATTCTATCCAGGAATCGCATAAGCCTCCATATCATCCCCAATCAATTTAGCAAAAGAGACAAAAAAGCGATCAACCCCACTCGCCCACTCCTCACCAAGAAGACTCGTAACAATGCCGTCGCGTCCATAATGGTTGCGGTTCTGGAACAAGTCATCGAAGAAAGATTGCGTGATGTTATTCGCATCGGTCCAATTCTGGCGCTCTTGCCACATGGCATACAGCATATAGCACCACCAAAAGAAAATCAGTTGCAAGAGGATGTTGATATATGTCTTTAGTGCGTCTGGGCGATTGAGGGGGTCTGGGTGTTTGATTCCTTCCCAGAGATTTTGTTCAACGGGTTTGGTGCTCGGGTCGTTGAGTTCGATGTTTTCGATTCCCTCTTCTTCGCCCTCCCCAAGCGGGTACAGCTTTTCAACCTCCTCTGGTGTCAGGATCCGCAAGGAGCTAATCCCGACTCCTTGGGGTAGTGGTAGAATAGGCAGCGTGGGAGTCGTTGCTCCATCCTGTGAGGCGATTATGAACTTCTCTCTGGTGTCCGTTGGGGGAGGAGCAGGGTCGAGGAAGGGTGAAAGATCCGTTTGGGGGCTTATGCCTTGGCCATTTTCTCTTCCTCTAACAACACGCGCCATTTGACTGTGAATAGAGGTTCGTGTAGGATCAAACCTGTAGCCGGCATCGTCAGGAGGCTCTTGGAAGTCGGATGCCCAGCTGTCACTCCTTGTGCTGCTTACAGTGTCCATGGTGCTGACGGTATTGGAGCGATAACGTGTTGGCTCGTTGCCAGGAGGGGTCTTAGTACCACTGCCTTCAGGGGGGTTGTCCTCAGAAGCAGGAGTCTTGCCATCACCTGTAGGAATGGTATTGCCGCTGTCATTGCGTGGAGGTGCTGGACGAAGTGGTGATTTGGGACCAAGAGGTGGAGGGGAAGATCTAGATGGAAGTATCCCATGGCGCCTGCGAAAAAGAATATCGCGATTGATAGTTTCTTGGATGAAAAGACTGCAGAGGACCAGTAAATCGTACCAGACCCAGAGAAGATGCATCAAGGTCAACTCGCGGGATGATGGAGCCCAGCCAGGAACCTTTCTGATGACCCGAATAATCTTTTTGACATATCGAGGTCGATCAGGCTTGCGATCAACCTCAACCTTTTCCTCATCGTCCGAGGAAGACAACTCTTCCTCAGAGCTGGATACTTCCTCTCCGGCAGGCTTCTCTTCAAACTCGAACTCGTTGGAAAGATTCCTCGGTCTGCCACCTTTCTGCTCTTTCGGCTTGGCTGTCGTGCGGTAAGCTTCGGGATCTAGGTCGAAGCGGGGCATCTCAGCGCGCGCCTTCTCAATCTGATGCACGAGATCGGCCGAGATACTCTTCTCCTTTTCCACGTCGAGGTTGAGTTGCTCCAAGTGATGGTTTCTCTGCCGTAAGTCTTTGAGCTCCTTCCACGCTTCATCCCGCTCCTCCGTGAGGGTCTGATTCACGGCAAGCAATCCTTTGGCATCGCTCTGGATGGCGGCGGTGTCCTTTTTGTTATTGTCTAATTGACGCTGCAACTTGTCACGCTCGTCTTTGAGCGTGTCGGTTTCGGCGCCCGCGGAAGTGAAACTGGCTGTGAGATCCTGATTCTCGCCGTGGAGTTGCTTCTGCTCCTCTAGGGTGCTCTCCCACTCGCGTTTTTGGCGTTCGAGGTTGAGTTTCGCCTCGCGGAGCTGGGTCTCGAGCTCGCCCACCTTTTTGTCGGCCGCGTCCTTCTCTTTTCCTCCCTCTGTCAACTGTATTTCATAGTAGTCGATTTGGGCTTCCCGCTCCTCGAATTTGCGTTTCCATTTCCCAACTTCCAACTCCAACCGGTCATTTTCCGACACAGAGTCCATGTTGCCTGTGGTTTGGTTTGGTGCACGTGTGTTGTCATGGTCGGCGCTTTGACTGTCGAGGTCGCTGTCGCTTGGCGCTGGTGCCTTCTTTTTCGGCATTGAATCTACTGTATCGCGAACCTATCGCGAAAAGGACCAATGCAATGCAATGAAGTTTAGCCCGCTGCCTTGTTATGAATTTATATGGTAATAGTAAATGTCTTATATTTTACTTATTGCATTTAATTAATTGCAGAGTGAATTGATGTTGAAAGAGAACTTCTTTCACCTTTGCATTCCACAACCGCATCCGGAATGTTTGTTCTTACACTGACTGTAACATTCCTACGCCCTGCCTGGCAGCCAGCGTTCAGCCTGAAAACACAGGCGGGGGAGAGTGGTTTCAAGGCAATATATATTCTATATTCCATTCTTTCTAATAATTCCAGCTATTTCTGCTTTATGACCTTCAAATTTGCGATGTCAAAATAAAAAGTCAAGATGTGGCCCTATCTGCTCCATGTATCGTACAGTACCTATATCTCACCTCCTCGACTTCGCAATCCTTCTCCTGATAACCTGCACACAAACCTTCAAATCCACGGTTGCGAACCTCGAATGCGGATCAGACCCATTCATCGTTTTGACCTCCGGTTCAATCCTAGGCAACACAATCCCCTCCCTCCCAATATCCAACCATTCCTTTCCCTTATTCTTTTTCAACCCCCGCTCTTTCTGTGCAATTTCATCTCTCAAAGAACAAGTTTTCAGAATCCTCTCCTCAGCCCTCTCCTTTGACTCCAGCTCAAACGGAAACATGGGCTCCGTATGCAAAAGCGCCATCTCACAATCCAACTTCTTCAATTTCTTAAGATGCGGAAGTGCATACCCAAGTTCCGACCAGAAAAGCGAGCAATCAAGCACTATTTCTTCCAGCGTCTCACATGCCGAGCTCAAAGACGGAAGGAAATGCCTCCATGGATTCCCATACGAGTACGGATTTTTAATCTTGTATAATTCCTGGCCTTGTGCAGGCCGTCGCCCATGTCCGACTAAATTGAGATTGTTAGCGTCGGTTGCAAAGTGAAAAGATCGCAGGTTCTTGCTGGCGAACATGCACAGCGCGTAGCTCATTAACACATCTGTGCCATGCTGTCGGTACCCAAGATAGACATGCAGAGCGAGTGGCGCGGCGGTCTCGAGGTCTGCTCGAGGGGGTGGTGAGGGCTGCCTGTGTCCTTTTACTCTAGGGAATGAATCCGTTGCCTCACGAGGAGTTCGTAACCTTGAACCTGCCTCGATATGCACATCCTCATCCAGATCCATAACAGGTGTAGTCGCAATGTTCAGATACCCCTTGGGCAATATACTCAAATCCTCCATCTCCCTAATCCCCCTCGGCGCATATCCTCTGAAATCCTGCTGCACGCTTTCCCCCTGACACATGACAACGACACTCAACTCATCGCCAAACACCTCGCTCACGTCCCGCAGGATATCCATCCACATATCCATGCACAGTTCCATTTCCTCACGCGGCCACGCCCACCATTTAGAATCGAGCATGAACCTCGTGAGCGGCTTGCCATCCGCTGCACCTTTCATATTCCTCAGCTTCTGCACTAGACTACGAGGACCGTTCTGGTCTACACGTGTCCAGAACTCATAGAAGGGTTTTGAATTTGGATGCCCAGGACTCGGGGCCGAGTCATCTGGAGCTGGGAGTTCTAGAATCAGGTTCGAGCATACGTGCCGGGAGACGTAGATGGAGCGCAGAGTGCGACATGTCGCCGCAAGGTGCAGGGGCCCGGCGTCGCTGAGTACCCAGTGTGCGGCTGCGCGCGAGTTTTCTCCTGCTGTTTCTGGAGTGGGTTTGGGGGGGGGGGGGCAGCGTGTAGCGTGGACCTGAGGTGTTGCGTTGGAGGGCGTGGTAGATGAGGGTGAGGATCTCGGGGGCGAGAGAGGTCAGTGAGGTCATGCTTGTACCATGCCTTAATAATACTGATAATGATAATGGGAAAATGCACCGATATTATTTGGGTTTGAGGTGCGTCTAAATAGTGTAATAATAAGAATATTATGAATTTCAAAGTTTGGGTTGCTGTTGTGAGAGGTTGACAGCTCGTGTTAGGGGATTTGGACCCCTGATATTTAGTGCTTTGCGCTATAATATTAGTGGAGTATGTGCCCTGGCCTGGTTACTCCCTATTAAGGCTGGAATATACCATTTTGTGCACCCCAGATGGATCGGGAACCAATTTTTGGATAGAAACAATATATATATAATAAAATCTAAATTGGCGTCATGTGGGGTCATTCAGACTAACAGCTGCATTCAAGGAAGTTGTAAGAAGTAAAGCGCTTGTGAAAAGGGGGGTTGATTCAATTAATATTCTCTCTGTTTGGAGGCTAGCTAGACCCAGTCGAATAAGAGCTCACATTCGTATATCTACTTAAACTCTACAGAGGATAACTGCACCAGACCTCCATAAACAAGAAGAAAGTGGGATTCTGAACCCTTTGCAGACAGAGATATTGCAAGAGAGCCCTGGAGGCCTCAAAGTCAAATCCCGGAGGCATGTCCACTTCAATTACCTCCACCGCTCATCTTATTCCTCAGGCCGCTATCAAACACATACTGGAGTCGAGGTCTTTCTCGATGCTAGGAAGAGGATTCGCAGTAGCATCCCAATTGGGAACCTACTATTCAACGACTGCTCAGTCAAGTTACTAGTTGTCTAAAGTGGAAACTTGCTTATGTTTCACCTCTTGAGAGATAGGTAATGGACGAGTTGTCATAATTGGCGATGCAGCTCATGCCATGCTGCCGAGCTGCCGATGATGGCACAAGGAGCCGCTGTATCCATTGAAGACGGAACAACATTGGCGGAATGTCTTGATCGAGTCACCGATGTAGTAGATATCTCGCCAGTGCTGCGAACATTTCAGGATCTGCGAAAATCTCGCTGTGAGGCGATTTCGAAGGCGACGTTATCCTGGTGAACCTCTGGCATCTGCATGATGGATCAGAGCAGGAGGGAAGAGACCTCAGGATGAAGCAGTACATGACCAACACCGCTGGGGTAACATCCGATAGTAAATCAAGCTTTGCTATGATGAAGACAAGTTCGTGCCTTGGATGTTTGAGTATGATACTGTGACAGAGGTAAACATGGGCTGAGCGGAAGAGGTCCACTGTTAACCACAGCTAGGTAAACATGTTCTTGGATAGTCACTTGACGAGAAAGGGGAATGGGGCGGGTTTTGATGCCTTTCCTTGAGGCAACAAAACGGATCGCGTGGCGTTGAGTTCCGTAGATAGTCGTGGATGCTTGCAGTACTCATGAAGATACTGTAATGGAATGTTGTATAGCTTGAGAAGCAACTCTCCTCCACTTATGAGGACGAAGCGTGAGAATAGTATTAATTTGTCCATGTCGGTCCAACCAAAGTAGAAAATAGGCAGATAATCACGTGAGACCAACGCGTATACCGATTAGGTCTAGCTTAGAGGCCAGATTATCAGCACCAACCAGCCAGCCTTGCATAAATAAAACGTCCTGCCCCGCCAAAAAATTGACATGAACGACAAGGCCGACATCTCAAAATCATCTCTAACTTTCACACCCAATTTAGCAGACCTATCTCCTTTGATCAAATCTCTTTGGGCCAGCAGCAGAAATTATCATATACCTTTTTACAAGACTTTGGGGGCAGAAATCAACCAATATGTCGGACCGAGAATTTGCTGGTGAGTAGCTTACCTCTCTTTACGTTTGTCTTGTCGTTGGGTATTGTATTCCGATGGAGAAGATGTGTGCATGTGTGCATCACACTGCATAGCTTTGTGCGAATATAGGAGATTGGAATATTGGAGGTTCTGACCTCGAAATTCTATTTCTTTCAATATTACGCCCAAAATATCTTGTGTTGGCTTTTGTACCGCTCGCGTGGCGCCCCCCCCCCCCCCCTGGCGCGATGGAGGAGAGGAAATCGCGGCTTTCGACAGTTTCTCCCCCCTCAAAAGTTAATCGCGCCTTGTCTGGTCGTTCATCCTGTGCACAAGCTGAAGTGTCACTTTCCTTTGACATTGATTGACACATCATACGGCTAGCTAATCCTATGTTTAGGAAACGACGACTTGTCTCTACCCAAAGGTAAAATATCCTTGTCTCTCTTTCCGTTCTTAATTTTCTTCTTCAACAATCAACAAACTAAAGCTACGCCTTCGTTTCAACATCTTGTAATCAGCGATCGCTATTTTATCAATTACACCCACACTCACTGTGCCTTTTACCGCACTTCTCATTACTCCACTGCCCATCATTCAGCCACGGACACACTGGTTTCCATTAGCAACGACTTCGTGCTTACCCTTATTGGCCTCTTCAATCATCACCAACCCAGTCAGCGCTCTACAATCTTATCGCCGGTTGACATATGTGAGCATCGTGGGCAAGTCTTTGGTCTAAATTCGCAATCAACCCCAGCATACATATCTACTGGCATGCTTAATTTCATGTTCCCAGCATCAAGAAGAAACTTTGTTGAAACCCTGTATCACAAATTCGCTCTCTGATTCTACCTCTCACGACTATTGTTACTTTGCTACTAAGCTTTATTCTGCTACCAACTCGCTGGTCTCTATCGCCGACGAACGTGTACTTGTTGTCTCTGCGTCTGTCAACAACCAGACAACCTTCACTGAGACGTGGCAGACTACTCTTACCTAACAATTTTGGTTATTGCTAGTCCTCCATGCCAGGAGCACAGCCATCGCCGGCCGCTCCATCTTTGATGTGTCGCATCTATAATCATACACAGAACCCTGACTCCTGTATGCATTTGGTCACGTACGAATGGACTCCTTCTATAACTCGGCAGTTTTCCAGGACCAATAACCTCATCGGCGTCACCGTGGAATTCGTGCTCACTATCTCTGCATTTATAGAAAGAGACTGTCTTCTCGGCCACCACCACCCATTTCGTCCGGACCCCCCTACCCCCACATCCCTCCAAGTGAGATACGGGACTGTCTATCGCCTTTACTAGGTTACACCATTGTCCATCGATTCAGAGTACCGTTAGCCCTTCATACAGCGAGAAAGATACAAAATGGCTGGCTTTACTCCTTTCTATACCTTCCCACACGGCAGAGCCCCAAAACTTCTTATCAGAAACAACATCAGAAACAATGCAGCGTGCGACTCATTAACCCGGGCCATTCCATACAATAACCGGTCGACTTACCAATCAACCCCTCGCCCACAAGTGGGTTGGAAACATCCAGAACAGCCACCGAAGGCCACATACCATGCCTCGGACAGAGCTGTCGGTAGAGGGCCGAGTTCAGGCGCGAACATATATCAATCACGACATACCCACCTATTCGTTAGGTCTTCGTGTCAGATGAGACAGAAGGAATCATTCGCTCGAGCTGAAAAGGCTTCCAGTTTTGAAGACACCGACGAATTCTTGTCCAGCGACCCCGATTATAAGTTCTCAAGCGCAACAATCTTAACCAAATGGGAGACGAAGGCACAGGAAGGGGAACACGAGCGGCGCAAGACGAAATGGAAAACCCACATTGTACGACCTGGTTCGCCTTCCCGAAGGCCGCCTGGACGGAACAGCTTGCTACCAAAATCAGGGATAAAAGCTTTTGACAGGAAATGTGAAGAGCCCAGTAAGGAACCGGACACCAATATCTCACCACCCAGTCCATCTTCGCGAACGCCATCCAGCCGGGCTAGCAAGATTCACGTCTGCGAAAAAGTTAGCTCGAAATCCACTGTTGAGATCCTTCCTGATACCAAAATATCGTACGGGAAACTTGGAACTCGAACTTCCCGCCTTTCTCGATACATCCTAGACCATGTGTCTGGAAGAGCGGAATCTCCAGTTCTTGTGTGGCTTTCAAAGGTTGATACATTTGATGCCCCTGTCAAGCGTGGTGCTGTCGTGGATGGAGAGTTTGATTGGTTCAAAAGGAGGACGGAAGGCGCTCAAACCTCTAAGCCAGAGAAGGTTTCCACACAGGGCGAGTGCTATCAACAAATTCCCGAGGGGGAAGGCTGCCGAGAGTCTTCCAGGGAGACATACGGGGCGCTGACCGAAATGGGACTTCCATATCGAATCGTTCCGAGTCGAAAGCAACGGAAAGTTGACAGGAAAAGTGGAAAGTCGAAACCAGATTAAACTGTATCCGGCTCTAACATTCTTATTTTGTCTTTGTTATCGTTCTATGACTTGTCAGAACCCCATGTACTAATAATCATGCTTGTAGCCACCGTTCAGAAGATCGTCACGGAAATTCTCCCCCCATCCTCTGGTCTTGCTTTTGGCAAAGATGCGAGGGATCTGCTCATCGAATGTTGTGTCGAGTTTATCACTTTGATTTCCTCTGAAGCAAATGAGATTAGCGAAAAGGAGAGCAAGAAGACTATTGCGTGCGAACACATCACCAAAGCGTTGGAGCAACTGGGTTTCGGAGACTATGTCCAGGACATCATGGAGGTTGCTAGCGAACACAAGGAGCAGTTGAAGGTATGTCCTCTCTCTTGTCCCAAGCACTCTTGACTGATGATAAAATAGGGACGAGAGAAGAAGGCCAACAAACTCGAGCAGAGTGGATTGTCGACGGAGCAACTTCTTGCGATGCAGGAGGAAGCTTTTCGGGACGCGGCTCAGCGCCATGGATGATTTCTAATTTCAAGGGTTTTTGCATGTATTTCTTTGGTTGCCTAGGCGTTAGGGGTGGATGAATACATGGCGTTATGTCCTGAGGTCCAGCATGATGGTGCCATAGAGAGCATACGATCAGCGAGTGTCACTGCAATGGATTATGCATAGCATCGATAGCTGTCAACTAAGTCAGCGTTGCTTGCCAAAATACTATTATTGTCGTGATGTTTGAATTGAAACTCTCCGGATTGAATTCATTTCTTCCTTCCGGAGACTTTCCAAACTCATTTCGATCTCGGAAGTGCACCAGGTAGAAGCCTTGAAGTTTCATTCTGGAATTGCAGCGGGAAGCGTTTGTAGGAAGCATTAGAAACATGCAGCCACAATGTATCACCCAACAACCTATCCCTGCCCCAATCTTTGTAAAAAATCCTGGGGATCTGATGCTAAAACAAATATCAGCCATTGTCTTGTCTTGGTCCGTGATCATACCCTTGTAGTTTCAAACATCTGCGCGATATAAGATGCCACCCCTACCATTAGACAGTTTTACGAGCAGACGTATCTGGTCACACAGCTAGAATGGAATATCGGTGTTTAGCTAACATAGAATAAGCTTAAAAGCTTCTAAAAAAGAGGCCGTTTGCTTGGCCATATATGCGATGATAGTTTTTTGATAAGCTGAATAGTAGATGCTTTCCCGGGTGGTCAGACATGTTTCAACTTCCACGATTCTGCTTTGTTAAAGCGCGGAGACTTGATCGGAGACTAAATGGATAGTGGCACGTTTCTAATTTCTCTCACTGGGAAATAAGCCCATCTGTCAAATGGTTGCCTGCAAAGTATCATTATAACCAATTGTTGCAACCTTCCTTCTCCCTTATGTAATCAGGCTACGATGATTGTACCCAGCTGCACACTAACCTAACTCGGAATCTGGGCGCGAGCCAGCTCAAAGTTGTTTGTGTTTCAGAAATAAGCGCTCGGCAGAGCATGAGATGTGTTCAACGTGAATGCCATTTATATCCCGCGAATTATCGTCGGAGGCGCGGTGTCCCGAAACGTTCTACTGGTAGAGTTCTAGTGCTGACCAAAACTGTGTCCTGTACCTACCGAACCGCAAAGGGGCTTGACGGTCGTCAGGATTGGGATTGTATGGATTCGGTTTCTTCTTGTTTCCCCACCCACACCCATACTCACGTGGCGATCATCGAGCCGACAAATCAAACGGCTTTCTATATTTCGCTTCGCCCCTTTGAGACGTCGGTCATTAATATATGTATATGAGGAAGAAGCACTACTAGTGACTGGCTTCATTACTTTATTCTAGCTTCACCATATTCCATTACTTACACTGTTGGCCCAAAAGATGCCCAACTCACACCAGACCAGAGCTTTAAGGCCTCATACGAAATCCAAGAGTGGATGCAAGGCGTGCAAAGTCCGCAAAGTCAAGGTATGGATGAATACATTGGGTTATCTCTTCCAGAACGGTCCTTGGAACTATTCAGCTCCAGTCATTCTCTGGATAGTCAGACATTAACATCTCTCACAGTGTAGCGAATCGCGTCCATCATGTACATCGTGTCTCCGGCGAAAAGAGGCATGCGAATATGACTACGAGCGCATTCGATTCCGGCACGTGAGACCAGTCTCCGAGAACCAAGATACAGCTTTGTCTACATCAGTATCCGTATCAGCAGCGCCATCTCCAGGTCTAGCTCTAGCAGCGCGTCTAGGCTCAAGCTCACCAACTCCGCCCTACAGCTCCGTCGGCGGCGATTTCAGCTCATGGATCGAAGGCGAGTCGACCGAGCGGCGACTCCTAGAACTGCGACTCCTGCACCACTTCACCTCGTGCACAGTCCAGAGCGGCTTCCCGGGCTGCCACGACGAAGTGATCTTCGAAATGTGGTGGCGTGACGCACCTGCGCTGGCGCTGAAACACACGTTCCTCCTCAACATCATCATCTCCATCGCCGCGCTGCACATCACCAAGATCCACCCGGAGCAAGCCGAGATGGCCGATACGCACCGTGTGTATTTCAACGCTGCGGTCGCTGGACTCCGTTGCGCTGTCAGGGACATCAATCCTGGAAATGCGGAGGCGGTGTGTATCTCCAATGTCCTGATCGCGTTACCGTCTTTCATACTGCTGCAGAAATCAGATCTGCAGACGTATTCGCCGCCGCTGCAGCTCTTCTCGCTTCTTGCTACTAATATACCGTTGTTCAAATCAGCGTGGCATTTTCTGCCTTTAGGTAGCAAGGTATATACATTTACGACGGCTAAACCGCATATTATGGAATTCCTCGTGGACACGCGGAAAGATATATACCGTGAGCCATTTCAGGCATTCCTGGCCTGGCGCGCGGTTGGCGAAGTCGTGGATCAGGAGAGCCAAGAGGCGTATGAATTTGCCATGGGCTTTGTCGGGTGTATCCTGGCCAATATAGAGAAGCAACTTGAGGCGTCGCCATTGCGGCGATTGCTGTATAGTTTCCCCACCTTGGTGCCAGCCGTGTTTGTCGAACGGCTCAAGGAGAGGAATCCAAGAGCTTTGACGGTACTGGCTTATTACTTCTGTCTCGCGAAAGCCATGGATAACGTGTGGTGGATGAGGGGCATTGCTGAGAGAGAGGTGTTTGGGATTCAGAGTCTACTGCCCGAGGAGTGGCAGTGGGCTATGTCTTGGCCTTTGCAGAAGATTGCCGGGTTTGCTGCTTCGGGGATGCCTCCGATTAGCTGAAGAGTATAGGGATGAAAAACTGCACATATAAATATTAAGATGGCACTAGGGGAGGAGGAACTCCATTGTCTACACACGAAACGCCCAAACCAAAATCTAAATACAAAGCCAAACGCTATGGAGTACATGGGCGATACCCCAGCTATAGGCAAAAACGTCCTTCAACACGACTCGGGAATCAAACAACATCTTCACCTCTTAGCATCAGTGCTCCACCTATTCGGACCTTCTTCAACCGAACGTTCCCAGCTCCTCTGCTGCTGTTGACTCGCCTCTACGCTCGACTGATATTGCGGCGGGGGTCCCTGTCTCAATTGATAGTTACCCTCGCCCTGATACTGGCCTCGATATTTTTGTCCCTTCGGATCGCGATTATCATATCCATATCCTTGAGGAGCAGAATAAGGACCGCCTTGTCGAGGAGAAGCGCCGCGGTACTTGTACCCTTGACCCTGCGGAGAAGAATAATAACTCTGAGACTGCTGCTGCTGCTGCTGTTGTTGTTGTCTCTTCTCGTCGCGTCTCTCGGATGACTTGTTGACGCCTTTGACTGCATATACTGCACCAGCTGCTAGCAGGCCTTTGGTGATGAGTCCCATGATATTTATCTGAGGAAAGAAAGCTTCGATTGTACAGTGCACTGTAGTAGACGGTGGTATATATATGGTATGAGGAAGAAGTTGGTATTTATTAAAGATCTTTGAAGTGTTTGAGAAGATCGAAATGTTGTTTTGAAGAGCTGAGGTGTTTAAGAAGATCGAAAGTTGTCTTGAAGATGTACTCCGTACTTTGGTATAGATTGAGATATACGGAGATGAGATAGATTGTATGAAAATGTTATCTGTCTGAATTCAAACCCAGAAAGCGTTCAAAGCACTCTTTATATACCATTCATCCCACTACTCTATCCGTCAGCTCACAACCCTCTCCCTCTCCTCCGCTTCCCGAATAGGAAGCGAAAGCGAAAAGCGAGCCTTAGCGCTCTGTCTCCGCCACGCGAATACGTGTTTCTTACTTGCTTTGCTTTGCTTTGCATTGCTTTGCTGGGTATTTTACAGAGTATCTTGCGGTTCATTGGGTCATGTCATCTTATGTTATGTGATTGATTAATGTGTTTGTTACGGCCGAGAGTGAGTATACGCGCAAAGATTTCTTTGAGTTGTTTGGTTTGAGATTCCTGCGCTGCGCTCCGCTGCGCTATAGTCGAGAGGGTTTTGCGCGTACGTACGGTATGACTTTCGGTGCGAGAGCTGCTTGTCTTGTCTTCTTCCTCCTTTTGTCTTTGTTTTTCCTAGGTAGTGAGTGATTGTTATTATTCTGCTCTATACAGTCAGTCTATGAGAATTGCTTTCGTACAGCAGTGCTACTGGCACTGTACTATATGGAGCATCGATCGATCTGAAGAAGTCTTTGGCAGTATAGTAAGGTTTCATTGCAGATGCCAATAACATACACGTACTCATGCGATACATTTAAGCGGGCTGCCGTAAGTCGACTTGTTAATTCTTCAAGTCGACTTACGGGAACCCATCTAAGCATTTAAGCATACAAGCAAGCATCTACCCAAGCAAAGCTTATCTATCTCACCATCCCGTCCTATCTCCAAGTAAACGTTCTAAATTGCCCCACATCCCACTCTTTCATTGGTGTTGCGGCTGTGGAGAAAGCGAGGCAGACTAAAATATCCGAAAGCGAGGTGGGGGAGCGAGGTCCCAGATATTTTACTCGAGTAAGACTAACTTCTTTTATATGGAAATCGTCGCTATGGATTCTTTTACCTTGGGTAGATCTACAAAATTGCTTCAGTATGGAGCTTTGGACTCAGCCTTGCTACGCCGCGACGGTTCGCAGCTGTATGATGACGGCGAAAGGCTGAGGAAAGATCTGCTTTTTCTCGGATAGGAGCGAGGTATTGTTCGCATAGGCCCCGCAATCCTCTGGTGGGGATAGAGGGATATGGGTTATGAGATTTACATATAAGAAGTCTTGTGTTTTCTTTTTGCTTTGCTTTGGAATTATACCATCTCATCTCATCTCATCAAATCTCATCAGCTCTTCCACATCACAAGTTTCTCAAGTACCATCTCTATACCAATCTTCAATCAATATATACAAAACAACAACAACCTCCTCCTCAAAATGCCCTCCCAAACAACATCCCTCTCCATCGCCCAACTAGCAATCTACATCCCCCTCCTCGCCCCAGCCCTCTACACCACAATCGCGCACGGCAAACGCGGCCTCCTCGCCTGGATCTTCCTGCTCGCCTTCTGCTCCCTCCGCATCATCGGATCCGGCATGAGCATTTCGGACCCCAAGAGCACGTCTGCTCAAATCATAGCTGGTGTTGGACTTTCCCCGCTCGTGTTGTGCTTTGTAGGCTTGTTGCATGAAGCGTATGTTTTGTTTCATCTTCTCTCATCCCTTTCCCCCTCCGTACCTCTTGTTTTGCATCAAAAGAAATACATATATATAGAACGCCTATATATACATGATCATTCAAACCTTGATTCCGAAATGTAAAATGCTAACCAACATCCCCATTCACAGAAACTCATACACCAAAACCACCCACCCCCCCATCTGGCAAAAATGGCCCACTCAAACCTTCCTCCACCTCTCCGTAACCGCCGGCCTCGCGCTCGTCGTCGTAGGCGCAACCAGCAACGGCCAAAAACTCGCCCTGGAAAAGGTGGGCTATATAGTATTCCTCGGTATCTGGATCTTGCTATGCGTTTTCGCGTTCTTGAGCCTGAAACAGGGGGGTTCTAATGTCCCTGCTCGAAAGGTAACTTGACTACCCGTTCCACTCTATGCTAGACAGCAAGAAAGAAACAAACCCGACTAACACACCCAACCAAAGCTCCTCCTCGCACCCCCCCTCGCCCTCCCCCTGCTCGGCATCCGCATCCTGTACAGCACCATCTCCTCCTTCTGCCCGTCTATCAACGCGCAAACCGGACCGATCGCCTACCGTGTCGTGCTAGGCGTCGTCATGGAACTGCTTATCGTACTCGTGTTGCTTGGCTTCGGGATCGCGACGAGGAGGATTGGGAGGGGCGAGGTCGAGGAGGGGGGGAAGGGCACGTGGAAGGCTGTTAGTAAGGGGTTGGGCGAGGATGGGGAGATGGGGAGTCAGAGTGGGAGATAGAGTTGTGTACAAGGTAGCGAGGAGACAATGATATGATACCCAGGCGGTAGTGAAGGTGATGTGATGTTTATAACGAGATGTGATATTTGCAGGGACTTGGCATTGGCGTTGGCTTCAGGAAGAACGGAGTAAGAGTATCTATCTATTTGGACTTGTATATGTTTAATCTACACTCGTACATACTACTTGGTATACAAGCTCTGCAAAGATAATCTAGCATAGATATAGAAAGGAAAGAATATCCAAACTTGTAAATAGCAAGCAAGCGCCTCCCTCACAGCGTACATATATGATATATCCAGTCCGATATCATTGTCCTATCATATCTGATATCAACGAGCGCCTTTCTGTCCTTAATGCAAAGTAGATGAATACCTCTTTTTAATATCAAGGTACTAGATGCGATTCCTAGCTACCATGGGTTGAAGAAAGGTTGATTTATGGTTTTTGGGTCATGGAGGTCGAGGTAGAATGGACAGGCGTGTTAGGGCTAGGTGTTTGTCACACCTAACCTATTATATACTCTTTTCCCTATATAACACAATAAAGTTTAGCGTTGAGTGAATGAAAGTAATTACGTATTATATATTGGCGGCCTGCTTATCTCTTACATTCTGAGTTCATATATGCCTCGTCAACGAACATTTATACAAGAATATTTGCCTGCTTTAAAAGGAGATAAAACCCGCGTCACGCGGCGTAACCATCCACACACCCCATCGCGCCAATGTATCTCTATCCCCAAGCCTCCCATCAATCCCCATAAATGATGACATAAGAAACTTTCAATAGTGGTGCAAGGCTAATCATCCAACTTAAAAATCCTCCTCAGCGCCCCAAACTTCTTCTTCTTCCTCACCCCATTCAGACCAGCAGTAACACCCGCAATATCTACCTCAGTCAACCCCGTCGTGTTCCTCCTATTGCCAAGATCTGGTCTAATACCGCCCGCACCCACAGCATCAGCCGTAACCGGTCTCCCATCCTTACCCAGGATCCCCGGCTCCGGTAAAGGCCAAGAGCTGCTATTCTCCCTAGACATAGGATTGCGTTTCTGCAATCTCGGAGACTGATGACCATTTCGAATAGCATCAAGATCGCTCCTACTTCTTTCCAATGGAGTGTCGCGACGAGCAGCAGATTCTACCTCGGATTTACGCACTTTTGAAATTGGGTCTGCTTTCTTACGGCGTAGGATAGACATTATGCTTCCCCCGCGCTGATTTGGGGGGCGGCCAGATGCACTGACGGTGGTAATGGTCGTGGAGGTTGAGCCGAGGCCGATTGCTCCTCTACCGCTGCCTGATCTACGAATCCCGTTTTGAGTGAGAGTTGGGGATTTCGTCTTCTCCTCATCGGAATCGGGGAGATCGCTGGAGTCACCATCTTCGGCGCCGGTACGCTTAGGGATGCTACGGACAGGAGCGGATGAGGGTGCGTTGATGCGCATAGATTTTGATGCTAGGCCATTTTGGCGGGGAAGAGGAGGTGGCCCGCCATCAGAGTCGTCAGAGTCGGCGAAGCGGCTTCGGAATCCAGAGGGACCGTCATCTTCGTCTGATGAGTCTGCAAATCTGCTAGAGCGTTTAGGAGTGGCCCTTTGATTCGAAGGCTTGGACGAGGAAGAACGACCGAATCCTAGGCGTAGCGGCGATTTGGCTCTTGCAGGCGCACGAAGTGTGGGCGCCGGACCAGAGCCGCTGCGCATCGACATTCGCATATGTGTCGGGTTTGAGCTGGCAGCACTTGATCCCCCACTATTGAATGGCCGACGTGCCGTAGAGCCAGTAGGCGATAGAGAGCGCAGGCTAAACCTACTTGACCCTACAGGTGAGTCGTTATGCGGCTCGTTGGAAGCGCGCATCGATCGCCTAAAAGAAGGGATATCACTGGTAGTAGATCCGGACCTAACACGCTTGAAGCTACTGTCGCTATCACCAGAGCCCCTTCGTCGAAGAGATGGCGATGGACCTTGAGTCGATGCTGGACGAGTCGTTTTCTTCCCAGTAGCAGGCGCAGGCGCAGGTGCGGCTGCAGCTGCCGCTCTCGCCATCCTGTCCATGAGGGCATCGACTTGCGCAGAGTCAGGTACGAATTCTCCCTTTTGAGGTGGCGGGTATGACATTGGTCGAGCTTTCTTTTGCAATGCTCCTTTTGGCTCGGCTGATTCGGCTGCCCGAAGGGAGCTGCGCTTCGAGTTTTGGGTCCGCATCGATTGCCGTATGTGGGTGTCTGATGGGGAACTTGGCGCTTCTGCCCGCATCGAAGAACGCATGACAGGGCCATGACCATTGGGACCAGCTTTTTGCCCCGGGGTAATCATATAGCTCCGTTCGTTATGAGCAGGTTGGCGCTGCTCCGATACTGTTTTGGGAGCGACCGCGACCTTGACCTTCTTCTTCTTAGTCGGCGTGGGTATCGGTCTCGCTTCAACTTCTGTATCGGAACCGGACCCCTCAGCTTCTGCTCTAGCTTCTTCCTCCAATTGAAGCTTCTTCTCAGCCGATAGACCCTTCCAGTATTCTTGAGCCTTTTCCCACCCCTCATGATCTGGCTCGCTATTTGGTGTCGATAGCTGACTCTGCTTGTACGCTCTCTCCTTTACTGCTTTCGGGGTTGGGCTGTCTGGTACAGGTATATCAACAAAGCCTCTTGAGCTTGGGATTACCGGACTGTCAACAACAGCATCCAGTGACATAAAGCCATCACCTTCACCATTAGAAAGGTCTTCAGCGGCGTCACTGTATACGCTCGTATCAGACTCTTCAGACTCTTCGGCGATGGCTGGGGTGTCATGGAAATGCGAATTCTCAGCGGCAATCTCACCCAAAACAGGTGAGCCTGATCGAGGAGTTGAGGGATCAGGCTCTGCAATGCCGACATCAGCGAGACTTGCATCAGTGACATGATGTTCGACGATCACAGGACTTTCTCGCTCTTGACTGGCGCTTGATTCTGAATGACTATTTGAATTCCTCCACCCGCCAGGCATATTCGGCCATTCCAATTTACCGAGTGTCTCTTCTAGGGTTGGCGTTGGTTGGAGTATAGAAATCGTTGGCACTGTGCCGTTGGCCCTGCCGTGTCCCCCTTCCTTCTCTTCTGCTATGGGGGTTGCGAACTCCCGCGATGCCTCGACGTCATCTGCTATGGGCGCAGTATTTCCACTTTCGATCTTCGCAGCCACCAAAGGAGAATCTTGGATACCCAAGCTTGTCACACTGCTGGTGTCTGAATTGAAGCCGTCCCCCTCGACTGAGACGACCTGTGGAGGTAATGGTTCTCGGGATTTCGATATATTGGCAGCATTTTTCAAGGCAGCATCTTGAGAGAGTATTGATCCAGCCAAGTGATCATTGGACTGACCTGTTGGCTGTTCTACAACCTCGTCAGTCGGCGTCGTAAATATTGTTGAAGATGCAAGAGGTTCCGTATATTCCACTGGTTCCACTGGTTTGACCAACGTGCGCTCTTTCTCCTCCTGGGGCTTTTCTTTCTTTTGCCTTACGCTTCCAAATGAAGGTAACGCTGGTCTTGGTTTCATGATCTCGTCATCCTGATCGTCCATCATAGCGGTGTCCTTCTTTTTACCCTTCGCGATGCTATACCAGGGTCTTTTTGCCTGAGGGCTTTGGACAATTGGCGAATCTGTAGTCACAGGCGTCGTCGCTTGACCCACTGCAACATTACCATCATCAAAACTGACACGGTTGGCCTTCTTCCTTGGCACTGAAAGGTCATCCGAAGTCTCACTAGTAGCTTGGCCAATGGCTGAACTATCGACATCATTCGGAGATGGTCCTCTAGGCGTACTTGAGGTTTTCAATGCTGATTTGCGTGGGGAGATTGATCGAGGCGGAGGTTGATGCTTGACCTGGAGATTTTCGGGCGTTATCGCGAAATGTGGTGTACGTGCTGGACTGACAGATTGTACTCTTCCACCTCGAACACTGCCCTTTGCTGCCCGAGGAGCGATGCTTTCGACAAAGGTCGAATCAAGAGGTGCTGGAGCGGGCTGGCTTGCAGATCTGGTATGTTGCCGTTCTTGGGCAAATGCGGCAGATGCTGAAGCTTGTCCTCTCCCATGTCCTCTCCCTTGCCCTCTCCCAGTATTTGACCGAGGTGCTGGGGTTGGAGAAATTGTACGCGTAGGGCCAGTATTTAGTCTGGGAAGATTGCCTGAAGCTGCCGTCCATTGTGGGGTATCATCTTCCTCTTCCTCTCGTTCCTGGTCCTCGCGCACAATCGAGGGTTTCTTTGTCAAACGAGTATGCGTCGCTGATCGTGGCGCATCACTATCATTATCGGATGAGTTCGGAGCGTATGATGCCTGGTCGCTATCAGAATCGCTGTCTACGATCACCTGTTTTTTCTTCTTTTTTGGCACAGGGGCGGGCGCAGGAGTTGGTTTGGGTATCGGGGCAGCTGCAGGTGTTGGTCGTTCTACTGCTGCCCTACTCGACTCTGCTTCCATAGCGTCTATCGCTGTGCCTCTTGGCTTCCCTCCAACGGACCCATATGCTAGATATGTTCCTGTAGCTTGTTGAGGTGCAATTCGCTTCATTTTCTTGACTGGCTTGTTTGCGACATCGTAAAGTTTCTGCTCAATAGCATGAACCTCTGCAGCCGGTAGAAAACTTCGAGTATTAGGGTCATAGACTAGATCTTGCTGGGTAGGAGAAGTGATTCTTGGTTGATTTGGCCTTTGAGGAGATGGAGATGTTAGCCGTCTCTGTTTGACAGGTGATGTTGGTCTTGAACTCGTAGGCAAGGAAAAATTAACGGACCCTCTACTCGCCGGTCTCTCTATACTTGTTAGCTCTGATACACTGGATAAGCTTGACTGTCTTTGGCCGCGTGTCCTAGTGGTTTGCGGCATTCCAGCAGGTCCTAAGCTCGATCCGCGTCCTGAGGCCCTGTTGGGAGGAGGGGATGCCACCCGTAATCCAGGGGATTCCAGACTTGCCGCACGTCTGTGTGACTTTGTAGGTATATTGTGCGGAATCGTAGGTACCGGAGGCGCATCCGCGGCGCTGGGAACCGGTTGTGCAGCACGATTCGGGGAAGGATCCCGGAAGGATCTTTCAGACATCGAACCATTACTCCCTCGTCGTTCCAGTTGTGGCCTTGACGTAGATGTCGAACTTCCCATAGAAGATGTCGAACCAGACCGTCTCATAGTCCGCTTTGTCTGCACATCCGCCACAGAGGTTGGAGTTGTTGGTCGTGACCGCAAAGCAGCAGCGGCTGCAGCGGATGACAGGGAGGCATTCGAGGCGCGATTCTTCAGGAAAGCCTGGGCAGCGGCCGTCGTCGCGGAAGGGTTCGCATTGGATCCATTGAGAGGCTATCGAGTGACGCGTTAGCAGAAGTTTTGCAAGCTTCCGGGATGGGATTTTGACAAAGCGATAGAGCTGTCGCATGATCGCAATGCCAAACGCCTCGGAAGGTACGTACCGGGTTCGAAGTCGCTCTTTTCCTTCTATTCCCGAACATTGTCGACTGTTAGGCGCAATGCCTGATGAAATATCTCTGCCGACTGAGGGCTGATGAGAATATTATTGCATAAAGAAGAAGTGAGTTGTAGAGGATGCAGGTGAAGTTTCGTAGTACAATGATATGACGACGGGCGACGGGTAGCCGAGCGGGAATTGCTGGGGTGTTGAGGTGCTGTGCTGTGCTGCGCAGCGCAGTGGATGGAGGATGGGGATGGGGATGGGCTTGGACAAAGAGTGGAGCCAAGCGAGGAATCGAGATGGAGAGAGAAGAGGATGCAAGAGATGAGTGAGCTTCACACTTCATAGATGGTGACTAGTAAGTAGCATTTTGAGGCTTTTGATACTTGTTGTTTATTACTGAAGGACGATTCCTAGCAGAGTTGATTTGGATGAGCAATAAACTTGGACCTTAGGTAGATTTTGGAGTCGGCACTAGATGCCTTTACTGAAGGGTAGGTAGGACAGGAACCTGTTTGTTTACTACTGTACCAGATAATCCAACACATCATTGCGGTGACTGCACCAAGCTCAGACAGAAATCTAGCTACCTTACTTAGGGCCTACTTCAACACTACAGGTGGGTAATAAGTGCCTGCATTACGTCTAGTGAAGAACCCTTAGCCGTCAGTAGTTGCTAATTCAGCTACTCCAGGAACAGTGTGCGGGCTTTCCTAGCTACAAGTAGGTGAACAGAGCGCATCACCACCCAAAAGCAGGGTAGAAGGATGGTGGTCATCAGCTCATTTCACTTTGCGCGAGTTCCAAGGTCGGTCTAGACTTGCATTTGGGCCTGCTTGAAGTTAGTCTAGACTTCAGCTGCAGCAGAATATCGATGACGTAGGAGGTGTGGTGTGGCTTGAACAGAGGTTGCATTCTACAACATTACTACGTAAAAAGGATAGCATTGCTCGTAAATGACCACTTTACCAAGCATGTTATAGGTCATTATGGAACTTCTAACACAATTAAACTCTTTACTGATATAGATCATATAATAAGACGTATTATTTACACAGGACAGGTCGCGAAATCAGGTACCCCTGGACCCACGCCACGTGCAATCCATGACACTACACTATAGGTACTACCACGGCTTTGAAGTGCCGAACCGAACCGATGACTGAGAAGCAAACCTCCATGATCAAAAAACATAACAGTCGTATAGTACAACGCCCGCATAATGCAATATAAATCTTCACTACACTCCTTGCATTCTAATTGACTGCCTCACAGCTATACAATATATCATCATAAAGTGTACCCCTCATCATGTCCTCCCCTCCATTTCCCCCGCTTCCTCTCCCACTAGGAATCACAGAATCCTACCTCCCCTCGCACGACCTAACATATCACGTCCTCTCAGCAGGCGTCCCCTCCAAGCCCCTCCTCCTATGTCTTCATGGTTTCCCCGAGCTTGCTTTCTCATGGCGCAAGATAATGCCCCAATTGGCTAGTGATGGCTATCATGTTGTCGCTTACGATCGTAAGAAACATTGGACTCTTTGCTTCCTTCACACACTACACTTGGCAGGGTTTTATGTCTATCGAAAGTTTTATCTTCCGATATCTTATCTACTTTCTACTTTCATACGATGACTATCCTTAAAGCACGAGGACTGACATTTATCTCCATTTAGAACGTGGCTACGGCCGCACAACAGGCTGGGATACCCGTCCCTTCGACCAAGTTGATCTAAACACATTCAGTTTCACTCGATTAGTTCGAGATGCTGTTATACTGGTCAACGCCCTGGGATACAGATCAGTAGCTTGTATCCTCGGTCATGATTTTGGTGCGGTGGTAGCGAGTATGTGTGCTTTGATGAGGCCGGATATATTTAAATCGTATTTCCCCCTATCTAGTTTTACCCAATATCTCCCCCCTTCTTTCCCTCCCACAACAAAAACCGAGATAACATAACAAAATAAACCAGCATCATCATAATGTCCCACCCCTTCAGCGGCTCCCCCAGCCTTCCCTTCGCAACCACATCCCCCGCTTACAACTCACCACCTCCCAAACCATCCATCCACTCCGCCCTCGCAAACCTCCCCGAGCCCAGGCAACACTACAAATGGTACTACTCCTCTCCGCGCGCCGCCTCCGAAATGGACGACACCCCCAAAGCCGACGCCTCCTCCCTCCCCCCCTTCCTCCGCGCCTACTTCCACCTCAAATCCGCCGACTGGCCCGGAAACCAGCCCCAACCCCTCCAATCCCGCTCAGCCCCCGAACTCGCAAAACTCCCTTACTACTACATCATGCCTCTACACTCCAGCATGCGCGACGCCGTCTCCCTATCCATGCGCCACGAACCGCCCGAGCTCGTGCGCGAGAAATCCGCGCGCTGGCTCCTGGACTCCGACCTCGCCGTCTACGTCGCCGAATTCTCACGCTCCGGCTTCCAGGGCGGCCTGAACTATTACCGCATCTTGACTACCGAGGTGGAGGGCGAGGGCGCAGTGCACATGAAAGATGTCGAGGCCTTTGCTGGCAAGAAAATCGACGTCCCGATGCTGTTCATCGCTGGCGCGAAAGACTGGGGCATGTACCAGGAGCCCGGCGTGCTGGAGAGCATGGCCGATACTTGTGAGAGGGGGTGTTTTAAGGGCGTGCAGATCGTGGATGGGGCGGGGCATTGGGTGCAGCAGGAGCAGGCGGAGAGGGTGGGCGAGATTGTGGGGAGGTTTTTGTGGGAGTGCAAGGTGGAGAGGGTTTCTATGTAAGATTAGATGCGCGTTAATGAGAAATGGGAGGTGAAGCCTTACTTGAAGGATGTAAACGAGCAATGATACCTGTATATCCACAAACTTGAATTATTACTATCATTTCAGGTATGGACAGAGATTACGTTCATAGACTCGGTAAAAATGAAATGAAAGGAAAGGGGGGACTAGCGTCGTAGCTCAGCTTCAAATGTTCTAATCCACGCCGCCTGAGGCGATAAGAGCCGTGACGCTTGGCATATATACAAGTATTTTATGTATCTATGATCTCCAATTGAAATTGTACTCATTTCATAGTATCAACCACGTATTTCATAAACATCACTATTTAGCATCACCCCTTTCTTGCCCGAGCCTGGAAATACGAGGCCGTAACGTCCAAATAATCCGGTCTCTCACATTTCGAGTTCTTAACATCGCTCGATACAACACCTCCCCCCTCTTCCCATTAACATGAAAGATTTTCTACTACAGTAAGCACACATTCCCCGCACTTTCTCCCTCGCTCTCCCCGCATCTTCGAATCTTGAAAACAATCATGTTATCTTGTCTTCATTCAACCCTACGACAGGTCCTAGAGTTACTAAACTTTGCTTGTAAGATTACTTCACCACCATACGAATATATATATATATATATATGCATTTCCATCTTCTACGAACTGGCCAAAGCCCAGCTGTGGTGTGGCATGTCGTTTGATATTCAGCGTGCAACTGGTTCACTTGCGCAGCTGCGCTGCGAGACAGGCGGAGTATTGCTGGAGAAAGGCGTAGTTTTGAATTGGCGATGAGAATATATGATATAAACAACCCTGTATGTAAGAGATTATGAATGATATGACTTACTGCTGTGCTGGGTTTGCGTTGTTCTCCGGAGTATTGTCATAAAAGAAAAATGGAAGAAAGAGGTGTAAGGTTTTGTTTGCTGCTTTGGCGTCTATCGGCATTGTCAAGCGCTAAACCCCCCTGTACATTCAGGGTCCGCTCGCCTATGATATTGTACAGCGGCGACCTCACTTCATTCAAACTCGCAACCTCATTCAATTCTTTAAGCCTACTCACAAAAACGCGACCCGGAATCCTTTACCTATCTACACCCGTCTCAACCGCCGCACCATACATCCGCAACCATGCCCGCACTCATAATAAAAGCCCCTACTCCCCTACCACCCTCCCTCTCATCCCCCACCATCTTCCTATCCGGCACCATCTCCCCCCCACCAGCGCCAACCTGGCAATCAACCCTCAGCACCTCGCTCTCCCACCTCGCAGTAACAATCCTCAACCCCCTGCGTCCAGACTGGGATGCCTCCTGGCGAGAAAACCGCTCCGATGCCCGGTTCGTCACCCAGGTGAACTGGGAGCTGGACGGGCTCGAGAGGGCTGATGTCGTGGTTGTGTATTTCGGCGCGGAGGCCAAGGCGCCGGTTACGCTGTTGGAGTTGGGGCTGGTGGTGGGGAGGGGGAAGAGGGTTGTGGTTTGTTGCGAAGATGGGTTCTGGAAGAGGGGGAATGTGGAGTTGCTTTGTGAGAAGATGGGGGTTGCGTACGTGGGGAGTTTGGAAGAGTTGAGGAGGGTGGTGGTGGGGATGTTAAGAGAGTTAGGGGTGAGTGTTGATGGATAGGAAGAGCGAGTGGAGAGTTGGAGTGGAGAAAGAGCTACGAGGCCTAACGAATTTTCTTCGGATGCAACATCTCATCACACGAACAGATAAAGACGCAGAGCAGTGTAATTCGGGGCATGTCTTATTTCGACGACTACCGAGAGTCGGTATTGATATCTCGAGTATGCTGCTTCGATGCCTTACTGCTGTATGGTGATTTGAATCGTCGGTATATTGTACGATCCATCCTCCTCATGCTGTCGCGCAAAATATTTCTGAAGCATAATCCGCATGGGATTGGCATCCTGTGGTGCGAAAGTCTCATTGCCTTCGGACTGCGCTTTGGCTACAAATAACTCGACGTGCTCGAGCTTTTTAAAGAACCCAAGAGTCACCTCATAATCTGGCAACCACCTAGGTGCGAGAAAACCAGATGTCCAGAAGCAGTCGATAATCCGCATACTTTTGATTACAACGAACCATGGAGGGTAGCTCTGTGTGGAATCGTCAATGCACATCCAGCAGTCTTCTAACACCATGAGGCTAAGTAAGAGGAAGTCTCTGTTGAAATCGAAGCTGAGTGGTGGTGCATCTGCCTGGGATTCACCATCAAAACAAAGGTTTTGGGGGAATACGCTTTGATAATGCTTTTGCGTCTCGGTTCGACTCTCGGAATTGACGAAAAGAGTCACCGGATGGTGAATTCGAGCGCATCCCGCGCGTGAGATAAGTTTGATGTATTTGCTACGTGGCAGCGCCTCTTTCCAAACCAACAGACGAATTTCCATTGGAAACTTGGCGAATTGGGGGAAACCGACGCCGGTTTGGAGGAAGAGCTCTTGTTCTGGATCTGGCAGCTCGGCAATGAGAGCAAGGACAGCAGCCTTCTCAGCAATTAGTACATCACACTTAGGGCCACTGGCATACTTACTGCTTGCAAGTTGTTACACTCCTTTGTATCTGTTGGAGAAGCCTCAACTTCGGCCAAGACATCGAATTGAAGCTCAGTCATATCATTCTGTGTTGAAGGGATGACTTGGGTGTCGACCGAGACGCTGGAGGTATTGTTGGTCATGCTCGTATCGCTGCCCTCGCCAGCTTGTCTGGCGGCACTCGGATTGTCCTTGTTCTTCATCATCTTTGCGTGGTTATCATGTGGTTGTGTTGCTGTTGTTGGCAGATTGACATAAAGTTTGAAGTTGAACTCTCGCCCAAGAAGCAAGGCTATGACTCGACCGACTCCATGTAATTCACTGGAGGCAACATTCAATCTCCCCAGTGGTCTATCTACCAGAATATATTGGAAATATTTGGAAAGGGAATTAATATTACTACAATAGAAAAAGCTTCTAACCACTCTCTCCAGCACTTCTAAACCACGATTCGAGATTCATATCCGCTTTCAAACCACCATAATCATTCGAATACCAAAATTGACCAGCAATCTCACGGCACAAACACCACATTCTCTACCCTTCTTCCTCTTAGACCATTCATAAACACATGGCTTCCCCATCAATTCATTGTCATTGTTTCCCCAAGCCAGGGTTTGGTAGTTCTTGCACACGAGGAGAAGTATCAATCTCGTGTGGCGGCGCTACGGGCGACCAAGGGTAGACCTTTTGCTGATCCGGCGAGTAACTCCGCATCTGCACCGGCGACATTGGGCCTTTCCAGGGCTGTGGAGGGCGATACACTTCTCCGTTTCCCGCCCCCTTCAAATCTACAAGGCCAATCCCCCCACCGCCATCCCTCCTCCTGCTCTCCCTCCAGAACAAGAAACTCAATATCCCAACCGCCATAACCCCAAGCGGTACACCGATCCCTACACCGATCTTCGTTCCCAGGTCATCGCCACTGCTGCTACAATTTGCCTCGACACTTTGCGAAGTCTGCGAAGTAGTTGCCTGAGCAGGCGAAGGAGTGGTACTGGTCACTGTGCTGGCTATGACGGTTGCCATGGCAGACGATACAGCAGCAGCGGAAATCGACTGCACGTAAGCGTCGAGTCCGGGCTTGAACGCAACGCCCGTTGTCCCGAGCGTGAACGAACTATTGCAGCAAGATTCCGGCCCAAACCCACAGCAAAACTTAGTAGGTGGGGTGCCAGCTGGTGTACACGACCATACAGCTGCCCAGAAGGGCTCTGCTTTCTGTGTCTCGGGATCTATGCAAATCATTATCAGCATAGGTTTATTTCACTAGGGTTCTATCTTAAGTCCATCTTACTCTTCAAACATCTACACACAAATGATTGTCAGCATATATTCCTCTCACCAGGTTTCTAGACATCTTACTGCTCAAATTGGTTCGGACAGTTCCCAGAATCCCAGCTCTGGTCTGTGCAGCTGCCACGATATATCCATCCCGACTGACCCAAGCAGAAGCCGCTCACAGAGCAAGAGTCATTAGGGTCGCAGCATGCCGAAGCTGTGGAGGTCGTTTGGTTGCATGGCACATGCGTAGGTTCCGAAGTCTTATTATCTGGATACCAGCACGTAGCAGTTGCGTTTACAGCCGCGAAGAAAAGAGGCGCCAGAAGCAATAGTCGGCCCATGTTGGAAAGATAGATGTCGGATGAAGAAATCAGTTCAGATTATTGATTGATAGAGAGAAGGGGAAAAATTGCCCAGGATGCGGATAGAGGGGGAACCCTTAATCCTTGAACCATTTTGACATTCCCTGCCAATTATACTCCCTCCGCCACCTTGGTTAGAGATTGAGCCTTTGGGGCAACTCACGTACAATTCCATCCCGTCAATTAGGGGGGGGGGGGTTGTACGAAGTACTGTAGCGGAAGTATACAGTATCTGTTGAAGCATAATTATACGTGAAGATCCACCAAGAGCCTGCTCATCGCCCAATCACAAGCCCTTGGGTCCGGTCCCAAATTCTAGTATTCGTTTAACGGCGTCAAAAGAAACTACTTTAGGTATCGTTGTTTGGCTATCATGACATAATTGGCTTCTTCGTAGACGGTAAGACTCCAGACATCAGACGTTTCCGGCAAGGCCGCCCAGGGCTGGAACCTCTAGGATTGCCAAGCGTTGTTTCACTCGGGCATCCATTCTAAAAATACAATCGTTGGGTTGCCGACGACAGTTTCAAATATAACCCGTGTTCTATTATGCCTTTCGGCTCGTTTTCTGTTCGACTTCTATTCTTCATGTCTACGATAATATAACAACAAGCTGTTCTCTTCAACAGATAATGTTGTAATGTTAAAAGAACTCAAGATGCTGAGTTGCGGAGTATAATATGTCGTAGGATTAAGGGCACGGTTTCACATATGTTTATATTTAGCGAGCCCCACTCTCGCGGGCCCCCTGAATAGAGGGGGAGGCGGTATGTTTTAGTGATGACACAGGCCTGAGTGAGGGCCGTCCTGGAAATACTTTAAATTATCTCCCGTTTCACATGGCAGCTACGCCGTAACCTCGCATACTCCGTACGGCGTCCTTTTTCTGCTATATAGTACAGTACGACCATAATCCGGGATACAACACATTAACAATAGTTCGTCCGCCGTGCTGTGGGTAAAGCCGTCAATCAAATACTACCTACCTATGCATTGGAACTCTATTTCATAGGGTTAACCTCCGTAACATAGAAATTCCCTTTCTTGTAGCTAGTCTACAATACATTACCTTTCTCTCGGATTATCACTCACTATAAACAGAGCTAAGCGTAAGCACTATAGGACAAACCTGTAGATCTTCTATGCCTCTCTTCCGCTTGGCTGACTTAAGAATCATGGCATTTCCATTAATTGCTTCACAGACTCAACTACTGTCTACCACTCTAGTCGCGCTATCCTAATATCCTAATAAGTCTCAGCCAACTGAATAGCAATCCAACAAACCTACGTGCACCTTGGGCGAGATCACTTGCAAGTGGTACCTATAGTTCATCGAGCTAGGGAACTGAGCTAATGCTTTGAAGATCTTGTCTATATCAGCACCCACTTATACGCATCGAGGCCTGTTTTCTTCTTCCTCTACATGAGGACTATTATCCGACTACATGTATTTTGAATATGGAAAACGTTACAATTGCTGGAATCCCATGACTTCGTGCCTGACCTAGTGTTTGTGAAAAGTCTTGTGGCGACCGGCTTTCGTTTGCCAGGACAAATCTTAACTTCACCGCTGTGTCTTGTGTTCCAAACTTACATTCTGTAAAAGACGCCATGATTGTGCTTTATCAGGCGTGAGATTGGTAAGTTAGAATCTGAATAACGATTGCACTTGTAAACGAGACTGACTATACATCCAACTCTTAGCCCATGCCAGCTACGAGGCAGCCTCAGGAGTCAGCACATGAGCTTAAACCCCGTCCTTTCAAAATCTAGCACATTGCAGTACAGATGCAGGTACAGTACTATATAAAAGCCCAAGACGAGACATCTTAAAGTAACACGTGCCTCTTCTGTTCTTCCATCCAATTGATTGCCCCCACAGTACAGTACAGTAAGGTACGTATAGCAGAAAGCAGCGCATGCATGCACTACCTAACTACTTGTATATAAGGATAAAAACCGCGAGCTACTGTAACGAAACGAAATACTTCTCGTATTTTATTCGCTGGCTTCTTCTCATTTCATATGCTCGGATGTTTTTCATTAGCTATGATTGTTTAGAAAGAAGTCCTTGTTTGCCATTACTTGGCTTTTGACGGATGTAGTGATTTCCCGGAATATGAAGATCTCGATCATATCCTATTTTCTCTAAGCCAATCAATAAAATACGACTTTGGAATTGAAAGCCTACCAAATTATAATCATGTATAGACCTACTTTTCCTACATGTACACAACCACCGAATTCCTCAAAAAGTTTCCCTCGAGGTGACTTGATTGGGATATAAAGTTCCAGGAATTGGAGCCGGGCGTCGGGAAGCGATAGGCCGAGGGCTGGATAGGGGGTTAAGGGGAAGAGAATAACTGTAACAGCGAGTATCAAGGGCTGGAGTTTAATAGTTGAAGCTTATTGAGAGGAATAATTAAAATGGGATAGACTATAACAAAATTGACAGAGGTTTTTATTCGCGGTAAAAGGGGAAGTGTAATAGTGCAACTTGAGCTAGCAAGACGTTAGACGGGATGATGATTATTGAATTATATGAACGACTATTAATACATGGCAGATATTTATCTAGAATGAAGTAAGTGCTTGCTAAGTTCAAGAGTCTCCGCATGGAATGTCTTCAATGATTTTTCCCCAGTGGATTGATACAGTGGTATCTTTATATCGTAAGCACGTATGTAAGCTTCTTATCCAACCGTAGCACCACTCGCCACCTGCTGCGGAATCGTAACCAGCCCATCCAAATACGTCAGATCAACCGCCGGAATGCCCTCATCTTCAGCAAAAAATCTCACCAATCTCTCTGCAACCCAAACCGGATTCTCGTCCCCTAGTCATTCATTCAAAGTCAGCCACCGTACTCCAGCATCACCATCACCTCCTAAGCCCACCCACTCCACTCACCACTCCACCCCCCCCCTCACTTCCCATTCCACAAAACAAACAAAGGAAAAAGAAAGGCGTCATCTTAACTTACCAAGCCAATGCCCAGCCTTTGGAACCAGCTCCGAAGTAGAATTCACCCCCACAACGCCCATCCCAGCCTGCACCACCTCGACGGGGCTAATACTGGTTTCGCCTCCCAGCGCCAGGACCGGCTGTGTTAGTTTTCCGGTCGCGATAGACGAGTTGAAGAATTTCCCGTCTGCTGCTGTGGTTGTCGTGGCGAAATACTCGAGTCCGGAGCGCAGGAAACCGGCCTTGGATATCTCGGTCGTGTATCTTTGCACTGCGGATTCTTCGCGTCAATTAATGCTGACCAAGAGGGGAATTAAAATAATTAAGTTCATGTTTTGAACTCTTAAGAAATTGAAGGAAGGGCTGAAAGGGGTTTTCATACAATGATCCTGCGAAATGGCCGAATTCCCCGTATAACTAGAATGAAAAAAATACCACGCCAACATCTCCTTCTCGCGTCCCTGAATGAAAAACTGCGCCGCGTCCGGGACACTGAAGAACGCCAGCTGCCAATTTGAATAAAGATCCCAGTCCGGGCTCGGATCAGACGCTGCTTCGTAGGTTCCTGTGCCGGGGAGTGGGTACTCGCCGAGCGCGAGGCGTTTTACGAGAGCGCTGTTTCTGTCTCGGTTCTTGAAGGCGAGGGCAGTGGCGGGGCCGACGCCTTTGTCGTGCGCGAAGATGTAGGTCTGGGTTATGTTAAGGAAGGAGAGGATGTGCTCTAGGTCCGTGGATACGGTGGAGGCGGTGTAGTCGTTGGTGCGGGGGATGGAGGAGGAGCCACAGCCGCGGAGGTCGGGGGGCTAGGACGGTGTAGTTTTGGGGCGAGGATGGGGCCGATTGTGTGCCAGGTGAGCTGGTAGTGAGTTAGCAGTTTCGGGACGTTGGGGAGTCAGGCAAGGAGATGGGGGGGGGGGGGGTACTGAATGTTGGGGAAAGCCATGGACGAGGAGGATTGGAGGGCCGGTCCCGTGGTATCGGAGGTGGATCGAAACGTCCTTGAGTGCTACTCGGAGATGTTTCCAGTCGTCGAATGGGACTAGGTCACTGAGAACCCGAGTTGCCAGAAGCGTCAAAATGAAGCTTAAGTAGTGCATCCTGCACTAGAGAGAACTTGAAGATTTTGTGGAATATAATCAACAAAATTGAAAGGAAATCTGATGAGAAAACAAGCTGGAATACTGAGAGAGATATCGAAAGAGAAGCAAGTACTATTTATACGAAAAGCATCATCTACTCGCCGTGCAGCACAAGTGGATTTCATCATTATGTCCGCACATCCCTATAAAGTTTGTAATCTAGAACTTCTGTTGACATGAGATCCAGGCGAAAAGTCCACTCTGCGACCATGCTCCCAGCATGATAGACTTCTATTGCAGTGTTAGACGCAGCTTGGTAATCAGTGCGAGGAAAAGATAATCAGTGCGAGGACTGTCCGAAGCTCCCGACGGGTCATCCCTCTTACAAAGCGCTCAAGTATGACTGTGGGCTTGAGCCCCAATTTCTCATTCAGGATATGCAATTGGATAAATTGTCTTGTATGTGAAGCAAAAAGAAGAAGCATGAGGAACAAAACACTTTGACGTTGTATGGTATGGGATGTGATGAGTCGTAGCGAGGTCGGAAGGAAGCTAAAAATCGCCTCTGAGCTAGCCCTGTTGAGAGTTTCAATACCCCGCCATCTTCATGTGTTCCACGACCTTGAGCTGGCTGTACGGGAACCGCCGATTATGCCAAGTTCAATCACCAAGAAAGAGTATCATGTCATTCATAAGATAAGTGATTGATCCATTTTATAAATTTCTCTGCAACTCATTTCCCATGCACCCCCAGCCATATCTACTACTTCCTTCCTTCCTCACTTCTTACTAAACATCTCCTTTACAAGTGCTGAATGCAGATACTCCCTAATTCCCACGATCTTCCCCGTCTCCGCACTGAAAACCAAGAACCACGCGAAGCGATTCTGATACGGGTCCCCATCATTCTGCACCGCGAAGCCAGAACACTCCGCAATAGCCTTCAACCCGATCACATCCAAGGAATCTAGCTTCATTTCTAGGTATCCGTCTTTGAGATGTGACTTTAGATCCGCATTGACGCTGTCTTCCCATTGTTGTAGGTTCTAGAGAGATGTGTTAGGCTGGGGTAGGAAATGGAGAGAGGGGTGGAACAAACGTAGATTCCGCTCTTGCAGAGGGGGTCTTTGACATCGGATGATATCCACCAGTGGACATTTGGATCTATTGCTTCTATGAAAGTGTCCCAATTCCCATTCGCGGTGTCTTTGAATATGGAGAGGACGTGTTCGCGGGTGAGCGTGAAGGCCATGACGAAGATGATTGTTCGGAAGGTGCGTTGAAATTTTGAGTTTGGGAAAGTGTACTTTTCGAAATAAAATGGAAGAAAGGTAGTATTGAATGCAATGACTTTTATATGTCTTTTTTTCTTCTACCTCCTGATATCAAAAAGTCTGTCATTAGACCGCAATCTCTGCGAATTGTTCCGGGTACTCACAACTCCCCACTTCTGTAGCGTAGCATCAGGGAAGTGAGCTGGGTACTGGCCCGCTTGATACCGAGCGGCATAATTCGAAAGTCAAGCTTTTTCGTCGACACTGGAACTGAACCAGGGGTTGCTAGTTGAGTTGGATTTGGTTGTCTCGAATGCATAAAGATCAACCTTTAAGGATTCAAGTGGTCCGCTGCCAGTTCCATATTCAACTTTTGAAGAAGCGGATCCGAATGAGAAAAGACAAAAGACAAAAGATTCATTCGCAAGTCTAGAAAAGAATATGGAACTAGTGCTGGCGAAACATTGTAGTTGAAAATAGTGCAAAAAGTTGCCTGAATGCGATATTTACCAAGATTATACAGCACTTACTGAGAGATAGAATTTCAACCATTACCTTCGTATGAAGTTGCAAATATATACCAAGAAGTGGAATCTTGTACCGGAACTTGTGGAGAAAGGGGGTCGCGTCGCAACAGCTTCTTTGAACCCACTCATTTCACAGGCTAAGGTATTAGCGCGAACTAGCTACGAGTACAAAGGCTCCAAGGCCGAGGCTGAACCCCCGCTCATCAGCCTTGCAGAAACACATTCACATCAAATAAACAACCAGGTCGAAGGCACACATGCGCCCACTTCGTCTCCCAATCTTCCAACCCAAGATCTTCCCTCGCCCTCGTCTTCTCAACACCATCACCCCCGCAAAGATGTCAACTTTTACCCTCCCAAACACACAAGTAACCGTCAAGCTCTGCGATGACCTCACCCGAGAGCAACTCCTAGAATTCCCGGCCTTCAAGGTAAATAAATGCCCTGCAGCCTCTTCTATTCTACACCTACACAAAGATATTGCTCAAGCCGTGCCTGCGACTATAATGCCTTCTAATCTACACTGCTGACCAACAATGACTACAGATCTGGCTGCACCGCCTCCAAACCTCCCTCTCTCTCCAACACACAAACCCGTCCCACACCTTCCACTCCTCCCCCTACACGCTCCGCTCCCTCACAATCCAATCCCTCGACCGATTCGGCTCCTCCCGCATCGGTTTCATCAAGCTCTCCGCATTCATAACCAACAGCGCTTCCGAATCGCTCCCCGGCGCCGTCTTCCTACGCGGCGCCAGCGTCGGCATGCTCGTCGTGCTGCAGCCCGACGACCTACCGCGTGGGAGCGAGGCGGAGAAATACGTGCTGCTGACGGTACAGCCGCGGGTCGCGGCGGGGAGCCTGGAGATGGTGGAGTTGCCCGCTGGGATGGTGGATGACGGCACGTTTGTGGGGACTGCGGCGAAGGAGATCAAGGAGGAGCTGGGGCTGGATATACCGGAGGGTGAGCTTGTGAACATGACGGAACTTGCGATTCCTGGGAGTGAAAAAGGGGATGAGGGACTGCCGAGAGCTATGTATCCTAGTGCTGGGGGGTGTGATGAGTGTATACCGCTGTTTTTGCACGAGAAGAGGGTGCCGAGGGGGACGTTGAGTGAGTGGACGGGAAGATTGACGGGGTTGAGGGATCAGGGGGAGAAGATTACGTTGAAGCTGGTTAGGAGGGAGGATTTGTGGTGGCAGGGAGCCAGGGATGCGAAGGCGTTGGGGGGCGTTGGCTCTTTGGGAAGGACTGAAACGTAATGGCAAATTATAAATGATTAATGAAACATGAATAAATGAAAAAACGTTGATTCGTAGCTCATGATCTCGTATCATTGAGTGGTATTATACTTTTGCCTTCTTGCCTATTAGAACCCCCTACAGTTTCCACTGTCTAGCAACTTCGATTCCCTCAGCCAACGTCCCAACCCTCGCATCAATAACATACCCCTCTTCCTCCCACTTCCCACACGCCTCCCAAAGCTCTTTCAACGGCAGCGTAAACACCTCTATAAACTCACTATCCTCCAACTCCGGCTTCAAATCCTGGTTTCTACTGTCATTCATATCGATCGTGACGTGAATCATCTTTAGATTCGTGTTGCAGAATCCCGGATCTTTTTTCCAAAATAAAGTCAATAAAGGAAGAAAGAATAGGTAGGTACTTCGGCTTGAAGAATAAATAAGGGGCAATGAAGGGGGGTTAATACCATTATACATCACCGGACTACTCTCACTCACAACCCCCACATACCCTGTTTCCTCCTTCAACTCCCTCACAGCAGCCTGCTCGGCGCTCTCCCCCGCATCCACGAGGCCGGCTGGGACTTCGATGACGATTTTGTCGAGAGGTGGTCTATATTGTTTCTGCAAGACGATTTCAGGTCCTGTTCAGTCATACATTCATTAACAATTAGTTGTTAATATTAGCTTAGCTTTGATTGATCCATTCATTCATTCTATAAATAAACCAAGCAAGCAGAAAGCTGGAAGGGGGAAACGGAAAATAGGGGAATGGAAAGAGATTTACCAGTAGGTTTCTCAAGAATAGCCACAATGCCCACACCGTCTATATCAGAGCCTGTGGGCCGCGTCCTGCGTTCGGCATGCTCCCATGTGCGTTCTGTGCCGAGGGGATCGGTGTATGTTGTCCTAAGTGAACAATTAGTTAACTTTACAAAAGCAGAGCTAAATCTCAAAATTAGGGGAGGGGGGATGGAGTGAAGTACAGGACGAGCTTTGTCCATTTTGCTTGTTCTTCTTTCTGTGATGCGGGGGGGTATTATAAGCTGAGTTGCGCAGTGTGGGGACGTGGGGTGGGGTGGGGTGGGGTGGCTAACGAGAGGTTCGGTCTTGAGGACTTTGGCGTCTTTGGCTGACATTGTGAGAGAGGGAAAGTTGTGCTGGGGATGAGAGTAGATAAGGTAAAGAGGAGGAGGGGATTTTAGGGGAGAAGTGGTAGGCAAAGGAAGACGTGAAGCGCGTTTGCTTCAATTACGTCACGCGTGAGATATCCACGTGACACTCCGTAAGTGGAGGGGTTACCTTAGTTCTTATATCTTTCTGGAGGCTTACTATTACAAGTTGTGGGTTATGCGAGAAATCTGGAGGAATGGGGAAAGGAGATAATTCCTAGTTAAACGGGAAATCGGGTAATGGACATATTTGCCCTTCCAAGCTCAATCGACTTGATATTCTGATATTCACGTTCTGTTTTTCCTGTGAGTCTCCAATGCCCTGAAGACAGCTTTCCATAATTATATAGGGCCAGTGACAAAGGCACGATATGATACTCCAGAGCGCAAGAAGAATCAACTATTCACTCCTCCAGCTCCCAAGCCGGCACAGACACAAACCGCTCAATTGGATCGAAAGCTCAGATTACTTCATCTCCATCCCTCCCTCCACAGCACCAGCATCTCCTACCGCAATTGCCAGCATCCTAGCACGCTCAGTCTTGCTCGGGTTCTTCCAAGAATGCCAACAAGCCCTCTGCACAACCACTTCCCCTACCTTTACCAAGCGCGTCTCGCCTCCATCAAGTGTCAACTCCAGCTCCCCTTCCAAGACTACAACATGGTCCAAACTCTTGGTGCGGTGCATAAATCCTGGTTCGCCAGTTGGGTTTGGTCCAAAGTCTAGGATGACGGACGAAACGGCTCCAGCAGGGGGGAAACCGCGCAGGGGGGGTTCAGCCGGCGCTGTTTGGTGGTATTTCAGATCGGTGTTTTCGGCGATAGAGAAGTTGGAAGGCGCGGAATAGACGTAGCTCAACTTGGCGGTTGGTCCCAGTGGTTGACTTGGAGGAGAAGCTACATCTTCGAAGGAAGATGTTCCACTCGAGGAGTTCTTGGTGACATGGTAGACCACAGGCGGGAATGAGGATGTGGATGAGGCCATGGTGAGTTTGTGATAGAGTTGAGGAGCTTTGAGATGGAAAGCGAGTTGGAAAGACCCAATAAAAGTAACGAGATAATGGAGTTTTATACTAGGACATCACTGAGCTTGGCGGTGTAACTGCTGTTCCGCCTTGAGCACATTCGGAATCCGGGCCCATTTTTAATTGCCGAAGACTATGAGAGTGTAAATATTGCTGAAAGATCGACGAAGTATCAGCAATAGACAACGCATGGGAATAATTTTTTTTTTTCTTTGATTCCATTATTGTGCTGTACGAGTCAAAGACTACCTATGTAACACATCTGGGTCCTTAAGTGCCAGTCCTATTCGCCAATGACATATGTACACCCTTGGGGTCCCATCCAAACCTCATGGATGCGGCTTGCATCGACATCAATCCTATCGCCAACACTGTACGTTTTCTTATCGGCATCCTTTTCTTTGGGATATGTTATGGTAAATTGCCCTTTGAGAATCAGATGCGTCGTGAGGCCACGATGAGAGTGAGGATTGTAATGGGCATTTCTGTGGCAACAGTGTCAGCCACCAGGCCTGCCTTGGATGCGGTACTTACGGTCCATCTGTCCAGGTAAATACATGAGGGAATCCCCAAGATCGTACTTCATTCTCGTACTCAAGCTGAGACTTGGCTGCCATGCTGGGTGCAGTTGTAAGGGAGATGGTAAAATTCAAAAGTATTCGGTGTACAGTACAGTACATGCCATGACTTCAAATGCCCCGCCGGCACAAGCTCGGGACACAACTCACTGTAGTGCCAAGACTCATTCATCTACACTTCAGTCAACAAAGAGAATACGTTTCTCTACCTCTGCTCCTTTCTTCTTCTTTAGAAGTCTCCTCAGAATGCCCGTACGATCATGGCTGACATCTGACATGATTGTCTACTGTAGCTGGAGAGGAGAGTCTAGGTACAGTACGTTTCACGTCGGCCGACTATTTTCAGCCCCCAAACACCGCTTGTCAGATCCCAGAAACAAGCTGAACGCTTCGCTCTATGTTTAGAATCAACCATCTAATCCTCGAGACTTTCCCCTTTTACCTTTCTTCATGAAGCTTTCTTCCGTCAAAGACTGCTTTTCTGTCCCCCTCATGAATCCTCCGGACTCGAATCATCTCGAAGGCAAGTACAAGGTCCAGCTGGTGATGGTGATGGTGACGGTGATAGCGAACCACGTCAGCAAAGGCTTCACAAGGCGAGGAATAGGAATCATAAGCAGTCGGACGTCAATGAACCACCTGTTTCTCTTTCTATCTTCTCTTCAACTAGACCGAGTGAGTGAGTGAATCACTAACGTCTAAAATCTAGTCATATAAGACAGCATCCGTGCGCGCAATGCCTCTCCTTGCTCCCTCTGGTAAACAGTTCAGCCTCCACAAGCTCGTGGCCATGTCAACAATGCTCTCCCCGACCCACAACGGTGCGCATTCACGGCCCCTAGTACAGGCCGGTGGAGGAAACGCCGCTTCTGATATTCCTCAACACCAGCTCTATCTTTCCCACGGGATACAGGAACATCTACGGCAGGTCTATGAGGCGCTCTGCAAACCCCAAGCACGCCTACCTAAAGAAAGGTTTGCAGAATGGCTTGCTGCCGTACAATTTCAGGCAATTCAACCTCTTGACAAAGACGAATACAAATTCGAGGAATTCTTGGAGACTGTCTACTACAACGGAGCATTTGAAGCTGTCAGTAAACCGCAGGAGAAGGACCTCAGCAGACCGATCAGCAATTACTACATTAGCAGCAGTCACAACACATATCTCATGGGAAACCAACTGTCTTCGAAAAGTTCTACAGAAGCATATAAAAATGTAAGCTGCCATGGCTTCCTGATCAAGACCCAAGCTTACACCTGGTTAGGTCCTCATTCGCGGATGTCGATGTATCGAGATTGATGTGCACAACGGAGTACCTGCCGATTCACCCCCGTCCGTATCCCCCTCCAAGTTCGAATCAAATCACAAACGTCACGCATCCGGAAGTACGCTGTCTAGTCGAGCTGCCGCAGCGCTGGAGAAAGCGGAGGAAAAGTACGATTCAACAAAGTCCAAGATCATGAGCAAAAGCAAGCATTTCGGGACGGATAAGGACCTTACTGAGACGGAAGAACGGGGCAGAACAGCAACGCGAGATACTTTGACCATTGAAAAACCCCTCGAAAGACCAGCATCCCTCCGATCTTTGAGAAATGGGGAGCCCCTTGTCCTACACGGCTGGACTCTGACTACGCCTGTGGGATTCAGAGCAGTGTGCCAATCGATCCGAGAAACTGCTTTCGAGAAGAGCCCCTTTCCAATAATTGTAAGCTTGGAGGTTCATGCGGATCTAGAGCAACAAGAGACTATGGTGGATATAATGAAAGAGGAGTGGAAGGGGCTATTGGTCGATGAGGCCCATGAAGCTTGTAATCCTGATGAGAGACTCCCAAAGCTGGAAGAACTCCTTAACAAGATTCTCATAAAAGTGAAGAAGGCTGCTGCCGACAAGCAGGATCCAGTCAGTGGTGCTACTCTCGTGCCCATTCCTTCACCGAATGATGGGGATTCAGGCTCAGAAGATGAGCGAAGCAGTGGCAAGAAAAAGGTCAAAATCTGCGAGGCCCTCAGCAATCTAGGAATATATACCCACAGCGAGCATTTCGTCAGCTTCGAGGCAAAGTCGGCCAAGCTTCCTCCACACGTCTTCTCCATTGGCGAAAGCCAGATCTTGGAACTCCATGAGAACAAGCAAGCGGAGATGTTTCTCCACAATCGGGATTTCTTCATGCGTGCATACCCAGCAGGATTCCGAATCGATTCTTCGAATCTCGATCCTTCCGTCTTCTGGCGGAAAGGTGTACAGATGGTTGCGTTGAACTGGCAGAAGTTGGATGAGGGCGTGATGCTCAACGAAGGAATGTTTACGGGCGAGCAAGGATGGGTGCTGAAGCCTCCGGGTTATCGCAGTGACCCCTCAGAACATATTGAGTTCAAGACATTAGATCTTAAGATCACGGTTTATGCGGGCCAACATATCCCCGTACCACCCGGACAGGCTGAACACGGATTTCATCCATACGTGAAATGCGAGCTGCACGTAGAAAAGCCAGCAGAGGGAGCAGGTGATTCTGGCGGCGACAGTCGAGGAAAAGAAGTGGAGTACAAGCAGAAAACTTCCTATTGCAAAGGCGATCATCCGGATTATGGAAAAGATGGTGTGGTGATGTCTTTTCCACAGATCACTTCAGTGGTGGAGCAATTAAGCTTCGTGAGGTACGTTACACCATGTTCTATTATCGCGTCCCCGTTGCCCCTTTTCTCTCACATGCCGTTTCATGGTCACACGGACAAGGGGCCTTGTGCAACTCCCACACCACACCGCTCTGAGACCCAAGGGCCCGGTTCAAGATAAACCCACTTTCCGAATACCCGTCCCGTTCAGTGATGTATGCGCTGTCGCGGTGGCCCGGTGCGCCGCGGGTGTTTGCTCTCTTCTCCTGATGATCCGGCTGGTCGAGCAAGTGCTGCTGTGGGACACATGCCATGACCATGACCGTATTCTCCTTTCTCTGCACAACCACATCTATCTTCAAAGTACCATGTACCTACGGCTGACCTCACCTGTTTTCCAGATTCAAGATCGAAGATGCCAAGTACGCAAAAGACGAATTGGCCGCGTGGGCTTGTATACGGCTTGATCGTCTGCAGCAAGGCTATCGATTTGTGAATCTGTTTGACGCGAAAGGACAGGCAACTTCGGGGCTTCTACTTATCAAAACCGAGAAGTCGTTGGCGTAGAAATAAACGATTGATGGATGGATGGATGACGGACTTGTCTGAAAAACGAATAATGAGGATACCCAACGTTACTCGGCGTTTTTTTCTTCTTTTTGGGGGCTGGGATGGTGCGAACAGATTGGCATGGAGTTACATTATAGACGGAAAGGGGAAGACGCTTGCTTGCTTTGATAGGTGCAACACCAATACCATCCTAAAAATGTATTTATTGATTTTTCATAGCAATGGGAAAGCAATGGGAAAGCAAGGCAAGAAGCAACCGCAATCTCAACCACTAACTTTTCATTCCATTTCATTTCCACGAGGATAAGTTTTCCAAGTATCAGAACTTGCCACCCCCCACTAACAAACACCACGTCAAGTGACATTTCCCCAGCCAAGTCACGTCTCACAGATCGGTCGTGGCTGCAGCCAGCCGCCGCCATGCGTCTTTTCTTCCGAGAATCTCGAGGACAGACATGTCCACGCCGGCCGGTATCGGGCGTCCCATGGATTACATTGCATCATGTATATATGTATTGATTGTGTATGTATGCAGACGGAAGAAGGAAGAATATGATATGCAGTATGAGTGCGAGGAGTTGTTGCTGTTGTGCTGCTTGGCACAATCAAATGTTGTATCTAAGGTATCTATGCAGCATTGGGATTGCAATGCGCCATATGTAATGCGTATAATACAGAAACAATCGTATGATTGAGAGATCATGGGGCCTTCTGTCAAGGGTCGGGGAAGGTTTCGACATGTAATGATAGGTACGATGCGATATATAGCAAGGACCTGGGTACTGTTACTGTAGGATTTTACTGTACACAATACAAAGTACTATCGGTGGACTGACTGGAGAGTAATTGTGTAACTTATAAGTGAAAACAAGGCAGGAATAGCGACTTGAGAAGCTCGGTTGTTGCAGAGATCGCGGGACGGATCTGCAACCCCTTTCCGAATCCCGAGCATATGGGTCGGCATATGCACCCATGGGAGGCAAAGACACCACTTGGATCACGGAAAAAAAGGCAGAAGGAAGAATAACACCAAATAATGCGCATATTTCTGCAAACAAATGGAAATTGGATGGTCCGCACACGAATGAACAGGCGCGTTGGCCGCTACGCCGCATTTTCCGCTCCCCGTGCCGCGGAGACTTTCCTTTTGTCGGGACCAATCTGGGGTTTGAAACTCAGCCAGGTGAAGAGCCTTGTGGGTTCCGTTACACAATCCGGGGATGCGGCTGACAGGAATAGATAGTAGTGGACACACAACTTTGGCCCCTTCGTCCTCGATTTAGACAAAACCGAGAAAAAGAGATCTGGATAGAGATCACTATCCGCATACTTATTTTCACGTGAACTGACTTGCTTGTAAAGAGTGCAAGATCCCGTATATGCCAGACGGGTAGGAGCATGGATATGACCGTCCTATCCTCGATTGTTAAACATGATGGCGAAGAGTGGCCTGATGTTTTCGAACTACCTGCGCGGAGAACAAGGCTTTTTTGGTTGAAAGGTCATGCCCCGGCAAATACCGCATAATTACTTCCTTTTGGAAAACGGTCTGGGGTCAGAATGTGACGGGTCAGTAAACATATCGCTTGGCTGGCCGACTCCTGAAATGCAAGCGCTCTGGAAACTGACTGACGATCTGACAATCCGATTTAGTTCGCAAGAGAAGTAGACTCAATGTTCCGATAGGGTAGAGAATATGTGGTAGTAGCAAGCACCTGTAGATTAACTGCTTAATGGACGCCAAGTCTAGTTGATCAGATCTCACTCCCCCCAGCTGTCAATTCCATAGGGTATCTGTCAGACTTCAAAGTGGAAGAGCTCTAAGTTCGTGTCTCTCCGGTCGTCTTCTCATGTTTCTGTCTACTCACTGCTGCGGCGCAATTTGAAGCCAAGAATAATGGCCGCGTGGCACTAGTGTATGCAATTTTACAGAGACAACGACAAGCTAGATAACAAGTTCCAAGCGCAGCATCGATGGCTTGAAATAGACGGCAGGTGATCCAGAGGTACATGGTCAAGACGTGAAAGTTCTTGGTACAGAGGGCCCAGACAATTGGGACTACGACTGTGCCTGCGCCGAGGACCATCGTCTCGATAGGAGAGGCGTACTCAGCGGCAAGACCAAACGAAAGAACCTAGAACTCGGTTATGAAAACATGCATTTAAATAAAAGTATATTTTGAATGGCTTCAAACAACGTGTGAGTCTTCGAATCAGTCTTGTGCTTACTATTCCTCGGTATCTCATGCCACTGGGCTCGTCAGCACCCCAAAGCCGCAGGAACCAGGCGATTGGAGATGACTGCTACTTCGGTGAATGCCAGAGGTCTGATTGAATAGAACTGAGGTACGCTTGTGGCGCAGATAAGATGCAATTCGTGATATGATCAGTTTCATGGGGCACAAGCTTGCAAGGGACGTACTTTTGAAGCGATCCTTCTTCGGGGTTGTGAGAGGGGTCAATACACCATGTAGTTTGTGACACGTCAAAGCATGAGCATTTTCGACTGACGATTGGCAATCTAAACCTCAGTAAAAAGACTCCAGTAGTGGTAACTTGTAAGAGAATTGTAGTATTGTCGAATCAGGCCGGCCTGTTCAACATGTGACGGTTGTCTGAGTCCGCGGCCGCGATCCCTGCCATCCGGAATTAATATCTTTAAATGTCTCCACTCACTCGCTCTTTGGCTTCTTGACTTTTGATGGCCACCACTATGCGTTAGTTTGTGTCAAAGAAGTCTTTCAGTAAAGGTAGGTTACATACCAAGAGACCACTCATCATGAAGTCTCTGACGCATATCGAGCATCATCCTTGAGCTTCGAATTATCTTAGCCCGGCCGACCAATAATTTCATTGCGTGGTTGCCTTTAGACGACATAAAGCAAGCATTTAATCAAAACTCATGGCCTTCGTCTGCAGAGATCCGCAAACAACACCACCTGAGCAATCTCTTTCCGCAACTGCAGGCGGTAGTCGGCAAGAGGTAGAGCTGGCAAGTCTCCCGGAACCATCGTCGAAAAGGTATAAAGACGTTGCTCCCCTCTCAATGTAGCAGAAGCCTCCTCTCCATCTCCTCCCATTCAATTCTCCAATATCAGAGAACTTTCTTCAGTCCAAGTCCAACTTAAACTATCAAGCTATTCACACCTACTTGAGTGTTCAACACAAGCGTCCAATTCAACATCCAATCCGCAAACATGGTCTGCACATCATCCGCATGCGGCGCTCAGAGTCAAGGAAAGGCTCCGAACACGGTAGCTCGCAATGGCACATTGCCAATCAATTACCCCGCCGTGAAAAGCACTCCGGTAAGACAACAGGAAGAATTACACAAAATTTGAATCTGAGAGCTGACAAATAAATAGATGACGGGAGTCAGGTGCCCCACCTGCGCTGCCAATGGGCAAGAGAGCTGGGTTATCCCCGGACGAGCATGCGGCTATTGCGGAACAGGCTGCTAGATGCAGGTAGTTGAGAGCTTTCTCCAGACCAAACGTTGGAAAGCTAATCGCAGACACAGGCAATTCAGGGTCAAAAGACCACATACGATGAATCCGTCTTTGTCAGAGCATAACCTTCATGAACGTCCTGCACGTTGGGTACTTGTTCGAATCTCATGAGATGTTACATGGTTGGAGACATTATTTCGACGGCAATTTGGCGTTTTGGTCGTATGGGGTTGTCATTTTGACGGCCTGGAAAAGCTGCTCAGTATACTTGGAGCTGTTAGCGATTTCTCAATGTAATCAAGAAAATTCAAACCTCACTGTTTTTGCTACCCATTTTCGCTCGCTAACAGATTATGCTGTGATGACCTTCGTGTCCCCAGATAGTTTGCATTTGAAGACGTGGCAAACACTCGATGAATCGACAATGATCGTGTAGACTTTCCGAGAAATGGAGAAAACGATGCGACGTTTTTGGCCCCAGAGTGGATCTGACTAAAGGCGAAAATTGATATAGTCTCGTACACGTCTCCAAATGATTCGAATTTGATGGTATGTTTTTCCAGCATGCGGATTTTTGGCGCAAAAAGGGAAAAAAGGAAAGAGGGAGGAAAGAGTCAACTTTGAACGAGACCCGCCGGGTTTTATATTCTGTCAAGCCACGCAGTGAGAAATAAGCCCTACTTTCTAGGAAAGTGTGTGTCTTAGCCAAGTCGCCTCGATGGATCAATAGTGAAGCATGTAAATTAGTTCTTAGCCGGTGAGTCTCTGCACAAGCCGAAAATATCCGAGAGGTGCGGTAGGACAAGGCTGATGCAACAGGAAGCTCAATCATATGGATCTGACAAGTCACACCAGAACTTTATTTGGAGCCATCAAACTTCGACTACTGGCTGGTAGTGTTGAAGCACCTGTGTCTCGAGTGTCTCGCCTGTCAAAGGAGGGGAAATAGAACTCAGGTACTGTACGTATCTGACATATCGCTTCATCTCGCAGAGAATGCCAAGATACTCTGTACCGATGGGGCTACTATTTGTGTCAGCTAGGTATCTTGAGAAGACAAAGCCACTACAGGTACATAATACATACAAGTCCATCGAAGATGAGGATTTATGCATCGATTTTCGATAACAAGTTGTTGGTTACAAAAGAAGCAGCGCAGCCACTCCCTTGATATGAACATACGGAGTATAGATATTCCGGAACCGCCAAACCTAAATGAGCCTCTTTGATATGCTTCGTAAACCTCCGTAGAGCATAATCACTTTCTGTGTTTTCACTTTATAGCATAAGTAGTGTATCAACTCATCTGCACCACAACCAAGGCAAGCGCTGAGCAGTCTTTGAATCAAACGTCTGAGTTTGCAAAGAATCATCTACCACCATGGCACAGGCAAATTTGTCTCCCCTTGCCTGTACTCCATGTCGGCGGTCAGTCGAAACCCACTGTCCTGATCTATAAGTATGAGTTACCTGATACAGATCCTAGTCGGAAGATAAAGTGGTACGCCACTTCTATTCGAGATGCCGGTACCAAACACTGACGAATCACGTGCAGCGACAAAATCATACCAGGCTGTATAGTTTGCTCGAAATCACTGGTTGAATGTGTGTATCCTGCTGGTCCTCTAAAGCCAGGGCCAAAGCTTGGTGCGTCCAGGTGTGAAACTGACTCTTGCAGAACGCTAAATTCAACCGCAGGAACTCCAAGTCGTTATAGGAAGCGAGCCCGGTCGGAATCTTTAGAAGATGACCCTCCTGTTTCGAGAGACCGAAGTCCATACCAGGACCGGCATGGGAATGGCTCCCGTAAAGGCGACGCCTCACGACCACTTCAAGGGCATCCATCGGCAATATATGAGATCTCTTCTATTTTACATCCCTCTCATGGCAATCGCCGCCAAGATGACCCCGATGATCACTCCAACCCAGCAATAGACCCAAATCAGAGCCTCTCTGGCAATCCAGCCGTTTTCTCAGAAGCATGTCACCTGCTTGGTGTTTCTGTTGATGTTGCTCATGAACTGTGAGCTCAAGTTTTTCTTTTAAAATCACCGAGTACGAGTCACTAATGTTGAACTAGTATTGATATTTATATGTTCAATTTCTGTGCCTTCTCATTATTCCACCAACCATCATTCGCTACAAAATTACAGCTCGTGCCATCGCCCCAAGCATTGGGCGCACTTCTGGGGTCGATGTTTATCTTTTCCGCACGATTCGCCAAGAAAATACACAGTTGTGGCAAGTCGTCACGTTTAGTCGTTGCATTGTCCACCCTTACGCCAACACACTTCGAATACATTGCAATAGAACTACAGGAGAAAGTCTTGAAAGCATGTGGAGACGAACCCCCTCCACTATTTTTACTCCAATCATTTATACTCACAACATTCCAACATCTTATCAGAGGTGTCCGGGGCATAGCGTGGCGTCACCTTGGAACGTGTCTTCGACTTGCCTACGAACTTGATTTGCATTGCATTGACGCCACCTTAGAGGACTCCGTATCAGGATATGATGCAGCTAAATCGATTGAAGTTGAGGAGCGACGACGTGCATGGTGGGCAATTTGGGAGATGGATACTTTTGCATCAATAATAAGACGCTCACCCACAGCAATCAACTGGCCCGACAATGAGACGTTCCTGCCGATCAAAGATGAACTTTGGTACAATGGTACAGAACAGATGAGTTGTTTCCTTGCTCCAAAGCCCATGAATCGCTGGAGAAACTTGCAGAAGAGTGGAAATGGAGGGTGCAAAGCCTGGTTTATCGTGGTCAACTCCCTGATGAGAGATGCACAGAACTTGTCCGATCCAAGAGGGCTATTTTCAGAGTCAAGGGCCTCGTCTAAATCTAACCTAATGGTATCTGAAGATCTTTCAGTCATATCTAATTCATTACGCTGCTTGACAATTGCTTTACCAAACGACCTGCAATATCACGGCGAGTACCTTACGTTTGGCTCGGGTGATACTGGGCTAGCTCGGCAATTGGATGGACAAAAGCATAGTACTTATCTTATGATACAACTTACCCATCTCATAATCGACCACTTTGAGGCTTTCCGGGCATGTCCGGGGAATTCTCGCATCAGCTTACACAGCAACCCTTCCAACCCGCGGCAGAATGGTTTACTTGTACTGTCAGAGCAGCAAAGACAAGCTCTGAATCGTTTCGTCTTAGCTGCAGATAAAGCGTTCACTATGGTCAGCCGATGTTCAGACGACCATGTACAAGCCGTCAATCCATTTCTTGCCAGTTCGATTTGGATCGCGGCAGCTGTTCAACTCGTCCAAAAGTACTTCGGACCCTCGAGTATAAATTTGGATCTCGTTGATTCCAAGTTTGAATTTCTGCGAATGAACTACAAGCAATACGTTGAATTCTGGGACACACCTTCTGTCCTCGAAGAAAGGCTGGACGCTTTGGAACGGCAATTTAAGAAGCTACACACACTTGACAGAGGCGGGTCTTCAGCCCTGGAAGAGAAATCAGCCCCCCACAGGCTTGATGATGTGTCTCGGAATTTATCGCAGGCCCACGCCATTAGCCAGCCCGTGCAGTCTATAGGCTCCCAGCCTTCGGAGTTGCCACCGTCTAGTCTACCTGCTTTTCAGCAATCATCCGAGCCAGACCCCGAGCCAAAACCCCTTACTGCCGACACTTTCCTGACCGGAGACCAATTCCCCACCCCACCTACACCTAATACGAGAACAACATTTGAGGAGAGTATCAATTTCCCTTACGATGATGGAAACCTTAACGATTTTGGCTTTGGGCTACAAGCAGGGGGCGAATTAGACTTTCCAAGTTTCCTCAACAGTCTTTTCTCCGGATCTTATGATCAAATATAGCGAAATGAATGCAGTGGTTGGTAGCTAGAAACGATCTCATGTTCAAAGACAGTATCTCACCGCGGGCTATCATTAATCGCACATTGCACATGCTCCCCACGGATTCCAAGCTCATCGGCACAATATTTCTTCTTCACCCATCCGCTCTATATCCCAGGCGCATCCATAGTAGTTGTATCTTCAACGGACCCTAGATCTAAGTCAACACAGTGACAACTCGGCGGAGAAACAGTCTGGTCTCTCCTAAAGGTGGCCTACTGGATGACTTCGCTTCGCAAGAAATATGCATGTAGGGTGGTATATGAAATGAAATAACACCATGACTGTCACATACGACCATAGCTTGGAAAAATTAGGGCATCCCGTCCGCTCTGCCATACTCAAGATCCAAAGCGGTAGATTAGTAGTTGGGTGGGTGACCACCAGCGAATACCTACTGTTGTATGTATTTCCTTTGTTTTTCTTCTTTTTTTTTTTGCGTGATAGAGCTTCTGTTCGGGCAAGTTTGGCTCGACTTGCGACATCCATGCTTGCGTAGGACTTCCTTTTGAGATACGTATGTTTGTCTTCTCGGGCTTAGAGCCGGCGCCTTCTGGTATTGATGACATGCACCTCTATGTGTAGACCAACACAGCTTTCATTCTCTATTGACCGAGAAACATCGAACTCGTCAGATACTACAGGCAGCTTTACATCTTCCCGTGAATGAACGGTATCTATATGCATCCGCCTGTTCCACCAAGGGTCATCATGAGAATTCCCTAGGCATTGGAGTGGCCCTTGGTCCAAGAGACCACTTTCGTTCAACTTCAGCATATATATAGGCTTGAAAACATAACTGTGCCGATTCAAACTCTCACTTTCGAAGCCCTTCCTGGTAAGCTCCCTGCGAAAGTCCTGCCATGTTTCCTTGTTGTCCCGGGCGTGTGTTGATAGAGATAGCAACGACAACTTCGAGTCGCCTCGATCGGTCTCTCTGGAGTGAGCTGCTATGCTGTAAATTTCTCTCCGCATATCCTCAAATTGGCCGATAATTTCATGAAAAGCACCGTCCAGCTAAGTTTTAATCCGGCCTGCAGTTTTCAGCTGCACTATACGAGAAGCATATAGATCGTTGAAATGTGAGTAATCAGCTTCTCCTGATATTATCTAAATATTCTATCTTCGATCCGAATTTTAGGCGCTGACAGATCTTCGTTGCGCTTCCAGCCTTACGGTTAACACCTGGAGGTTCGTATTTTGCCAGGATATATCCAAGCTTCCCAGAAACATATTTGCAACTATTCGCGGTCGCAAGCAGCTCGTCCTTCGTGGAAGTGTCTTGCTTGAACACATTTGATTCTGTTTTTTGAGGTTCCGTCGGAAGAGCTCGGAGGACGATATGAAGATTTCGGACTACTCGTGATACTTCGATGTACTCTAGCCCGGCATTTTGGCAATTTCGGAAGGTTTTATGGGCAGGGAAAAGAAGACGAAAGAGAGGTGATGAAGTAGCTAGGCTGAGATCAGCCTTCCAGAACGCCCTCATGCATGCAACCGCAAAACGAGTAGGTAATCACACAAAGGCGTTAGAAGTCATCTTTATTATATAGACCTTGAACTCTACAAGAGCATTCCTTCCTCGACTACGAACATCTGAGAGAGTGAAATCGCCAAGTTATATGCATCTTTAAATCTCCGATGGTGCGAAAGGGAGCATATCCAGGAACAGCTCACCTGTATCAATTATTCACAAAGTCTATTCTTCATGCTTCGAATAAAGACATAAATGACTCATCAAAAGCTGAAACATTTCTTCATTTCAAGTTGAGGTAGTCACTTGTAACTTCCTCGTGATTCACAGATCTGACCAATCACGTCTCGAGGAGGGGTATGATTCGAGGCTGAAGCCATCCGCAGCTCGTCATCCTTTGTTCTGTCCGATATTCGAACCAACCTCCATACAACAAACACCCTACTTCCCCCTATAAATTCTCTACAAACTGCATCTACCACAAGTCTACGAGTCCTTGGCATTACATCTCGGCATCGTACGCGGTACCAAAATCTACCCCACCAACGATGAACTTCCTCCATAGCACCCTCGACAGAGTCCGGGAGTGGGCACCCGTCTCGCACACCTCCACCTTCCGTCAAAATGGTCAGATTACCCCCGAAGAGTTCGTAGCCGCCGGCGACTATCTAGTCTACAAGTTCCCAACGTGGTCGTGGGCAGACGCCTCTCCGGAAAGCAAGCGCGTGGGCTACTTGCCTCCAGGCAAGCAGTTCCTAGTGACTCGAGGCGTGCCATGTCATCGCAGACTTGACGATAACTTCGCGGGGGATGCCGGACAGGAGGAGACGATGGTGGGTGATGGAGAAGACTTTAAGCTTGCCGGGGGGCCGCATTCGCCTGGGGATGATGAGGATGGATGGCTGAGAACTGGGGGTTTGGGGGCGAGCCAGGAGGCAAGGGCGAGGGATGTGAGGACTGTGGACGAGAGTGGAAATATGGGAGAGAGGGAAGAAGACGAGGATGAGATTCCAGACATGGAGGACGAGGATGATGATGATGAGGCTATTATTCGAGATCCTAAGGGCGATGGAGCTGATGCGTAAGTCCTCCAGGCCGTTCCACCTTGAAGTATTCGTACTAATATGATCTTGATGATAGATCTCGACGTACATACACTCTATACATTGCCTACACTCCTTATTATCGCACTCCACGCCTCTACCTCTCCGGATACCTCGCAAACTCACAACCTCTTACCCCGCAACTCATGATGGAAGATATCGTCGGTGACTACAAAGATAAGACAGTTACCCTTGAAGACTTCCCCTACTTCAGCAACAACATCAAGATGGCATCTGTACACCCATGTAAACACGCCAGCGTTATGAAGACCCTCCTCGATCGTGCAGACGCCGCTCTCAAGATTCGTCGAGAGAAGATGCGCCAAGGAAAGATTGCACCAGGCGCCAAAGATGCTGGTATGGAAGGACTGGTCGATGACTTCAGCAAAACTGGTCTAAGCGGTGACAAAGCTCTTGTAGATGGTATGAAAGCTGGTGGAAATGGCAATGATGAATGGGAAGTCCTACAGCATGATCAGGAGGTCACGGATGAGGAGGTTGCTATTCGAGTGGATCAATATCTGGTCGTGTTCTTGAAGGTAAGCTTCAATCATTCTCTTTAAAAGGTATTATGCTAATCAATACAGTTCATGGCAAGCGTCACACCAGGGATCGAACATGATTTTACTATGGGTGTCTAAGCGGTATTCTGTGTCTCTGTTTTGGGAGGTATTTTGAAGCGACAGAGTGGATCTGGATTCGATTATTTGGGAGCCCGGGGAAGGCTTTGGCGTTTAGGATAGGATCGGGCAGCAAAGAATGACAGCAGTGCACAGTACATACCACTCCATAGAACGCATGACGAATACCAACAAGTACCACTATTCCCACGGTCCTTGAGTTATACTTTGTAAATATGAGTCTACCTAGTACTCGAGATTGAGATTGCAGAATCTGACAAGCTGTAAGTTCCATCAAGTAAGATGATGAAGTGTATAAAAAAGACAATGTTCATTCTTCGTCTCATTCAGGGATAGGGACCCCGTGAATCCCGATTTATCCGCGTCCCGACTATTAATTAATTAACTTTGAAGACGTTGAAAGCTCAAAGTCTGAAAAACGACAAGATTAAGCCCGTGTGAAGCTGTATCTCACATCTTCAAGGGTTTTCAATGATATCAAGAATTTCAAGAATGCAAAAGAGTGAAGATATACAAGTGTTTGATGACGGAACTGATAGGAATGATCCCGACACTATGGCTAAAACCGGACTAGTGGATTCCTGACTTTTGTTGGAAATTGATAGCTTCCCAACCCAACTGAACGCCGGCTGAAGAAATCTTGACACCTGCATTCTCAACTCAACCCACCTAAATCCATCCTATCTCCTTCTCCTCCTAGCTGCGGCTTCCTACCAAGATGTCCCGACTCTTGCGCCCAGCTTCCAGAATTGTGTCTGCAGCATCAGTGCGACCTGTAGCCCGCAGCGCCTTCCAGAGCTTTCCCCGAATTCCGGCGATTGTCCAAAGCAGAGGATATGCGAAGGAGAGCGGCGTAAAGGAATACACAGTCAGGGAAGCTTTGAATGAAGCTCTTGCGGAGGAATTGGAGTTGAACCCCAAGGTCTTCGTCCTGGGTGAAGAGGTTGCTCAGTACAATGGCGCATACAAAGTTACCAAGGGACTGTTGGACCGATTTGGTGAGAAGAGAGTTATTGACAGTCCTATCACCGAGTCTGGATTCTGTGGTCTTACAGTTGGAGCCGCATTGGCTGGTTTACATCCTGTCGTAAGTCCTATTGTTCCCGGCGCGATAAGCAGTGGCTAAGAAATGACTACAGTGCGAGTTCATGACCTTCAACTTCGCCATGCAAGCCATTGACCAGATTATCAACTCGGCAGCAAAGACACATTACATGTCTGGTGGTATCCAACCCTGTAACATCACTTTCCGCGGCCCCAACGGTTTCGCGTCCGGTGTCGCAGCACAACATTCACAAGATTACTCAGCCTGGTACGGAAGCATACCCGGTCTCAAGGTCGTCTCTCCCTGGAGCGCAGAAGACGCCAAAGGATTACTGAAGGCCGCCATCAGAGACCCTAACCCCGTCTGTGTCCTCGAGAATGAGTTGTTATACGGCCAATCCTTCCCTATGAGCGAAGCCGCACAAAGAGACGACTTCGTCATCCCGTTCGGCAAAGCAAAAATCGAGCGTGCAGGAAAGGACCTTACCATCGTCACTCAGTCTCGCTGCGTCGGCCAATCCCTCATCGCTGCCGAGGCCTTAAAGAAGAAATATGGCGTCGAGGTTGAAGTTATTAACCTCCGCTCCATCAAACCCCTCGATATCGAGTCAATCGTCAAATCTGTAAAGAAAACCCACCGTATTATGGCCGTCGAGTCCGGTTTCCCGGCCTTCGGTGTCGGCGCTGAGATCCTCGCCCTGACTATGGAATACGCCTTCGATTACCTTGATGCGCCCGGTGTGAGAGTTACGGGTGCTGAGGTGCCTACACCGTATGCGGCTAAGTTGGAGGATATGGCCTTCCCTAATGAGTCGGTGATTGAGAACTACGCCAAGAAGCTGTTACGGTTGTAGATGGCTGGTGGATAATTGGATGGCATAGGGGGTGGTATTCAAGATGTGTATTTCTAGAGCGCCTTCATGTGACATAGTTAAAGGATACCTCTCGATACCTTCCTGCTTTACCTGTGTACCACCAAGTTGCTTCTATCACAAATCCTAGACTTCTTTTCAACAAAATGCTTTATATCGGTTTTAATTTCGGCATAATAGCAAGATAACAAACGCAAAATGAGGCTAAATCAAGGGTCCAATTTAGGTGCAAATCCTACACATTCAGGCTAATTCTATTGGTCTCGGCGAATCTTCCAATCCACTTCATCCGGTCCTTCTCCGTCGTACTCTCGTACTCTGTATACTTTTCCAAAAGCATACGAAGCATCAACTGGTTGCAAGCTTGATCGTTGGGACTTGAATAGTACGGTACAGTCTCTGAACTTCACTTGAAAGCCGCTCAGAAGTAGACTACTATCTATGTTATGTTATGTGCAGGTTCAAGGATAATACTGTATTCAAATCAGCCACTGCACTGCTCACCGCTTTCCCCTTTGGGAATGCCAGCGTTTTTGTTGCATATCGCAAAAGAGGGCACTTTGCACTTTGGAGGGTCACTTTCGGGGGTCGTTTTGGGGTTTTGGCAGTAGATTAGGCGGGCTACCCAGAATACCGATCTTTAATTACAGCAAAACCTTTCTTTCCAGCTGCCTTGCCTTACCATGCCACATCAATCAATGTTCCCCGAATCAACAGTAACATGTAAATTCCCATTTCCATAAGCAAAAGAATCCCCTGTTGATATTTATATGTTAGCAACGTGGTGGAGCCCAATACGTTTTTGGTGAGGCGATGCATGAGGTGAGGGAGCAGCAAGCTTACCGGCTAAAGCAGTCTGGCTACGAGCACCTCTGCAACTCACATAGATATCTGCTACGCTGTACGCCACATCGGTACTTCACTCAGCAAGGAAAGATTAGCGCTCACTTGCTCTATCGCTGGAAAGGAATTCTGCTCAGAATGGAAAGCTTATATACATAACTTACCAGTAGGAACCCCACACTCCACCAGGGCCAAAGTTAGTCCCCACAACCAACGCCGACCCTGCTCTCACAAAATTCGAAATGCTCCCCGTATTTCCACTGCCGCCGCAGAAACGGGGTCCCAATGCATAGAGATAGTTGAAGCAGGCTACGACATCGTTGTTGTTAGCCAGGTCTACGGGTTGGCATAGGGTCCCGGTGTTGAGGGTATGCAGGGAATGAAAACGGTTTATGTGTGTTTCTAAAGTGGAGGTGCTGAAGAGAGCGGCGTTGGTGAGGTTGAGTGACGCCAGTGTGGGCATTCCTGGGCCGGGCACAATGGATGGGTATGTTTGTGTGTTATTTGTAGGTGCTGCGGCGCCTAGCATGATGCAGACATTGAAGAGGATGATGAAGAGGAGGCTTAATTTGAACATTTTCTTGTTGGGTGGACACTTGGGCATAAGAAGCTGAGTAGATTGAAAAGAGGGAACTCAAGCGCTTGGGAATGGGTGAGAGATATTATTTTATAGATGGTGAGCATTCAAGGGCTCATGATATTTCTAGAAAGTAAGAAACGCGATCAGCCGCATTCTTGAACTTGTGTACACTCTACTTGTGCGATGTAAATTCAATAACGACACATGATATACTCTTGTCACCTTGTACTTATACAATGTGTACACAAAGAAGGGGTATGGGCCAAGTACTGTACAAATATAAAAGGCTGGCATCAGACACCAAGACAACATTTGCACAAATCCAAATAGATATAGCTTATGTTCCAATTACAAATTGCGAAGGGCCACCACATAAGCAAAAGGAGGTTTCGCACTCAAAGGTCGTTGAAATTCAATATAGTCTTGTACACTTGTGTGTATCCAGCTCGAGACCTGCTTTGGAGGGAAGCGGGCCGAGCGAGGTAGAAGACATGGTTGGGAGGTTTGAAACAAAAACGAGACGGGAGAGGGAAAGGAGAGTTAAGACATACGATGAAGTAAAAGACTAGCAACGATACAGTGATACACGATGTCTGAATTTGGATCTGGGCTCGAAACTTCTTCGTATCGATGTCTTGATACCACATACCTAAAGGCTCGAGGTAGTAACAACCGTGAAATGATCACTTGCTAGATGCAAACCATCCAATATTCCACCGAGGCTCTATCTTGCCCGTCGTAGCTTCGGGGCCCATTCAAATCTTTTCATAGTTAGTCCCTCTGCACCGCAGCAGAACTCATAACCCAGCAACGAAGCCCATGTTCAGTGCGCTGGACAGTGGTGGCTTTCCTAGCGGCCTTTTCTTGGGTATGGCGAAGGATGGTGCTGTGGTGGCTGTCTTGGTCGACTTTTCGTTATGTTTGGTGAAGAGTTTTCATTCCAGGTATCTTTGGAAGTCATGATATAGGGCCGGGCCTATGTCGTGGTATCGTCCGACGCATTGAATATGCCAGTTCCCGCGTATGTCTCAATCCGTAGGAAACCTCGGATCATACATCTCATAATCCTCATCTGTATCACTCTCTCCGCCCTGCAAACCTTCAATCCTCCCTTCATCCACACTACTCCTCCTCTCCTCACTCTTCACCACAGCAGGCTCTGACTCAACCCCATCCGAAGCTGGTGCAAAAGCACTCTTGAAGCCCGCCTTCTTAAACCCACCTTTCTTGAACCCATTACCACTTCCACTCCCAACTTTCTCTCCTCCCTCCACTCCCCCTTCTCCTCCAAGTTTGATACTGATAAGCCCCATCCCTTTATCAGCTTTCGCTTCCGCCTTTCGCGCTTTTGATGATGCGAGTGGATCGCGTGTAAGTTGGCGCATGTCTTTCAAGCGCTGTTTGTGTGAGTGGTCGTAGGAGGAAAGGTGCGCTTCATATTCGTTCATACGGGCATAGCCTTTGCTGCATAGTTCGCCTGTCTCTTTAATCAGCATGAGCCAATTGGAAATACGGCGGGAAGAAGTACAGTAAAAGGACTTGACTGCTTGTTTTGCGCTGTCGGTTTTTGGCGCTGGGTTTGTGAATCCGCGCTTTGGGGAGGCTGGTCAGCTGCTATGTTGTATTCGGTTTCTATGTAGTGGAATGGACTTACGGGAGGCATATTGAAGATTTATGTCCCTTCTCTTTTGGTGTCAAGTTCTGTACCATGTCAAACTCAAAGTTGATGTCAAGTCTGCGGTTGTGAAGGAGACGTAAAAAACAAGGTGTGGTCAATGCGCAAATAAGCTTAAATTTCAAAGATGGACGAACCAAACATCTTCATTTCGATGGTCATCCAATCTTTTATTTGTTTTGAAGTAATACCTCGATATTGAGATGGAAGAGCGACGAGAATCCACAGCCTCGGAAGAGGCTTTTTTTCTTCAACAACTAGAACCATCACCAATCGAATCGCCTTCCTCAGATGCAGGACCTGAGAAGCAACTACCCGATCTGCCTTCTCCTCCACACTCTTTAGGACTGAGCGGAAGTGGGCATGGCGTTGCATATTACCGTACTCTTCCCTACTCTTCAGAATCTTTGAGAAATAGACTGTTAACGAAAACTCCCGAGCAGTAATAAGAGCCCAAAAATACTCTTCCTATATCTTCACCATCTACACAGCCTTCCACCTAACAAACACCTCCATAATCCCCCTCATAACACGCTCTCTCCCAGCCTCAGAACCCTACCTCCTCCTCACACGGCCCTACTACCAATCCTTCCCCCTCGAACCCCTCCTCATCACGCTCCCCATCACAACGCACATTCTCTCCGGCCTCGCGTTACGAATCCACCGTCGAAATGGGAATCTAAAGCGATACGGCGCTGCGAATCTGTCGATCAGTTCACGCTTATCAAAGAGGTTGAAGGTCTGGCCGGCTGTGAGTTGGACTAGTGCAAGTGGGTATATACTCGCGCCGCTGGTACTGACGCATGCGTTTGTGAACCGTATATTACCGTGGGTGTATGAGGGCGGTTCAAGTGGCGTGGGATTGGGGTATGTCGCGCATGGCTTTGCACGGCATCCGGCTATTGCTTGGACGGGGTATGTGGCGCTTGTAGCTACGGCATCAGGTCACTTTGTTTGGGGCGCGGCAAGGTGGAATGGGTGGGTTGAAGCGGGGAATGGGGAGAAGGCCAAGAGGAGATGGTGGGTTATCAATGGGGTTGCTATTGCGCTTGCGGGGCTGTGGATGGCTGGCGGGTTAGGAGTTGTGGGAACGGGGGGTTTGAGTGAGGGGTGGATTGGGAAGGGGTATGATGTGCTGTATTCGAAGGTTCCTTTGGTGAAGCTGTAGAAGTACGGGTGTGGATTTGTGCATTATCAAGATACTCGGATGAAGAAGCATGGCATGGCGTTGAATGGATACATTGGTGCATGATAGACAGAGATAGATTTGGGAACGAATAGACATGGATACAAATGTCACTTGGTACGTTGATCACTCATTGTCAAGAAAGTTGCGTTAACTTGCGTGTACTACAACTACTTCTTAACTAGCTACAAATATGGACCCGAAATCCAGAAATTCCAAAGAAGTGATTTAGCTCATTCTTCTGCTCTATCTCAAGCCCTGATTCTGAGCACTGTGACGATTCTGCGTCTGAAGCGACGCCCAACATCTTTCAAACTTTTCGGATTCTGGAATTACTTCCTCTGGTGATGAGGCCAGCAAGTACACACATTGGACTTCAGAGCTCATAGAAACCATCCAAGTGGAACGCTCCTAGCTTACTTCTAGTCTATGTGTATAACATTGTAAGTCGCGCTTATCTTTTCCCCTTAGCTCTTCATTAGCTTCAGTTTTATCGCTTACCTAGTTGTTGCAGCCGAGCCAAAAGGTGTAGGATCGAATGTGAAACCCCCCTGGAAAGAAGTAATTAGACAAAACAAGAAAGACTTCGCTTCAATGCCGTGGCAGGATGCCTTATCTCCAGTTTTGGCATCAACAAAAAAACTGCCTGTTGTTCGAGACGCATGCAAAATGCCCTATTCCGGATGGAAGTGATAATCATCACCCTTACTCTACACGCCATCTACCTCCCTCCCCTCAATCAACCCCCTCAACTCGTCTAACAATTCAACCGTCTCCCCAGGACTCGCAATCCAAGCCGTTGTCCCCACCACGCGGGCCTTGAAATCATTGCTCCCCGCACTCAAAAATTGATCCCCAACATGTAGCGTCCTCTCGCCCCCAATTCTCCCCCCCTTAACCCCACCAAAATACTCCTGGCAAACCAGCACTCCCCAACTTTTATCGCCAATGTCGACAAAAACATCATTCCCACCATTAAAGGCACAAAACGGCAACATCCGCCCTACTGCACTCATCTCCAGTTTTTTCTGCACAACCAACACCGTTTCCTCTAATGATTCTCGCGCGAATTTATGGCCTGGTATAGAAGGGATGATGCCTACGGCTCGCTCTTTGCGGAGAATAGTGGCGGGGAGGGAGAGGTTGGCTACGCATTCTCGGAGGGAGGATTCGGCAAGGTCTAGGAGATCGGTTATGGTGGGTTGTGTCCAGGTCGACATACTAGGTAGGATCCCTGCGAGGAGGGGAAGTTAGCTTGAATTCTAATCTGGAGGAGCGCAGCAATGTCTCTGCAGCTGCGAGAAATTCTAAGAGGATCTTATCTGGAAGCATGACTGCAAACTCTCTAGACATGCTGAATGGGAAATAAATAGGATCCACGTTGTTCTTACAGCTACGCCGGGGAAGGTGGGAGAGGAGGAAGGGAGAGGCTTCTGAGTAGGTAAATAGGAAGTTTGATTCGCCACCTATGGGATAGTCAGCTGGATGATATCAAGAAAAGTACCATTGACAGGAGTATACTGACCCATTATTATGAGATTTTGCTTCTGAGCAGGCGAAAGTATCGTAGACGCCTTCACAGCGTCGAGCAGCCCATGTAGTCGCCCATAGTATTTCTCGGCCTCTGTATAGCCAGCCGCAGTCACGATTCCAATCTTCGTATCCTTACTCATCAAATCTATTCATTTCATATTAGAAAGAGTAAGTCTGCTCATCTAGTCACGTGAAACCCACATAGGATCCTCTCAATGACAGGGTTACTAGATTCCAGGCTCTGGCCATCATCGTATCTAACTCTATTAATATAGATTTCATCAAAAGGAAAGAATTGATGGTCTTACAAAGTAACATCACCATCAAATGTAGCCAAATCCACCGGCCCCGCAGCCGTAACACCCATCAACTGCGCGGTGTTGAGAATCAACCTCACATCATTAAAACTAGGCGGAACAAAACGCCTCGACGAGATGAACCGCTTCTTGTCCTGATAGATAAAGGCATCGGCCAATGGCAATCTCGTAAAGAAGGTTCCTATACTCGGGACTAGTAGCTTAAGCTTTGATTGTCCGTGCAGGTTAACTTCTTGGTGGGCGACTGAAAAAGGTTAGCCCGATGATAACGTTCCTGAGAAGTCGAGACATTGTACTCACTATGATCGTCAATCATCACTTCTACATCCCTCATGATTTCCCAGTATCGTCTATGTGCTTCAGCGGCCATCATCTTGACGCTATTGGTCCGTGTCTCAAAAACGCCTGTAGGCTGAGAGTGGAGGACGAATGGGACGGCGAGGAGGCCTTTGACCCATTCTGTTTTACGTTAGCATCTCTCTATAATATGAGAAAATGCAGGTTGACATGGGATGAAATGAGTAGGGAGAGCCGTGGGGGTGGGGCAAGGCACGGCAGGGAATTGGGCAGGGACGAGATAAGAGAAGTGAGGCCTAGTAGAATGGGACGAGAGGAAGTACCTATAAACTGATCCCGTCGATGGGTTTTCAGTGCGTCTATAACTGGCTGTTAGCATTGCACCTCAGACCATCGAGAGACTGGGGATAGTAGCTAGGCCCGGCTTACATTCGACGCGGTAGCGAGTAGTCATGCTGAATGTCTTTTTTCTCACGAACAGTCTAATGAAAGTCTCTGATCTTGGGATCTTATGCAAAAGGCGACGGTTTGCTAAGTTGTTTGAGCATGCGATGAAATTGTGTAGTTTGGAGCAGACATGGCTTGGCTTGACGAGACGAGGTTGGTTGGTGTTGGGTCCCAAGTTTGGCAAGCGAGATCGACTAGTGAGGGTTGCCCCTTTTCACCTACCTCTTAAAATCCTCTAGTTTGACAAACTCTCACTTAATATCGCTGATTTTAAGCCCAAACAAGTTTTCATCCGGAGTGCATCAGACACAGCAATCATCAAAAATGGGCTACGATAGTACAAAAAGATGCTTTTGATTCATAATCTGCCCACAATGTTCCATCGAGCAGGAAGAGATCCTTTAATTGCCCTTGAAAGCCTGCACCCTGCCACTTTTCTGCCTCAACCTCGCCCCATCAGCCTCTTCTCTCCCCGCATCCGTGACTACCCCCTCCAGCCCTTTCATAACCTGCCCTTCGCCGTCATCCCAACCGGCTACATGCTTCCACTCATAGATTCCTTGCTCCCCTCTCTTCTCTCCAAACTCATTCGCTTCCCTATATTTCATCGTATTCTCGCTCCCCACACTCCAACTATCATGCCGCATCCATTCCCACGCCACACTAAGGCTACAATTCCCCTTCACCCCCTTCGTCCCAGTCTTCATGCGCGAGACATTGAAGACGAGCTGTTTGGCTCGGCCTCCTTGGAAAAGCTTCCGCAAAACGTTGGGCTGCGCTGTGCGTATCCAGCTGGAGTCATCGACATCAGGAGATATGAAGAGCGATGCGAGAGCGCAGGATGTAGCGAAGAAAACGTAATCTTCTACGCCTTTCACGTCGGCTATTGCTGGAGGGGCGACGCACGTAGCATTGAGCTCTGACTCTTGGTTAAGGGAGAGACCGAATGATGTGCCCGCGACTGGGAATTGTGAGGTGCGGGAGGTTATGGTGAGGGTTGTGTCTGGTGTTAGTTTTAGAGTCGCTATGGATTCTAAACGTTCAGTTAGGGAGGAAATGGTGCGTTCTGCGAGAGAGAAGTTTGCGAATGGCGGTGGTTGGGAGGGCGAGTGGATTATGGTATACGATGGTGTTGGGGTTAACGATGCAGATTTCAGCATCGCGCAGAGAGGGGCGAGGAGATTGTGGAGGGATGTAATTGTTTGTTGGTGGCGGTGCCGTGTAATCAAGGAACGTAACAAGTTGTAGGGTGGGTTTGGGCGCTTTGCGGCCGAGATTGGGGCTGGGATTTGTGTCCTTCGACGATGGTTTTGCCTGTGGGAGTAAGCTAATAGGAGGTTGAGGGCTATAGCAATCCCTTCTGCAGTAGAGTCATCAGGGCCGGGTGGTGAAGGAGCCGAGTCGCCCAAAATGACCGGATCAAGCAATATAGTTCTCTCAGAGTCAAGAGGAAACGTGAGAGGGTCCCCTTTATACCTCACATTAAACGCGCCAAGTGTTCTTGATTCGCGGCTGAGCTCTTGCCAAAGCTCGGTAGAGAAGATGGTATTTCGTGCTTGGAGTATTAGAGATTCTATAGGACCGTCTTCGGGCACAGGTCTTGGAATTGTTGATGATCCAGTGTTTATGCCGTTTACTTGGACACGAACCCGCACACATTGTGGCTCGGTGCTCGTTACTCCTTGATCTAGGGATATTGACCCATCTGCGTTTCTCCGTAGAGCTGCTAGACTTTGGTTCCTGAAGGCTGGTGCCGCTGTTTTTGTTAGCATTCAGTATATTCTAGGAAAGGGTACTACAAACCCTCTAAAAACCCAAATCTCACTCCCAAAGTTTGCTTCTCATTTGGCAATCGGCACACAGCCCATCCATTTTCACTGACAGCAAGAACTTGCTCCCAGTACTTTGTCTCCGTCTCCATTTCTTTTTCTAGCCTCGTGGCCGATTCGAGAATGGTATCCACTGTCTTATTGAGGTTCTGTATCTTCCACCCTTTGGCAACATGCCTGTTGTTCTCCTTCTGGGTATCCGTAATTCGGGAAGCTTGTATCTTATCCGCCCCCAGTGTGCCTGTTCCCACCATCTCCCTTAGCTGGGGCGTCATGGACAAGCCAGCTTGAACCGGGGTATCTTTCGAAAGCAGGAGGGAGACGAAGTCTAAAGCGAATGCCGCGCCATGATGAGCAGCCCTGCATTGTTAGCAGATGCATGTTATGCGCCGTGATAAACCTACTCGAGCTGGACCAGCATTTCATCTCTAGCTGTCATAAGCTCCTTCATCCGGTCAGGCTCCTCATCCACCTCTTCCTCCTCACTCGAGCGATCTTCTTCGCCATTGCTACTCTCTGCCTCTGCTTCGGCAATTTCCTGGTGTAAACTTTCCTCGCTGATATCTCGGAAGCCCCCTCGTTCGAAGTTGATGCGCTGAATGAGGTTTGGTAGGGAAGTGGAGTCGTTGCTATTGGAAGAGGGCCATGATTTTAGAGATATAGGGAATTCGTTCGGTATGGAAGCCATAGCTATTATTCGAGACGCGACCTAGTAGTCTGGAGTAGTGCTGGAAGGTGTCTCGCTGTCTCCGGCCTCGAGTTGGGGCTGTTGATCGCTGGCCGTCAATTTAAGGGAGCTAAGGTTACTATAGTAGGTTGCAACCCTCCCTCTCTCATCCACCTAATATACGGTCGTTGTCGTGGGTCGTGAGGATATATACCGGACCTACAAGTACTCGATTCAATACCGCTGATCCAGCCCAGCCCAGCTCTGTCGTCACGTCACCCTCTCCGTACAGTACTTTTGGTGGCCGGGATGCGACCGTCAATCGGTGTTCAGCGGCTCAGGTACCCAATTTTAGTGACCTGCGCGCCCAGTTGCGACCCTACGACAGCGCCCAATTAGGGTGTGCATATACTGGGACTTTGCCGTGCAGGGGATACTGTAGGTTCCCCCCCACATGCGCTATAAAACCACCGTATCAGGTGTGTACGCACTCGGTATTATTGAAGGCTGCGATAACTTCGGCGCCGATAAGAAATTTAACCCTGTCAACAACTTCGTCTTTTCCTGCACCATATCGTCACTTTCCTAAGATCCCGCACCTGGCCATTTTTTACCACGTGTGAGATACCTTATTTCACTTCCTACTTGTACAAGTAACGTAATTACCATTCTCTCTCTTCATAAACGGGCCTTCTCAAAGCCCCTCCCTATTTTTAAAACTCAAACCTTCCTCCATATTCATCTTCCCTTCCTTCACCCCTCATCAGAGCTCACCCCACCATCAACACCACCACCATGGCACCACCACATCCCGCAAACCCTCCCCCTCCTCTCGAGGGGAAGCTCCGTCGAATCGCTATGATGACCAGCGGAGGAGATGCTCCTGGTATGAATGCAGCTATCAGAGCTGTGGTCCGAATGGCACTCGAGAAAGGCTGCGAGGCCTATTGTATCTACGAAGGCTACGAAGGTCTGGTCCAGGGCGGCAGTTTCATACGCAAGTTCGACCGGGAACAAGTCCGAGGCTGGCTCTCTGAAGGCGGAACATTGATTGGCACAGCGAGGTGTATGGCCTTTTACGAACGTCCCGGAAGATTGACTGCTGCGAAGAACATGGTTTTGAACGGCATCGATGCTCTAATCATCTGCGGTGGTGATGGTTCCTTGACCGGAGCTGACAAATTTCGTGCGGAGTGGCCCAGCTTGATCAAGGAACTGGTCGATACCAAGCAATTGACCGCGGAGCAAATCGAGCCATTCAAACATCTCAACATTGTCGGTCTTGTTGGCTCAATTGATAACGACATGTCCGGGACAGATGCTACAATTGGATGCTTCTCGGCATTGGGCCGAATCTGTGAGTTAGTTGACTACATCGAAGCCACGGCCTCATCACATTCTCGAGCTTTTGTCATTGAGGTTATGGGTAGACATTGTGGTTGGTTGGCTCTCATGGCCGGAGTCGCAACGGGTGCGGATTTCGTCTTCATTCCCGAGAAACCTAGAGCCGAGAATTGGAGAGAAGAGATGTGCTCAATCGTGGCGCAGGCAAGTTCAATGTGATTTATCTGATGATCTTTTACTAACACTCTAACAGCACCGAAAGATTGGGAAAAGGAAGACAATTGTCATTGTCGCTGAGGGTGCTGCTGACCAGGATGGGAACAAGATATCCCCCGAAATGATCAAGGATCTCCTCGCAGACAAGGACGGCCTCGCTTTAGATACTCGAATTACAACCCTTGGACATGTACAACGGGGTGGTTCAGCATGTGCCTATGATCGGCAGCTCGCAACATTACAAGGCGTGGAAGCTGTCAATGCTGTGCTCGACGCCACACCGGAAACACCAACCCCTTTCATTGCCATCAATGAAAACAAGATCACTCGAAAGCCTCTTGTACAGGCTGTCTTGGACACCAAGGAGGTCTCTAAAGCTATTGAAGCTAAAGATTTTGACCGGGCGATGAAGCTGAGAGACACCGAGTTCTCGGATATGTATAACTCATACATGACTACAACAGCAACCCAGTTAAACCAATCTATGAAGCTTCCTTCTCGCAGAGTAAGTTTCACTCTGGATCTACAGAGTTTCACCTCTTTCCTAATGCACTTCTAACCTGTCACAGCATATGAAAATCGCCATCATTCACGTTGGTGCTCCTGCTGGTGGCGTAAATGCTGCAACCCGCGCTGCAGTAGCATACTGCTTCACTCGTGGCCATACTCCCATTGCCATTCATAACGGCTTTGCTGGTCTCGCTCGTCATCATGATGACAAACCTGTCGGAGCAGTCAGGGAGTTCGACTGGCTCGAGGTCGATGGCTGGGCAAGCAAAGGCGGTTCCGAGATTGGGATGAATCGTGAGACTCCCGGCGAGTCCGGCATGGAACACATTGCCTCTCTTTTCGCGAAATACAAATTCGATGGACTTTTCATCATAGGCGGCTTTGAAGCTTTCCAATCACTATCTCAACTCCGTCAAGCACAAGAAAAGTACTCATCTCTCTGCATCCCCATGACTCTCCTCCCCGCTACAATATCCAACAACGTCCCCGGCACTGAATACAGCATCGGTTCCGACACCTGCCTCAACGAACTAGTCCGCTACTGCGACACCATCAAACAATCCGCCTCCGCCTCCCGCCGCCGTGTCTTCGTAATCGAAACGCAAGGAGGCCGCTCGGGTTACGTCGCCACTCTCGCTGGTTTGGCCGTCGGTGCCGAGGCAGTCTACACTCCCGAAGAAGGCATCAGCATCGCCATGCTCGCCGCCGACATCACACACCTCAAGAAAGCCTTCAAAGAAGACTCCGGCCAATCCCGCGCTGGCCGCCTGATCCTCATCAACGAGAAAGCGAGCAAAGTCTACAACGCCAAACTCATCGCAGATATGATTCGCGAAGAAGCACATGAGCGATTTGAATCCCGAGACTCGATTCCGGGACATGTCCAGCAGGGCGGCACGCCCTCACCCATGGACCGTACGCGTGCTGTGCGTCTAGCGATAAAATGTATCGAGCATCTCGAAAGCTACGAAGACCGCTCCGACGCCAGGATCCTCAAAGATCCACAATCTTGTACCGTTATCGGTATCAAAGGCGCTAGCGTCGTCTTTTCCCCGATGAAAGAAGTCGAAGAGAAGGAAACGGATTGGCCGAATCGCAGACCGAAGGATGAGTTCTGGGTTGAGCTGAAACACATTGTTGATGTACTGAGTGGCCGGCCCGAAGTCCCGAGGCCAGAGAGTTCTCTAAAAGGCTGGAAGGCTAAGGATAGGAAGAGGGGGTTAATCTAGTAGATCACTGGGTGAGATATGATGGCGGGCGTTAGGTTAGTATATATACATGCCTTGCTTCTACAAATGAAATTGCTACTCCTCTCAAACAAGACTAGAGTCGACATGGGTGAAAAAGACGAGGTTAGTGAGGAATGAGAGGGGAGAAAAGACAGAGGGAATGCGCTAGCTATCTCATAGATACCTAGGGTAGCAGTGTTGCGGCAGCTTATACTTCGGAGGCGGGTAGATGGATACCAGTTGCTAAATTTGCTCATTTGACTAGTGCGGCAAGCAGAAAAAAACAAGTAAATCTATCATTATTCACCCCTTTACCAATCAAGCTATTTGCAATACAATGTCCTCCCAGCCATCTCTGCCGTGCCAGTAAACCGTCGCCATTTTATACCGTACAGATCCTTCCTGTAGCAAATGTGTATTGTAAGACAAAGGAGAAAGAAATCAAATCAAATCAAATCATAACCGCAACGCTTTTCGAGCTTGTGCCTCGATCGAGTTTGTGAGTGCTCTGCGATGTATGTAAAGCGTGGTATGGGACGCCGAACACCGTGCTGCGCTAGATTTGTGTGAAGGGGAGCGAAGCTACTGGGAGCAAAATGGTGTACAATTAATGTCCGAGAGGTGAGAAAGTCGTTCAAGAGAATGCTCTCGGGCGAGAGAGTTTAACAGTATTGTTCTTCGCTGAGGCTCGAATAAGGGATCTAAGCCTTCGAAGTAGTGCGTTTGCCAGTAGATGAAGCGGCAGCAATACTACTGTTTTGTTAGTGAGAAGACGTATTATCGCAAGGGGAGATCAAAAATACCCCTTCTTGCCACGACCTCTCTTCTTTGGCTTCGTCATCTTCGATTCCAGTTCCGCAACCAACTCATCTCTCTTCTTCTCGAGGAATGCCAAGATTTGGTCATCCTCAATCTCGCCGTCATTGACACTGTCGGCAAACATGGTCCGAAGATCAAAATCTTTGATGCCGGGGATCATCGTCTCATCATCAGGACCTAGCTCTCTTCCACTTGAAAGAAGGGAGTCATTGAACTTCAGCTTTTTCAGGGTGGCGATCTGGGTGACAATATCATCGACATCTGGAGCAGCAAAAGGAAGGTCAACAGCATTCGAAGGTTCACCCTTGACACCATAGGAAGAATCAAGCTCAGTTGGAAGGGTGGATCCTTCAGCAACAGCGGAAGACTCAGCGCCAGTCATGACGACATCCTCAGAAGGTTCGTCTTTGACGGCCTTCTTGCGTCCTTTTTTAGCTGGAGCCTTGACTGGCTCGACCGCTTCCCCGATTTGCTCGTCAAATTCCTCCTCTTTGACGACTTTCTTTCCGCGGGGAGCGCGCTTCTTTGGTGCAGGACCAGCAGGTGTGTCAGAGTCATCTTCATCCTTGACCATGTCGACATCCTCCTCTTTTTTGACATTCTTTGCCCTGGATTTCTTGGCTGGAGCAGGCTTGGATATTTCATCCTCCTATGTATGAATTTATTAGTTACAGGTCAATGAAGATTAAAACATGTTCTGGAAGGAATGCACTCTCACCTCTTCATCTTCTTCCTTCTTGACCTTCTTAGCTCTGGACTTCTTGACTGGCTTAACTTCCTCATCACTATCCTCTTCTTTTTTGACCTTCTTAGCTCTGGACTTGACTGGCTTGGCTTCTTCATCGCTGCCCTCTTCCTTTTTCACCTTCTTAGCTCTGGACTTCTTGACTGGTTTCGCCTCCTCATCACTGTCCTCTTCTTTCTTCGCCTTCGTAGTACGTTTCTTCTTGGCAGGCTTCTCCTCACCCTCACTCTCATCACCACCCTTAGCACGCTTTTTGGAAGCAGTCTTCTTGGGGGTATTTTCTGCTTCGGGTGACTCATTCGCTTCTTCTTCTTCTGCTTGCTTCTTCTTGTCTGCCCTAGCTTTTGCCTTAGATGCGGGAGTACGTAGTCCTTTCTCTCCGAGAACATTCATCTCAGGGTCACCATTGAAATCTTCGGGGTCGATGAAGCCCTGAGTAATGACGCGTCGAACCTTTTCCTGCAAATCCGGGAACCTGTCGATACTGTTCTTCTCACCACTGTCATATCCATCCAGAAAATCCCAGCGGTAGGTGCCCGGATCATCGGGGTCTTCCAGCTTCTCTCTCATATTCTGGATCTGAGCTCCTGTGACACAACCCCTTAAAACCCGTAAATCAGCCCCCACTCATGAGTTTCCGATGGCAAGTATATAACTCGACTACAAAGGAAGAATCATGAGTACCTACCAGTGTTTCCATCTGAAACTACCATTACCCTTAATTTCAACCCACACACCGAAGCGAAGATCATCCTTCTCAATCTTGACGCCGTTCTTCTTGCACTCGGTGGCTACACATGTTGCACGGCCCGTAGATGCAGTTTCTATTGGGTGATTAGCGACGATATAATACTTGAAGCATAGAACGCCTTTGGTGATAGAGAAGAGACCATCAGTGTGGAAACTGAGATATGATGCAAATGCTCAACTTACCGACCCGGTAAGACATCTTATAAAATTGAAAGGTGGCCTTGATATTCGAATCAAATTAAAAGAGGGGTTATTTAAACCGGGTGTCGCAAGACTGGAACTGCTCAAAATGTGAACAACGTGAAGATATTTGATTTCTGGAAAGTTACAGAGCGGTAATATTTTGTGCGAGTACGTCACCCAAAGCGACAGACTTCGAAGGGTTGCAGTGGTCCGTCAAGGATTTTGATGGAATACTGGAAGCTTTGTCTGCGGTGTTTGGAAGGTTGATGCATCTCCTCGTCTGGAGAGGGTGGAAGGAGTGGAGCTTGAGCTCGATGACTAAGCTGACTTATCACGCTAGAACACCAAGTCACGTTTCACAAAGCACCTATGCTTCGAATATGTTAGTGCTTTTACCTATCTACATATAATTGTATAGCCTCAACTTATACCTTTTGCTTAGCTTGATCAACTATATATAGCTCCTAATATTCTTAGAATAAGTCTCGTAAAACTGATGCTAGCTTTTATAACTTAGAGAAGTGATATAATATTACCAATTGAGGACAAGTAAAGTGAGGTTTATTTAGAACTATAAAAGTAATAAATGACGTTAACGGGCCGAAACACTTCAGCAATTGCATTGCAGGGGTCTCACGTGGCGACGGAAGCTTGATAGGTCGGGATATCTGGGCTTGCATAAGGAATGTGACGGTTCACTTTATACTTTAGGGGTCCAAATGTGAAACCTGGACGTCTATCTGTCTGAGATTATTTTTTAAGAGGATAGATGAGTTTTAGAAGTCGGCTGGTTCTATAAGAAAGAGAGGTTGGTTTACCTCCAACAGATGCCCTTATATCACTAGAGGTTGATACTCGAACTTAATTGTTATTGCTTTTCAGATAATAAACAAAATCAATTCACTATTCTTATCAACAGTCTCAGTCAGTCAATATGTCCGATTATACTTGCTAGGACAGAAAACAAGTCCCAGCTTTTCATTCCATATCCAATACTGACAAAAGAGAAATATTTTCCAAAAAGTCTGCCAGTATTACAAATGCTGCCAGCCCAAATCGGGCATTACAGCACGCCTGGGGGAAAACCACAATCCAAACGATGTGATTCATTACCATTACAGGCGGCCCAAATTAAGAAAGGAATATCAAATAGAGCGGTAGTGTTGCTCAGTTCCGAGCAGGGGTATCTCTCTCGCGTTCCATCAATTTCATCCACTCTCCCCATCCCCCTTTTTATTTTTTTTGGGCGGTCACACCCAATTCCAAACTTCGTAGAACCCCATGCTCAGCATCCAAGTCCATAACCACATAGCAACATCCAACCCCCTCATCATACTCCCCTACTTGATATTCTTAAACATCTCGTCCGCCCCAAGACTGCCCTCATCATCTTCCGGTATCTTCGCCTTCAACTTGCTCAGCTCAGGTAACTTCGGTGGTGGAGGCCCCATCTTCTTCTTCTCCGGCACTACACTTTCCACTCTCGGCGGCGGCGTCTCATACACAACACTCGTACGATTTCCACCACCACCACCTAATCTCTTGAACCAGCTGCCCTTCTTCCCACTACCTGAAGCAGTAGCATTGGTCATGAAGCTCGCCGGGCTATCCGGCCGCCCCATACTCGTCAGATCGTCCCGCGAGGTGTTGCCGTTGGTGTAATGCGCGTTGAGCGACTTGCGCGACAGGAACTTGCGGATACTGCTTGGGCGCCGCGCCGAGGCGGGACTCAGGGGAGGAACGTCTGAGCTATTGGCATTTCCATTTGTACGACCGCGTCCTACGTATTCTCCACCACCATTCGCACCATTCTGCGTTTGTGTTTGCGTCTGCGTCTGCGTCTGCGTCTGAGGTTCGGGAGCCGTCTGCTTCGTCGGTACAGGTGGAGGTGGCTTCTCTTCGATGGGTGAATCGGGAGGAGGTGGGATGTTGGTACCGTCTGTGAGGGAGAAGGATACGGGGGTGAGCTGGGGGAGCTGGAAGGTGCCTTTTTTGGCGGGCATAGTTGCGATTCTTGCTTTCTTCTGCTCTGCTCGGTCCGGGAAAAAGAATCCGGATGCGCGTTTCATACGGGGTGACTATGGAGATGGAAGGATTCGGCAGAGACAGAAGTAAATACAGATGCAAAGTAGACAGCCTCAGCTGCTTTCGGGGCCCTTAGATTTGGGATTGCGTTGTGGCTCGTGCGGAGGACGTTGGTTGGGGTTGGGGTGTGGTGTGCTGCGGGAGCTACAAGGGCAGGGTACTGTACAGTAAAGTAATAGGCACGGCACGCTCAGGGATTCTGCGGAGTCGCGTCGGTACCGGGCCGAAGAAAAAAAACAACAATCTTACGAAAAATCTGTCTGTCTTGCCATGGAGAGAATGTACTGTATTTGGCGGCAATTGATCGAAGCAAAGATGCGGCTCAAGAAGAGAAAAAATTTACACGGACCTCTTCGGTTTGATGCTATTCGAAAAGCGTGGACCAATCATTGGACCGAGTTACAACTTAAATGAATGCGGACGAGGCTGAATACGAAAAGTGACGCGGAAGGGACGCGGAGACAATAATGAGGGGGCATTGCTAGAAACAACGCTTTGTCAAGCTCCAACGGAAAAGAAAAAACATTGACTAGAAAAGGGGCATATCACGTGAAAGTATTAGCATCAACAACAATCGGCTTGTCAGAGGTCAGGACGGGAGAACGAAAGGAAGATGTTCAGGGTTTAGTCTTTATTTCTCTATTGCAAGTTAGTGATAGCTCATCTAAAAATCATGGTTATAAGCTTAGAGTACTTTTCCTCCTATTGATGTGTTTTAGAGCAGTGAGTCACTAGAAGTCTGATCTTTAGTCACAACAAAAACTTTCCTCATACCAAATGAACATCTTCAACTACCTGGGTACTCACTTCATGTAATTTCAGAAACCCCCTCGATCAAATTCGCCGCTTTCTGTGTTCTATGCGCCAATTCCAAGCATCTCACTGAAATCCCCTGCAACACCTCACAATGGCATCTAAACCAATCCACTTGATCCCAACCAAAGACCTCTACGCCCGCTGGGCGAAAGTCTACGACAGCGATGGCAATATCCTCCGTAAGCTCTCTCTTCTACCCCCCAACTCTTCTCATTCATCTCTAATAAGACCGACCCGTCACAGAATCCATCGATGACGCTCTCCTTCCCTCTCTGCTCACCCAAGCCTTCAGCCTTGTCCCGTCTTCTTTTTCTTTTCCCCTTACCATCACGGAGCTGGGCGCTGGTACAGGCAGGAATACCGTCAAGCTATTGCAACCGCGTGAGGGAGTTGAGATCGGGAACGTAATCGCACTAGATCTAAGTGCCGAAATGCTTGCAATAGCAAAATCCCGCTGTTCTTCTCTCACCTCCACCTCCACTTTAGCTTCAAGCCCTAAAGTATATTTCTACGAATTCGATGCTCTCCAACCCTCATCATTCCCAGAAGTCCAAGCATTAGAGGGACAGGCGGGATTAGTACTTAGCACGCTTGTCCTCGAGCATCTCCCACTCAAAATATTCTTCTCGACGATTAAGAAGTTACTCAAGGAGGGAGGGGTGCTGGTAATGACAAACATGCACGCAGAGATGGGTCGTCTCTCGCGCGCTGGATTCACAGATATAGATATGGAGTCGGGGAATGTGAAAGTGAAAGTGCAGGGTGATAGTTTTGTGTATGAAATTGAAGAAGTGGTGGAGGCTGGGAGGGAAGAGGGGTTTGAGATGGTGGGCGAGATGCTGCAAAGAGGGGTTGCGGAAGGGGATGTGGGGCTTATGGTGGGGGAGAGGGGGATGAAGTGGGTTGGTGTTAAGGTTTGGTTTGGTTGTGTGATGAGGCTCGGAGGGAGGGGGAAGTGAAGAGGGGTGGGGAGAAACGGAGGGGTGGTAGTGCAACGGTGTAGAACTGTAGTACTTTTCTATTCTATGGTGTTTATACAGGTGGTGTAATGTACAGTGATAGATGCAATATAAAACATGATTCCAAAGCCCCGGGTCAATATAAAGGAGACATATTCTTGAGATCTCCGGTGATATTTACAGAAAGAGGAGTGGAGATCTGTTGTCGATAGAAAGGAACGCCATGGGTTGGACCTCGTTAGGAATGAATATGCGTTTTGAAGAGCCGGCTTAAAGCTTTGCTAAGCCGAGAGGCGATGAGGGTGTCGTACTCGACACTTCAAATTGGCATAGAAGCTGGATTGGTTCCTAGCCGTAGGGCTCGACGAGAAGGCTGTCCTGAAATTGACGTTACAGGCGCGGGAAGGCGAAGCAATGTAAGCGAGGATGGTTGTTCTTGAACGGTGATCTAGATCTGGGGATGAGAGGTCCATATATTCCTGCCGTAATGCCATCAAAGTATCATTGGGCTTGCCTACACCCACGTTCGATTTCGTTGGGCGAACGCTTCATCCAAACCATCCGTCATTTATTCTTAGACCTGGATCTCTGGATGATGGAAATGAGCCGTTTGGGAGCTGGTGGGTGTTCTACTTCATAATTAACGGTGTGGATAAGGGGTAGCTTCATGATTCCTAACCATAGTCGGTCAGTTAAGGCTCTCCCTATTTTCCTTCCGCCATTGACCACTTGCATTGTCAATCTTCAATAACTTCTCAAGCTCGTGTGCAACAAAAATGACACGATAATCATCCGAATACTGCCCAATGATCTGCATGCCATCAAATCTAGGACTGTCTGTGGGTCGTCTCTTCAACGGGACGCTTATAGCAGGAAGGCCAGCCATGCTTGCGGGGACAGTAAATACGTCGTTGATGTATGCATCTACGGGTCTTTGGTTCGCTATGTCATCAAGGTTCGGTGCTGGGGTAGGACTTGTTGGGCATACGATCAAATCCACTTGAGATGGTCCTAATTTGTTGTTCAGTAGAATTGATTCGTCCATTTCCGAAAGATCAAATTGCTCAGGGTCTCGAAGCGGGTTAGGCATGGAGAAGACGCGGTCGAAGTCTTGTTGAACTAGTCTTCGCACCTTCTGAGCCTTGATAAAATAGTTATCAATTGCGTCGGAGCTCAAAGCGTACGAGCCCAAAAGTATACGCCTTTTGACTTCGTCACCAAAGCCCTCTCCTCTCGATTCGGAGTAGAGGACATCTCCAGCCCCATCACTCGACTGACTTCGAGTTCCGTATCTCACACCATCGTATTTGGACAAGTTCGAAGCTGCTTCAGCCATAGCTAGTATGTAATATGCCGGCAGCGCTTGCTGTGTGTTTGGTAGTGAAATCGGTACAATGGTACATCCTAGATCCTGGAACAGCATCAGTGTCCGCTGCCAAGACTGTCTGGTTCTCCCATCAAGTTCAAAGATGTTGTACTGCTCAGGGACACCAATTCTTAATTTATGGAAGTCTTTGAAATTCTGGTCACTCAATTCCCTCCACCTATTGCTGCCACTAGTGAATGCTCGCATCCGGGATTTTTCGGAGAGAGATGTTGGGTCTTTGGGATCATGTTCCTGCATCGAGACAAAGGTCTTGAAGACTTGCTTACAAGATCGAGCTAGTATCCCTACCGTATCGAGAGAGTTTGCGTATGGGACGACTCCCCAGCGAGATATTAAGCCGTATGATGGCTTAAAGCCTACCACCCCAGAATACGCTGCGGGCAGTCTGACCGAACCTCCCGTATCTGTTCCAATAGCTATATCAACCAGCTTTTGTGCGACGGCAACTGCACTCCCTCCAGAGCTTCCACCAACAGAAAGGCGATCAAAGGGTGGCGGATTGGTAACCGTTCCAAAAAATGAATTCGTTGAATGAGAACCCATGCCAAACTCATCCATATTCGTTTTCCCTATTATGGGAGCGCCAGTTGAGCGAAGCTGCTCCACCACACTGGCCTCAAAGGGGCTTTGATGGTTCTTTAAAATGCCTGATGCGCATGTTGTGGGGAGGTCAGCTGTAGCTATGTTGTCTTTTACAGCCACAGGCCTGACCGGAAACCAGGGAGGCTTCTGAGCGGAATATGGTTCTGGTTCTGGTTCTGGTTCTGGCAAGACATCAGCTACAATGGTCATCTATGGGCAGGTCGACGGGCTTTCGAAACCTTTTGCTTTTCCGACTGCTTCTCCAGAGGATTGCCTGTCTGCCACAGACCCATCTTGCTCTTGCTTTAGCTCCGCCCTCGAGATGAAAACATTCTGGGCAAATGGTCTTATGCGGTAATTGACCTCTTTTAGGGCTACTTTTGTCGCCCGTACTGCTGATCGGGGTAGATGCACCTCGACCATTTGTTGACTTGGAAGATCTAGTGGCTGGGGACGAGCGAATCTGGTGTTGAACTTGTTAACTTGTTGTAGGGAGTATGTTGTAGTGTTACAGTAAAAGGCCTAGCTGAGGTTTAGTTGTAGCTCCGTAAAAGTAACTCTTCTAGGTTCCTTATCGGCACTTATCGCGACAGGGGTATCAAGCTCCCGCTGCCGGCTGCGTCAGAACATCCGCTTTACTCACTCACTCTCCGAAGCTGCTGACAACTTGCATCTGATCACTCTGTTACTATAGATTATGGACGTGTGATTAAAGACCACCCAAGACCTCGATATCTCAATATCTCATTTTACACTCATTTTATTTTACAGCTGTTGCATGTTTAAACCACTCGAAATGACGAAACGCTTGTTGACATGGACAACCGCGACCCTTCTGCTGCCTCTGGCTCTAGCTGAGCAGCCTTCAGCTCCAGATGCTGTTGCGGCTCCTATGAGGGACCTTCCATGGGGCGACCTGAACTTTCTACAAACAACCGATAGCCATGGCTGGCATGCCGGGCATCTGCAGGAGTAAGTATTCCGCCCCTCGAGGTTCACCTCCATCTGACTTTCTATAGGTCTCAATACTCTGCAGACTGGGGCGACTACATCTCATTCGCAGAGCAGATGCGGGCGAAAGCAGACGAGCAAGGCGTTGATTTACTCCTCATTGATTGCGGCGACCGAATAGAAGGTAACGGACTATACGATGGGTCAGATCCAAAAGGCCAATACCTTTACGACATTGTGAGGGAGCAAGCTATTGATGTTATTACCACTGGCAACCATGAGCTCTATCAGGAAGACTCAGCTGCTCGAGAATACAACCAAACCGTTCCGAACTTCAAGGGAAGATACTTGGCTTCGAACCTGGACTACATTAACCCGCAGACGGGCAAACAGATTGCGATGGCCGCACGATATCGAAAGTTCACAACTAAGAACAAGGGTATCCGTGTATTAGCGTTAGGGTTCTTGTTTGACTTTACTGGGAATGGGAAGAATACAGTGGTGCAACCTGTTGAGAAGACAATTAAAGAGAAGTGGTTTCAGGAAGCAATCAGGGAAGATGTTGACCTGTTCCTGGTAGCTGGCCATGTCACCCTTAATGGTCCTGAATACACGGCGATTTTCAAGGCAATCAGAAGTCAGAACTGGGACACTCCAATCCAGTTCTTTGGTGGCCATAGTCATATCCGGAATTCTGCCAAGTATGATTCCAAGGCATATGGTTTACAGGCTGGTCGTTATATGGAGACCATTGGCTGGCAGTCCATTAAAGGTATCAGCGGCGGAGGGAAGAAAGAGAAGAAAGGCCCTAAAGAGCTTGAACCCCGTGCTAGCATGTCGTTCAAACGAAGATATATCGACACCAACCTATTCGGTTACCACTACCATACCGGACTGAACGAATCCACCTTTTCTACAGAACACGGCAAAAATGTGTCGTCTATGATCCACGTTGCCAGGAAAGCCTTGAATCTTGATCACAGTTTTGGTTGTGCGCCTCGGAATTTGTGGCTCAATAGGGCGCAATATCCTGGAAATGACAGTGTTTTCACCTGGCTGGAGGATGAAGTTATGCCATCTGTAGTTGTCAAAAATGATCGCAAGGAGACACCAAGAATTGCGATTACCAACACCGGCGCGATGAGATTTGACATCTTCAAAGGCGCCTTCACAAAAGATACGACCTATATCATATCACCCTTCGTTAGCAAGCTATTATACATTAAAGACGTGCCTTACAAATCCGCCAAGAAGGTTTTAAAACTGATCAATGAAGGTGGCCCGGTCTTTGCATCCGCAGATATGCCGCCGGTGTCACAACTTGCACCACCGGAGCAGATGTCCATCCATGCAGACATCATTCCTCCGTTGCCACCGCGAGATTTCCGCTCATCGAATGGAGCACAGGCTCCGTTAGGTTCATCCGATAAACCAGATTTGGTCCCGGGATACACCACCATAGACGCAATTGGAGATGACGGTGACGACACACTCCACGAGCCCATTCCCTTCTTCCGAGTGCCAAATTGCATCCAAAGCGACATTGAATTCCCCAAGGAAGGAGAACCAGAGAATGTAGATCTGGTGTTTGTGGATTTCATTCAACCTTGGATTCTACTGGCGTTGGAGTTTTCGGGACAGAGCTATACTAAAGATGATGTGGAGGTGTATATGGAAGACACGTTAACAGAACTGATGGCTGGGTGGATAAAGGAGAATTGGAAGAAGGATTGCTAGATTGTTATTTTTGTAAGACATATATGGAGCGGGCGATATGATGGCGTTTGGATATGGGACATACCAGGTACAGATTAGCACATATACTGCTTTGAATTTTCACTCTAATCCTCACAAATGAGCTAGAATACAGTGATACAGTACTGGTATTTCCCCAACTGACCGAAATACCTGATGCCTATATATACCAAGTGGGCATCCCTGAACAAAAGGGACCGGTATGCAATTTCGAGACAGAAATGGGTATGATTTTGAGACCTAATCCCTCCCCGCCTAACTCCAAAGCTCCGAAATCACCAGGAAAGTGGGTTACTTTGCAACCTCCCCATTTTCATGCCTATAAACATCCATCCTCTCCACCTCCACATCGTCATTCTTTTCACCATACTTATCCAACCTCTCAGGCTCCCTACTATCTCTCTCCGGTGTAACTTCCCCAAACTCACTACCGGGACTCTCTTCCCTCCCACTTCCAACCTGATTCCCATCTTCATCAACCTCCTCAACATCACTCTCCAACAAATCCTCAATATCCCCTAATGGACTAACCCGTGGCTCCAGAACCTCCATATCCTCCAAAATCTCCCTATTCGGCATCTTCCACAAACTAGTCGCGCAAACCCTCTCCTTGGTCAACAAATCATCCACAAACTGATCCACAAACGTCAAGCTAGTCCCCATCCTCGTCCTCCTCTTCAACTTCCTCCGATCCTCCAGAAACGGCTCTAGCATCCCATAAACATCTTTCGCCCTTCTCGTCATCCGCACATAGAAACACGCCAGCGCCCTCAGATACTTGAACTTCTCACCCCCATACTCGAGATACTCCCTTAGCACCGCGTCATCGGGCGCCAGTTGCAATAGTTTAAACGCCAGACATAGGAACGGCGACGGCCGCTGTGAAGATCCGTATGTGCCCCCAATGAACGAGACATCGGCCACGACGCGGTCCACCAGTACGGCTTCGTTCAGCCCGAAGCACGAGTCTTTGTAGTAGTAGCTGTCGATTATGCGCTCGCGCACCGGCTTTTCCATTATCGTAGCGGGGTTGAGGCCGTTGGGCGTTAGGGTTGAGGAGGTGCCGCGGTCGTCGAGGAAGCGCTTTTCATCGGCGCGGTGGGTTGCCATGTTTGCGAGTTGTTTGGGGGAACCGCTTTGAGCGAGCTGGGGAGTTTGGGATGTTTGTGTTTCGTGGGTTGGGAGGATTGTCGTTGTGATTGAACTTGAAATTTTGATATCGAGGGAGAGAGAGGAAGCTCTTATCGCAAACCCGATTGTTGCCCCGCCAGATCAGCCAAAACTTGTTTACTTTAGGCAAAGCCTCCCCTCCTCGAATTCACTCACATCTAGACTGAAACCTTCTTTACTACAAATACTGTACACCATCTCCAAATCAGAAGTAAAAAAATGGTCCTCTTAACATCCTCCCAAGTATCCGTCGCCATATCTTCTTGCATAGGTAGATCTCCCCCCTATCCCACCATAATCACAACTAACAAAACAAACCAGTATTCTTCTTCACCACAGCCCTCTTCCTCTCCGGATACGTCCTGCAACAACAAACAGTCCGCGACATCCGCGCAGCCATAAAACCGCAAATCGTCCCCACGGCACCGGAACTAAAGTTATTCTTGCCAGAGAAGTATAGGGATCAAGAGGGCAATGATGGGCAGGGCATTGGAACTGTGAATATTGAGGTTGGGAAGGAGGCTTATGGTGCTGATGATAACAAGAAGGTGGACGATGGAAGTGCATCAGCTTTGGAGGGAAATGATGATGCAATGGAGGAAAAAAGTATGATTGGAGCTACAAGGTGGCAGAAGGCAGCAGCGCGGATGAAGAAAGAGAGGATAAATGCCGAGACAGGGAATACCCGGACACCGACGGGAGGAGAGGAATTGCGGGATGGAGAAGAAAAAACCTCAAAAGAACAGCCTGGGGTGGAGGAAAAGCCGCTGAGTAGATCGGAAAGAAGGAAGAAAATCAAAGAGGAGATTCTGCTTGCTGGGGAGGGAGAGGGGTTCAAGGGATACAAGAGACGGATGTGGTGATTATAGCTTGCATCAATGATTGTAATTGGCATTAGTATTGGCATTGGGATGGAATTGAGGTTTGTTTATTATGGTGTTATATGGGATTCTGGATATACCTATCATAGACGGATGTATAATGAGAAATGATTGTATATTATAGTAGGATGAATAATATCGCCTCATGGTCCAGCCATATGTGAGGCCGTAAACGTCGATCCTATTACTAAAGACCAGTCAAATGCCTGCCCACGCCCGCAGGCTATTTGCAGCTTCCAATTCCAGTCATTCATCTTATCCTCCCCGACCCCATCCTATACGCCCCCTCCCTCCTCTGCATCTGCTCCTCCCTCCGTATTCTCTCTTTCCTCACATTCCCCGACCATTTCCGCGTCGATCCAGAATGACGCACCGTACTTCTTGCACTTCCTTCCTGTGTCGACTTTACCATCATCAAATCCAGTCAGCACCTCTTTCTATCCCAGTCACAGAATGGAAAAGAAAAGAAATGTAAATTGGTACGCGACGCGACGGGGCTGGACGGGGGAAATACCATACCAAACAATGCGCACATCTATCCCCAAACTTCCCTACAGTATTGTGGCACTTAATCGGGCCCTTCCTCACAAGTCAAGTTAGTGAGCCAAACAAGCAAAACAAGGGAATAGGGAAAGCAAGGGAAGGGGGAGGTACATAGTAATTCGCACAATAGCAACTCATCTTCCTTCCCTTCCTTTGCCAATACACTACTCTGAATTCCTAGAAGATTCTCACTTTTTGATCTTCTACTCGTGACTGAATAGGTTGTACAATATAATCACTAATTTCTGCTACCTGAAAGAACACCAGCCCGAGAAGAAGTGTGGTATAAGTAAATTACTGCATGTACAAGTAGCTTTGACTCTTGCTTGAGTCCTCTCTGTCTGCACGGCACATCAAACGTAAAGACCCTCGATGTCGTGCATCGCATCGCACCGCAACGATCCACGCTCATGCGAGGCCCAAGCGCAACGTCTGGCCCTCGGCATCTGTCTGTGGTAATAATACGAATCGTACGAAGTACTGTATCTCGCGCTTATGCATTCCGTGGGGGTCACAGAAAAAAAGGCAGTGCGTCTAGCTTGTGAATGTGGATGCGACGTGAAATCAAACGCCACCAGACGTTTCGGTTTGATGTGATGTCTAACTCGGTGCCGGAAATAGCCAGCACAATCCGGACCGATAACCAAGCAAGACAACTAAGTCTATTTTCTGGGTATAAACGGAACCGGATTCATTGGAGGGCAAGTTTGAGTATCAGACGAAACGCAAGATGGTGAGATACATGGTCTATTCGTAGAACTACACAGGCAATTACAGAAAATGGTAACTTTGCCCCACCTATAATCAATCCATCGAGCCATCCATCCATCATCATCCCGAAAAAAAATCGAACACAAAGAAGGAGAAGAACCCTTTCATACGCCGATCGCTGAGGTGCCATTAAACTAAACTGAAAATAAATAAAAATCAACGTCAAGTCCCGATCATTCATCGCCGCTGTTCATTCGAGGTATTAGGGTTGAGCACGTAACAAAGAAAGCGTGTCCAGCACACACCACCACAGCTGCAAGAGTCGGAAGGGACATTTGGGAATACAAGACATGCAATTCTACAAACATGATATGGACCGTTTATAGCATCTGAGGTTATGCTTGCTTCTAATGTCGTGATGAAGTCGTGGGATGATCTCGATGCTCCGCTTGTGCTGAAGAAGCAGGGTGTTGAGACTCTGGCCGCTTACCCTGTGGCCAGAAATCAATCGCCGCGACTACATCTTCTCCTCTTTCATCCTCATATGCATAGATTATCTAGATTCTGTTAGTATCATCCAGCACTGCTAATGAAGCGAGTGAAAACTTACCTCCCGCGTGCTTGTATGGAGCATACGAATGTTCTTATGTGGCACAATGTGTACCGCATTTGTGTCGATATTCCGGATTTCAATAAAGTTCGTTTCGAATGCCAGTATCCAAGGATACGAAAGAGCAAAACTTTGAGGTTGTCCCTCCCAATCGATCCGCCAGTCAGGTCTCGCTCGCCAACCGTTGCGGTTGACGAAGAATGAAAATTCAGAGTAATTGAGGAGGAACTCGCCGTTGAGTCGCTCAATGTGGATCGGTCTGACGTTCTCTTTTCGGGCTACGAAATCCAATGATGTGTCCGCCTGGTCGAGAAGGGACTGAGTTTCCAGAGTTTCTAATGACACAACCTCAAACCCTCTGGCACAAGCAACGCAGAGTTTAGATTTGAGGAAATGGATTGACGAAGATTCAGTAGGGATATAAAATTCCTTGAACGCTTTCAGTTCATCTTGCCCATTGCTGAACATTTTGAAACCCTTCTGTTTCTTGCCCTTGGACATGGCATCATTAGGCTCAAAGACCTTGATCGTAGTCGAGAGGGCCGAAGACTTAACACAGCATACGAGATGACGGCCAAGACATATTCCTGTCTTGAAGAAATTACAGTGACTTTGGATTTTCTTCGGCCGCTTGTTGAGGGCAGGCTCATTTGGATTCAAAGCCGATAAAGGATACGAAAGCAACGACTTCGCGGACAGAACCAACAGTAGTTGATACTCTTCGAGGACATCGATCTGGGTGACGTTTGCAACATCCAAAACTCGCATCGGCTTAAGGGAAACATCCTTTGCGCGACGATCAGATACAAAAATACCCGAGTCTGTCCCATAGATTAACTTGCGGCCACCATCTGTTGCAAGTTAGTATATCTGTCATTCCAAGATATCAAATACGTACCGAATGGTGCCACACAGTTGACTCTGTTAATGGCGGAGAAGAAGGAGCTTGACAACACCGACTTGTTATAAAAGTCGCCTCGTTTCCTGAGAGCAGCTTGTTGTTCGCCGATGTATTCCATCCATTTACTCCTCGAACCTTGAGTGTTCGCATAGAGCGTCAATTCGTACCCGCCCTTGCCAATGTGTCGGAATGTGATAGGGAAGCCTTCCTTCTTGGCAGAGTCGTTCGCAGCTTTTGCACCGGGAAGCAAGCTTGAAGAGGGTCGCTTGACAACGCCCAGCTTAGGAATCACCTCGTCCATTTCGCGGATGGAAAGAAGTTCCAGAGGTATTGGCCTACGGTAAACCTTGACCTCTTCCTTCTTGCCAACCATCTTAGAACGAACTAAAAGCATAGCGTGATCGAATAAATAGGCCTGGATCTCGGAAGGATCAGTTGGTGTCTTCTTGAGGGCACCCTTGTAGATGAGTTCTCGCTTCTCATCTGTGAGCTTGAGGTCCACACGTTCATTAGGTCGGAATCGAAGTTGCTCGTGCAGGCGTTTGAGGTTGAATCGGTTTTCAGCCTTTCCAGACTCTGCGTTAACTCGACTCAGAAGCTCACGGATCATTTTCATGGCCTTCGGAATATCTTGTCTGTCCGGGTTTTCCTGCTCAGTGTATTTGAGAACATTTTCCAGTAACAGCGGGTAACGGGCCAGTCTGGTTGTAGGTTTCGTCAAATATCCGTTTAGCTCCAGCTTTCTTGATTCCTTCCGCCGCTCGGTCTCGTCAACAAACTTTGAAAAGTATGGATTCAAGGAGCGCTCGTTTTCAAATTCAAATTTACCACCCAGTTGATTTGAACCATAAACAATGAACGGTTCAAACTGAGGAACAAACTCGAGAAATATGTCGCCAACCGATTTTACAACAGGGTGCTTCTTTTGTCGTTCGGTAAGCGATTCAGCAAAGCGAGAGCTAACGGAGTGAATACTAGGAGGGTCAATGATGTTTGAAAATATGGTTTTCACAATCTTCTCTTTTCTTGATTCGGGGATAGGTGATGGGGAAGCAGGGTTTGTAGAACGCAAGGGCATGATCCAGAAATCTCGAAGGTATTCCAAATCTTTCACGAAATCCCTCTCAGTATACATGATTTCTGAGATGACTTCTTGGCGCTTCTTCTCCCGGTCACCAACACTGTCAGCAATCTCTTGTGACACAGTGTTTATCCAAAGCTTTTGTTCGTCCGGTTCGTCGACATCGTGAAGACTTGCTTCTGACTTCTCGCGTCGTAGACCAGGTTGTGGCTTGAGATTTAGCCTCGACTGCTGTTCTAACCTTCGTGGGCAAGCTATGGAGTAACAAAGTTGGTCTCTGGTACACGTCGGTGAATAGCACTCAGAAAGAAGAACAAAAACACCATTGACTTCCGGTTGCTCATGTGGCTCGTCCATCATGGTTTCCCTAAATTGATACATCTCTACCGAGGAGTCACGCAAACGATGATCGTATGTGACATCGTGGAAAAACTTCTGGGCATCCAAAGCTCGTCCAAGCAGCAGCGCTAAATTTCTGTCCGTAGTTTTGATGATATAAGAAATGATATCAACTGCTTCGGCCCCACTGAATGCATTCTTGTACGTGAGATCGTTCTTCGTACGGTCCCCCACCGCGATTCTTTCTCTGAAGCATTCTGCAACCCGTGATAATAATGCCGGATACACCAATGGTGATTTCTGCCGAGTGCCGTTACCACTGCTAACTGACTTAGCTACTGATGGTCGATGTTGGAGTGATTCGGTTCTGTCACTAGGCGCAATCGTAGAAGCCATGGACATGGTTCTATTCATGTCACCCCCGACTGTTGTCGAAGAAGCAATACTGGTAGTACGTGTCTGTACAGCAGGACTCCTCGCGCCCGGAATCGAAAAGCTTTGCAGCTCCTGCGGTCCGGTTGAGGTCCTTCGGTTTGGAATAACCCTCCCGCTCATGGTCTGATGTTGATCTCGATCTTGTGGATAGCTTGTCATGGACATTGCTCGTTCATCATGCCTCTCAGGGACTACACGTCCTTGCGCAGTAGTCCTTGAAGCTTGCCCGTGATATTGAGCTTGCCTGAAAGCATTCGCTGGTGCTTGCTGAAAGCCACTAGAGGGCGCCTGGTACATTTGAGGCCTCGTGATAGTTGCCATTGACTGCGAACGATAAGGATCCGAGTTCAAAGCAGGTCCTGGCTGGTTTTGGTGCCCCGGGTAATAACGCTGTTGCTGAGGTGCCGGCTTTTGCGGGTATTGTTGCTGCTGCGGCGGAGCACGAGGATCAACGCGATGCGGTCCAGCATAAGGCCTGCGATCTGGACGTGCTTGTTGAGGCAGGTGCTGAGGTTGTGGTTGGGATGGAACTTGGCCCGGGTGCTGTTGTCTTGGTCCTTGGTGATATCCATTCGGCCCTCCATTCTGCATGCCCCCATTCTGTTGCGGATAACCACCTTGCGGTTGCCTCTGAGGTGGAGGTCTTTGCATCCCCCCTTGCATTCCCGCAGCCTGCCCGCCCATTGTCTGCGTTCGTTGATTTATGCCATTTAGAGAGGGTGTAGAGGAGGTCATTGTTTGGGATCGGCCAGAAGGGGCAGAGCCAAAAATGTTGGAGAAGGCTGCATCCCGCTGGTAATTAGAGGCGGGGGGGCCGTAGTCGTTGCCACGAGACCCGTTGTTTCGGCCTTGCTGATAGTCGGCCATATTGTCTAATTACGATAGAGTCTGCCGGACCAGTGTTGACAATCTGCGTCGCAGTCGGAGCCTACTCCAGGAAGCCGGGCAACCACCCCGGCTTCACTTCCTACAGTCACAACAGCCCTTTCTCTGCTTGCCGACGTCGACGGAGGCCCGCCGAATGTCGACCGATATATCAGCGCCGTCACAGAGGACGAGCTTTCCCGACTACTTGTTGGCCTTGTCTGGGAGAGGGAGACGTTGACGTTGGCGTTGGATCGGACGGAGCAAAGGATCTGCGGGTCCAACGTACTAACTCCACTGCTAATCGCGGAGGTGAATGGCGATTCGAGAGAGACGCATTTGGGGGGGAGGGGGAGGGGGTCGTGATGGCAGACAGTAAAAAGCCTGATGTGGTTGTCGTGAGTTCAAAGGTTCAGAATCCTGGGAACATTCGCGATCTTCAACAGGCTCGAGATGATGTTCGCTAAAGCCGACAAAATATCCGGCCACCAGGAGACTAGGTCAGTTTCAGTCACAGCTTACTCTGGAGCAGGAGTGACAAAATGCAGAAAACTGGTGGTAATTTGTAGTTAGAAAAGTCTGGAGAGGATTGTATGGAAAACAAATTTAATAATGGGTGTGATTGTGATTGTTGAGTGTCACTTGGTTTGGATTTTGTGAATAAACCACGTGATCCATGATATGCGCTAGGAGGCTGCCGCAGGAGCTTTGATATCGACGACCTTATGTCTTATCACAGAATCTCTCTAACATCCCTTCACCACCATCTGCGACCGTCATCAGCTCCCTGGACTTGATCTTGAGCTGAAGTAATCATGGCAGAAAATGATTTTGCGCCCAAGTTCGCGCCGTTCTTCGGAATGGTAAGTTGCTAAGCTTGTTGATGTGGTGGAACAGAACTGGCACTGACAATTTCGGCAGGCGGGCATTTGCTTCGCAATGACCTTCGGATGTAGGTCCATCATTGTTATTGAAGGGTGGAATAGTGCTAATTGTGGCAGGTATCGGAGCAGCATACGGGACCGCAAAGTCTGGTATTGGAATCGCCGGAGTTGGTACCTTCAGACCAGATCTTATTATGAAGGTCGGTAGTGTTCAGTAGACGCTCGTATATGGTGGCTTAGCTAATTACTCCAACCTCAGTCCCTTATTCCAGTCGTCATGTCTGGTATTATCGCAGTTTACTCTCTAGTCATTGCGGTCTTGATTGCCTCGGACATTGGCCCTCCTCCAAATCAACACTACAGCTTGTTCAAGTATGGAAATATCACCTGGGGTTGGCAAGGCAGATGCTAATTATTGCAACAGCGGTTTCATGCATCTTGCATGCGGTCTTTCGGTAGGTTTGACGGGACTGGCAGCGGGATACGCAATTGGGATTGTTGGAGACATGGGAGTAAGGTCATATATGCTGCAGTCGAGGATATTCGTTGGAATGGTTCTGATCTTGATTTTCGGAGAAGTTCTGGGTCTTTATGGGTGGGTAATTTCCATTTCGCAGTTCGTGATGTTACTAACAAGTACAGACTAATTGTGGCATTGATTCTCAACACAAAGAGCAGAGGATAGATGACGAGGGAATCCGAACTTCAGTCACCAACACAAAAAACAACCAACCGATGGGAAAGAATGTTTGCAGAATACTGTTTGAGTATAGAGATAGGAGGCCTGCATTGCTGGGAGTTTTGGTTGTGTATAAAGGGCAATGCAATTGCATCGCAAAAGTCGCAGTTCGAATATGGTGTACAATTCATCGATATCAAATAGGTTGTCAAAGGTCCCTGTGTGCCTATCAGCGTCTTTGATCGATCAATGAATTCTTGAAGGAATTTTCTGTGGGCTCTGGGAGATTCCTGTCGTTTTTCGACTAGTGTCGACGTTGAGCTTATCCACACATCACACCTGGAAATTTTCAACTCTTTTCCCTTTAACTCTACCTCGGTCGCCTTTGATGGTCGATGGGTGTCCGGCATAAAGCTGTCATTTTTCAATATTGACTTTCATCATTAGTCCGCATATTCAGACTCCTGAGCTTCCTTCTCCTTCTCCTTTGGTATCCTCCCAACTCTGGCTATTCTTTCCTAACTCGGCCTCTTCCCTCGAGATCTGCCACAACAGGTATAATTCGCTGCTTTCGCCTCTGTGGTCAGTATGGAGGGTCTCATCAAGTGATCCGTTTCTCCGGCAGCCTTGTCGAAGGTCATCGTTCCATCGCCACTGAAGTCCTTCCCATTTAAGCCTACCGTCCAAGTAAATAGCTTCAGTCCCGGAAGCACGACATAACTACTCGCTTCGCATTGACCTATACTCGACAGTCGCGCTTATTTGGAGGCAAACAGTTCGGGTGCACGGGATTGAGGACATGAATCCATGCTGTGAGAGGGTCATGGCTCCTTCGCTACATCCATGGTGGCGGCAGGATTTGCTGCAATGGCCTCGGCTTCCTTCGCCTTCCTCATCGAGGGCACCGGATCGGATCTTCAAGAGAAAGGGTCGTGTCGACGGCTGTTGATGCACATCGCAGCTAGCAATGACGCGAGATTACATGGAGTCGGAGGTAGGAGAATTATGTCGTACTGTACGCATCTGTACAAGCAAGTACAAGGTACATACGAAGGCGCAACCTTAATTATGCGAAACGGGGGCCAAGAGTTCATCTTTAAGATGACTTAGGGGGAATCAGTTATAAAATTTATTCGAAGATCAGATAATTCTCAGTGACCAATAAGACCAACATATATGCCCTTCCTCGGACAGAGTTTACTAAGCGATGGGAAAGGGAAAGGTCCTGGTAGTCTATCAGATAAAGTCAGGCTAAAAAATGTTGCTGGCACAAGCACAGGCACAGTAATAATAAGAAGCATGCAGTTTTGATTGCTGATCGTGATCTTGCTGGAATATAGCATCAGACTGCCAACGCTTCCCCCTTTATCGAAGCGGTGCAATGATTGGTGCCAGCTTTTACCCCTTTCATTTGACGCCCAGAGGCTTCTCCGCAGTCCCTATCCTTGAAGCGGCGCCACAGAAAAGAAGACCGACATCCGACCTTCTATTTGACGACAAAGGAATTTGCCAAGACTCTATTGCTTCTGCCCTACCTCCGTTCAGGACAACACAGTGCTTTCCACCTTCTACTCCCGGCAGCTTATATTCCGCGCAGCATTGAAGGTGGGGTTGATGGATGGCAGAGGTGGCGGTGGTGGTGGCTATCAACAAGATCAACCCGACCGTCAGCTCGTCGTCTTTTCCAAGACCTTTCAGAAGCTTATAGTATCCCCAAAACACGTACATTGTGCATGTTGTGGGATGCTTGTTATTGTGCCCAGCCCTTGGCAGACCTCGAGCGTTGTATTCGGGTCGATCGCACTGGAGCACCAGGAGAATGCATCGTCGAGGCTGAGGTACAGGTACAGACGGCATTCGAGTGCATCGTTACCGCCTCGGATATATGTGCATCCCAGTCAGAGGCGTCTAATAGACTAGTACTGTAAGATAAGGATGTCTGCCAGGTGATTCAAGCGGCTGTCGACCAACAGTCTGTTCAACACTGCGCCTCTCTCCTTGCTCGGACTGGCTGATGATCAGCCTTGACCCCTCCATCATACAGTACCGTACCTCGACGTAGATCAGGAACGCAGGTGCCCACCTTCCCAACGCAGACACAACTCCGAAATATACAGAAGTCACCAAGTAATCAATATGCCACTATGACCAATTTGAACTTGCCAGAGAGATGCCGCTCACAGCTTCGGTACTATCCGGCAGTCTCTCAATTAACCCCCCGTTTCATACTGAGGATCAACAGCCTTGCTTGTTCGTTCTTTTCCCTCTTTCTCCTTCTATTCGACTGCCCTCTCACCCTAGAAAGGTAGGCTAATTTCGCTGGGAAAGACTTCTTGTTATGAACTAGGTAGGTTCATCGGAAGATATGGCTATTAGATGAATATGCCAATTAGGACGGTGATGCTAGATTTGGGTACCAGGTACTTTCTCATTGTCATTTAAGTTTCAAGCTTAGGGGGGGTCCGCATGCCAATTACCACCCACCGGTACACATGAAGAATCTTGGAAGTATATAAACACCCGTTCATCCCATCTCAAAGTCTTTTTACTCCATCCCGCTCACACCTCTTCAATTCATTCATTCAGTCTCATCCCAATCAGTTCTTCAAGATGCTATTCGAGCTCTCACTCCTGGCTCTTGCCATTGGTGCTCAAGCTGCACCGCTTGATACAAACAGCACCACATCTGTGCAAGGAAGCAAGTCGTTTTCTGCTCCTGCTGTTTACAACCCCAACTTCAAGCGTAATGGCACAGCTGCCTTGTTGAAGGCCTACGCAAAGCACAAGTTGACGCCAACAAAAGACTTCTCCGAAGCATTCCACTCTGCTCTATCAAATTCTATTCAGAAGCGTCAGGATGGTTCTGCTCCAGCCATCCCCACAGAATATGATTCCGAGTATCTGGTTTCCACAACCGTTGGTGGACAAAAGTTAAACTTGGACTTCGACACTGGTTCCGCAGACCTGTAAGTGTTGACCCACAATGATACGAGATACAAAAGTCTAATCGAGCAACAGCTGGGTCTTTTCCACTTCATTGTCAGCAGCCAGCAAAAAGGGCCACAGTATCTACAACCCCGCGGACAGTTCCACTTACAAGAAAAAGAGCGGCTACACATGGTCGATTGAGTACGGTGATGGATCTGGAGCATCCGGAACTGTTGGAACCGACACGGTCACAGTCGGTGGAACCAGCGTGAAAGGGCAAGCAGTCGAGCTCGCCACCAAGGTCTCCTCAGAATTCGTCTCAGACACATCTGACGGCCTTCTCGGTCTGGCTTTCAGCAGCATCAACACAGTCAGCCCAGAATCCCAAGACACGTTCTTCGACAACGCGAAGGACGACCTTGACGCACCTCTGTTCGCCGCCTATCTCCCCTTGACCGGCGACGGCGCGTATGACTTTGGCTACACTGACAGCTCAAAGTACACTGGCACCATTGAGTACACCGACGTCGACTCTTCAAATGGTTTCTGGGAGTACCCCGCGACCGCATACAAGGTCAGCGGCACGACGCATACTGCGTCTGGCTGGACCGCCATTACTGATACTGGAACCACCCTCCTGCTCATGGGTGACAGCGCCGTTGACAACTACTATGACGCCGTTTCATCTGCTTCCTACGACTCTGACCAGGGCGGATACACTTTCCCTTGCAGCACCACTCTCCCAGAAATTCAGCTCCGCATCGGAAGCACCCACTATGCTACTGTCCCGGGTACTAGTTTGAACTATGCGCCTACTGATTCCTCTGGTGATACTTGCTTCGGTGGTATCCAAAGTGTTGGTTCAGGAAGCCAAGCTATCTATGGTGATGTTTTCTTGCACAACAACTATGGTGTGTTTGATGCCAGTGGGCCTAAATTCGGATTTGCTACTGTTGCATAAAGGATCCATGAGAAGCGGGGATGATGATGATGATGACATTGCATTGAAGGTGTTAGATTATTCTTGAAATTCGATGCATTCAATTGATTCATTTTAAACCCATCCAAATAACCTTTGCAATTGGCAAGTGAGCTTGTCCTTTGAATACCTGGAAATGGTAGTCGAGTCACAGTCTAAGATTACCCTTTACTCATGTTCGGGGCTTTCAACTTGGCCAAAGCTGGCTTACTCATTTTTGGATATATAAGGTAATAGTATTTTCAAGTAACTCGAAAGTGATAAGGCACCTTCCCTTGCTTACAAGTTTCCAGTTTGTGCTTGCGGTTTCTGCCCATGGCGTCGCCTAATAATGCATCTTTCTTTTTACTTCTCAAAACATGGGGCAACTTCTCCTGCTCTACAGCTCTTTCAATACCCAGACATAGCTACAATAGCACAGAGACTTTAGCATCCAGCAGGAAATCTTGGGAAAATGTAGATTGATTGTTAATTGATGGTCACGTGTGTCTCAAAAGAGGTTATGTGGCGCAGCTGGAGGACACATTTATTTCCATGTATTTCAGGCTACCATTATCTTTTCCATACATATATATAAGCTGAGTTATCATTTTTATAGCAGCTATTACATTGACCTCTTATTTGTCTAATCGAAAACGACTACTTTCTTTACTTTTTCATCTTTCGCGACCCAATCAAGCTTTGGATCGAAGTCAGCGGGCCTCCAGCCCCATAAAGCCCGCTTAGCTCCCCCCCTTAAATTCCCCACACAATGAGCCAAGAAAAGATAGACCCCGCCAGCTTCTACTTCCAGTATCAGGGCCACCCGATCTCCGACATCTCCACCTTCCACTCCATCACGCTCTCCCAAAGACCAAATAAACCCATCGTCTACCTAGCCGGCGACTCCTCACTGGACAACAAACACTGGATCTCCCCCCCTTTCCTCGAACCGCTACCTGAAGGCATCCGCGTCCCTTCCATCTACCACTCTACCTTCTCTCAACCGTGGCCGAAGCCCGATATAGCATTCTGGCTGAACCACTTCTTCGGCTCCGACGCCACAGCTCTAAACTGTGCCGTTGAAGCATCGACGCTAAAGGACCGCGGAGAGGGGAAAGGGTTACTGGAACACGATGTATTTGTCCGCGATCACATCTCTGCAAATGATATCCTCATCGTCTCGATCGGCGCCAATGACATTGCGCTGAAACCGACTTTCGCCACTATATGCCACATGTTACGGCTCGCGTGGCTGACGCCGCGCTTACTGCTGAACTCGTGGACGCTCACGCACTTTACCGATCTGTTCAAAACGCAGGTGCAAGCGTATGTTGAGAAGCTGGTCGAGAAGCAGAAGCCGAGAGCGGTGGTTGTGTGTATGATTTATTATCCGCTTGTAAGTTTAGGTGCAAACCAGCAGAGGAGTTGGGCGGATCTGCCGTTGAAGCTGTTGGGGTATAATTTGTGGCCGCGGCAGTTGCAGACGGCGATTGGGAGGATGTATGAGCTGGGTACGAAGAGGGTTGTCGTGGAAGGGGTGAGGGTTGTGCCGTGTGCGCTGTATGAAGTTTTGGATGGGAAGGAGGCGGGGGATTATGAGGAGAGGGTTGAGCCGAGTGTTGAGGGGGGGAGGAAGATGGCGGCGTTGTTGAAGGGGATTGTGGATGAGTTTGTTAGTGAGGAAGATGATGTGGGGTATAGAGATGACATTTGAATGAATAATAATGCTTGTAGAACTCATACTAGAACGTGGACTTCACAGTTCCGACTGGCGAAATATGCTCACGCAATTGCTCCTTCAGACAGACGCTTTTAATCAAGTCTAAGACCAATAATCCTAGTACACAAAAAGAAACAAACGATAAGGCTATTCCCTAGCCGTTATTCAAGAGACAATCAATCACCCAAGAAGACTGTTGTCTTATCAGAGCACGGAGAAGGGAAAGCAGACCAACCACCATAAGGTCGGCGTTAAAGATGAAACATAGATAGGCAATCTATCGCCATATTGCATCCTCTACACGAAGGAGCGTATAGAGATTTTCAATCAAGGCGCTGCAACTTTAGCGACCAAATTAAGCGAGACAGAAGCCGGCATCTTTTAAGGGGGGCTCAGGGGGCTGGGGGGATAAGATTTGACGACTATGGCTATTTGAAAACATCTTAGATCTATTAATAAGTTTAAGGATTTGTCTGTAATTTTACTTCAGACGACGAGGAAAGCAGCAGGCAAAGATGAGACTAAGTATTTAAGTGTTTGCTATAACTATCCTCTAGTCGATGAAGACATTGGTCTTTCAGGCCCTCTTTGGCAGCTATTATTTGATAAATTATATATATATCTAGCCATTCCGAGAGCCATCCGGCCTATAGTGCGATCTGCCCCAGCCTATCAACACCCTGAGTGAAAGACTAAGTTTCTGACCCAGAATGGAAAACCAGCAATCTAGTTGGCTTGCTTGAGTGCTCTGAATGTGAATCCCTGGTCCATGGCCTCCCTCTTACCTCGCCGCATACCTGTAGTCAGTTTTTCTGCTGTTAAGAACTAAGATACTGTCGTTTTACACATGAATTCATACGGATTTTACGAGTGAATCAAGGATCTCTAAAGTCTGGCTCGAAGAATAAAAGAAACTAATATTTGAAGCCCGAAGTGCATCTGCTTGCAGTTACCACGACAGGGAACGCATAGGATTGCTAGCATACTGTCTTTTAGTTTCAATGTGGCTCAGCCAAGGTGTGATGAGGAGCCTATTTATACCTACCAAAAAATTTCCCCAAATTCACTTCCCATCCCGCCAACGGGGACGAAGCAGCAACTGGGAGGAAGTGGTTCTTCTTACGAACTGCTAACCACTCTTGGCGCCTAGCATAGTACATCAAGCAAGCATATATTGTTTAGTGATTACCTACAAATAACAGTCAATTATTCAATTCCAATTCCCACAACAGTCTTGTACCGCGTGCTGGATCTAAGCCCTATTCAATCTCAACTCAGACGTTAGTAAAGTAATTACAAAGACAGAACTTCTCTTTCGGGAGCTCACTATGCCCCGCATCTCTCTGACCGTGGAAATGCTGCACATGTTTGCTGTCAAGTAAATAACTGCTGCCATTCTCACAATCATTCATTACTCAAAAGTTCGCCTGGAAATCTGGAAGCGTAAAGGGATTGAGATTGCATTCTGGAATTGACAAAGCTTAAATCCCAGAAAGATTGTATTAGCATGCTACACATCCCCTATGCCATTGTACGCTTAGAGGTCATTCTAATTACTATTACAAGACGGATATCGACGAGTATTCTATACGTAGAAATGGTTCCAGAGGACCAGCTAAGCTTAGAGCTGTCTACCACCTAGACATGTGAATCAAACTCAGATATTGACTTTGATCTCTACCTACTAAGTAAATGTTAAAGATGAAGCGCACTCTAAAAGTGCATCTAGTAACAAGCACCGGATTTTTATAATTTGGATACTTCTGATACTCTTTCTTAGCTCCAAGGACCGTTCCACACTGCTGATAGAGCTAAGACCTAGTAGCTCCTTAACCGGAGGTTATGTTGTAGCCTGTAAGTGGCAAAGTTTATAAAGCCTGTGGCGAAGCTTAGAAATAGCTATTTCTAAGCAGGTGGCAAAGCTTAGAAATAGGGCTTGAAGAGCCCTATATATACAGCATACTTCCCACTGTAGAACAGCAGTCAATTCAAGTTATTACCCCTAGAAACAACAGGTTACTTTACCCTAAGACTCTAGACGCACAAAGGCCTCCACTAGGACAGCTAGAAACGAATCAATAGACCTTCAGAGATATATATGGTCAAAACCATAACCCTGTTACAGTCATTCCTCTTGTAGTTCGTTTGATCTCTATAGTTAGGTGAATGCAAATATCATCTAGGAATAGTAAAAGACTTTAACTGATTTGGCGCAAATCCAAACACGTAGAGCGTAAAAAGTAGTTCTAGCCTGACATATCCGTTCCTTGGCTGATATTCTCTATAACCTTTAATATTTCATAAAAGAGAGTAGGAGTCGGGCGCTATATATGACTGTATAATGCTATGTATAGAAATCGCCGTACCGAATGGACGCTAGCTTCACAAGAGCAAGAGAAAGGCCTAATTGCAGGTGATGAATTAAGCATAAGTATTGCTCCTAGCAGACATTAGCTCTACTAAGCTCCTATAAGAATGACACCAGACATGCCATACTATCTCTTGGAGCCTTATACTATATAACGTGAAATTAAACCTCGCAATTAATATCAGTGTCGTTCAACGTCATCCCACGGAAGTGTCAATGGTGAAGTAAGTCCTTGTTCTTTGCATTTAGCTGGAAGATCGCTATATATTTCTCCTTGCGTTGTCGTCATATTTGATCGCTAGCTAAGTCTTTCCTCTACCCCTAAGACTATGCGGGATAATATAGGATCAACTACTATGATCTTAAAGCAGCTTGTGCATTTTTAATAGCTCCTCTCTAGCAACAAACTATAAGCTTTAGAAAATAACGCAAAGTTGAGCCCAACAGCAAATTGCTCGAAATCGACCCCTGTGCTAGTTAGTTTCGTTGCTTTAGTTAGCATATCTACGCCCAAATACTCAATTATGATAACCTGGGCTAAATAATATTTATCGTTTGCTCCTCTATCCCATACCTCTCGTACCTGGATTTCATCTTTTCCTTATCAGGGTGCATGTTGTAATATTTCAATGCGCTCTCTGGGTAGATCACGCCTACCCGCTGATAAAGCTCTATCCCCTCAGGACCGAATCTCGGGTTTGCGATACGTCTAAGAAGCATAGCAAATCCGAGGCCGTTCACGTTCTCAAGCGCCGAGTACCCCGTCAAATCCCATTCTATGCGATCCTTGGATGACCATTTGTCGAAGATGACATGGCCGTGTGGCTCTGTCTCCAAGTCCCGAATATCGGCATTTATGTTTTGTTGATCCAGCATAAAAGGCTGCCACATAGCGGTAACCATTCGCGAGTGATACAGGTTAACGGTTTTGCATAGCCGGCCCGTGACGGTGACGTATGCCGAGGCCTGCCCAACGTCATTGGGGGCCAACTGGATAGACTTGACGCGGAACCGGGCCCATCTCTGGAACTTGACGGCGCCGGTAACTGATGCCCAGCTCCATGAGGGAGCAATTGCCTGTCGCTTGCTTCCTCGAGCTGGCACGGGCCGAAGGATTTTGACGGGGGGGATGACGAGCCAGGCAAGCTGTGTCTCGATCTCGGATCTCCAGATGCCGCATAGATACTTTGCCTCGTTAGCTGGAAATCGGTCGGCGATTTTCTGTGCGATGCCAGCGATTGCGTTCAGCCTGTCGGTTTGGACACCGAGGTCTCGATAAGTGAAGGACTCGACAGCATCGAGCCAGGCCTCTCCCATGTCCGTCTCTTCTAGCAAAAGTTTACGCTTTAGTCTGTTCAGATGATGTCGTTTGGTTTTCTCGACGTAAGGATTTGGGGTAGATGTGCATTCACAAGCCTCCATCTTAAGACATTGAAATGACAGTTCTGTCTGTCCGAAATGAAGGAGTCGTCGAGAGAGCACGTTCTCCTGAAAGCACCACCCTCGATCGTCGAGATGGCTTTGAGGAACGAATGTTACTCCGTGATAGCCGTGAGACGTTTCGCGATCAATGTATCTCACCCCAACTGTAGTGGTGCGCTTATTTAGGCCCGGAGCCGCCATCGGGATCTTAGCTCGAAGAAGGTTGCGAAGGGAGCCGTCAGACGCAAGAGAATGTGTTATAATACCCTTATTACGACCCTCGGCGATGCGGTGGCGCTTTGGGTCGATAATGTATTCCTCACCCTGCCCAGTGAGCCGCTCGGCCGCGCTTGCACATGAGTCAGCCGCGATCGTAAGGTAAGCGTTGTTATAGATCTCGGTCATCTTGGTCGATTCGCTGCTCCAGTCCTCCGCGGAGTCTTGGATAATACACAGCGCATCTATCCATAGATAGTTGAGACCAAGTTTCCGCGTAAACTCGATAGCATCTGTGAAGAGCGGCGGCAAAGGACTCTTCCATCTTCCCTCGGTACGCTCCTGCAAGTTCTCCCATAGTGTCTTCGGCGGGTGTTTGTCCGGCGGACCCCAGCGCCAGGAAAGCGCTGCATAGTTGGCGTGCTCCCCGTTGGAGATCACTAGTCGAAAAGAGTGTTCTTCGCCAACGAAAATGACCCTCGTAGGGAGTAGAGGCGCATCGGGTAGACAACATATCGGATGATGAAGCTTATCACACATTTCTAGCCAGCTCTTTACTCTCTTTACGGCAGAGTCTGAGGCGCGATCCAAGGCCGGCTCAGGATGGCAAGGAATCGCGCTCCAGAGCGATGGCGTGTCTGGCTCAGGCTTATCGTCAGAGATGAGTGTTGCGGCGCCGGACCGGAAGAGGTAGATTACATACTAGGAGGAGTATAGAACTCTAGTAATAAGAAAACTCCCGTGTCGTCATCCCATAGCGGCCTCTTATGCTCCGCCCAAGTCGACCGACTGCCCCATTTCACACGCTTTACCATCGCTAAGAGCGATTGCCCCGTACGACCTTCAAGTAAATCTCCGTTGCCTTCAATGAGCTTGAGAGTCACGCTCGGGAAGTCCTCCGTCGACCGCGTAAAGCGCGCCACGCCGTCGTAGATCATCTTGCAGGCGAGACATAGGCTTGCGGCGCTCAGGCGGAACTCTTCATTGCCGTGTATCTCGATAGTAAGCCCCTCTTCGTCACGAAGTCTTGTGGCGTCGAGATTGAAACAGATGCGACATTCAGGGTTCACTGGCAGCGCCATGGTATGGTCTGATTGATAAACAAGTAAGACTTTGGACATATATCGAAGCAGTTGTTAGGGAATAAGGACTTGATGAATGCCTGCACTAAAAGGCGGGGGCGGGGTCAATAATCAGTTCGTCAAATTAAGCGTCGTGAGCTGTACTGCAATGAGATTAGGCAGAAATCGAAAGCCCGTGTCAAAGACGGAGTAGGCAAAAGTTCAGCCAGTGTAGAAAACCCACTTTAAATAAATGTCTATGCTTATCTATACTAGCTGAGCTTTAGTGAGAGTGGTCTCTACACTAGGCTAGCTATAGGGGGGGTTTAGGGCCGCACGCGCGCGCCAAATAAGCGAATCATAATAAAACCCTTCCTAATCTAGCCTAGCATATGCAGACTTTATCCTAAATAACAATCCTTGCTAGTACTTAGACTTAATATATTCTAAGTGTACGAATGCAGTATATAATCCTATTACTATTACTATAGTATATGCTATAGCGGAATATATTTTTCTACGCATATTCTCTACACTGGCTGAACTTTTAGCTACACTGGTTCAGCTGTAAGCCCCTAAATTTAAGATAGGAGAGTTGTTTATATGTATAGAAGGCAGGTTAGCTTGCGGGGAAGAGAATAGTTGGTTTTTGTCTCCTGCAGGATGGCGATTTTTGCATGGTGAATAATGATGTTTATTGGAGGGGAAGATAAGAGGGAGACTACCTTGGCACTAGGAACAAGCAGGTGTACCTAGTGTTTTGGGGAAGAGGGAGGGATATATGGTAGGTATATGAGTGAGTAGACCATTCATGGCATAGGCTGGATTTGTGAGATGTGATTGTGATTGTGATTGGCAACAGGGCTGGGAAAATAGTCCTGCCAAGCAAGTGATAGATGGGACTTCCTTTATTCGTATACATGGACATGTACACCGAAGATATTCTCGTCTGATAACTGACTTACTTGGGTTCAAAACCGCATTACAGTATCAGTGTTACTCCTCTACTATATCCACCACCACTGCTACCATTACCAACAACCTCTTAATTCCCCTCTTCTCCTATTCCCCTCCTCACATCTAAACACTCCCCTCACCCCCAGCAACAGCGCCCTCCCTCCTCGCCTCCATAATAGCCTTCCTCTTCGCGGTCCCCCACCCGGCCACACCATCCTCCTGATAGCGTCCCAACCAAGGCTTCCGACTATCGCCCAACATACTGCCAGCCAGGAAATAGACCACCAGGCCGAGGACAATCATGACAAACGCAATGGGGTACAGGTAGTAGACGGTGTATCCGAAGACCTGGATGCCGATAATCACACCCCAGAAATTGCCCGTTAGGAGTGAGATGTCGAAGAATGCTGCGGATGCCATGCGCAGGATAATTGGCGCCACTAAAAGTACAATTCCCCGTCAGTAATCACTCATTACTCCGTATCTTATCTTCTCAGACGAGACGAGAAGAAAGTCCAAGATTTAATTAAGCAACGGGAAAGCACGGGACGGTACTGTACTCACGCGAATAGAAAATCCCCAACGCAAGCGTATACCCCACGATATACCCCCCAACCTGGCCATCCCACGTCGCGGTCCTGAAACTATCACGGTCGAAAATCGCGGCCGTGAGGCCGTTGATGATTATACCGAATAGGCCTAGCATTCCTAGTACCTCGTACATGGGACGCTTAGATACGAACCATTCTTCGAAGACGTTGGAGAGGCCGTAGAAGGTGGCGCCGATCAGGGCGAAGATGTCGCCTTTTACTTGGGTTGGGGTCGAGTCGCCAGAGCCGGAGGTTATATGGTCTGTGGGATGTTAGGGGATGGTACGTAGAGTGGATGGAGGGAGGGGGTTGAAGGGGTTATTTATTGAAGGGATGTTTGAAATGAGGGAATAGGGTGGGAGAGAAAGTTGCGTACCAGAAGCAAGAAGTAATCCCATACCACCGCAGCAAATAAGAATCCCCAAGATTTGCGCCCACTTATATCTGACTCTCAAAAGTAAGAAAGATACTATAACAACGCAGATTATAGACCAGAAATTGATCAGTTGGGCGGAAAGTAGATTCGTCTATTCACAAACAAAGTCAGCTCAGTTCAGCTCAAATGTTTGCAAAGTAAGCAAGCAGTAAAGGTATACTTACATAGCGATAAGCAAGCACGGTAAAATAATTGCCCTCGACATCCATAAAACTCAGAATAACATACTTCCAGCCATCGACCAGCAGGAGCTTGAAATACTTCTTCGCGCCGTATTTATAGATGGTGTAAGTGGTATAGAGAGCAGTGAGCAGGACGTAATTGAAAAGGGTTTGGAAGGCTGGGATGGAGGTTCCTTTGTTGACGAGGAGGGTGGAGAAAGTGTTTGTTGCTGTTATGCAGAGAGCTAGGACTTGTCTACAAGGTCACATATACATTAGTAACGATTGAATTTTCAACCTCAAATATGAGATATAGAAAAGGAAGAGAGAAGGAGAAGGAGAAGGGGGAAATACCCAATAACAAGCACTAACCAGAAATCCCGTGTCATCAAATAAGCATACCATTTCTTCCCTCTCCCCTCCAAAGCCTCAATGCCCTGCTCCAACACCGCCTCATCAACCACATTCTCGCCTCTCATCTCCATACTCCCACTCCCTCCACCTACACCTTCGAGTCCATCACTCGCTTTATAACTCTCCCCCGGCCCAACCTCATGGATGCTTTCAATGCCCGTCGCTTTTGCCGCCATTGCGCTGCTTTCTCCAAATCCTCGAGCTGTCTCCGCAGTATTTCCTCTTTCCTCCTCCGATGATAACGATGAATTAGAAGAAGAAGAAATATATACAAAACCCAACAACGGCTCTCTTTCGCCCTCCGTCTTGCCTCTTTTTCAAGTTCTCTCTTCAAAACGAAGAAAAAATCCCTTATCGTATGTAACCCTTATCGCACTCAAACAAGTCTTTCTATCCCTCTACAGCGCGCGCAAAGACTAGAAGTCGCTCGCTGGTGATGTTATAAGATTCTCTGTTGCTTTGGCATTGAAATTTCAATGCCCTCTAGAAGAATTGATGGGGAGGAAAGAAGGTTGGGCGGGTGGTGAGAAGAATTGTTAAGAGGAGGGAGGGGGAGGTGTGGATCGCGGCGCGGGGCAGAGAGAACGGAGCGAAAGAAGAAAAAGTAAAATGCTTGCAGATGACAGGGGTGGTGATTGGATGGTAATGGGATCACGGAGCGTGCTAGAGTGGAGTGGGACGAGGTCTGGATCGTCGGCGGGCCAGGCCGAAGAAGCAAATATTTGGTAGAGGGGAGCGGCTGAGAGTGTGGACGGATGGATCACCAGATGAATGGATTTTGTAAGAGTCCTGAGGGAGCGTGGGACTGCTGTGTGAGATTCGTAGGACTAATATGGTATAATATTTGATTTTAGAAGTGTCTAAATTAATTGAGAAACGACTTCGTGCTGTTGTTGCTGTTTGTACTCCTGCAGTGCTATGATACAACTCCATAAAATGCAGCTTCCCCATGAATCATACAATCATATCTCAATAACAAGATATACCTTCGGCCTAAAAAAGAAGGGACTATATTCTGTTTATCCCAAGAACTGCCTCAAATTCCCCCCAATATGCTCCAAATCCAACAAAAAGCTATCATGTCCAAAGAGACTCAAGTCCTGTCCCAACTCCACGTGCGTAACATTCTTATTCCCGCCCTTCTTCAGCGTCTCAGCAATCTCCCTCTGCTGCCACGCCGGAAACAAGATATCGCTCTCGACGCCCATGATAAGCGCTGGATGATCTCGCAAGCCTTTCAGCCCTAGAACCAAATCTTGTGGGGGTGCGGACGAAAGTGTCACGGGCGCATTGAGATCAGTGGGAGCTTCTGCTTCGGGCTGTTCTTCGTATGGTGTATCTGGAAGCGTCAGACTGCAAGAAGTAGCTCCATCCCAACTCTGATCTTTGGCCCCTAACCGCTCTGAGCTTTCCGCACGGCGAGCCGCAGTGGCAGATTGATGCGCGGCGCCAAGGTCAAAGAGATCCATAGCTTTGCTCACATAAAGCAGACTATTCGCATCATACTCCAAACAAAACTTCTCTCCCGCATGATCCAGATACGTCTCGATCAAAAAATCCGGACACAGTGCAGGCACCTTCCTCGGATCAGCCCTCCTCCTCCCAAACCTCTGCTCCCATTCTGGGCCCGATCGATATGTAACCGTAGCGATTTCCCTCGCGAGTTTCATACCCGCGTGAGGAGGTATGTTGTCGTAGTAAAATCCCCGACTCCAGTTCTTATCCATCATAAGGACCTGGCGCTGCGTATGCCGCATCGCAATGCTGTACGGATGGCTCCGTGCGCAGCCTGAGATACTCGCTATCCTCCCAACTCTCTCAGGAAAAAGGATCCCAGCAGCTAGTGATTGCATACCTCCCATACTTGCCCCAACACTTGCATACAATTTGTTTATACCAAGTCCGTCAAGTAGCCGGAATTGCGCGCGTACCATATCTTCCATTGTGAGGATTGGGAAACGAGTAGCGTAGCGGTTGCCATCTGCTGGATCGATACTGCTTGGTCCTGTACTCCCGTAGCAGCCCCCGATAACATTCGTGCATATAACATGATATTTGTCCGTGTCCAGACAGCCTCCAGGGCCAATGAACTTCTCCCACCACCCTGGCTTCGGATTCCGTTCTGTGGAATGCGCATGTGATGATGCTGAGAGACCGGTGTGTAATAAGATTGCGTTGGATTTGTCTGCGTTTAGAGAACCCCATGTTTCATAGGCTATATTGAAAGAAGGAAGGACACCGCCCCAGTCGAGGAGAAGAGGTTCGGAGCAGTGATACGAGAGTGTTGCGCCGCTGGTATAGGATGGCTCGGGGCCGCTGGCCATAGAGCGCGCTTCGAGTGTTGCAGTTTTGGATTCTAGGGCGTCGAGACAGGGAAATGCCATTGCGGGATTTGAGGCTTCTGCCAGACCGGCATTTTGGGGGGGTTTGGCGTGGAAAGATCGTGTGCCGTTTTGTTGTTTTGATGTGGGAGGCGGATTGGTGGCTGTTGATGAGTTTCTTGCCCAGGAGTTTCTTGGGATTTTTGTAGGCCGTATTGATATTCGCGCTGCGGCGACAATACTCCTCCTTGTGGGGTTCATGATGTTGTATATCTATAAGGATTGAAGACGTTGAGCAAAGGATTGAGCTCGATCAAAGCCCTACAAAACATTACACCAGCTGGAATATCCATAGTTTTGTCAGCCAAAAAATAAAGTTGTCCAAGCGTCCGAGGTCGGATTGCGTGATTGATTGATTGAGGACCCGAGGTGCGGGGACCAGCCACCACAGCCTTGTGCTAGACCTATTCAGGTTGGTCCTTTGGATATATCTACCTACTTCCAATGAGGACTAGCCTAGTGCGTCATCTGGATGTTGTCGCCTTGCTCTGGCTTCAAGCCTGTCCTGTGTGCCTACATAGGTAGGTAGTGTAGTTCCCTCAACTTGATCTCGCCGCTGCCCCTGATCTATCCTCATTACAATACGAGTAGTGCAATAAATAGTAATTGACGTTGAACAATCTTGAATCATCACATCACCTCCCTCCTACTCTGATTCCCCTGCATGATACTCGTACCACCGCATGATACATATGGCAAGCATCTACAACATCCTAGTCAACCTAGGCAACGCCCTCTTCGCCCTCTACCAATACTTCTACAAAACTATTTTCAACGCTCTCTTCAAGAAAAGCCCCAGAACAATCAACATGGCGCAGCAGAGCACTGAAGCTACCCTCTATCAACCTTCCGTGGAGGATGTGCTGCAAGTCAAACAATCTCTATTCAAAGAGCTTCGTCTCCCCATAGAACTCGTCGAGGTCGTGATTGACTTGGCCGAATACTGGCCCCATACTACAAGCGTTACGACCAATGATGCTGACCATCCGATTTCCGTGCGGTCGGGTGCCGAGTTTGAAAATCGATTCCTAGTAAGCAGACTCCATACTCTTCTACCTAAGCATGAACTAACTCGAGCAGTTGAGAACATTTCCCTTGGGTTATGTACCCAACGGTGACAACCCCACCACCCTCACCGGCATCGGAACACATTCTGATGACCATATCACACTCGATAAAGCTGTGAAATCCTCCAATACCCCCAAACCATGGCCTCCGTCCCGCGATGTCCAAGATGATGCCACGAAAGAGTTACTGGAGCGATGGACTGCTGTTTCTATGTCGCGAGGGACCCCGTGTCGGAAAATTGTTTTTACGCTGAAGAGTCATGATCAGGGGTGGGGAGGAAACCCTGCAGATAAAGGGACATATAGAGGGTCATATTCTTGGTTTGATGTTGGATTGGAGAGGATATCCGCATCGCGAGCAGGTAAGAATGCACCTTTGGTATATTTAAACACGGTTAATAAAGATAGAAGCACCAGAAAGGACCGAAGAATCCGTACCCCTTCCTGAATTCCCCCCCCCTTACCGACACAGAATCGCAAGAAAAGATAATCAAAGCTACAAACCCAGTCATCTGTTCCCTCCGCACAATCCTCCCGCGCACAGTTCCCAAAGGCCCCTCTTCAGAAGATTATCAATTCGAACATGCCCTGTTACCCCAACCAAACTGTTTACAAAGGAATCTCACTGCCGAGGGGAAGACACATGAACATGTCGTGACCTGGTCTTGCGATGACAATATCCTACCTGAATCCGTCGATGGGACCGAGTTGGAGAAACAAGGAAGGGGGAGGGAGACTGCAACAGGGCAGTTTGTGAAGGACATGAAGGTTGGGGATGTGGTCACTATTTGGGCGAAGGCGAGGTTCCCTGGGTGGGTAAATATTGTTGAGCAGGTCAAGGTGGAAGTTTATTGGGCTGCTTAGGTTGAATTGATCAATTGGGAACTTGGAAGGACTTCGAACAAACGGATATATTTTTAATGAGCGACGAAGGGTTGGAGTGATTTACAAGAAACCAGGTAAGAGCAAAGACCCTGTAACGAAGTATGAAATTGATGGACTTTTAGAATGGATGTATGTACGACTGAGAAAGCAATAGAAGAGGTTGTGCTCGTGACTATATGCCAATTGCTCGATTTCGAGTCTCCCATCCAGGATTCGTGAGACACTGTACTACCAGGAGATAAAGACATCAGCGTACCTACCTAGGTAGAAGTTTAATGCTGATTCTGAGATAGAATCCATTAACGCTCAACATGATTCACAACGTTGATTTTACCTCGAAACGCTAAATCGTCACATCCCGTGACATATTCACCTTATTGCTTTTAATATTCCCCATGCAGCCTAGCTCTAGACGCTAACCGCAGTCGCGTCTTCAGCAATATAAGGTAAACAAGTCACCCCTCAACCCTTCATCATCCCAAACCAAAAATTTCCTCAAACCCCAGCACGAAAATCGAAAATTCCAAAACTCTTTATACAACAAGAACGCCTGGTTGTCTACACATCCCATCAAGAATTACTTTGATCCGACAAGCCGTTATCTTTGAAGTTTGAGTTTGAAGGAAGGATAAGATGGCTGTTAACTCTGCTGCTAAAGCTGCGATGCAGAAGGGGAGGGTAGAGAAGGCGAAGAGCAAGAAGGATAAGAAGGTCGCGGCACAGGCTAGGGCTGCTGTTGCTAGGTATGTTAAATTCTTCTTCTTTCTATATGTATTCTGTTTAATTCAATTGCTGGATTCGCGGCGCAATTGATATATTATACATGTGCTAACTGACTGAATGCACAGAGAAGCACGTTTCGGAAAGAAGACACCCACGAAAGTCACTCCCAAGAATTAGATGCGCCTCACTCTTGAGATGATAGATGGTGACTGCGACGGACGGCAATGGAGGGGGGCATGTGCGATAGATATGAATTGCGTATGCTTTTTGGTCGACAAACAAGACCGTTGAATTGAACAATTGATGCTGCCTGACTGGTTGGTGGTTGCTTTCAGTTCGGTTTATGGAATCAATGGGAATGGATGGATTATGGGACGGATTGTTTACGGAATGATATCAATGGGCGTTACGAATGGATCTCTTTTCGTGGATATGGCGTGGCTTGGCTTACAATATATATCGGTTTGATATGAATGGATGAATAAGAGGCGCTTTGCTTGAATGCGCGCGCGCTGGAGGTGCCGCATAGCAGAGAGAAAATCAGTTCCGGGCTTCTAACCTGGTGTTTGCATTTCTACTTTATGTTTTTCTATTATGCTATTCTGTGTCTCATTCATTTTATGCAAGTACTGTGAGTGCTGTGAGTGAAAATGTCGATGAAGAGCGGATTGCAAAATGAGGGTTGAAAAATGATTCGCGCATTAGCAAAGTGACGCGACGTGATGCGTTGCGCGACTTCACGTTCTTACCTACCTACAGCAGTATCTTGTTCTCTTATACTGTACGAGTACAACCACTTCCGCAGTTTGTGTTTATTCGCTTCCACACCACTGTACTCTTCTGCTTATAGTTCTCGCCGTCTATGTCTGCACTCTTCCCATTCCAATCAATGTCTTCCCTTTGGTAAGGAAAAGACTATATCACCAACCCGTTTCCGATCTTCCTCTGTGCAAAGATAAAGATAAAATGCAAACTACTTGCAAGTAATTCGCAGGGTAATAAGCGCTATGTCTCGAGGCAGATGATGGTATGGTTTGATTGATTAATAGATTGTTATATTGATGTTTGGTCATGTTGACTATTATTAAACTTGACTTGTTTCCTGTTTTCTTCACTTGTTACGTGGGAATAAGGTAGGTGTTAGTAGTGTTGAGTTAAAGAATCTACCGCCTTACTTGACCTACCTCTGCTAGACTATATGTCCTCGATTAAAACCAGTCAGAAGAGAAATGATACATGGAGAATAAGTGCTGCAGTCACTAGCATGGTGTCTCAACTGAAAACTATGGACATAGATCCCTTCTGGGCCACTCTTTTCAAATCGGTATACGCTAGATTAGCTCTACCTACAATTTATCGTCGCCTGATGATATTTCCTTCCGATCTGCCGCTCGAATGTTTAACATAACATGTGAGAGGTGCTCAGACGTATAGAGCATCAACAACACTACAGGGTCTTTGGTCGATGGGGATTGCAATGGCATGCGTACCAGCCAGATAATGCTCTCAAATAGCAACTGCACGCCTTTCCCAATAGACACCTTGTCGGTGCTTGTTCATTCTCTACTCCTATACTTATGAATGCAATGGATCCTCGTGGTTTGTTCCTGCTTTTACAGCTGCGGTTGCAAGCACTTACTGGGCAAGTTTTTCGCAAATGTTGCCGCAGATAATAGAAGACCAGATCGTGCCGCAACCTGAATACAACTATACCACCACCAACGAGCTCATCATAGTACTTACGGCAACCCTCGATGGCAACTGGTTATTGTACTTCTTGCTGGCCATGCAGCCAATATTGACTGCGTTGATGTTTATCTTCGCAGCCATGTTCTACACCTCACCCGCCAATGGGCAAAGGTTTGGAATAACAGCAGTGCTATCTGGGACCAACAAGGATAGTTTAGACTTGCTTTGGGACTACTTTATCTGGCGTACTTGAGAGACTTGTCAGGCTTGACATATCTGTCGCTAATGATGTACAGAGCACTAGGGACACTTCACAAATGGGGTGCATACAGTACAGCATCCCCGGAAAATCTGCAAGGGGGAAAGGTTTAAGAAAGGGCAAAGTGTGTTCGTGAATTGCACTCTGGTCCAAGAATTATATTTTAGAAAGAATTTGCTGATCATATTTCCCTAACCCTTGAAATCCCTTCTAATGCATTAGGTAAGGTACGTACTAAAGCTGAAGTGAAAGGGGCAGGAGGTCCATACCTTCCACATCCGGCAGTTTAAGCGAGAGGTGGGGTTATATATACCCCTCCCTCCAACTTGCCGAGCACGCCGAGCACGCCCTAGTGCGTCCCGAGCGCCCTTCCCATCTACTTTGAGTTCAAGTACATCTCGCGCCGACGGTTTTCGCTCCATCCTGCGAATTGTGTAGCGAGCTTCTATGATTTAAATATCAACCGGCAGCCGATGCCTTTCTGATCTCATCCTCATTCCACCTGCATAATCTTACGTACACTTTTTAGGAACCTTGAAAGAAACCTAAGGCAAGCTTACACTTAATCTTTAGACGACCAAATCACACTTTCTCTCTCTTGCTTGTCTGACCCCTACTTTAAGCATCCAAAGAGAATTGAAGAGACGAACAAGTAACAATGACGTCAACAATTTCCATGGGCCAGTATCTATTCAAGAGAGTAGCCGAGCTGGGCATCGAACATATTTTCGGTGTACCGGGTGACTTTAACCGTAAGCAAAACTCCATTCTCTCACATATTCATACTGAAACCTTCAAGTCACTCTCCTGGACGAGCTATTCAAAGTCCATGAACTTGACTGGCTGGGAGTATGCAACGAGCTCAACGGCGCGTATGCCGCAGACGGCTATGCGAGAATCAAAGGCGTGCCAGGTGTCTTGGTGACCACCTATGCAGTAGGTGAGCTGTCTGCTATGAATGGTGTTGCTGGGGCATATGCAGAGCACGCGGGTATGATTCATGTAGTTGGCATGCCTGGAAGAGCAGGTATGTAAATTCCAAGGGTAGAGAGAGATAATACTAATAGGGTTGCAGTTCAAGAAGCAAGACTCATGCTACATCATACCATGGAACCGGGCATGGATCAGACGGTCTACGTAGGCATGGCGGAGCCTATACGCAAAACCCACACTATTCTCACGGATGAGAAGACTATGGCTCAGGAAATCGACCGTGTTATTGAAGCTGGAGTTAAGAGCAAACTTCCGGTTTACATCTATGTTCCCATGGATGTAGTTGGTATTCCGCTAGATGCGAGTCGCTTGGAGAAGCCTTTAAACACCAAGGTCGTAAACAGCAATTCGCAGATGGAAGATGAGGTGGTGCAGTCTACTTTGGAATTGATTAGAAAATCCTCAAAACCGAGTATTCTGGCTGATGTATTGACGATTCGACATGGTGGTCGAGAACTAGCTAGGAGACTTGCGAATGCGACGCAATTTCCAACCTACTCGACTCCTCTTTCAAAAGGAGTGTTTGATGAGACTGACTCGAAGTATAATGGAGTTTATAACGGCGAAGGTATTGCGCAATCCCTTGGATTGGAATTGAATACCTACTGAAAGCCAGTTATCTAGTTTCCTTCCCTGGCTGTGCCGACTCCCTCGAGAGCTCAGATCTAGTCTTAAACGTTGGATTCCTCCTATCAGACTCCAACACTGGTGGTTTCACACGGAAGATCCCCAACGGAAACTTAGTATTACTAGGTCACGACTACTGCCAAATCCACGACAAAAAGTTCGACGGTATCCATTTCCTACCAGTGCTAAAGCGCATCGTAGAAGAAATCGAGAAAGATCTAAAACAGTACGGTCTTCCCAAATCCGACACCCGTGCAAAAGTAGAAGTAAGTATACGTAACTCCACTCCCCAAAACCAAGATATTCAGCCTGACTACAACAAACAAGTTTTGCTAATCAACGATGGATTGACCACAGACACCAGTCCTAAGCACCTCAACATCAGGCCCAATAACGCAATCCTACATCTGGCAACGCATCGGGCGCTTCCTCCTTCCCAACGACATAATCCTCACCGAATCCGGCACCGCGCAATTTGGGCTAACGGACGCCGTCTTCCCAGCATCGACGCAACTCATCACGCAAACATTCTGGTCGTCCATCGGCTACACAGTAGGTGCCTGTCTCGGTGCTCTTGTGGCCTCCAAAGAAGCACAAAAACAAAAACAAAAACGCTCTTCCTCTTCAACTTCAACTTCAGACTCCCCCAGCAGCAGAGTCATACTTATCGTCGGCGACGGCTCGCTGCAAATGACAGTTCAGGAAATAGGCAGCTATATCCGCTTCAACTTCACCCCAATCATTTTCGTGATAAACAATGACGGGTATGCGATCGAGCGCGCCATTCACGGGCCGGGGATGGGGTATAACGATATCAGCATGTTGTGGGACCATCAGGCGATGTTAGGGTTTCTTGGGGCGAGAGAGGGGACTGGGATCAAGGGACGCAGTTTTGCTTGCAGGGATGTGGAGGAGCTGGAGCGGGTGCTGGGGGAGGAGGAGTTTGCGGGGGCGGGGTGTATACAGGTACGTGATTGTGTTTCTTTTCTTCCCGATGTTTGGGAGGAGGGAAGAGAAGGCAAAGGTGAATAGTACTGATTGACGAGCAACAGATGTGCGAGATTTTCATAGCCAAGTTAGATTATCCGTGGCGGCTATCTGCGCAGATTGCGGTTTCGAGGCAGAAGATGGCGCAGGCTATGGCTTTGCAGGCTTAGGAGCGTGAGGCCCAGGTACTGTAGGGAAAAGTCATCTTCTCCCTAGCTATTCGCAGACGTACAGTAGCGTTCGGATTGAACACTAGTTATTAGTAAGTAGTAAAATAATACTTTATTAGCTAGCATCCACGTTCTTGAAAAAACAAACGGTATTAACAAGGGAAAGAAGCATTTTTCAAGTACAGGTTGTTCAAGATTGTAGGTGCTAAATTAAGGAGGGCTTTAGTATAGTATCCTACCTACACTTACTTATCTTCAACTCTCTTCTCCCTCTCTCTCTCTTTATCTATCTAGAATCAACAGAACTTGAAAACGTAGAGAGCGCACGCAACTATATACTCCGTATAACCTACCTTATAGATACACCCTACGTAGGGTAAGACATACAGCACGGAGAGCGAAGACGGAAAGCCGAAGTTCCAGCGGGGAAGTTGCGCTACTGCTTCTCTGTATTCAAGAGAGTGGGCGAGGGGTGGGAATGATGAGATGTGAGATGGATGGAAATGGAAATGGAAATAGGAAAAGAGTGAGTGTAGTTAGTATGGCATGGAAACATTTGCGAGTTGATGCTAGTTGAACACTACTGGTATGGAAGAAATAATACATAATCAGCGCAGCGGAATGCATTTCATTATTCAGACTAGAGCTCGAGTAAGAGTATGTACGAACGATGGTATACAGTTTCCAAAAAATATTCTTCATTCACAGACAGATAGGTAGGCTATTTATTAATTCACTAGATACCAGGAATCTCTTTCTTGTGATATGGTATGTTATGTAGTATATTCATACTAACACTCACTACACTCCTGTGACTAACTACAAACCCCCCTTCTCTCTATCCATTAATATAATCTCCCCCTCTCCTTCTCCTTTATATATATAAATATATTCATTCATAATCCAGACATGAAAGTGGAGTATGTGATCAGCCCATGGCAGGCCTTCCCAGCCACAAATGCCAATTGCAATTATCGCAAACAATAGAATGACTTTTGCCACCCACCAATCAATAGACAGACAACTTCGCTTTTCGCTTTCGCGGAGAATGTGTCTCGACAAGGGTATCCAGCGTTCCGTTCCGTCCCGTTTCCTTTCCCAAAACTCCAGGAAAATGTATTGTAATGCAATGTTCAGACCCATATATGATCTTCCAAGCTCGCTCCATCGTAAATGCATTTTCAAGACAGACAGATCAAGAAGATGAATAAATTAATTAATCCATGCCGTGCCGTGGACCTGATCATCCCATGATACCATCCAGACTATACCTCGCAGCGCTACCCTGCCGACTCGAAGTGGCCGCGCGCTGCTGGTTAACGTTTTGAGGCTGCCGGGCCATGACGAGGATCTCGAAGGCGTCGACGCGGGCTTTGAGGGACGAGTTTTCTTTGGCGAGGTATCTGTTGCGTTTTTCTAGGTGGGCGATGTATTCTGTGGCTTTGGAGAGGACGGTTGCCTTTTGGGTGTTAGTTGTTGTACTATACATACACATCTTGGGGAAATTGAATGAAGAGGGAATGAGAGGCGTACCTTGTTCAGCTTATGCGCTGGAGTCAAGCCTTGCAGATCTTCCTCGATCTCCTCACCGCGCGAGTTGCGCTTGCTCATGACCCGTAATGACGGCACCGAGTCGCGGAGCGCGGTGATCTTGTCGTTGAGGTTTGTGCGGTACCGTTTCTCAATCATGTTGTGTGCTGTCTTCTTGATCGGTGGGTGTCTACGGCCGCTACCAGCAGGCGGGCTTTCATCGTCTTCGTCCTCGTCTTCCTCGTCGTCTGCGCTGCTCTTGCGCTTCCTCATGTTGTCCGTGCAGGGCTCGGGCGATGATGTAGTGGATGACGTGGGGCTGCGGGCTTGCGACGGCATGGCGATGTCGCGGAGTTTGGCTTCTTGCTGTGGGGTGAGAATGCCGTTGTGGGAGGTTACTTGTCTGGAACCTGGTGCGGGCCGTGACCAGGAGAGAGGGGTTGAGTATAAGCCTTCTCGTTGCGAGATATCGTTGAGTGGAGAACTTTTCATGGACCCTTGAGTTTGGAACAGTGATTCTTCGGCGATGGGTTCCTCGACGAAAACAGCCGAGTCGTCTAGTTGTCCTCCCCCTTGAAGCTCTAATCCTCTCATGTTGGGAGACATAGGCTCGAGCTTGAGCTCTGGGAAGAAGTCAGATGTTGGCGACAGTGCTGCGTCACTTGGATCGTCCCAACGCATCCAATCCTCAAACGAGCCAAAGTTAAACGACTGGTCCTTGATATCCTCCTTGGATAGAGCGAAGGAGTCGGCGGGGAAAGTAATGGATTCTGGTGAGGTAGGCGATGTGAGGATAGAATCACACGAGTCCGCTGGGTCGTTGTAAGAGTTTGAGTCCCAGACAAAAGCAGGAGAGACAGATGTGTTGCTCTATTAAGTATAAATGTCAGTCGATGTAAAGTCGCGTGATGTTGGGTGGGATGTGAGTGTGGTAAAGGGAAACGTGCTTGGTTGGTCGAATGTCAATGAGACCAAAGAGGCTTACACCTGAGAAGCAAAATACCCAATCAGGATGAAGCTCTTTTTCAAGATGGTAAAATCCTCCTTTCTGCAGGGTGGAAGGAGCTCTCTCTAGCTCATCAACTCATGACCTTGAAATACACTTACTTGAGATCTCTGCTTATTCACCGAGAAATAATCAACGCCTGGACGTTGTAAAATGCCAGCCATCTAGGATCGTCACAAAACAAGTGTGTTTAGCAAAAGGTTGGTTGTTTGTTTCCTTGCTGGTATTGCTAGGGTAAGGTATATCTTCAAAACTTGTATTGGCAATATGCAAACCGAAGGTCTGATATTGATAACGTGATAGTAGTAAGTTAAATAATGAAGTGATTGTCTTTAATAGGTGACGTCCGGGCTTCGCTGGGTGAGGCCAATTGATATTTGTATTGGAAGGTGGTAGGGCGCAACCATCCGGGATTGGCAGCACGTGAAAGAGAAAAGACAGACCCGAATGCGCAAACGTGTTTGAAAACTGCCAGCCTCAGAGCCGGTCGATACTCGTAGTCGTACGAGTCGTACGAGTATTGAGAACAACATGATGTGACTTTACTACTAGTGCGCCTTCGAGGTCCAGCTTACAATACGCGAGGGAAGATGTAAAGGGGCCGGATATAAAGTATCAACGGGCGCCTCCGCGGGTGCAGAAAAGAGGTCTGGAAAAGGCGACCATGCCTACATAACTGGGGAAATTTCCTTGCGGTCAAGGGCTCCTCTGCTCCACCCCGATGCCACCGCTTCTGCATCTTGATACACGATAGATACACTTGAGAGAGGCGCCGACCACCAGGTTGATACGCCGAGAGTCTGCAATCCAGAGGTGAGAGAGGCGGCGCGAAAGAATCTGCGTGCGAGAACACGCGAGAACCCACGTCGTGGGCTGATTTCTGCCAAACCATGAAGCCACCCGTGCAGGGGTCCAAGCGCATCCAGATCTGTAGTCGGGCAGTTCCGGATCTCCAAGAATCTTGGTAACTGAGTCGAGAGGATCCTGTGATTGGCTGGATAGTGAACTCGGCTTGGTAAATACGTATAAATCTCTTGAAGAGGTATTGTTATGCTTCTTCAGGGATATCCTACCTCATTTTTTCGGACGGTTTATGTGATCGTTCCGGTGTATTCTCGAGGCTAAGTTCGTTTGTTCGTTTAGGTAGATGCGAATACGATGTATGCATATTGCAGTACTGTACTATTACTTTGAGTATTGTAGTATTGTACTTGTGCGTATATTCCAATTCAAAAGCAAAGAAGGTATATCAAAGCGAGAGAAGAAGATTGGAACAAGTACTCGAGTATACATCTATTGCTTTCTTTCTTTCTTTCTTTCTTTCTTCACATACCCCCGCCCCAGCCTTACACAACACAGTTCCGTACTAATACTACCCCAAAGGATCTTTCCCCAGACTCCCCATTTGTGTCGATCTTCCCTCAATCTCCAAAGCCACATTTATCCTCATCTCACGTTAATACTATACGCAATCTGGGAAAACAACTGGTCTAGTCTACCTTGGCTTTGAAGGCCCCTCTGCCTGCCCCTCCACCCCTCTTCCAACTCCACCACAACTCCACCACTGCACTGCAAGTCTGCAAAGCGTTGAAAGAGTTATAGAGTACCTCCTACAGCTGCATAAAATGTTATCCCAATGCAAAATGATGCCGCCCGCCATACTTACATAGATTGGCTGCACGTTGCATTTCGGTAGTCAAGAAAACAGCTCATTTTTCTGTTGCAGATCCGGTCAGCGGGATTGCCGCGCTTCTTATTGGCTTCACCCCCTTGTTCAACGAAAAGATCGGTCCAGGCCCTAACGGCCTTCGCCACCTGTGAGCTTCGGAGCTTTGGAGGGAGCTTCTCTCGAGAGAATTCATATCTGGTCAGATGCCGCGTTCTTTGAATTCAGTTCCATCTTAAAGACGCACTTCACTTGCAAGATTTGATAATGTATTCATTATTACACCATACGCCCCCATTTATCGCAAGAGCATTCCAATGCTCGGGTATTTCCTCACTGCAGGTACGAATAAACGTCCAAAGAAATCGCGCCGCCCAGATATCGTATACTCCGAGAATGCATCTCAGCCAGATCTTAGTCATGTCCTCTCTCTCTATTCAAGAAAGTGGGGATGCTTATTACACGTTCATCCACCAGGTCCTGTTGTTGACTCTATTTGCTCTCTATAAATAGTTGGCCATGGGAAAAGGTTTTCGTAGGGTATGCTTTGGATTCAAGATGAAGCAATTGTGAACATAGATTAAGTCCAGAGGGTTGGCCTCACGCCGAATCGTCGACTTCCAACATTCGAAATCCGCTGGACTCCAATTCCGCACCTATGTTCAACAACGGTGCTCCCTGTAATGGGAATGGCCAAAACAAAGGGTTTTCATCCTGTTTAACTGGCCCGAGCGTGCGGTCCATGTCCACACCTTGAACGTTTGGACAGAATTGGTTCAATGACGACGTTGAAACTCGGCACAGTGATTTCGGGTTCTGCTTATATTTCAATTCCTCTTCCAAGGATTCAGTTTCCATAGAATAGTCGACTCCCCAAGTGCTGATTAGATACTGAATGATATCGAGAGCGCGGTCCGCAAAGCCGTGGCAGGCCTGCATCTCTTTCAGGTCATGAATCCCCTCTTGAAGCAATTCGCGTCCATCCTTGGTGGTACCAAGGGTGACCACGTGTGCGATACTTGAAGTGAGCACGAAGCAAGGCACAAAGGATGGTGTACGTCGGAGGGTATATAACTTGGAATAAGAATGCACCAGGGTTGTAATAGCTTCGGCAGCCTGGCTGCAAACATTGCGCGGTGAAAGACCAGATCCTATGATTTCAAGCTTGATAAAGGGCCTGAAAAGTAGTAATATGGCAAAGTGGTAATACATACTGCGAGACTTCAGCATTAGACTATGATTAGGATGGGGGTGTCTTACTGGGCAAAGAGCACTGCTGGGGTAAAGTTGTGACCCAGGCGCAGCGCCGTGGGGATGGAGTCATACCAGTTAAGGTACTTGGTGTAAACATCGAGTAGTTTCTTTCCTGTCACAGGGCTCCCTGGCGTGTAAAGTGTGTACATCGTTTTGTAGACTATTTCAGAAAGCTCACAGAATGTCTTGTACACGCTACGGATGTTTGATGGTTGAGTGCAAGACCGCTCAAAGGGGGCCCCTTGAAGGTCATCAGCGTAAATTCTACATCCATGGGTAACTTCGAATTGTATTACCGTCATCTGTATAAGGAACCCAATCTGAAGCTTCAACTTCATCGACGATATCCGGCTTTGCCACCAGTGCCACGTCCCTAGAGCATTGAGGTAACCGGCCGATGCTGAGAGACCAGGCCCTTTATATGGAATTAGAGGCGGCGTTTCAAGCCATGGTATATAATCTGTCGAAAGACTACAGTGGAAGGAATCATGCTTACTGGTCTAAAGAAAAGGCACCCCAAAACGTTGCCGATCGAACAGCGTGGTTCTCTTGAGAATCTGCAATTTCTTCATCCTCAAGCTCACGATGTAGACCCATCTCGATCGCTAGTCGTATTGACTGGCCCGAATAGTAGAGACTCTGACTTGAACGACCACAACTAACCTCTCTTATTGACATTAACCCTAGGGCCTGAATAGTGGTCAGAACGTGCCGGTCGGTCTGGGCCTCAAATAACCTTCTAGCTTCCGCGAAGAATTGGTCTCCAGCACTTTCGCTGCTCTGAGTACTTAACTGCGACTCTACTTGATCCGAAAACCTACAGCCCAAAGCCAGAATGGCGTTGATTAGTAGGGACGAGCAGTATCTTTGACTTCCAGATCTGTAATCTTCCAAGAAATGCTCTTTGTTAAGTGAAGCGAAAGTAGGATATTCCCAACAAAAATACAAAGCCATCAAATGCTCTACCAATGCCTTGTCTGAGGTCACTGACGTCCAGGACCCAGTGAACTGACCATCAGTAACCATATCTTTGGTGCGATCGGACCCAAACTCATGTCCAAGTACGGTCTCTTGTCCTTGGCTTCTGGAGATTTCAATTAGGCTGTTTTGGGATGATCGAGCAGGCTGATTCCACGTCCCTACCAAAGGGTAATTTGGGTTGTGGTGGGGATATGGTAAGCCATCAGGGCTCCAATTCATAGAATCAGCTTGGCTTCCGCCGGAGAAGTCTTGAGTTTGGCCTTCAGAGCCCCATGCAGACCATGCATTTCCCATCTCTTGGCCTGTTGGTTGGAGATCTAGTCCTTGAACATCTGTTGAACCAAAGTTCGATGAATCCGGTCTCATTATATTTCTCGCCGGTTGCAAGGCACTTTCGATAGCCTTGTGGTCGCTGCAATGATTGAACGTTGTGGTGTGGCCGCCTCCAGAGGCCGACGGTATCGAACCCGACCTCTCTAACTGTTCAGCTACATCCTCAAGCGTAGCACCATCTCGAAATTGTTTGAGGATCTTTTCGGACTCGTTATTTGAAACCAGAGCGGCGAGAACACGCCCAGTCTGCTTTTGTTGTTCCCGCAGTTGTTCAATTTCGGATCGCATATGTTCCTTTGATTGGCGGACCTTTTCAAAAAGAGTAGTGTAAGCATCAAACTATATTATCAAAGGTATGAAGATGTACCGGAACTTCATATACACAAGTCACCCCTTTCTGAGAAGTACACCTCCCGCACGGAGCTTGACCGTCGCACTACAAGTCGGTATTAGCAAGCCCAACATAGAAACCGTGGCGCTTCTCGTGGTATTACCTTTGCTCTCTTCTTGCGACATTCTGTGCATGCATTTGGTGTAACAATCCCAAGACCGCGGCGCCTCCTTAGATTGCTGGAGCTTGAATCAGCCATAGCTAGTCGACGAGATTGTATGTTTCGAGGGAATTTGATCGCCGACCATCGTTGATGATGCGATTTGATGATGCGATTTGATGATGCGATTTGATGATGCGACGAGAGGAATATTTAAATGTTTGGAGATGGTTGTGCTTCTGGCATCTCTGGCACGTAGGGCAGCATGAAGTTTTGCAGAGGTTCTTTGGAAAGCAGTGGGATGTTGTCGAAAATTCTAGACGCGACTACTTTTTTTTTTTCGGAGTCGCAGCAATATGACGTATAATCTGAGATGGGGGGTGGTGTGGGGCCAAAAGGGGCAGCGGCACACGATCACGATCCAACGATCGAAATGGACTTGTCTTTAGGTGAGCCTCTCGACTGATGTTGAAAGGGGGAGTGAAGAAGAATGAAGTGAAGCGTACCTACGGTTGGGTAGGTAGCAAGATTCAGGGTCAGTGAGAAAGGCCGGCCGAAAAGAAATAATTATCCGTAAGTGTAGATACCTCTACGAGAGGTTAGTTTAGGTAGGGCGTGGCTCAGAGAACCCTAGCCCTAGGTACCGTACCTTAGGTACTCGTAGGTACAGTAACAGGAGGAAGAGGGGGGAACCCTTCGCATCCACGAACCCAGCCAACTCATCGACAGATGGCCTCAAACTGCTGGAAAGATCGCCCTCGCAGCAATAAGTTAGCTATGATCGACCCATCGGGAGAGGTGGGCTCGGTGGGGTATCGGGGAATATGGGGGCAAACAACCACAAAGGGTAAGTGCAGCCTCCAATACTGGACTAGCGGGTCTCGAATTATCTACTCACCTGAAGGGTGTCGCAAGAGACAGCACTCCTCTAGAATATCCCTTCATGTGACAAATAGAAAGAGCGTCACTATGGGAGGTGTTGCAAGGATAAGGAACTGAGGAATGTCTTGTGGATGTGGTTTCACTCCGGCCCGAGTACTGTGCTTTTCTTTCCTAGATAGAAACAGAACCGGAACCCGGCAACCCGATGTCTCGAACTCCCAGAAACCGATCGAACTAAACCCTCGATCTCTCAACTCCACTTCGCCTTCTCCTTCGCTTTCGCTTTCGCCCTCTAGAAAAACAGTGGTGGATCAAAAACGCGGTTACATCTGCCTTGGCCCATCGACCCGGTCCACTTGGCACATGTCACGACCCAACCCCAATATCAAGAACATCTCAGAACAGTTATCACTTCTCGCAAGACAGGAGTAATAGCCGATCCTTCCTTTTTCGCTCGCTTCGCTTTACTCGTATAGCCTTGCTATAGATCCGATTCGCGAGTGTTTGGCGACACCAAGGAGAGACATAGTATCTCATGCCAATGGAAGTACTCTCTATCAGTCTGCGAGGCGCAAATCTCATGCCATCCCATTATACTGCGTATATCGCATCATCAGAAACTCCTGCTAGCTCTCTTGCTGCTTTCAAGTTACTGCGTACTGTCTGTCGTTGATCTCCCAAAAGTCCTCGGGGCCTAGCGTTGGGACCCAGTAGGCAGGCTAGTGCTTCAGCAGACTTGATAATATTCTTTCCTCATTAGTCAATAGATTACTTCTCGCCTTCTGTCAATTCTTGGTGAGTGTCTGCTTTTTATCATTCTTTCATTCTTGGTTTCTAATACCTGTTCTCTTAGAGGACCATCCATGACACTGTCTCATCACATGGCCTTTTAAACCACGCCGCCAACAAGTGTGAACATTAGGGAAGCTATAAATGCGGATAGGCAATGCAGATAGATGCCGTCGTCAGGCATATATACCCTTTCTCCAAAGCAGACCGCGTCTCATCTCATCTCATCATGTGGCAGACCCCTTCAGCAATTCACACTCCTATACAACCCATCCACACAGCCCACGATTCTGCCAGAATAAGTACGTACCCAACCACGCGCAATTAAAAGGACAATTCTCGGCGCAACCCCTCTCCCCCATAAGTATCAAAATAAACACATATCTCAACAATTCGCCCTTGACTCTAGAGCTTGATACCCACGCCGCAACCCAATGCGCAGCCAGCCTTGCTTAGGAGATTGGTCAGTGCCCGCTATCACTGGGCTCCTCTCAGGAGGAGTCGAAGACAAAAGGAACTTCGAGTGGCCCTTTACTTAAGACTCATTTGGTCGTATCCTTAGGGGTAATGTGAGGGTCTAATCTGTAGTTTTGCTGCTTTGGGCGTCGTGTGCTCCTTTTTGCTCGTTAGATATCTTATGCTTATGGATGTCCGTATCTTTTTCCATTGAATTACCCTTGTTGGAGAATTCCTCACTGTCAGAATGCATTTATACGTGCTATTGCTAGAAATTTTGGTCGAAAAGGGAAATATCTTTGTTTACTTTTGTTTAGCGAGCGAGTCGCGAAAAGGGGACGCGAGCGAGAAGCGATTTTCAACGACTGCTATTGCGACTAAGCTAACTCCACACGACTAATCATTACATAAATTAGTAATTTTCACATTCAGATATTCAAGCTATTGGGCTCGTTGTGCTTGATTATTTTTCTATTCGCTATAATGTGCAAGTTAACGTAAGTATGCTCGCAAGTACTGCATTAATAAATCCACCCATCCATTCATGTTACCCATGAACCAACCAACTCCAACTCCAACCCCAACTCCCACAACCATCCATCTAACCATTATAAGAATACCCCGCAACCGCAACATAAAGACTCGCACCCGGATTCGCCATCGCATTCCTATTCATCATCCTCTGCGACTTCGTCTTCGCGAATGCGTAGACTGGGATCGGCGCATCGTCCGTAGCTTCAGGCGCGGCTGAGGCCTCCTTCGAAATCGACTTGATCTTATGCTCTTCATCCACTTCCACTTCCACCTGCTCCAAAATCCGTGCATCGACCGTCTCGGCCGGAAGTGCAAGTAGGCGCGCTCCTACTCGAGAAAACCGCGTCATTTCTTCAGCGTCCTGCATGATTGTCTCCATTGAGGTCCTGCCGCTAAGTGATGGGTAGCAGATTCTGTGCGTAGGCATAGATGTGACTGTGCTCTGTGTCTGCTCATTCTCCCTGCTGGTGTCCGTCATGGGGACAGGGCGCTCGATAGCAATAGCCGTTTTCTGTATAGTGACTCAATTCGGTATGCTTGTTGAGTTTGTAGTCTTGTTCTTTCTTGCTTGCGTCTTCCGCTCGTATGTTTATGTGTTTGTGTTCTCGTACTAAAAGCAGCAGAAGAAGAAGAAGAAGAAGTCAGCTTTGGAGGGAATCAAGTAACTGGCTTGAAACCAGTCAATCGAAGAAAACCGTTCCGGGATTCTCAGGAAGGTTCGGGACTAAATGGAAGGAGAAACGCTTTTGATTATGGTAAACTGACCTTTGTGGATTGGTAGAATCGCTAATCGTAGTTGATTCTGCGACGAGGTTGGAGTCTGAGTTTGACTTGCTTAATAACGAAATGATTAGGTCCTGTGGTTGTGTACTGTAAATCGCGTCTCAGAGTAAGTCGCGATGCTGTCCGACTTTTGCTTGTTGTCAGAGCTGTGTAATGAGGCTCGAAGTAACTAACCCTTCCCTTCCATAAAGTACCTATATGATGATTGATTATCTAACTAGACCAAGTAGCTTTGACATAAGCCGCAAACGAGTGTTTTGGAATTGGTTCTTGTCTTGTCTTGTCTTGTCCTAAGGCAAATGTTTGTTATGCAGCGTGGAAGGAAGCTTCGGGATATTAGATTGGGGGCGACAAGACAACGGCGATTCTGTCTGTGAATAGAGTCATGCCTGTCGTGATATCCGTCAACGACTCAAAAGCAACCCGGGTTGTTTCGGAAGGCGCGTTGGATGAGGGTGGTGCGGCCAATTGATTGGTGGTGAATCGGAATTGAATCTCAAGGAGTTATTAAACAATGAATTGTTAAATGTTGCATTTGAGGTGAAGTACTCTTAACTTTATGTGATCTTTTTACAGCTCTGTTTAATGTGAACATGCTTATTTACTCACACTATCCTCGTTTCCCCAGCATACTTAATTCCTCCCTCTCCTCCCTCCACCCTTCTCAAACCTAGCGCTTCAATTCAGATTTCCACAAGCAGAAGAAGCTATGTGCAGATAGGCCCACCACATCCTACAGCTTTCCCCCATTAAGCCAACTCCACATACCTCATACTCTCCCTACCATGAGCAAGTATTTAGGCGTCCGTCCCACCGTGCCCGCTATTCTAGTATCTATTTCTCAGGAGATTTAGAGGAACATAACGGAGTCTGATGCAATGAATGGTTTTAAACTCAGAAGTAAAGTCTCCAAACGCGAATGGGATAAGATGCAGAAAAGAATTATACAATGCTGTGCCATTGATACTTGACAGTTTGCTAACCGATCCTTTAAGTAAGGAATCTGGAAATCTCTAGTGATTAATTACTTAATAAGGAAGGCATTCTCTTTACTATGTCAATACTGCTAGTTGAATTCACCTTAATCGTTAACTACAGCACAAACGAACTGTTTTCCTTGACACAAAAACAAAAAGAAGATGCTGAAATAAGTTCATTTCTTTCTTTCTTTTGCATAGAATGACCGACTGACTGCAAACCCATACAGTCCATTGAGTAAGCTGTAAGTTGACTTGATACATCCGTTCCTTCACTCACAACCGACTTCCCTCCACTCGCCATTTGCTTCTTTTTTCCCACCTCGTCCTTTACCCGCTTTCCTATCCCCCGCCCCCTATCAACAAACAGCCTTTCCCTACTCACCAGTCAGCAGCACAAGCTCCAAACCCGCCACTCACAAACCATAAACCATAACCCCCTTACAGTTCCAAAGCCAGATTCAAGTTCCATTTAATCCTTGCCACCAGAAAAAAAAAAAAGACTTCTTGCCCGGGGTAGAGGAAGACATTATTACCTATCTATCTACTTGCTGCGCGATCATTTGACTTTTCTTGTCGAGGATTGAGGGGATTTATATGGCTTTCGTGAAAATAGGTAATGCAGAAAACGAGAACTAACAGACATGGCGCTGCCGTCATTGCATGGGCTTCAACACAAGAGCAAACGAGAAGAGCAAACGAGAATTGCGATAGAATGAGGGCAAAGAAACCCATTGGGAAAATACATGTAGGCACGTAGACAACAAGAGCGAGTAAAGGATTCACGCTACTGTCACGAACAAGTATAGGCAAATCCTGAATCTTGAAATAAAATTCTTAGCGCTGTTCCGTTACCGAAAATCATGATTTTATGCGCCATAGACGTCCTGCTAGAAGTCCCCACAGTGGTCGGACATCGACATTGCTGTCTGGTAATTGAGCTGAAAATGCACCTTTATTGTATCTCCCTGAAGTTCTCAGTACGATGCTCTCCGTAAGTATGATAGTACATGCTGCCAAGCAGACCAGATCACCCTCTCCTAGCACCCTGACTCTTCTTCTTTCTCTTCCTCTCAATCAACTTCTTGATTTCAGACTCAGCACTAGCACCAATTGGTCTCGATAACGGATCGAGACCCTGGTTAGGATCAAAAGTACTTCTCGGCGCAACAGTGTAACTAGAGTTAGAGGTCTCCATTCTGGCTCTGTTACTTTTGTTGGGTTGGGCAAGAACACGCTCTCGCTCAATTTCACGTTTCGAAAGACCAGGACGTTGGGATGAGCTTGATTGCGAGGCTTGGGTGCCAGAGGGGCGGATGGCGAGTTGAGCAGCTCTGTTGGGAATATTAGCATAGGAAAACAAATAAATGCAAGGTCAACGTACTGATGGTTGTACTCTCTAGTATCCACCTTGCGCTGCTTGTAATCATCACTTCGCTTCAAAATCGGTCGTGACCACTCTCCCATCAACCGTTCCGCAATCCTCTTAACCCCAATTTCAGGCTTCTTGCTCTTGGTGTAGAATAGCACGATCTTGCCAATACCGCTGCTCAGCAATGCCTCTTTCTCGATAGGTAGTTTCGTAAGAGCCGTAAAAAGATCGCGTTGAATGTTGTATGCTGGAAGACTTCCATCGCCTAATGGTTCTAGGAAATACTTGACAGATTGGAGGAAATTGGTATCGGGATCCACGATGGAATGCTGAACAGTGTTTCTACTCAGTAGACTGACTACTTCGGGAAGCATCTTGAGCTTTTGGAGTGCAGGTTTGCCACTCTCACGAGCTGCGTTGTCCGCCTCGCAAGCTTGCTCCATGCGTATTTTGAGAGCCGCGATCTCATCGTCAAATGCCTCTTCGAGATCCTGTAATCCTGTTAGCGGCCATCTCGCTGCGCGCAAGGACAAAAACCTACCACTTCATCCTTCTTGCGTCTTCTCTTGTTGGGAGCCTTCAAAGCGTCGTCCATCGCCTTGTCCAGTGCACGCCGTCGCCTCTCCTCTGGAGTAAGCGTCTCATCATCTGGCTCGGTAGGTCGCTTTCGCTCCTTGCCTCCCTCTCTGCTCTTCCTTTCTCCATCACTCTTTGGCTTCCTAACCCTCTTTCCATCAATCTGCTCTCCATCTGGATCTTCATCGTCATCACGACGTCTCTTCTTCTTGTCCCGTTTCGCCTCCTTTGGCTTCTTGCCATCCTCTGCTCTCTTCCGCTTGCCTGCCTTTAATGTTCGCGCTGCATCCTCATCGATATCTACCAAGGGTCTATCCTCAAGAGCTACTGTTGTGGGATCGAAATCGGCAAACTCAGCTTCGTCGACTTCGGAGAGCTCTGATGCTAGTGAATCCTTGTCATCGTCGTCGGGATCGAGGTTGTCCATATCGTCGTCAGCATCGGCAGCAGGAGGTGGAGGCGTGCCTTGCTCAGAGTCTGCAGCATCATTACCAGCTTCTGGAAGAGGCGTGGTAGGCCGAGAATTGAGGTCTGAATCCGACATTCTCACTGGGGGTTGGTGGAGATTTAATAAAGGGAGAAGGGCAGTTTCGCGACTTTACATCGGGTGGTCGGGGAAAAGTCGTGGAAAACTGCGAACTGGCAGGAATAATTGATGTGGTTCGCGGCGTAAGAGGAGAGAAGAAAGAGATAGGGTGGATGTTCTTTTGTAGCTGTTCTGTTGAATGAATTCTAGGTTGTCGTCCGTCTTGACATTTCTAGGTGGCCCATGCGCGCTCTAAATTGAGACTAGTGTGATAACCTTAAATCCGGGGCAACGACACTGAACCTTGTTTTGTTTACTTTCACCTGCGGCCGATCGCTGCCTTCCTTCAACTTAACCTCCCACCCACCCCATATTGCCAGTGCTTTGTTATCGCAGACAACTTGCAATATGTTCAACAATATTGGAAATCAACGACGCACTCATGAAAGTCCTATGGATTGGGAGTGGCAGACCAAAGGTCCAACAGACCCAAATAGTCCATTCCCTCAATTCAAGCCCCAACCGGGACTCAACTGTAAGTCCACCACAGACATTTACAATTCACCAGCTAACTTAATTGCCAGCAAATTTCGAGTCCCCCAAACCATCAAGTTCTTTCATAAATTCATCTTCGACGCCAGCAACCCCATTTCGCAACCCTTCTTTTACCACTCCACGGAAACCATTCGATCCAGAGCTCTTCTCCGAAGCATCAGGCGCCGAATCCTCCCCAGCAGATAACGCAGATGCAGAAGATACACCGGACGCGCAAAAAGCAAGTATGACCATGGCAGCATTCACCGGTGGTTCAGAGAAAAAGCAACTCTTCGGGCGTTATGGGGCAAGCTTCTTAGGATACAGTCCAGGACGAGCTGAGCAGCGGCGTGGCAAATATGGAAATGCATTAGCGCAAAAGGTGCGAAAACGCAAACGGATGGAGAGAGATTATTCAGTAGTCAAATCGCATAGAGATGATTGGGATTCAGACTCAGACTCGGGGGGTTCACGACCAACGAGCAAGGGCAAAGACGAGAAAAAGCCAGGCTGGATATCAGAATTCCTCAACGGCATCGAGTCTCGACCAAACCTGCCAAACCTGTTATCATTCTATACGCAACTGGGGTTCAACCTCTTCCTTCTTGGCCTGACTGTCTTTGGCATTTATACTTTCTGGACAGCTGTCAGAGCAGATGTAGACAACGCTGCTGGTGAGGCGCGAGCGGAAGTTATGGCGGAGATCGGCAAATGTGCTCGAGACTACGTGGATAATAGATGCGGCCCAGATATGCGACTTCCAGCCCTAGAGAATGTCTGCAATGCATGGGCGCTGTGTATGAACAGGGATCCGAACAGTGTCGGCCGGGCCAAAGTAAGCGCTCATACATTTGCGCAAATCTTCAACAGCTTCATCGAGCCGATCAGTTACAAGGCTATGGTATGTATTCCCCTTGTGTCAGAAGGTATTCAATGTCTAACTTTATTCAGATATTCGTCGTACTCTTAGTCACAGTCTGTATCGTAGCCAACAACCTCGCATTCGGCATGTTCCGCTCCTCGAAACCCTCAACCATGCCAACAGCACAACCATACTATCCACCAACACCTGGCCAAAACTTCCAATGGGGAGCTCCGCCGCAAACACCACAGCATAATATTGGGTATGACCAATGGGGTGGTCAGACCTTTCAAGCTATCATGCCGAGTCATACACCTAGTCACAGGAGTCCCAGTAAAGGGTCGAGAAGCCCGAGCAAAGGGAACAGGAGTCCTAGTAAAGGAGACAGGGATAGGAGTCCTAGTAAAGGGGAGATGTATTAATATATCCAAAAATGGGAAGGGGCATACAGGGTGGGATAGGATGGGTTTTTGTTTGGATAATTGGGTTTGGGCGTACATGTGTACCAATACATGCATTTGGGTCAGTCATAGGAATGAAATGAAATGTCACGAAAACGTTGGCTGCCAATAAATTCCAGTCCCCGACCCAAACTTTCTCCTCACTGTGCGCATAATCATACACCTTCTTTTCCTCAAAGCCCATAAAGCCGATAAATACTCTTGAACTACCTCCCTCCCTACCTACCTACCTACCCAACACCAATACCGCATTCTCACACCATCCATCCCTTACCCTTGCATTTCCATCTCCTTCCATCTCCTTCCATCCCATGTCCCCATACTCAACCTCTCTGCACGCCCTTCTCGCCCTCATTGCCTCTCGCCTCTCTCGAACAAGCAACGGAGCATGCATGCATCTCGCAGTGACGCCAGCCAACCAGCCAGCCAGTTAGGAGTTCGTAGGGTATAGTATAGTATAGTAGAGCGTACATACATACATACATACATAGTAGGTAGTGTATATGTGGGCGAAGAGAGGTGTATATACTGGTGGGTATTATGGGGATAGGGAGAGTAAGATGGAGATGAGATGAGATGAGATGAGATGAAATAAAGGGAATGAGGTTCAATGAAGAGTATTAATTGATAATGGTGAGTTTGAAGCAATATATAATATGCTGATCAAGGTGGCCTTGCACGATAACTATGAACTAGAACGTCGCAATGATGGTTCGACTTAGGGATACTTTTATTTCACGTGGCATGGTCACGGCGATGCAAGATAATAGTGGTAGTAAGCAAGTCATGTTACATTTGGTGTACAAAGGGCCACTCAATCCCAACGCTAAAGGTGGATCAAGGTAGATGATTCTTAAACTCCGTACGCCAATCCTCCGAGGACTTTTGCCCCGTGGCTCTGTTCCCACCCCCCCTAGACAAATAAGAAACTCTCTTCTGTGTTATATCTCTAGGTCTGAACATTTCATCCAGCTTCCCACACGCCTGTCTGACCTCCGTAGCTGCGTCCAGCTTGGGTGTCTTTTCCTTTTGCTCTCGTTCTTTTTCGATTACATGGATAGCCCAAAGTAACGTCATTAACAACTCCACACTCGGTGAACTTGTTCCAAAATGACGAACACTCGCATCTACGCCAGAGAGACAGTCGTGGGTTAGCTGCTGTTCAGACGCTGACCGCATTGCCACCACTGTCGCATCCATCAAGGGACGCGCCAAGTTGGGGCTGCAGGCTAGCAGTCGTCTCAGCAAGCTTATCCGAAGAGTGAATCTCGGTCGCAGGCTGGTCGTCGTTATGGAGGAAGTCGTCGAGGTTGATGTCGTCAAAGGCGCCATCGTTGTAGTTAACCATGTTATTAAAGTCAAGATTGAAGCTGTCGGCGATAGGACCGATCCCGTTCTCAAGGAGGTAATGATCTGACTCAGAGGGTTGAGGAGCGTTGAAGTACTCGCTGAGATCATGTTGAGAAACGTGGTCATGATCAAGATTTGAGAGATGGCCGAAGCTGTTGTGGTCGGCGTATCCATCCAGGGCCGTTGTTCTTCCGACTGACACTGCAGGTCGCACAACACCGCGGCAGGATGTTGTGTCATATCGGAAGAACTGGCGTTGGTTAGATCGTCGACAGGTCGGATTTCAGGGGAGAGGGAGGCGGGGTTGACGGTTTGTAAGGTGTGAGGTTCAGGGACTGATTGCCTGTTGATTGTTGTGGGGTTGGAGTCTCGGGATGAGAAGAGCTCTTGTGAAAATGTAACTGGGGAGGCTTGACGTAATTCTTGACTTGGTGATGAGACGACAGATGATGATCCAAAGACATGCATCTTGTTGCCTGTGACTTGAGCCAACTCTTGTGTGACTCTGAGGTATTGTTCTTCCATGTGAGCCAGTCGCATCTCGAGGTCTTGATTTCTTCGCTCGATTTGACGCTTCTCGGCCTCCAGTGCCTCTACTTCTTGACGCTTGCGTTCCCTTGAAGATTGAGCTGCACGACGGTTTCGGAGAACCCGTTCGACTCGTCGCTGCTCCTTCTCGTCTTCAGTCTTTGCGCGTTTCCTAGAAAGGGAATTAGCTGGTTGATCAATGATGGTGAACCTGCTGTCCAATATGTACCTCGGTGGAAGATTGGTCTTTGGTTCTGGCAATTGCTGTCCCCAAGATTTCCTCTTCTTTACCTGCTTCTTGTCTCCTTCGGGGCTATCGTCAAGCACGCTGTCCTCACGGACGGAGCCGCCGAACATGCTGTCATCCTCATATGACTGGGGGGTCATGGCTTCGATGGGTTCCATGGTGTTGTTGGCGAAGAGGGATGGGTATTGGGTGCCGGGCGTCGAGATAAAGCTGTCAGCCAAACTGTCGACGGGCGAGTTCTCGAACTTGATGTGTGGAGTCGACATATTGAATGAATCTGGTGTGGCTTGTTCCTTGTGAAGTGGCTAGCCTAGTGGTTGTTGAGGAATGGCGAGTTGTAGGATTTGCCCTCAGTAGATGTAGGAGGTATCACAGTCCATAATGAAGACACAGTGTCAGGAAGGATGTGTGCTGGTCAGCGGATGACTCAGTGGACAGGACAGCAAAGGGTCAGGAGTTGCTGTCTACCCAATCACAGAAGGGAAGTGTTCTTTTGGTTGATGTCCTTGTGCTTCTGTGGTTCTTGGGAGAGAGAATGGTGGGAGGCCACGCTGTCTATAAGTAGAGGACACGGTGTTTGGAATTTAGACGAGAGATGACCGTGCCAAGCGCACCTTCCCCTTTTGGGAGCCGGCTGATGCCCCCTTTTTTAGCCACCTCGTACAGCCTAGTCCACGCCTCTTCCACCTCATGCATGGCTCGTTATTGGTGGAGATTTTGGCAGGAAAGAATAGAATCAGCCAGAAGCAAACAGTTTATACCTCCGTAATAATACCCTACTTCGTATTTAGAATTTATTACCTTGTATTAGAGTACCTAATCAGCTAAATAGTTACGAGTTGAGAAGAAAATAGTTGCGCGATACTAAATATGACTAACCAATCAAGATTCTTGGGTCGTGGCGTGGTGTTTGTGTGTGTGTGTGTGTGTTTCACCCTCCCTCTCTTGCGCAATCACGTTCGTTACACCATCCACCAATCCTGGAATAGGGGGTCGCACCAAGGAATTGTACGCTCCGTCTCCCATTCTCTGCCATGGCTCAAGGTCCCGACGGGAGATTTCCTCATACCCCGCGTATCATAGGCAACCCCGATTATTGATTTATTATTCTCCTACAATAGCCTCTGGAATCTGTACTCGATACAATGTCACCAAGATTGCATTAATGGCAATTTGCCCTTATCCCGCTCGCATATTAACGTACAGTATTTGCTTCTTTAAGATCTCACTCAGCTGTGGGTGGGCGGGTCGACTACGCTACAGTACCTACGAAGTACTTACTCAGCCTTCGCTTTCTTACGCCCCCTATCTGCACCACGATAAAAATACCCCTTACAGCGTCAGCATCTGCGTCAGCTCAGCATCTCGGACTTAGTCCCCTTACATAAGATCAGTGCCTCTCCCACGCGTCTAGCAAGTTGCAAACCAACAGTATCATCTCCTCCGTTTAGGAGATTCAGAGCGTTTCACACTCACAAGTACTGTATAATCAATCATCTTGCTACTGTACTTACTACAAGTGCAACCTCATGGACATTATTTGTACCATTTACAGTAATACCAATCAAGGGCCACTCTCCCAAACCCCTTTTTGCAATTTTATAAGGGTGGCTAGAGCCGCAATTGCAATGTAATGATGGAGTACGAAGTACCGGTATTGAAGTCTCCCTTGCAGCCCGCCCCCGCCTCCCTTTTCCGTCCCGGCCCGATATAACACCAGAGAACAGCCTCAGTGCCTCACGAGCATCAAAATCGCCATCAAAGCAACCACCTGCATTACACCTCTGCGAAGGCTCAAAAAAGACCCTTCGGCTGAGTGAGGTGGGGCTCGGATTGCAGCGATTCGCTCGCTCGCTCGCTCAACCAAACAGCAAACAATACCGAGCTACCAAACCACAGCCTAAAGAGGCACATAAAGGTGCGGATTTCCAACATAATTAGCTAAAAGGATCTCAAAGCAAAGCACATGAAACATAACAGGATTTGTTATAACACAAATATACGGGGTAACCAATTCGGAAGGCAGACTTCTTGGTCGTGCCTCTTTAGGTAACTTGTACATGATCAAACTGGATGGTACGGAGTATCCGAGCTTCTCGCCGTGGACACAAGTGCGCCACTCCGTCCCAGACAAGCCACTTTGGGCCTCGGATACCTAGGTGGGGCCTCTGTAAATGGATGCAGGGTGTTCTGGGTGTCAGGGGTAAATGCAATGGAAGAATTAGTTTGGAAGAAGGGAAAGGAAGAGGGAGGAGCGTAAGAAAGGGAGGAGTAGATGAAGAGTGTATAGAGGAGCTAAGTAAGTAAGCAGATAATGCAAGGGTTTTGAGAGTTGTCTTGGGAAGAAAAGGCTACACACTCGTAATCCTAAGAATATCACGTGTGTGCTATAAATAGAATCTTGAAGTCTGTAAAAGAGGCATGACTCTCATAGAAATCGGGAAGCCAAACTAATAAGAATCGATGTTCTAAAAGCGATCCACCGTTATCACTGGAAAGAGAGACGGTTAGTGCAAGGCTCGTGACCTTGTCACATGACGCCCACAAATCGCTCTTTCCACCTGGGCACGCATCAGTCCCCCTTTCCCAACTCGCTTCGCCAAAACAAAAACAGAAGTCACCACCCGCCTCAAATGTCACAACCGCAACAATGGCAACCCAAACCCCCTTCTACCCTTTCCCCCTTCACATTCATCGCCCACCGCTTCACCATCCATGACAAACCCCCCACATCCACAACCATCCGCGACACGCTTCTCACCATGGCTTCAATTCACCTGACGCACATGCGCTCTGCGCTTTCCATGGTCCTTTCCCTCTATCCCGTATCTTCTTGATCCAATTTGACTAACGTCCACAGGCCCAACACGCACTCAACACAAACGAAACTCCCGTGGGCTGCATCCTCGTGCACCCAGTCCACGGCATCGTTTCCACGGGCCAGAACGCCACAAATGAGACGTATAACGGTACCATGCACGCAGAATTCATCGCCATAAATTCACTCCTCTCTTCCTCTCCCTGCACTCTCCCCAAGGCCCAAGACGGAGCCGAGATCCCGCTCGGAACCTCCCTCCAAGGCCTCGATCTCCCCGAACGCCTTAAGGTCTTGAAGCAATGCAGTTTGTATGTAACGGTGGAACCGTGTATTATGTGTGCATCTCTCCTGCGGCAGTTTGGGATCGCGGACGTTTATTTCGGCGCGGGTAATGAGAAGTTTGGTGGCACGGGAGGGGTGCTTGATATTCAATCTTCGAATGGCTTGTTTACGGAAAGTGATCGGGAGATAAAGAGGACTGGGAAGAGGGAGGTGGTGGGGGGGGATTATGGGGTTAGTGGGGGTTGGTTGAGGGAGGAGGCTATTCTGATGTTGAGGCGGTTTTATGTGCAGGAGAATGGGCGTGGTGAGTTCCCTCCCTTCTTCCTTTCTGAGATCGTTGATGGAGAAGGAATGGGGACTGATGTATGAGATAGCGCCGGAACCGAGAGCAAAGAAAGAGAGGGTGTTGAAGCTTGAGGTTAAGCCGTTGGGCGGAAAAGATAAGATGTCTGCGTCGACGGAGAAGCTGGTTGTTGAGGAAGTGCTGAGTGAGAGGCCTAATGGGGTTGAGACGACGATTATGTCGAGGGAGAAACTTAGGGCTGGGAGGAAGCAATCTGGAGGGAAACAGGGAGTTGATAAAGGGTTGCAGGTGAAGAAGGCTCGGCAACTGAAAGATGTAACCGACAGTGGCATTAATGGACGACTGGAGAGACAGCAGGACGAGAGTCTTAAGGATGTGGATTAGGGTGCAAATGAGTCCAAAAGTAGTCAAGAGGAGTATACCTGGGTAGGTACTGCTAATCAGGTGTTTGGCGTGCTTGAGCATTTACATTAGAAGGCAGCATTGTAGCGATGGGGCATACGCATTGGCAGGGGGGATTGTAGACTTAGATACCCATCATGATTATTGTATTCTAAAGTCCCTAATCAAAGGTCACAGCTTCAACAAGTGATTAAGTGGTTGACTACAGAAGGAAGCCCAGACTCATTGGGAACTTCGAACCATTTAATACACGTCGAAGAACATACGGAGCTCAAGGAAGCGGGAAGTCTTTCCAGACCCCTCTCTCCGCAAAATTCGCACATCTTCACACACCACAAACCAAAAATGTCTCAAACAGCATACGCCAATCCCATTGAATCCATATAGGTATGTACAAACCCCCCTTCATTCAACCATCGGTCTTCTTCCTCTCCTCCTCCAACTCCCTCTCAGCCGCCTGATAATACTTGGCCGTATCCACACCATGGTGATTATGATTCACAAAATTGAACCACGGGATAACATGCAGGAACAATCCCGCATATCGCGAGTTCCGGGACGCCATGCCTTGCATATACGGCGTCAGGGTAGATGTGCCGTACAGAGGCTCGCCCGCCTTTACTTTCGTAACCATTTCCCGCATATCCATTTCTAACTCGCGGCGGTTTTCCGTGAAGCCGTAGAAGCGTACTGCAGTTGGAGAGAGGGTGCGTTAGCTTGCGGAGAAGGAGAGGAGGAGGGGGGGGGGGGAGGGGAAGGCAGGGGGTAGACGTACAGACTGAGCGTTGGTAGAAGAATAGGAATCCAGCGCTCAAACCCAGCGCTCCCGTTAGTCGCATGATAGGCGCAAATCCACCCTTGCCTACGAGTGAAGGTTGCAGCTTCTCCATCGTGAGCATGGCAGCGGGGCCGAATGCTGCGGTGACTGCGCCGGCTACGTAGTCGGATGGGCGGGCATATTTGAGTACTCGTTTGATATGTCTATTGCCCGATATATCAGTCAGCTCAACGATTCTTCTCCCTTGTCCGCCAATTAATTATTCCCCAGATCCTTCCCCTTCTCCTTCTTCCATCGAGAGTATGGTACTTGTAGTATAGAGCTTGGGAAGGAAGCTTACGGATCACTGTCAATGAGCTGTTCCGCACACAATTAGCAAGCTTCCTACTCCCCGGATTGCGGGAAAACATACAGGATAATCGGTGGGCAGGGTCTTTGCCGGCACATAAGGCTTCTGCTCGATGTTCGACATGGTGAGAGCCCAGTTGCGGCGACAATTGCTGTTTGCTGTGGTGTTTCGAGGTCTGCGATGTCGTTGTGTAGAGCAGCCGCAATTTCACGCTAGTGGATTCGATACGGCGGGGCTAGATGTGCCAGAGACGAAAGCGCGTCTACTTTTACATGGACGCGAGGTTCGTGATATATTATATTTGAAGGAGCAACACTTTCACAAGTACATCTGTCGACTTTGACTACCACAAACGTGACGTTGAAGACGGTTGGGAATCAAGAGATTCTGGAAATTTTCCGAAAGCGAAATGTCTTCTCCAGTAGCTACAGGCCGGCCATTGCCTACTGAGGGACCTGCAGCAGGTGGTGATGAATTCGACGACCTATTCGACTACGACGGCGATATAAACGATCCTTTCAGCGAAAACTACGTTGTACCTCAAAGCAAAGATACTACAAACAATACCTCGAAAGACTCCGGGAGTAAAGGGAAAAGTGCAGCTGGATTGGGTATCGATGAAGAAATCGAAGTTACGAGGAAACCCAGAGCCCCACGCGTAAAGCTCGACGAACACAGGTATGACCTCTTTCTGCTTTTATATTATTTACCTTTTACTAACTAGAGCTCAAGACTCCTCTCCAACAACGGGATTCCCAAACTCCGCAAAAAAGCCAAGAACCTCAAATTCAAAGGCAAAGGCCATGAAGTAAGTTACCTACTCCTCCCCCTCACTTTCCAACCCGCTAACACAGAGCAACAGTATAGCGATGTATCCCGCCTCCTCGCCTTCTACCAGCTCTGGCTCGACGACCTGTTCCCCAAAGCCCGCTTCCTGGACGCCCTAGCCATGGTCGAGAAGATGGGCCATAAGAAGATGATGCAGAATGCGAGGATGGAGTGGATTAATGAGGGCAAGCCGCATAGCGGCGTGCACGAGGATAGTTTGTTCGATGAGCCGGAGTTGCCTGCTAGGCCGAAGGAGAAGAGTGTGGAGAGGCAGACGGCTGGGATTTTCGAGCGTGCGAAGGAAGGAGCGCGGGAGAAAGAAACGACGCTTAGGAATGAGACTGGGGGGGGTTGTTCGGTGATGATGATGATTTATATGATGCTACGCCTAAACCGACGAGGACGCAACCAGTCGCTGCAGGTGGGGGAACGAGTCTTTTTGGTCCTGCCAAGAATACCCCTGTTGACGATGGCCCGCCTGAAGACGATTTAGATGCGTTGTTAGCCCAGGAAGAGAGTCTGGTCGGCGAGAAAGCTGCACCTGCTGCAAGCAAACCTACAGGAGATGATTTCGACGAGGATGATCTTGATGCCTTAATGGCTGAGGAGATGATGCAGACGGACAACCCTGCACCTGCGCTCGCCGCCAATAAAGCACCACCACCACCGCAGCAGACAGGTGATTTTGATGCTGATATGGAAGAGGCTATGGCTGAGATGGATGGTTTATGGGACTAGGATAGTGTGGATAATGTGGCGTACGGTTGGCCTGGGATTTAGGGCATTTGATGGCATGGCGTTGGATAGGAGGATGAGTGAGCAATTTATACTCCGTAGGGTCATCACCTTGACTGCTTTGCATTGCATTGTATCAATCGAGAGACTAGCACTCACTTGCAATTGAAGATTATCAGAGAGGCTCGATTATAAGTATGTATTCAGAATGCCCTTGTTTTTTATTCCATATATAGCTGTCTGTATATATCCCGAAGATAGCTCTTAAAAGGAATCCCTTCAACAACAAAAACCCCCAAAACTATCATATACTTCTATTTCTATTCCACCATCATCACTAGCACCTCTCTGAACCCAGATTCGATTTGCCTCAAAATCATGTATATGATGTGATTGATATAGCCCCCTTTACTTCGCTTACAGTACAGTACCTCCCGCCCACCGTCTACAAATCCCACCCCCCCAATCCAAAACACACAAACCTTCCATCCATCCATCCACCCATCCCATTCTACTCTCCCTCTACAGGTTAATCAAAAAAACGAAGAACCCAATCCACTCCTTGAACCGAGCTGAGAGCTCATCTGCTTGCTTCCCAGCACTCAGTTTAAAATATACAACACCTCCTCGTCGCTTGATTCCCAACTTCTTCGCCTCCTATACGCGTACTCAATATCGTCTAAATACCGTGCGCACATAAATTTGTGGGGAGATGTAAGATTTACAGTAAGTGACTGTAATGTGTGAACTGGGAAAAGAATGAAGGAACGACTATTGCTAGAAATCACGACTTTGATAAGGGGGAGGAGGGATTAATTGGATGGATGTAGCGAGTGCAAGTTCTATAATCACATTTTTGATACGAATAAATGAACTAGCTAGAATGCTCGGAGAAATGGTATATTATTCGATATGCAACACATAATAGACTGGCCAATGACCGTTGGTTGACGTTTTTCGTGGAATATATATAGTAGGTCCCAAATTTCTGTAGCATATTGGCCACAGAAAGGGACTGCTAGTATTGCAACAAATTTTGGTAACTCTAACCATGTTTTTGGGCTTCTGTATGATAGATACAGATAGGCAATTAGAGATAACCCAATTATCAACTTCTAAAACATACCATACGCTCTCGCAAAATCTACAAGAAAGAGCACCAACCAATATACATACCCGCCAAAAACGTCTGGTTCGTAGCCATCTTAATAAGCTCATCCACCTGGCCCTCCACACCCAACGGTACGCTCTCTCCAGCCAACAAACCCCTAACCTTCCTGCGGATACTATCTAGCACACCCTGTGCAGTGTGCGGGACAGCAACGGAGCCATCTTTCTTCTTCTTCTCTGGCTTCTTCACCAGGTCGAGCGTGGGGTCGTATACGAAAGCTTCAAGGATAGTCATCAACGTCTCCTCATGCTGCCGTAGCAGTTTCAGGGTCAATTCCGATGATTTGCGGAACGGGCCTTCGTAGCCGTACATTCCCATCGCATCAATCATGTTGTGCGTCAATCGGAACGGTACACGTTCGGGTTTGGTGAATGTAAGACCCTTGTCAAACAAACAGTTGAAATCGACATGGAACGTGCCGCCATTGCCTTCCTCAAATAGAATATTCTCGCCATGACGATCGCCCAAGCCGAGAATCGTGCCAACCATAGACATCACCGCGCAAGAACGGGTGTAGCGGAGTCGGGCACCGAACCAAGTTGAAGGCTCCGGAAATTGTTGCACAAACCATTTGTGAAAGACGGGAGGGAACTGACCGAGGACTTTCTCTGTGAAATAGGGCAGTTTTGCTTCTGACTTTGAGGCTTCGTCACAGTATACTTCGATCTCGCGATAGCTGACTGAGACGCCTTGGGCTTTGTAGAGGGCGAGGAGGATATCTCGAAGCGTCTTAAGGCCATCAACCCATTCAATAATTCCGCATTCCTCATTAAGCGGGGTCACAGCATATGTCTTGATGTAAAGTTGTCTTCTGCTGGATTCGGCGTCCCGTTTGAGCGATCTGTTGATCATGCTGTTGAATTCCATCAGACGCTGGTCCTTCCGCAAGTCATCTTTCGGTTTGCACATGAGGCCATAGGTTTGGCCATCTGATCCATTGGCCGTAAGCTTTCGAGGCTTTTGTAGGGAGCTGAGCACCATGACTTCGTCCTGGAAGCTATTTATAGTTACGACATCTCGAGAGAAAGCTTTGTGTGTCCGGACATTATCTGTGAGTGTTGGAAGAGTCGCCGTCAAGACACGTTCAACAGGCACAGCCAAGGGGCTTGGCAAACAGTTTTTCTGGTTGAAATGAAGATCTCGAGCCAAACTGACGTAAAGAGTCCGATTGCTTGGGAATTCGCCCGAATTGCAGGCCATTAGCAACTGCTCCGATAATCGCTCACCGTTCCTAATCATACTCTTAATATCAAAAGTTCCGGGATCCGATTTCTTTCCCGCGCTACCTCGAAGTTGAGAGATAATAGTGGCGCCGCGAGTCTTACGATCTGATTGATTCGAAGAGCACACGGCTTGAAGACTCCATAAAGCCTGCTGTGGATAGGAGGAGACAACTTTCATGATAATTAACGATAAAAACCTGAACACATCATTGTTCGGGTGTGCAATGCGAGCAACGATCTGAGGCAGTGCTGTGTAGAACATATACGCAGGCATTTTGTTGATGTATTTGTTGAACCGACTGTGAAGCTGCGCAAGATTATCTCTTCGGGCGTTAGTTATTCTTGTAGTAAAGTCCTTGCCATTCCCTAAACGAGGGTCGACGGGTTGGCTAACCAGCATGCCGAGATCGAGCCATAGCGTGAGTATTCGTGGCAGGGTTTGGTAAATATACTTCGTTCCGTAACTCAACGAACGTAGGTAATTTTCAATCACCAATTTGGCTGTCTCGCCCGTGAGATACGGTTCGGCTTGTAGTTCGGGAGCCAGGGCCTTCTCGGTCTCCAGAAGTTTGTTGTAATGGCGACCGAGGTAGTAATGACCCTTTTCCCAGGTTTGGTGTGTCCTGGCAGCCAGCTGATACTGCGATCGCAATGCGGCTGATTGCGTTTGTCCAGCGCTGTCCAGCCATTTTGCAAGAAGCAGATGTGCTCTTGCAGTAAGGAAGTTTTGCTGCTGTTTGGTATCGGTAGCAGCGAAGCTTATGGTCTGAGCATCTCTGTCGTGGGATATGAATGCATTATTTTCGATGGCTCCTTGCAAATTCTGAATGGCCTTTCTATGGTGACCATCTTTCCACAACAGTCGTGCATGCTCAATGGTTGCCGAGTCATCACTAAGTTGGGATGCATGTAGAACAGCGTTGAAGGACTGATGCATGGCATTTCCTTTTCTTGCAAGTCGTGCACTTGTGAGCCACGCCGAGGCAACATCTCCTTCTGTGAAAGCGTGGCTATTCAAATTAGAAACGCTAAGTCTCAGGAATTAGAACAATACGTACTTTGAGAGTTGCATGGCTGCTCGTCTAATGCCGAGAAGATATTGCTTGTCATCGAGGTAAGCTCCGATGACCTCGAGTCGCCGATTGAGGGACTCTAGAACCTTAGGGCGATCAACACCGCCGTTATTAGTCCCCGCTATCATTTCCATCTCTGTTAGGACATGCAACTTGAGCATGTTATCATGACAAGTTGCAAGGGATGCCGTTGCTGCTGTTGACAATGATCCCGCTATCTGCTCGCGAATGGACTGCACCGTGGATTGGAAGAGATCTGGATTCTTCCCGTGCAGTGCAAGAAGTGCATGACCAACTCTGACGTTGAAGTCTTCGCTGACAATCTTTGACTCTGTGGAGGTGTATTTTTTCAAGGCAAGCCACCTTCCTGTTGCCCATGAAGCTTCTGTTGCAAATGGGAGTAGTCGGGACGAAGTTTCAGTGGTAGTCTTCATACCTTCGACATAATTAAGTAGAACATCTGCAAACAAAAGTTAGCCACTTTACCATATCAAAGTATCAAACAACCTACCATGCTGTCCGGACTCCTTGAGACACTTCAGCAAATTGACCTGCACATCAATATCGTCAGGATTTTCTGCCAGTTTGATCTCATACCAACTTTGAGCCGCTGTCCATCTACCAGCTTTTCGGTGTCCAAGTATCTGTTGTTCAATGTCTAACACATGAAGATGAGCAGATATTCCCTCGATGCCGTCCGGCTCATCAATCTGTGTATATATGTCCTGTAACCGTTCCAAAAGCTCTGTATTGTTATCCGCGCTGGGTGCTCGCTCACGACAATCCCGAATGTGCTGTTCCCAGTAGAACAGCGCCCGTGAATAAGATTTGCATTCAACGGCTCGCTGAGAAATGATTTCGGGAGGGATCATGGACAGGACGATATCTACTCGCTGAATCTGGTCCGCAACTTCAGTCGGATTCTGCCCGCGAGAGGTCTTCTTGATCTGTCTCTCCTGTACCCACCGAGAAAGGTAATCCAGCACTCGAAAGACGGCCTTTCTATTCATTAGCGACATGCATTGTACAGGGTGTAGTAGAGCGATTCAAACTCACTTCAATGCATAACTTCACGTCTTCTTTTCGAACCTTGGAGTCAACAGGTACTTGATACTCTAAAACGCGAAGAAGCTCTTCTCCAATTTCTTGCCGATTCTGATCATCTCCTAGGATTATGACGTGAAGGACTACATAGGGCAGCAGGAAGCTAGCCACGGAGATATCCTTTATCCTAATGGCGCGGCAAAGGGCAGGGTAAAGCAGCAAAGAGTTGTTATTGAACGGCTTTTGAAGAAGGTCGAGGACAAATGCTCTGAGCCAGATATTGTAAACCTTGTCGGAAACCATATTCTCGGGTCGAAATATCGGATACTGGTATTCTGGAAGCTTACTTTCCATTAAAGAGAACTTCGAAGACAAAAAAGGCGTCAAAGTATCCTGTACGCTCAGCGGTAGTTTCAACCATTTGCGATACAGGGGATTATCGGCGGACTTTTCGTTGCCAGCAACAATGGGGCCAACCATCTCTTTGAAGTCGCATTTGGCAAGAAGTTCTTGCATAACATAGGAAAGAAATCCTTGCCATACAGTATCAGTGGCAGAGAGGAATGCTTTGACGATTACCTCCTCGAGCATGAATAGGACAAAATCCGTCGTTTCGCCAGAATCATCAAAGTTACTGACCAGAATCATTTCCCTTTGCTCTCGAACAGACTCAACTCGATTTGAATCTAAGCATCCGATCATCCCGATGCATTCAGCAGCAATTCCGGCAATTTCGTTATGTGAACCATTGAAATTGACGCAGGTGTCTAGTATTGAGCGAACAAGTAACCCAACGACAGTATCTGGTTGCTCACTGACTGCAGATGCTTGAAGGTGCGATTGATTTATTTTGAGATATGCCTTGAGCTCAATCAATGCTTGAATGACCACTCCTGGATTCTCATGGCCTAATCTGCGGCTGAATATCTGAAAAGCATTGCTGACATCTGTCGGGGTTCTCCATTTGTTCAACTGAGCTTCAATTTGTTCAAGTTCAGGGAATTGCGAAAGTGATGGCAAGTTGAAAATTGAAATGCGTATGAGGCGACCACGCTGGTGGATGAGATACTCCAGGGTGTCCTTAGCTCGGGTTCGAGTAGTTTCATCAAGGCTGGTCCACCGTTGAATGACGGTAGAAAACGTACTTTCTAGCATAGGCTCTACATCTTCGTCCTCGAGATTCCTCAACAGCGTGTCCCAGGCTGAAAATGCGGATGCTTGAAGTTCCTTTTGGGCCACTGCAGATTGGAGGCAAGCGCAGATCTGTAATGTAATGTGAGCATATATGTGGATATCTATCGGATAACATACCTGAGGTCGAGCTGTCCTAGTGTGCGTCTTAGCAACCCTTACAAGCTCTTCGAAAGCCTTGACACAACGTTCCTTTTCCTTTGTCGGCTGTTCATCTCGAGAATCATTAATAACTTCGGACAACCTCGCAACGAGACCAAGCAAATGTTGTTCTAAAAAAACGCCAACAGGATTGTTCTTCCTGGAAACACCCTCCACTATTACGTGGGTATGTTTGGCTAGGTATTGTAATGCATAATGAATCTGGGCTGGTTAGATTTATCATAAAAAGATGAGGACCTTAAGACGTACCCTTGATTTCTTGCTGTCATCAGCATCCCCAGCAAGCTTTAATAGGTGGATAGCTTGTGAGGCTGGCTCATGCCTCAACAACTCTGTAAAGTCCGCCTCGTTGAATTTTGGAGAGATAGCTTTGAACAGTCTCATGACGAAAGTTTCAGTATCGGGCACATTCTGGATGAGTAAGAGCGGTAGTATTGCAACCAAGTTAGCCATGCAAGCAAGCCATACTTCTCCATCTTTGCGAGCTTCTGCTATTTTCTTAATCACTTCTGGCTTCCCGAACAGGACGAGCCAGGGCAGAGTATGCGATTGTGTCAATACAAGGAATTCAGAAACAGATATTCCCAATAGATCTGCCATTAATTGTGTGGTTTGTGGCCTGATAAGAAGGTCTTTGACAGCTTCTATCGCAACAGTCCCCCAAAAAGGACTAAACATTCGATCGACGGGAACATCACTCGCTTTCGCCAGCTTCAGTATCTAGGGAGTTGGTTAGTGTCAGGATCGTAAAAAATTGGCGGTTTACTTACTTCATTGAAAGCAGCACCCGAGATTATAGGATTGCTGTGGCCAAGGTATTTGACCAGCCCTAGCAGCACCAGATTCAATTCATCGTCGTTTGATATCCTAGGCTTTGTGAGTATTTAGTCATCTTTTTGAAGTGTTGGGTGAGCAACTGACCTGCCAACTTGGCCCCAAGCAAGAATACATGATTCCTGGAAATGAATATCTTCGGTTTCTGAGAAAGAACGTAACAAATCGAGCACGTTAATTCTATTTTTTCGTGTCAATTCATGAGCTGACGCAGGCCCACACAAGAATCCTGGAAGAGTACGGCTGGGAGAGAGAGAATGTTAGAAATAATGATCCCTGGGATTGACGGAAGTAACATACCCAGCTGCAACGCGTAGTTCTCGGATCGAACTCTTTAAAGATTGTAGGCACCACTGTCCAAGTATTGACTGTTCGAAATCAACGAAGCTGGGACTAGTGAAGTGAACCGTGAATCGTCTCAGGGCAATCATTGCCAAAACCCGAGGGCGCCTAGAATCAAGAAAAGCAGTCGACTTGATCAAATTGCTAAATGTTGCAATAGCTTCAATACTAATCTTTTGACATCGCTCCTCGTCGAGGTGGAACGAATCCGGTGGTTTCAATCCTTCGCACAGAAAACATTTGGGCCGCAGAATTCCATCCCGAAACTTGGTTTCCATCAAGGACCCGTGGGCGGCACATGGTATATTGGCAAGCTGCTGGATTGACTCGCAGCGCTCCGTTTCATTTAATGCAGCGAAACAAGACCTTGTATTCATCAATAATACTCTGTGAAACAAAAACAAAAGAACTTACTCGGCTAACTGATTTAAGCCATCAAGATCGGTCGCCTTCTGAGCCCCAAGAAGCGAATAAAGAGATGTAACAGTTTGATCGAACAAGTCGTCCTCTTTGTGAACTTTGCGGCGCTTGAGTGGAGGGTCTTCATTGGCATCTCGCTCGGGTAACGATTCGAGACCAAGCTGGCGAAACTGGGCAGCCAGTTCGATGTTATCAAAGTCCGCGGAAAGATCAATCGCAGGCAAATCCAGTGGTACAATTTGACAAGCCTCATACAAGGTTAACGCAGTTTTCTGTGCTGTGATTAATGTGTGGTCAACATATTAATTGTAGCTGAGTTTCTCACCTGGAAGTCCTTCCCGAGCTTTTCACGAGAATTGTCATCCAGCATCGTGGTGGTGATTGTCGGTAGAAGATGAAGAGATACAGCACCGCGCATAGAAGCATACCGTTTGCAAATAGCAACCAAGCTCAACATTCCGCGGCAGATACTGACTCGATCCAAAGTCTCATGCAAAGCATCTGGCATACGGAGCAGATCCGAACACAAAATGGAGAACAGCAGGTATCCTTTCCGAAGAATAGTGGGCGATAATTCCTCTCCAACAGAGGACAGTAGTAGCCCCACAGCACGGAATAAAGGTAGGCAACTGTCGATGCAGGATTGCTGAAGCTGAGGATTTGCCTGCCATCGCTTCTGTAGATCATGCACAGAAAGGAAAGAGTCTAACATCCAAGCAAGATAGTCCTGAAATGCGGGTGTTGCATCAAAGGACGATACGGCCTCCACCGATGTATCAACCAAGATAGTCAAAAGATAGTTGACATGCCAGAACGCGTGCGTAGCTTCGTTGATGGAGTACCTCGGCATCAAATATGGGGAGTTGTCTTTCTGCTGGGAAAAGACGGAATAGTCAAAATCTTCAGCAGGGGATGTGATTTGAGACATGTTGCCATAGGGAATAATGCTGGGATTCTGGAGATGATTCAACATATCTAGATATTTCGTAAGACAGCGTCCAAATGAGATGATCATTATCAAACGTACGTGAGGCACACTCCTTCAGATATGAGAAGAACAATGAGCTCAGATACCATAGCTTGGGAGATTGAGCAACGGCCTGGAATGAGGTAGAGAAGAAAGACTTGATCTTATCAGTGAGATCCTCGCATTCTCTACGGCCCAAGAGCGTCAAGACTCGAGGAAATAGCCACATCCAGAGCGGTTCCTGGCCTCGAGCTTGAAGCGTCTCCTGGGGCTTTAAAATATAGGTCAAGACAGCTGGTGTCTCTCTGATTGTCGATGTAAAAATATCAAGCGCCTCAGAGGCCTGGGACACAAGCTGTGCGGTGTTGATAAAGGGGTCGTCATTGCTAAGTCTCTCCAAAACGGCACGCGCAAAGACATATATGAGCTTGTGCTTATGTTCCAGCTTGACATCGAGATTCGAGAGTTTAGTGGAACTATTCTCCAGCTCTGATACCTCTGTCATGAGTCTCTTGAGGTCATCCTGCTCGGGCTCTCGTGAAGGCTTATTCGTCGTTGACAGGTTGTTTATGAGCTGTGCGGCCATGGTTGATGGCGGGGCCTCGAAGCCCCCCATCTCCTCATCTGCATAGCCATTCATAACAGCTCGCGGGATAGGCGCCGTGTGACAGCCATACCTGAGGTGTTGTATAGGATGGAAGACAGGAATTGACGCGAAGTTTGTTGCCCCACTGTCGCGAAACCATGTGATCTGTGCTTAAGATCTCAAAAGTCGTCTGATTCAAGACCTCGACCGCAAACAACACCACGCCCAGGTTCAAATTGACTGTCAAGTCAAGTCCAACATGGGAACTTTTCAAAACAAAAAGTTCCGGTCCGCCGCGTATTCGAACACCATCGCCGCCAAATACCGAGTTAAACTTGCCCGCCACCCGTTCCTCCTCTTCGGGCTCCCCTTCATTGCGACAATGGTTGCAGGTTCCTTCTTCCTCACACCAGCAACAGCTATTAGATACGAGAAGCACGATAGAAAGGTGCGGCGGCTGAGCAAGGAGGAGGAATTGGGTATTGGCAAGGCAGGACGAAAGGTTGATATGAAGGAGGAATATTATGTTCGTTGCACATTCCATGGGCTTGCTGGGACACAGATGCTAATGATGATTGACAGAGACTTGCGGCGAAAGATTTGGAAGATTGGGAGCAAAAGCGTGTCAAGAGATTACCTGGAGAACATGATGGGGTCATTTGATGGCAATTGGAGGTTATGCTCTGATACGACCAGTTGATTATATCTAGTCGAATACCATTTTACGGTATCCATAGATGGAATGACAGTAAGTTCTCCATGATGCCAATGAAACCACCAGAGCGCATTCCGGAAAACATACCAAAAGGGAAGAGTACAAGATCAGCCTACTATTGCAGGAAAGGAACCCGGGAAGACAGCATTGGCAGATAGATCAGAGATACCTCAGCTCAAGTGGAAAACATAGTTTGAGTTATACGCCTCTTCAATAGCCCAGCGGGCTCTTTTCAATTAATTTGTGCTCGCATCATATGATCCTTCACAAAATCCATCGATGTCCAGGTTCCACCTCCGTCCCGTCCCTAAAATATCTTGGTCTTCCAAACTCCCATTGGAAACCTTTCGTCCATTCCGCAGCTTCCCCTGTATTGCTCACTGCTTTCCCCAAACCCCGCTCCTTATCTAAAGACTTTCTGCTTAAACTGGATCAAAACATCCATCGCCATCTCCCCACTAACTCTCCCTCCCGTAACACATATATGAGCTGTGCATTTACATTTACTTTGGGGATTGAACTCTAAGTAACGCCGCTGAGCGCTCACTGTACCGGTCTATAAGTATATCACCTACGTTAGGGCTTAGCTACTAGATCACCTGTAAATACCTTATACGAGAACGAGATCGCTGATTATGGGTATATGCTCCGCCCAACCTGCCCCAAAGCTTGCCGATGTAACTGTCTTGGAGGTCGGGGGGCTTGATATACCTGGCTCAATGTCATCACTGTCCACAGGGGTGTATATGAAGTCGGCTTATGTAAAGGTGTTGTACAATGTACATTGTTCGAGGTATGATAGAAGGACCTCAGATACATACAATATCATACAAAGCTTGACGCCCTCCCAAACTCCATCTATGCATATAATGCACAGTATGTCTTACATACATCATCCAACACTCGTGGGTATCTTGACCTGCCCTCTGCTACGGTCATACAATGGCACACCATATCTCCACCCAACACCGCTCTGACCTCTGCCGTCCTTCCCAGCATCATCAGCGTTGATTGGTGTGAATCTAAACTCCCACCTGTCGCTCTCAACTTTCTTCACCCTTGCCTCCGCCTGGGCTTGCTTATTTGCTATCTTTTCTCTCTTCTCCTCAGCTTCTGCCGCCCGCAACTCAGCTCTCTCCTTTCGTTCTTGCACGGTCAGTTCCTCTACTACTCTTTCCCGGTGCTGGATGACTAGCTCTGGATGCGGTATTCGATCATCTGCAGGGAGAAGCCTTTTGTTGAATACCTTTGCGGCATCTAGACGTGTGAAATGTCTGGACTCCGATGTAGGGTGGAAGATCTGTTGTCCAGTTGAGGCGTGGACTGGCAAGTCGTTGATCGACTCGTGGGAAACGAAATTCTCGGGACGGAAAGGAGTCTTGGGTAGCATAGACATAACGGCTCGGGCATATGGTCTTGCAAGTGGTTTTCCCTTTCAGTCAATGTCAGCTCATGTTCTCGAAAATATATCAGGAAGAATAGGAGTATTGTAAGGACTTTTCAGAGAGGCTCGCATGCGTAAATTTTGTAACCATGTAGTTGTCTTAAAGACTAATCGATTTTTAAAAGAATCATCATAAAGTCGTTGGGGTAGGGGGAAAAAAATGTCGAGTAAACTTACTATCCGCTTCCACTCCTTCTCGATCTCTTTCAATCGAACCACAGCTCCCACACGGCTCATCTCAACTTTCAGCTGAGCACTGACTTCCCGCACTGACTGCCCTTCTCTCATAACCCGCGACCAGATCTCGTCCCGCAGCCCCTCGCTGAGAACAGCTTGACTGACGAACGCTTTATTCAAAGGAAAGGGCATTCTATCCCTAGTCGTCTCGGGCGGTAAGCTTTTGCTTTTTTCTGCTGATAACTCCTTCTCTGGCGACGCTTCCCCCCTCTCTGCGCTGTCCAATACTATCTGCTCCCTCTGTTCCAGCACTCTCCTTAGTACCCCAACCCTGTTATCATAAGCACCCATATAATTCGTTGATTCACTCAACGGATTTCGGAAGTTCTCTCCTTGAGCAGTGAGCCATCGAAACAAGCCTCGACGAGCTCGAGTTACTCTTTGGTCATGTCGGGGAGTTGTGGAGAACGGTCGTGAGGATTGACCGGTTGTCCTACATAATTGATATGCGCAACAGGGTGTAGAAGAGAGAACTGAAGGTGATCTTAATGGTGGTGGCATCTCGAATACCGGGTTATGGGGGACAGTTTACGCAATGAAGCGTTCTGTATTGGTTTGGAAGAAGGAGATGGTCAGTCGAGCAGAGAAAATATCGTAGACTTCATTTTGCTCTAGCGCGTATATCACGTGCTACGTCCCACTTAGATGAAAATCGTCTTGCATATCATTGCCCAGAGCTGGGAAAACAGAAAATCATTTCATTTATCTGGAATAAGCAACTACTTTGATTGTCATAGACAAGGCTGTAGTGTAAGCAGTCCTGACTGTTTTATAAAAAAGTCCTTCCATAATTTCGACTACAACCTTGCACGTACATACTCCATGTGCGTTCAAACTACATCTCTGTTTGAAGCACCCTTTCGGTGCCCCCAAACTGATTCATCTGGAAGGCTAGTCTCAAAATGCACGTCAAAACTTCTAGATCCTGAGCTTCGTCCTCCCCGGGCTTCGGCTTTCTAGTCATAGGTTTGAGTCCACATATCTAAGCCCTACCCGCTCTCTCTATTCCTTCCAAGCCTTCTGATCAGGTTGTAATAATTCTCAACGTCGAAGATTCGATCTGTAGCTGCCCCTTCAAAAATCTTGAATGCCCGTCTCACTCTCCCGCGGCGTCCTCTCCCACTCCGGATCTTCCTCCTCAAACCACCTATCCTCCTCTTCCTCCCTCTCCACATCATCGTATTCCTCATTCTCATCCACCTTCTCATACTCAAAGTCCGGATCCTCGCCTCTCAGAAAGCGTATCGTCATCTCAAACTTCCACCTCTCTAGCCCCTCTTCCTTCGTATTCGGAACCTCATCTTCATCTTCCGGTAACACCTCGCCATCCTTGCCTCTTACATAGCTTACAAAGGGGACGTGGGGTTGGGAAGCTGAAGATGCAGCTGGACCTTCATTTTGGTCTTGGAACTCAGATGTCGTTTTCAAGGCAGCTAGTTTCGCCTCCGAGCGATACAGATCTGCTTCCAGCACACCAGAATAGCCCTTTGAGCGCCCGTCTGCTTCTCGCTCCTCTGGGGTTTGAAAACGACGTATGCAACGGTCGTAGAGTAATGGATCTAGTAGTATATCGTTTATTGTTAGAACTTGAAGTGGCCTTTTTGGAAAGCATATACCGACCTAGGAGTTCAAGGTCAGGTGACGTGAAATATGAAGGATTGCGGTCGAGGTATAGTTTTCGTCGATTTTTGATTCGGATTTGAGGGGGTATCGATTTGGGCTGGAGATTCGATGATGAGCCCGAGGGCCTTGGTTGTTGGGTTTTTGGTGGCGGCGATTCCATGTGAGGCATGGTGAGTTTGTGGGGGGGAAAAATCTTGACGATACGTTCTTATTTGAAACAAAACTTGTTGGCACCAAGAGAAGAGTATGTATGAAGCGATGCTCGGCGGTTTATAAATGTTTTGAGTTGGTGGTCAGTCCCGTGTTGAAGTCATCTTCGTTCAACTCTGTGGCAATCAAGCCGGGGAAGCCTCGGGATAACCCTCGCTCAAATCCAACCCCTCATAAGCAGACCAAATTCACCACCAAAAATATATATATACACATCCTCCAAAATGAGTATGACCTCCACCCCCTTCCACTCGGCTTCCCTCCCCTCACCCCCCTTCCTAACTGTTGCCGGAATCCCCAACTTCCGCGACTTAGGCGGCTACCCGCTCTCCAAGTCCAACACGCACTCCATAAAACGCTCCCTAATCTACCGTTGCGGTGAGCCTACCCGCGTAACCCCAGAAGGCATCGCCGTCATGCAAAACTTAGGTATCACACATATCTACGACTTGCGTTCGGTGCCCGAGCTACAACGAAACCGGGATGCGGGACGGGGGGACGTGGTGCAGTGGGAAGGGTGTGAAAGGGTTTTCGTGCCAGTATTTAGGAATGAGGATTATAGTCCTGAGGGCATAGCGATGCGATTGATGGATTATGCTAGTCCTGATGCTGAGGTTCCTACCCGTCCTAACTATGGTTTCTCAAGGAATATGTGATCTAACTGATGAGATAAAGGGCTTCACGAGAGCTTATACAGATATCCTGAATAATGCCCCCAATTCCTACAGGACTATTCTATTACACCTAGCAAATGAACCAACAAAGCCGCTCATTGTTCACTGTACGGCAGGTAAAGATCGTACAGGCGTCTTTTGCGCGCTCATTTTGTCGCTTTGTGGAGTTGAAGATGATATTATAGCGGAAGAGTATAGCCTCACGGAGATGGGACTGCCTATTGAGTGGAAGGAAGCTGTTATTGAGCATTTATCTGATAATCCTGTTTTGAGGGGGAATAAGGAGGGAGCGTGGAACTTAATCAGCGCGAGGTACCATTTACCTACTTCATTGGTAGTTTCTGCTAACCAGAAGATAGAGCTGTTAATATGATGTCGACTTTGCAAATGATTCAGGAAAAATTTGGTGGCGCGGAGGCGTATATAATAGAAAAGTGTGGGCTCACGAAAGAGGAGGTTGAGAAGATCAAGGCGAACTTGATTGTGGATATGCCCGCGATACACCAGAAATTAGAGCACAAAATATAGATGCAGAGGTTGACTAGAATACTTTGAATAGAAGTCCCCACTCAGATCCTCTACTCAGCGAGTTGCTCCTATGAACAAACGAAACTATTCCAGCTAGTGGCACTTGCAATCAACTTCATATCGAGCCCCTCCGCACCTTGACTGATAATCAGTGCCTTCGTGTACGCCACCAAGCTATAGTACTTGTATATAGTAATTTCCGGGACGAAAACAACATCACCTTGCAACAAACTTAACACTTCTCCACCCATCAAAACCGACAATTGCCCCTCAAGAACCTCAAAGGCTACATGACCTATGAAGCTCTAATTGCTAACAGTAACATTACTCAACAGCTGATCCATCGTGATGGTGGAAAGAGTGAAATTACCTCTGGATGTAATAGGTGTGACGAATGGTCGAATCACCTGGTATCCGCCTTCGTTGCTGTTAAGAAACTTTGGACCATAGTCTTTCGCCACAAAATACGGGGTATATGCGTTTTTTTTTTTGGGGGGGGGGGGGGGGGGGGGTGGCATTAGCGCCAGTACATCAAATGCTGTTTGTGGGAGCAGCACCATGGATCGCATCTCTTCGCGGGCTGAAATGTAATTCCACGTAAACGTCAAATTTCGAAATTTCGAAGAGAAGAGACTATAGTGGCGTTGGGATTGGATAAATTGGCGGAAGCCAAGAGATCATAGGGCGAGGATCTGGAAAATGAAGAGTTGCTACCAGAAAGAGCATAAAATAGGTATCTATAGTATAATTAGTCCTTAGCATCAGTAAAGTCTTTGTGACACGTATTCGAATCCACCAGGAGGCTGTACGTCACCAACCATCTCTGTATCTAAGTCCAAAAACTGGAAGGTATGGGTAATGTATTGCGGAATGGCGCCATGTTCTCCCTGCACGAGTATACAAGGCTCCTGGTCTCCATTTTTTCCCCATCTAAAGTTGAAAGCGGCCTCTAAAACTGAACATGTTCACACAGTGAAGCTAGTGGGTATGACGGAGAACACCTAGACTATCTAACCCAGGAGCATTTGTACTCATGAGCCGTGAAAGCATTACCTGACGATTGACCCATGACTGGGAAATGACAAACCGCTGTCCGACTACATAAATCATGGCTAGATCTGGCTTAGCATGGATTCACTATGTAAGGGACCTCTCGGGCATGCGAAGGAGCTCGGTTGACAGGAAAATACCTCAAACTGTAGACAAAAAGCAAGCTTGGTTAATGGAAATTGGGGATTTTGACAGGCAAGGATTTAACCTCAAATTGTTTATTCGGAATGAAAGGGTTACTATACAGAGAGTGATAACAACCCTGACATATGCCATAAGTTTATCCAAACCTTGGTCTGTAAACTCGCTTGTATGCCCAACATCTTGGTTCAAATGCGATGAGTAGATGTGTACCATCGAAGTCATTACAAGCACGTTCGGTATAACTCGTCTAACGTTTTGTCCTATGCTGGGGTGCTGAAGTTGCAATACAATAGACGTGACAATTCGTGACTAGGCTTCATCACCACGTAATGAATCGGAACCTTGACGATGATCGCCGTATGGAATGGAGCACTATGAGGTGCTGTCTGAGCTTCCCGATAATGAGCTGGGAGAGCTGCGGGTTTTGAATGAGAGGTAGGCATCGATATGGGCCGGCTGGTAAAAGATGTGTAGTTAATTCACGGAAACCTCTACTGTAACTCTCCAACCTTGGGCTGTGAAAAGGAAATACCATAATCATATGCCAAAAAGAATACGGTATATGCTCCTGCTAGAGACACTATACGTCCAGCTTTTAGCTTTTACATTCAAGCTCATGATCTGTTCGTTGGATCGTAAAAGTATAACCCGAGAAAGACAGTCATGTGAGAGAAAATAGTAAGAGTGAAATGCTTGCGATCATACGACAATCGAAAGATCAAGAATGAAAATGCGTTGGAAGGCGGGAACCTACATTCTTCAAGGCTATTATAGATGGGGAGTTGCACGACTTCAACTCTTTCTGCGGAAACTGGCCGCATTTGAGATGTATCATCTATGTTCTGTACAGTAACTCTTCGGTCTATAGCTCTCAAGACGCCTGAACCCAATGCTGACCCCCTTTATAGGCATTTGTCGTAATCATAACACTCATCATCTCATGAATCTTTACTTTTTATATGATCTTCTCGACCACAAGTCTGCCCTTCTGGTCGCCGTCTAACGCGAAAAAATCTGCTGTTTCTAGTCGCTTCTTCCATTTACTGCTTTCATATCTCGCAAGAATCATGGTCATTCGTAAGACTACACCACTGCTCGATTGGTGTTCGTCAGCCGTGCTGTTCATAGGTGTACATGTCCACCGTCCAAAGGCCCAATTTAATATGTAACGTCCTGCGTCGACCGGTTCCGTGTCTGAATAACCGGTATTCTCATCAGGCGAGGGAACTGGGGACAAAGCGGCTAGTACAGCTTTAATGCGATATACCTCGTCCTTCGGTGCCGATTTCAGAAGTTTTGCTAGCTTCGAGGTATCTATTTTCGCGCCGGCGTCCGCTTCAAATGTAATCGAGAGCACTTCAACTTCACCTTGGTGGGTCTTGGTGTGTTCGTGAGTGTGATCGAGGTTGTGGTCATGGCCATTTTCTTTCACATCGGGTTCCAAACTTCTTGCCAACGCGCCATCGACACCAAATACCAAATCAACAGGCACCTTGCCTTTGTCACTTTTCACGGTCGCGATATGGACCTCCAAGTCGCCTACACGATCCAGACACTCATCCAACCTTCTCTCGCCGACCTGTTCCCATTTATTTAAAACAATCAGATCCGTGTACCGCGCCTGGATCTTGGCCGTATAGCTGGTATCCTCATACCCCTTCCAATTCTCAACATCTATGACAGTAACAACGCCATCCAGCACATAACCGCCATTTGTCTCCCTCGCGAGTCGATTGACCTCCATCGCCAACGTGGCCGGGAACGCGCTACCGCTGGTTTCGACAACGATTCGATCGGGAGTGATGGTGCTGCGGAGCTCTTCTAGGGCGGTATCGAGCTGGCCGACGAGATTGCAGCAGATGCAGCCATTCAGGAGCTCGCGGACGCCAGATATAGAGGAGGACGAGGCGAGTTGGCTGTCGATAGCTACATCGCCGAATTCGTTCTTGAGAAGAGCGAGCTTGTAGGCCGGGTTTTGGGCGCGGAGTTGTGGAAGGAGGTTGAGGAGGAGAGTGGTTTTGCCGGAGCCTAAGAAACCGGTGATGATGGTTATGGGAATGGGCGCCATGATGAGAAGGGAGACTGGCTTGAGGACCAAGAGGTTGTCGATATTGACTTTAGCTGTCCCTGCTGGTGTGAAAGAAGATTTTCGATATCACTCGGTTCTCGATCGATCTATCCACCAGCCCAGTTGATCCCCGCTATTTACCCCACCAACGCCTGCTTCTCTTTACAGGGTTCCCACAACACGAAGAGACACACCAAGATAACTTTAAAGACGACACGAGAATTTCAGAGCATTTGACGAACGCTGTGCATGATCATTTTTAGATATGTAGCCAATTACGTCACGGTTATTTTCATCGAATGTCATCTTACCTACCTATATACTCTCTTTCGTGTGCTCCTACTGGCTGCAGTCACGACAACCTCCCCCTGGGGTCAATCCCACTGCGAATTAAACCCAGCAAGCCTCTCAGGGGCTTTCTTCTCGGAATCCTCTGTGGGCCCATTCCCACGAAAAATGTGTCGCTATCTTCGACTCTCAGTGTAACTATTTAGCGGATCGGATGAACTATCAAATCATAGCACCTGAACCGAGTCTAATGGCCACAGCATATGAACTGGTGTAGCTGTTGTTTCACGATTTGCGTGGCGATGTGCAGGTTACTTTTATCTTGATGATGAGTCGTTCTTACAGTATCCTCGATCGGGTATGCATCGCATCCCCCAAACTTTTGGATCTTTCGGGCCAGGGAGTATGGCTAAAGGAGAAGTCCGAATATTCTATCTATCCTAGAGTACCTACAGTACGTACATTGACATACAGTTGGAGATTTCGTTCCACATACGGCAACAAGATACTCGAAAGAGGCTAGAGCTTCGTCCCAACTATCCGAAAGTTCGAAACAACCACCGAAATACTAGACAGGCCCAGAATGGGGGATGGGCGTGTTGGCGCAAATTCATCAAGCCTATAAGATTGTGACAGGTTCCGTGCATCCCGTACATCGGTACAAACTAAACCTCCAAATCTTCATTTGGGTTTGTTCAAGGATGAACCTGAAGTTTTTCGGCTCGACAGTGTCGACACCCGACACTTCATCCACACTTCTTATATCATATTTTGAGCACTAAGCAATGTGAATGCCCGCATACAGTAAGAATAAGCTCGGAGAGTGCTTCCTTCAATCCTTCTCACTTCAAGCTCGGTACATGGGGAGTAACCGCTTCGCAAAAAGGGGGATAGGCGCTAATCGCTCCTGCCAATACTACGAAGCCTATACCAAGAAAATCCTCGAACCACCTCAGCCAAGTATTTTTGGCGTGCATTGCATCGCATTACAGCGCTACAGACAGATAAAAAAAAAGGGGGGGGGGGAGCTCTGTGGGCACAATTGCACAATTCCAAACGAGTGGCCCTGTTGCACGGCGTTGAGGACAGTCAGACTCATTATTGAAAGTCAAGCTGATTCTGGGAGTTCGTCACGACTCACCATTTTGTGCCGCTCAAGAAATGATGTCTGATTGAATTTAACACTTGGGAATCCCTCCCCGCGGCACATATGGAAAGAACGTGTTTCGAAACAAAGTTAAGCACTGCACTTCAAGCTTCTCTTAGTGAAACGCATCATTTTAGTCACCAATGATCTTGCGTCCTCCCCTCAAAATCGCCCAAACGGGCAAAAGGATCGCAAAGACCCCTACACATCCACTGATCCTCCCGTTCTTGCTGCAAGGTACGGCGTACAAACTCTAATAAACACAGCAAAGGAGCGCTATCCATAGAAAGTTGGAAACGACCCCCTGGTACTGCAGCACTGCTGTCGTCCGAACTGTAACCCCACCAACACCTGCCAGCTATTATTTGATCCGACGCTATATAACTAAGGCCCGCTATTATTTCTCTCCCCCTGCGTCAAAAGAAGGTCCAGAGCTAACTTTGTTTTTAGCGTCATCTGCATGCAATACCACGAACGATTCAGACAGGTCATTTGCGGTCTTCTTTATATAAGTCTCTAAGCCTTGGTGCTGATCTTCTTCTGGTCCTACCACCAACAGTTGTACTTTCTTTCTCTGTACACCACACTCTTTCTTCTGCTCCTGCCATTCGTTCTTTTACTCTCTGTTGATACAGAGCATTACATTCCTTCAATACAACAATCGAGTCAAGTTACTCTTGTTTGTGTTTTCAGTTATTATCTGCATTTCAGCTTCGAGGTTATCACAGTCGTCGTCAACCACAACACGGCTACACTACTACAGGCCATACGCATCTGATTATAGACCAAAACCTCTCTATCAACAAACATATAGATCACAGTCAACATGCATTTCTCAAGACCCGCTCTCCTGGCGGCAATTGCTACTTCCGCTTCAGCATTTCAGGCACCTATGGGCACGTTTTCCGTCAACCATTTCATTCAGTCAGATGCACTTGTCATTGGCCGTATGGATCCTATTGTTAGCCCAGGCGTAGCCTCTGGGCACGTCCACGCTGTCCAGGGTGGAAATGGATTTGCCCTCAACATGACAACTCAGCAAGCAGTCAGCAGCTCAACGTGCACAACAGCCTATTTAAAGGGAGACAAAAGCAATTACTGGACTCCAGCATTGTATTTCCAAGACCCCACAACAAAGAAATTAGAGGCAGTTGAATTCGATTACATGAATGTGTACTATTTGTAGGTTACCCAATCCGGTCTACCTACACAAGCGCTTACATGCTCTCCAGTTTTGACAAGATGAGCGCTGACGATAAAATCATCGCCTTCCCTCCTGGCCTCAGAATTTTGGTCGGCGATCCTAGCCTCAGATCTCCCCCGGTTACACCAGAATTGATTACCGACTACTCAGACGGCGCTGTGATCCAACCAGTCCAATGGGGCTGCCCAAGAGTAGATACATCAACGCCACTCTATGAGGCTGATTCGGATGGTCTTCATGGGTATGGTATTGGATCAAAGATTAATTTGGCTCAGGGTGTAGGGTTCCCGGACAAGAATTGCGACGGGTTGTACTCTCCTATGCTTGCGGAGATCACAATGCCATCATGTTGGAATAGTGCGACTGATCCCTCTATGGTCACTGCGGACAACCCCCAAGGCTACAAATACCTGGACACTTTCAAGAACAAGGGTACAACGACGTATCCAACCAAGGGTGTCTGCCCCACGGGCTTTTCAAAAGTCCCCAGAATGTTCTATGAAGTCTACTGGCAGACGACCAAGTTCGCGAGCCGCTGGACACCGGGCCAAAAGAGCCAACCATTCGTTCTCGCAAACGGTGATCCAACTGGCTATTCCCTTCACGCAGACTTCGTAAGTATATAAACATTTCAAAAGTCTTCTCGGTACTTACAAGTAAATAGCTTGCTGGCTGGGACACGGATGTTCTTCAAACCATAATCGACAATTGCAACACCGGCGATGCGGCCACCGACAAATGCCCAGGAGTAATAGCAAACCCCTCGGGAACCAGATGCAATGTAACCAACGCAATCCCCGAAGATCTCGGCACCACCACGCCATTAGACCAACTACCAGGAAACAACCCCATTCCAACCGCATGGGGCATTGCACCCTCAGGCGCAACACCAGCAGTTGCTGCCTCTAGCGGAGCATCCATGGCTACTTCTTCCAGCGCCGCAGCAAGTTCTTCCGTCTCCACGCCCACATCTGCGCCCGTAGCAAGCAGCCTTGCAGAGGGAGTTGTCACAACGACCGCCTCATCCACATCCGCAGCCTTAAGCGGCAGCCCATCCACCACCGGCTCGACCGTCGCATCCGGCTGGTCCTACAGCGGCTGTTTCCAAGACGGAAAGACAGAGAGCAACCGAGTCCTCACCGGCATCACATTCGCAAACCTCGGCGCCGTCTCGAACACCAAGTGTGTATCCTACTGCGCGCAAGCCGGCTACAGCATGGCGGGCACTGAATACGGCGGCCAATGCTTCTGCGGGAACTCTCTTAGCACGGTCACCAAACTCGATGATAGTAGCTGCGCTACCGCTTGTGAGGGGGATGGAAGCCAGACTTGTGGCGGGAGTTGGAGTTTGAGCGTGTATTCGAACGCGGCGCCGAAAGCGAAGAGGGCCGAGGGGCACTTGAGGAGACATTTGCAGCGAGTCAACAGTGTCTAGATGACGGTGGTGATGAGTGGCCTTTACCTTTCGATTCTTGCATAACATACATTTTCTGGCACTTGCCGTTCTTTTGGGGAGAGATAAGTTTTTAGAGATGAGCTTTAGTCGTGGAGACTTGTGTGTTGCTTTTATAGCAGAAAGTAGCTCTTCATTCGTGTATTATTTAACACTTATTTTGGCCTATCTTTAAGGCAGAAAAAGGCAACAGAAAATCTTGGGCTCCAGTTCCGCTTACGATCGTTACGACTCTGGTAGAAACGAAATATATTCATCACTTTCTAGCTTGCTGCTGTGTCTGTTTATCTGACAAGCTTGATTTTTCAAACTGATCCTTTATACTTCCCTCCTCCCTTACTTCTCTTCAAAAGTTCGCAGGTAGTGTTAAGGTCAAGGTTCATTTATCTTTCCACCCATCCAACACGAACTCCCCAAACGCCTTACACGGCACGTACCCAAATAACAAGTCAAGAGCCCAACACCCCTCCACCAAGCTGCACCTCCCCAATTCTCTAGCTCACTGTCTAGGAGTTCGCATGTTTGCCTGAACACGCTCCAACAGCTGCTCATTGGTATCTTGCGAATTCGGATATAAGTTTCTCTGCTCAAAAGTCAGCACCGCAGCAACCAACCCCGCAATGTCTCTTATTCTCAAAATCCGCCACTAATTGATTGGCATTAGGGAAGTAGACTTTGTTCAATACATGCCCTATCCTGTTCATACAAGAATCAAGCATCGTTTCTGGGATAACTTGAATGAGGAATTTTTCCAAATGCTGTGCTAGAAAGTTTAAAGAAAGAATAGTTCCTATTCAGGTGTGCTTACAACAGCTAGAAACCGGCGCAGCTCTTCCCGGGTCCATGTTTTTGGATCTAGTCATACATCCCATCAGCTTGGCACCCAAGGAAATGATTCCATTGGATTGGATTGGGCTAGGGCTAGGGTGGGGTAGGCTGGGGGTTGTCGAAAACATACCGCCAGTTGGATCACTCTCTTTCGGAAACATTTCAGTTCCCCATATTGACCATACGGCAGCAGCTGTCACAACGCCAGTAAAGGCTTTTTTCTCGTATAGTACATTAGCAGCCACTAGCGAAAACTTGGGGACCTTCCTTCTGCACGTAGCGCAAGCAAGCGGTGAGATGTGGATTGGAAGGGAAGGGAAGGGAAGGCTCACCTAGGAATGCATTCTGTGACTATGTTAGTATATGTAGTAAATGCGTGAAAGCGCCAAGGATATGCACACCTTTGAATTGAGAGCTTTGTCTAATGGGGTTGGCATTTTGCTCAAAAGAGGGATGGCTTAAAGTCCAATTGAGGGATGATATTAATCTTGTTGACTTGCGCACTTACAAACAGAAAATAGATACTGAAGTGCTTTGTTTAAATGATAAAGGAAGAGGACTTTCAATTGCCTTTTATCGAACCATTATTGAAAGGACAGTTCCTCGCCTCACTGAGAACTGACGGCAGCCTCGAAGACCGCGTCACCAGCCGCACCAGCCTGCGCCACATCTGGCACCTGACATTTTCCTTATCATAAATCTTATCGCACGCAACCGAGATCTGCTTACTAAACTCCTCCCACAGAACTTTCCAAATCGTATCAACATCCAAAAAAATCCCCAATCCCACAACTTTTCGACAAATCTACTCGAAAGCCGACAAGATGCCTCGCGAAATCCAGGATATCAAGAACGTAAGTAGTTTCAGCTTTTCTGCGCAATTGTGGAGAGAACAGAAGGGAGTGGAGCGGCTTGCAGTTGCAGAGTCAAAAGCTAATCTGGGGTTTTTAATAGTTCATTGAGGTTTGCAGACGCAAGGATGCTTCCTGTATGTGTTTCCCCTGGCTATGAAATTTAAGATGGATTCCGAGAGATTGTACGGATATTGAGGGGGATGGAAGAGGAGGAGGGGAGAAATTGGGCCGTGGGACGCGCTGGAGAGAATGATACAATTTTGAGGGAGAAACGCTGATGGAAAATAGCTGCTCGCATCAAGCGCAACAAGAAGACTTCGACTGTCAAGTTCAAGGTACGTGGACTGGTTATTCCGACCATTTTTCTGGGTTGTTTACATCTGCACAATTTGTGGGAGGGGAAATTTGGAGGGGGGGCTTTTGGACAACACCTTCACACGAATCTCAGCGAGACACCAATGCTGACTTTGTATCTTCAGGTCCGCTGCCAAAAATACGTCTACACTCTCGTCTTGAAGGATTCCGAGAAGGTTGAGAAGCTCAAGCAATCGCTGCCACCTAGTAAGGACCCACCAAGACCGCAGACTCGCATCCCAATCCAATGCCTTGTTCGAAATACAAGCTTGACTAACCTACAAATCAAAGGTCTCACAATCGCCGACACACCAAAGAAGAACGCAAAGGGCAAGAGACAAGCATAGAGTGGATTTATGAGATGCTGGAGTGCTGGGGAAGGGTTACGCATGGATGGACTTGATTTGCAAAAGGCGTCTTGATCTGGCATACTATGGCACGAAACTGCTGCGCTGTATTGAGATAGCAAAGCGAATTTGACGAGCCTTCCAAACCCAAGCAAACGGTCGATTCCGCAAAGTGTTACTTATTCTCATTCTCCTTCCTGTATTCCTGCTCGTCCAAGTGGATCCACGCAGAAACTGTCTCTTCGAGTCAGAAGCTAGCGGTGATTTTAGTCGATGAATGCATGAAAATCAAAAATTGCAGTAGAATTATTCGAATACCGGCAAAGAGAGTGGATTAATTGGGTTCTTATTTACTTGTTATTCTCGCTGTATATTTGAGCGTGGTCTAGTGTCAAATTTGTTCATCTTTTTCTAATCCAAATCCTAACATAAGAACACAGTTTTGGGCTTCCGCTGAAGCTTCAAGAACTGGCTGACCGGTTGATGCATGCTCGCCTCGCCTGCGTACTTGGATTCGTTCAGACATGGCTAGATATGTAACTCTTATATATTTGATGGATGAAGCTTTTTTCCTTTAAACATCCTCATTTAATCACTCTCAAAACAGGCTATCTATCGTCTACCTTGTTGCACATACATTTCTCAACTCAACCCTCCCCCCAACCCCCCCGCCTAAAAATATACATACTATAAGTCAATCTGAACACTTCCACGAACACACCCAGCCCAGCCTCCGCCACATCTAGAACTTCCCCTCGAACCCCCACTTTCCCTCTCTAAAGACCCCCTCTCCAAACTCAGCACTGTACAATTCGTCCTCTTCTCATCGGGACACCACTTTCTTTTTTACCATTCTACTAGCAAATCGATAATCCTTCTTTCCTCTACATGTTAAACAACCAACCGCCTCCGCTGGGAGAACAAGATCTCTACTTCGGAAAGACGTTTGAGATGTGTGCTGAGACATCATCTCCTGATCGAAGACATCATTCCAACTTCCGATCTGATTCCACCCTATACCGTACCACACCAAGACCATAATAACACACTAAAACCCCTTCCCCTAACCCAACTCACAGAATGAAAACTCCCCAACCGCATACGCTATTCTTGCCCTAGGCTCCCTAGGCTCCCAACCAGCAGCTCTTAAGTCTCCTAAAAACCCTTCATTGAGCTGGAGAAAATGTATCCTCACGTATCATCACATCGATACTGATATCTCAGCCCCTGTCCCCGGGAAGAAAAGAGTGTCGGAAGCGGAGACAATTATTTTGAATCAGGGTGCATTTTGTGGATGCTGCGAAGAGGGGTGTACTGGGGAGGTTAGGGGGGTTCATGAAGAGGTATATCGAGCCTTGTTGTGTAGTTGGTAGGTTGATGATGGAGAAAGTTGTGGAGAAGGAGAGCTAGGAGGAGTGATGGATTAAGTTTTTGCTTTTCTGTTCGAAATTTCTAAGTAATTGGGGGTTTTTATTGATGGGAAATAGGGTGGGTGGTCTTGAGTGGGTTTGAGAGTATAGAGCATCATTTTGCGTTTGCGGAGATGGAGGTGGAGGTGGCTAAGGGGATTGCGGATTATGTGGAGGCTTTTGAATTGAGGCGTTTAGGAAAGATTGAACGGGTGTGTTAAGAAGAGGAGGCTACGGAGGAAGAATGAGTTCGATGTCTATTCTATGAAGTCAATGGATCTCATAGTCCTTTCATGGTCAGGGCATCTGCTCTAAACAAAATCTCATTTTGGGACTATCTTTTCAACCCCTTTAATAGCTTTGCACCTTTGATCTGGCTATTGAAATGAGATATGAGAGGGGGTATCCTTGGGTTGATCTACCTGGGTGTTTTCATGCTAGCTCATTCTAACAAAGAGACGCTAGCTTAGTGTCCGGCGCAGCATTACATTTAGTCGCATTTAAAGACGCTACGCTTCCGTAGCTTCCAAATGTCTAGCACTAAAGTCAAAGGCGTCTGTTCGTCAAATTTTACAACGACACACGCAAATGACATGATAGGGCCGTGACATGATGATCTCCTTGGTATAGTACAGAGTGTTATCATAAATACTGCAACTTTCCACAACAAATGCTGTTACAGGGCTTATATGGATTTTAGCAGCCGGAAACATTCTTAATCTAGTAAAAAGTGCGGGTTTTAGCAGTTTGATCACTAAAGAAGGCATACATGATCGATCCAGGGGCTTTTCTAACCAATTAAAACCCTCTATCACCCTAGTCACATCCTAGTTTTAAGTGGAAAAGTGCAGTATTTACTGTATGACAATACTTTGTAGCCCTATCTTCAGCCTTGCTTGGAGTCGCGTCCTTCCTTCGGGCCGTCTGACATCCCTACAGTACTCAATGCTGTGCATTGAATGCATAGCAACTTGATACGGGGTACTGTCACTTGTCCTCTCAGCACCAGGATCTTCCAAGAGCGAGACAAGACAAGATAACTATTGGCAAAAGCAATACCTTGCATACGATCATTTATGTCTGACCTTAAGATCAAACCGCTAAGAAACCATTTCTACGGAGTACGAAGTATATTAAAAAAGGGAAGATCCGGCTGCTAGAATTATAAGCCCCATAAAAGCCATATTGTGATTGTGGAAGGATGCAATCAAGGTAACAACGTAGAAACACCCTGCAAAATAAACGCTTCAGCCAATGATATATATGTGATAGGCATTCGATTGTTATCTGTTCGGGGAACTTGCACAGTTTCCGGTGAAGCCGAATATTTCCCGACAGGGCATCGCAGACCTTCATCCCCAACTGATTGGCTTGAAATCGAGGCTCCTGGCTATCAACGGTAGTGGACATTTGACATTTGTGACGGAACACGCCAGCTGTCCGTGCTGTGTTTTGATTGCCGTTTCAACCCTAGACCTGATCATCCGATAGTCCCCGCACACTGTCTGACTTGCATTAGCTTCGCGTTATACTTAATTTAGCTATATGTTTTATAATCTCTGGGTGTGGTACAGTATTTTCTGACTGTGTCGGGTATGTTCTCGATGTTCCGGAGCGTAAATCTACAGTATAGCAAAGTATATAATGTGGATCTAATAAAACTTAGCCCTTGCTTGAATAACGATCAATAGGTCACTAGCTTACTTGAGCGAGAATAGATGGAGGTGGACATTCAGGGGTCGTCGTCTGACACTGAGACTTAAGAGTTCTGCTGGGTTCTGCTCCATATAACTAGCTTTTCACCACGGGTACTCCGTATATCCGTACGGCATGGACATGGCACGGACTATAGTAAAAGATTGTTTCAGTTACAGAATTGCTCTAGCTACTTCTACTTACAGCATTAGATATAATTCCTAATCAAATCGAGGTCAATTCAACAACGTTGGAGTGGGGCGAACGAGCCCTATTACTACTTAGGTACTATTGTAATCAATTTTCTATCCTTCTGCTGGACTGCTACACGCAAGCGAATGCGCCTTGTACGAATTGTTGCGCCAAGTGTGCAGATTGGTTATTTGGAACTGCAGTCTCAAAGTTCCGGTCTTCCACCCCTAACCCTTTTAGTCTAACATTTCTCGCCGCGGGGCACTGACTGCCATGCAGTGTTGCCTACATCCTGTCTCAACCTCCAAACCTTTCGCCATACAACATTTACCATCTGATGTGTTCTTATTTGGATTCCTTTTTCTAACCTGATGGTTGAAGATGATGATGCCATTGTGAAGCCGCCCGAACCCCGGACTTGCATGAAATGCCGTGACTCGAAACGGATTCACTACCCAATCAGGATTTTCTCATACTACGAGTACGGTGGAATGTCTTCGAGGTATTAATGAGCAGTAGTCTCTCGAGCCACAAAAACTCCACCAGAATACACCCCTGTGATAATCCCTGGTTACACCTCTTCTGGCCTTGTACTTGTATCTATCTCCGTATATAAAGTTCACTAGGATTGTGATAACATTGTATGTACCCTTTTAAAAGTGGAATGTTGGTTAACTATGCCGGTACTGTCGGTCCCTGGAAAGCTGACCGCTATGTCTGTTTGTTTCTAGTATGCTCGCAAAGACTTCCTTTTCAAATATTTGTTTCCCATATACAGTACCCAATCGCAACAACATTCAGTGCATAAACCAGGAATCTACCGGTGACGATGGTTAATACAGGTACGTACATCTTGAGTCGAGAACTTTAGCTTGGAGTGGATTTAGGTTTTCGGGAATATAAGGCTGACTGTGGTTTTTTGTTGTTTAGGAAAGCCAAGCAAAGGATGTTATTTGTGTCGAGCTCGACGCATCAAGGTAATATATCCTTACAAATGTGTCAACTATGATCAACTATACTAGCAATAATGTCTCTTAACAATCAATGGAGTTCATACTAACTGTGAGCAGTGCGATGAAGGAAAACCGGGCTGTATGCGATGCCAGAAGGTGAAGAGAGTATGCCCTGGATATCGGGATGTATTTGACCTCAACCTGCGCGATGAGACAAAATCAACCAAGCAGTACGAATGTCCCAATTCTCAAGCGGGATTTTGTTACCCGTCTTTTTAGAAACAAATAAATGATTCCTGCTGATGTTATCTTGTGTGCCAGGAAGATGAACAATCGGATGATAAATTCTCGCTCTTTTGATTCCAGCCAAGCCATAGTCGACGGATCTCAATTTGTGGGGCGAGCAGATATCATACCTAATTCATCATCATTTTCTATCATCTCGCCAACATCGGATACATCCTCCTGGCCGAGTCATGCTTCTAGCGGGCATCACCATGGCGGAGTTATTTGTGCTCAGATATCTACCCCCATAGATCAACAGGCAACTTGCTTTTTTCTTGCCAATTTCGTTTTACTTCCAGCACAAAACACCATGAGAGGATATTTTGATTTCATTCTGCCGCTTCTGAAAGGCAAACCAGACCCGTGTTTATCTAAGGCATTCGCAGCTGTAGCGACTGCGTCTCTTGGCACTCGACCTAATTCTAAAGCCCTACTTCCACAAGCCGATCTATTCTACGTAAAAGCGCTGACCAAAATCAACGGAACTCTGAGAGATGCTAGAACAGCGTCTAGTGACTCTACGTTAGCTGCAGTCTTGCTCTTGTCATTCTTCGAGGTAAGTGCTATGCATCGTCCCTACTCGCAGCATGCAATCATTAACTAACTACCAACTACATCAAATAGCAAGTTACCGCCCCACGCGTAAGTCATCAGGCTTGGAACTCTCACGTAGATGGAGCCGTCGCACTCCTCAAAGCACGGGGGCCAGAAAACTTTCAAACTCGAAGGCGCCGCGACATATGGCACATAGTAAGAGCACTTGCTGTAAGCCACAACTCTTTCTTTCTCCGGGTCAAGACTGACTTCTCAAGACTATACAATATATTGCCAATTCGAAGGCTGTTGCTCCATCGGTAGATTGGTGGATGATGGTTTCCGCCAGCGACGAAATCATAGCGAAATTCGCCCGACTGAATCTGTTGGTAGCGGACTTGCGGTCAGAGACTACAACCGCTACATCACAGATTGCAAGAACTGCTGCAAATTACGAGAACGTCTTGAGAGTTCAACGCAAGGCAGAAGCTTTGGAGAAAGATTACGTACAGTGGTTCAAATCCCTCCCACCATCTTGGCAACCAAAATTCGAGACGTGGCTTGGTGACAAAGGCATTGGTTATAATTATGCGTCATCAGAAACCCATCCAGGACGTATAGATTCATATTCAGAGATGTGGATTGCATACCACCAAAATATCGCTCGATCATCGCAGATTCTACTACACTTTACTATCCTCCGCTGCGTTGCCTGGTTGGGTGACTTGAAAGATTATACACTGACACCCGAGTACGCCAAGGCTCAGCAAGTTTGCTGTCCGCTCATTGAAGATATTGTAGCTAGTTGTCCATACTTTTTTGGTTGGAACAAGGACAGAAACGAAGCGATGGTTGATAAATCCTTTTTCGCATGTGGGGAATCTGGAAATACGGATGCCCAGGCTAATCCCAAGGCTCTCTGGGGAATATTTATCATGTGGTATGTTTCAAAGTTTATCATTTCATGAAGTACAATACTAATTTTACCAGGCCTATCTTCGTTGCAGGCTCTGCAGATTTTGCTCTGCCGTACGTCATTATTCTCTTTTTACTCTACCCCTCACACTAGATCTGCTCTTAAGGCGCTTGAATCCATCACTTGTCCCTTGAGCCTCAAGAATATAAGCGCTAAACTATAGACATTCTAGATCCCAACGCCTTTATCTCAGGGGAAGACTACAGTACATCTCCGAGATGATGGGTATTCATCAGGCCAGTGTGTTACTCAAGGTGAGTCGAGTTCCCTACCTATTAACCTCCCACTACAAGGCTAAATTCCCCGTAGGCACCCGTCGGCCAACCTTCAATATACATCTATGGCCAACGCCAAAGAGCTCAATTCGCCGCCCTCTCTAGAGCCACGCAACCCGTAGTGCAAAGCAGAGGTCCCGAAAACGTTCCAAAATCTGCCTGAAAATGACAGCTGCTGTACGAAGCTCGAGGTCCAGACTTATGAATAGAATGATCCTATAATATTGGAAAATGAACCTCATGGATATAATCAGGAGAGGTTCCTTGAAGGTTTGAAATTTACTGCTGTGTGATGAAACGCGTTTTGGCTTGGTGTTGGATGGAGCGTTGTAAAGGGGAGTCGAATGGACATGTACTCATGGGATTTAATTTCGAGTTATTACGGCGAATTGGGTCTCATGCTAGGTGGGCTAATTTACATAAAACTTTCCTGGATTAGGTGTTCTACTTCAACCCCGAAGTCTTGAATTGTGTTTGAAGGCTTGGTAGGCAGATATAGACTCACATTACACACGTTTTGTTTAGCAACACACTTATGCCTGGACGCAATAATCCGCAGATCAAATACATTCCTACGTACGGCCAAGCCGATAAGGGATGAGGCAAACTTGCATTGCACGGGCATTATTCGTTACTGTCGAAATGCCTTGAAATATCATAGCCCCGCGAACGCTCGATCGACCATTTGGCAACCATTTTACAGTACAGTGTCCCTCACTGCCAATACTTGAAAGAAACGGCACGAGTCTTCTGTCATCCAGCATCAAGAGCTTCAACAACCTCCGCTGGCAACGAACCTGCCTCCAGCGCAGTCAAGTTCTCCTCAAGATGCTTCGTACTACTCGCACCCACGATAACAGCATCGCCAAGTGCCCCCTGTAGTTGCGAATGATGGGCAAGCCATCTCAGCGCCACGTCGGCCTCGCTCATCGCATACTTCTTCACCACCGGACGGAGAATATCCAAGGCATCAAAGTAAGCATCATTCCAGTACCGCATCCGGGCAATCTTGCCCGACCATTTCTCCGGGTCAAACCGCGCGCCTGCGCCGACCGCAGTATCGTCACGATGATACCGGTCGGAAAGCATACCACCAGCGAGAGGGTTGTAAGCGTAAAAGGATAGGCCGTATTTGCGCAGACAGGGGAAGAGTTCGTACTCGACGCCGCGATGGAATACGTTGTACATGCCTTGGTAAACAGAGGGTTTGATCCAACCATGCCGATCGCAGATCTCACAGATCTCTGCCACCTCCCAACAGTGGTAGTTGCTCAGACCGAATCGTGCAAAGTAGCCCTCTTGGTGAAGATTGTTGACCTCGCGCAAGGTCTCGATGAATGGGGTATTTCTGTCGGGTCCGTGCAAATACCACATGTCGACCTTCTTCTCTGCCTTGAGGGCTGCGAGGCTGCGGAGGAGTCCTTTGCGTAGGTCTTCGGGCTTGTGCGTGTATAACTCGAGGTCGGCTCCTGGAGGCAGCTTGCCTAGAGTAGGGAATAGCTTGGTGTCCATCACGAGTCCACGTTTCTGCCACTCGAGATTCGCGAGGTACTCCTCTGACGAACCTGCACCGTAGAGGCGAGCAGTGTCTACTTCATTATGACCATGGCCTTGAAATATATCCAGAATCTTGGATACGTCTTCGAGGGTGTCAAATTTGACCAGCTCAGCTCCTACATTCGATCGAAATTAGTAGCTGTCGCTCTTTTTCAAATCAGAAAAGACCTTACCTGGCTTGCCGATTGCCATGGCGCCAAAGACAACTTTGACATTCTGGTTTGCCATTCTTGGGATTTATTGGTTCTCGACGGAAGAGTTTCTAGATGTATTGTGTAACCCTGGACTGTGGTATATAATCCGAATACCAAGATGGGCGAATACAAGCAACTTAAACACATCCGTTGAAATGGTTACTAGTTCTGTTAGTTTGCAATCACTCTCTATAGTACGTAGTATATATTAGTCAATGGGTCCAAATGCAAGGACCCCGGTATTTTAGGATCTCGGATTCCAGAAGCTGTGTAACCCCGCAATTGCCGAACATTGCATGATGGTTGCGTTAGAGGACCGGGTTTTGGGGACTTTAGAGACAAGATAATATCACGTACTATTCCACTTTGATTTCATGGCGTCTCTTTGATATTACTTATGGCTGGCTCGCATATATGAAAAATTTGGGGCTGCCTTTTCGCTCAAGCTGAGTGGGAACTATTCTTTCAGTCCAAACATGCGTTTACAAAAGGAACAACATGGCTCTACCAGATCACATCACAGGGTTACGATCTATCTTTCTTGAGAGTGTGGGGTAATAGTCGGTTCGTCCTTCTTTGCTCGCGTTGGTTGGCTCTATTCGAGACGAAAGACAAATGCAACTTGGCTTGGGAAGCACTTCAGAATACTTACATTGGGAAGAAAGAAAGAAACCAGATTATGTGGTGGCCAGGGTATTCTGAGACTCTCATGTTCTTGCGAAGCTGGCAAGTATCTTGGGACATACCGCTTCCGGAAAAGAATTATCTACGCAATAGGAGTTTCGTTGAAGATCATCGACTAGGTATCTACAGGGACTATAGTCCTTTCCACGGTTTCTATATCAGCAGTCGTTTAATATGCCCAGACAGGACGACTTTCCCATCAAAGCTGGTTTCATGGTCATGTTGCCTCACTGGGGGAGACAGGACTCGATATTCTTCTTGCACCCTAGACTCGACAGAGGAGCTTTCGGTGACCACCCTGTAATTGTCCTCCGGTCTATTGGTGATGGGTTGGCCCACATCGTCACTGTGAGTTACCTATCCTTCCATTGTTACCGGCACCATCGCTGATTAAATCATAGTGTACTTCATTTTGCGATACTCCCATTGAGGACGTTGACGAATTAAAGGGTCGGCCATACGAAAAGTTCCGATACATGGAAGTCGGAAGTTACAAGAAAGACATCAAAACAGAACCCGACCAAGAAGACGAGAGCGAGAACGAACAAGACAACCAAGAAACCCCTATTCTTGAAGTCTCCCCCGTGATGCCTGTACGAACATATGCACACACAAAGGTGTATACAGCCTACCTATCTAGGAATGTCCATCCATCTTCACTCACCTCTGTAAACAAACAAACAACAACTGCTCGATCCCTCGACCCGGGTACGCGCGCGGTGTGTATGGGAGGTTAAGTTAGGTGGAAGGACTCTTGGGGCATGGGGAAGAAGGATATTTTATTCTACTCTGGGCTCTTGAGTCCCGGTGAGAGGAAGGACAGGGGAGGAGAGGGAGGTCATCGCACGGTTGATGTGAATGTGAAGTAGTTTCTCGGACGGAATGGCGGGGTTGGTTGTATCTATCAAATTCTTCTGGCCCTTTATGTTATATCTCGTAGTGTGCTGTGCTGTGGTTGAAGGATTCCTGGTGATGAGAAGCCGAGACGGACATTATAAAGCTTTCATATTGCTTAAGAAACTCTGCACTTGCAGTCTAGCATCTGTTTTGAGCACATGCGTCCAAACAGAACCCAACGCCGACAAAAAGCAAGGGCGCAACAAAAAGAGAACGGATTCGAATCTCTAGCATTCCACTACTATAGCAAGATCAAAAGCGATTTACCACTCCGGCCTCTCTTTTCTTTGATATATATGCCCATATGCCCGTCCAAACGCCCATATTCATTCCATGCCACAAGCAATCAAGGCCACCCAAACTCCATCCAGCCACTAGCCCTTGTCTTTTTTTGCGCCTTCAATCAAAGTCCTCACAACCACTCTTTGTTTACTGATCAATCCCAGTACCATCGCCAGCAACCATCTTCCGCAGCTCGTATTCCTTGGTGAACTCCCTGCTCAGCGTCTCGAGATCGCCGACGAGGGATTTGCAGCAGTTGACTAGCGCTTCTTTGGGTGAGATGACGCTGTCGGTTTGGATGCGGAGCTCGAAGGTCGCGAAGAGGGGGTGGGGTACTGCGCGCGCAGATGAGTTAGTTGATTACTTAGCCTGCACTGCGCAAGCTGGTGAAGGTAGAGGGGGGGGATGTAATGTACCTTTGTAGCCAGCGAAGGTTACGTGTTGGTCTTTGAGGAGATGGGCGCGGAGCATGTTGGCGAGCGTGTGGTCCTCCTTGTTGAAGGTGAAGACGGCGCTATTAGCCGTTCCTATTCCTCTGATCAGTATTGCTACTCGAGATTGATGGGCGCGGCTGGGCCGGGGCAAGCATACGGGTGTCTGTTTGTTCGGTGACCTTCTTCTCGCCCTCGCCGAGGAGGAAGAGCTCGAACCTATTAGGGTAGTCAGGAGAATTGTCCAACATGTTGTGCTGTGGTACACGTTTCGTTCCGTGGTGTCTTTGCGACTTGTCGATAGAAAGATGACACGATGAAGGCAAGCCTCATGTACAGAACAGAAGGATTGAACATTTCCGCCACCCGATTCAAATGCCAGTCGATGCCGCCGTGCCAAAAAGAGAAGGAACGAGGCGGTACTGACCTATCTGGAGCGTTCATGGTCGCAACGTTCCCAAAATATTACAATATTCTACGCACAAAAGTTAGGTGCTGCTAGCATAAGCTTCTCCTACAACAAAAGAACTTACGATTTCTTTTATCCAAAAGTAGAAGCAGCGACCCAAAGAATAGATGTTGGATGGGAATGAGGATGTGGATGGAGATGTATGTGGATGAGGTCGCGTAGGGTTGATAATTTGAAGATCTCGTCAGGCAAAAGCGCGAAGTCACGAAAGGTGTGAATGAGGCTCTGCGGGAACCCTAGGCCAAAGTCGGTTGGGCATGGCTGGGGTACGGACTACCCTATGCAGGGATAGTCTGGGAAAAGTGGAGACGATGATGGATTTCCTCGGGGTTTAAGTATATATCGGAGGAAAGGAACGCAGTTTCTATACTACCTAGGTATACAGAGTAGGAAAAGCGGAGACGGTAATGCATTTCCTCGGAGGTAACAATCTGGAGTTTACTTCGTCAGAAGGACTTACCTTCTATATGCATATAACAGTCGAATTCGAGCTCTTTACGTAGTGCTGAGTACGTGATTCATCACATTGACGTCAACAAATGATATGTAAGCAGCTTGCTGCTACAGCACTGCTTCTCAATAACAGTTCTCATACACCTGGTTCGTAAAAACCATGTGGAAGGGAGGGATTACTCCCGTAGCTCTTACTGTACTATTGAAAAGTCCGAAGTCGGGTTTCTGTTTCTCAATGGCAAGGAAATCATTCATATATCAAGCAAATCCTCTGAACCCAGGTTCTTCCTTCTGTCCACACCAACCAGTACTTCACAAGCGTATGAAGCTCCCACTCTCTTCTTCACTTCCACGTATTCCATTCAAAGCATATAGCAAAATGGCCTCACACGCCAAAACCCTCCAATCCGCCTACCCGTGGACAACCTCCCCCTTCATAGTCTCCGCTCCCATGCGCCTCACAGCCAACGACGCCCTCGCCCTAACCGTCTCCCGCACCCACGGCCTAGGTTTCCTCGGCATCGGCAACGTGCTCTCGGCCCTCCCCCCCTTCCTCGAAAAAGTCACCGCCTCCCTCGCCGAATCCCCCATCCCAAACACCCCCTCAGACATCCTCCCCGTCGGCGTCGGTTTCATCTGCTTCGGCATCGACCTCGCGGCTGCGCTAGCCACCCTCTCCTCCGCCCCCGTAAAGCCAGCCGCAGCATGGCTCTTCGCACCCAAGGAGATGAAAGATTTCGCGGATTGGTCACGCGGCATCCGCGACGCTACCGCCGGGAAAACCAAAATCTGGATCCAGGTCGGCAACTTAGCCACCGCGCTCGAAGCCGCGAGGACTTGCCGGCCCGACGTCCTGGTCATCCAAGGCATAGATGCCGGTGGTCACGGCCTCGAGCACGCATCCTCCATCATCACGCTGCTTCCCGAATGCGCAGACGCGTTATCCAAAGCAGGCTTTGGAGATATTCCTCTGGTCGCCGCGGGGGGGATCGCGGATGGTCGAGGTGTAGCGGCGGCGACGATGCTAGGAGCAGCAGGCGTGTGTATGGGAACGCGCTTTCTGTGCTCGCCCGAAGCGGCCATCACAAACGGGTACCGAGACGTTGTGCTGAAGGCTAAGGATGGGGATACATCCCGGACGAAGCTCTGGGATCGGTTAATGGGGAACTGGTGGCCGGAGGAGTTTGATGGCCGGGGGGTGCTGAACGATAGTGTTTGGGATGATGAAAAGGGACTACCGGAGGAAGAGAATAAGAAGCTTTATGGGGAGGCGGCTAAGTCGGCGGATGGCTGGGCGGGTGAGAAGACGCGCATGTGCGCTTATGCTGGGTCGGGGGTGGGGTTGATTAATGAAATCAAGCCTGCGGTTGAGATTGTTAAGGAGGTGACTAGAGACGCCAAGCGCTTTTGGAAAGAGGTGCTAGTCACTTGTAATCAGATGAAAATATGATATCAAAAATACTCCATTTCCTGAATCTTGAATTAGGACTCAAGTACTTCATCCTTAAATGCAAAGGGTCAACAATCGGACATTTAAATATTATAGAATAGCCGCCTTCTGCATACCTAATATACATACCTTAAATACCTACCTAGGTAGGTAATTATCCCCGTAGTTCTTCCCCGCGACCTACCTAAGGTATTAGGCTAACCGAGAAGCTCCCTTCGAACCCCTCTTCATTAAGCGAGTACTTTATAGAACACAGATACCCCCCTCTTCGGCACTACCACCACCACCACCAACACCAGCACCAAAACCCCGACCTCCATACTCGCCCTCACACCGTCCTCCAGCACCGGTGCCGGAAAAGCAAACGTATTGTGGGATTCGATGTTAATGTATATCTTCGACTCTGGCGCCGGAGATATCGCCATACAGGTAGTACGAGTGCGCGAGGATCTTTTTCTAGATCGAAGCGCGGGATGAAGATGAAATGAAGCAGCGGTGGCGCTGGGAGAAGTGGCGGGCGAATTCGTCCAGGTAGTTGAGGACTGGACTGTGCTGAAATTTCAGGCTTGGTCGATGTCACCGCCGAAACTGAGGTGGGAGTTGAGTTGGGTGAAGGGAGACATTGTTCAGATTCTAGTGGCGTTGTGTGTTGATATTAGTAATGCATGTGTGTATTGTGAATGATTTTGATGATTTCTTGTACCGAGGGTTTTGATTACCAACAGCTGATGAGACTCGCATCTTATATGCAGGCAAGCTCCACCGGCATTCATGAATCCACTCAACTTACATAACATCCGCGGTACATAGGCTGCCCACTTGTGTGAATTGAGTATATCACGCCATATACACTTGAGAAGATCTTTAGATGACGTACGTATAAAAAGGCATCAACATGCTATCAGACCACCGTCTCACCACCCATCACGTGGAGCAAATAGTTAATAACTATAATGAAAATTGCAAAGCATATATGTCCGCGGCTTCCGGCTCTCGTTGGGGTATTTGACATCAATCAATCAATCAAAACTTAGATTAATCAATTCAAAAAACACAAATCGAAACAAAACTCAATCAAACATGGCAACCAAAGAGAACACAGAGACTGCTCCCGAATTCCTCTACCACGTCAAACGCACCATCACCGACTACCACGCAGACAAGTCCGGTGCAACTCGCATAACCGACATCCTAGGAACTTTCACCGATCTCAAAGCCGCAAAGGCCGCCGCACTCTCAGCTCTTGCCTCGGAAGGATACGTCAAAGATGACTTCGAGGTTTACGAAGACAACACCGACCCAGAGAACTGGAAGCACGGAGACGGCGTCCTAGCGTACGCAAAAGCACCCGCAGGCCAAGAATTCGAGGTCCGCTTGGACACGAAGCCAAATGTCCCGAAACTCCAAGGAAATGCTTCAGGAGAGGTCGACGGATTCCTGCACTATGGCAAGTCCCCCTAACCTCGTACAATCAGATAGATGAGACCGGAACCGCGTAAGCTAATAAGAAGAAAGTCCTCCAAACAACCATAAACTACAACAACGACCGTATCGGCGGCATCCAGAACACCGAAGTCGAAGGCACGTATCCCTCGCGCGCTGCGGCCTACGCCGCCGCGCATTCGGTCCTGATCGACAACGAGGTGACCAAATCCTCGTATGCGGAATACGACGAGAAGGAGGAGTTTAAGGGGGACTGGCCGTATGGGGACGAGGTGTTTGTACATGCGGTGGCGGAGACGGGGGAGAACTTTCTCGTGGCTGTTAAGGCGCAACCGCATTCTCATCAACATCATAAGTGAGGACACCATGGGGGTGAGAAGTGTGAGTGCGCATGTAAGCATACGGAGGGAGGATGTAAGAGTAAGGCTTGTGGGCATGCGGATTGTGAGTGCAAGTAAGAAGTGGGTGTATTTGTGAGTATGGAAGGGAATGGATTACAATACAGTAGCAACTTTGCTTGGAGTGGATTGGATTGGGTAGCGATGCATGGAAAGGAAAAAGGAGAGGCGTAAGGTGGCAATAGGAATGAAAATGGATGATGACTGTATCAACATGAACATGTGAGGAATGGGTTGCACTAATGGAATCATATGTAAGGATGGAAGGGATATGTACCCCACACTACATCTCATTGAAAATGCAGTGCAGAATCTCACCCCGCCACACCTCTGTCTACTGACTTGCATGTGATGCTCCACCATCCATCAGCTTTACCGCGACGTGCGACAGGAGACCTGGAGAAGGCAAGATATAGATAGATAGACCTCAGAGGCTGACCACGACACGACCACGACCACACGACTCGGCGTTTGAAGGATAAATGCTCGTACTTCTACTTCTACATGTGCATATGGCGGGGTGCGTTGCAAGAGGGTGCACACCAGATCTGGTAAACCGGGAAGTCTGGTACAGTCTCTCTCTCGGCTTTCCATTCCAGCGGCTGATCCGGATAATAATTCCATCCTCCCAGCCATAATCTGGATCTGGATTACGAACAGGTCATCAGGTGTCGTTGCGCCCGCCTGTTCAGCTGGTGGTATATATCTTGATCAGCAGGCAGGCAGGCAGGCAGGCAGGCAGGCAGGGCTGGACTGTGATGTTAGTGGAAGCATGGAAGCATGTCAGCAATAATATGATACCGGTATCATACCATCGCATTGCATGGCATAACATGGCATGACGATAGCGATAAATCTAATGGTTACTGTATACAGTAATGATATCGTCGTAATAATAATACTCTCGGTGGGATAATTACAGAGTACAGTACTACATACACACACGTACAGTGACGTGACATGCCGACGGCTTCCCTGATTCGGAAGCTGTAAGAGAGACGGAGACGCGGGGGAGGGAAGTGGGTGGGAAGTGGAGATGCAGGTGGCACTCGGAGGCGGAGCTGATCACATTCCGGGAGTCGCCATCCATGATGATCATCAAGCCATCACCAAAGCCACCATGCGAGTCTAACCCTGACTGATTCCCTGACTCAGATTCTGGCTTGGGTTTCTACATCTACGTAGGGGGAAGGGGAAGGGGAAGGAAGCAAGGTAGTAAGAAAGTAATACCGAGAATCCTGCGGGTGGCCGGCCGATCGGGCGGTAAAACAGGCCAAGGAAGGAAAGCAAGCATATAACTATTGAGCGTGCCACCCGAATATCCTCTGCCATATATATACTTTTGATCGGTTCCTTTTCCGATGAGATGAGGTGAGCCTTTTTATCTTCATCTATCAAATCATAATCAAATCAAATCAATTCAAATCAATTCAAATCAATTCAAATCAATTCAAAATCAATTCAATTTCGGGAGTCTAGCCAACCGAGTCAGTTTGAGACAGGCACTTACTATATCGAGTGTGAACAACGAAGCAAGGCAAAGGCACTGCACAGACAGCAACCTAGAACAGCAAAGCAAACTATTTTGTTTCTTAAGGGATTACTAGAGTGTTTCTACTAATATACATCTCATCCCACCATCCCACCATCTCCCCAGCTCTATTTTCCACCATCAAAAAAGAAAAAGAAAAAAACCCATCAAAAATGTCGGCTCAATACTCATCATCATCATCCTCCTCCGCTTCATCCCACCACCACCAGTCGCAAAATCAACAATACTACCTCCTCGCCACCTCCACCTCAACATCCAACGCCACCTCCACATCCACATCCACCAGCTCCAATACCACTTCTAGCGGTAATGCCACGAAAGAAATCGAGAGATCGTGGACAACACCCTACGCGATCGAAGACGAGGATCTGGTGTTCGATGGTAAGCCGTTGAATATGCTGTACGAGGAGAATCGGGAGTGCGAGACACGTGATAAGGGGGAGAAGAGGGGCAGGGGGAGGAGTAGGAAGAAGTGAAGTGAAGTGAAGAGGAGAGGGGACGACACGCCTTATGTTTCATGATTGCATTGCATTGCATTACATCGGGTTGGGTTAGATTGGCTGCATTAGGTGGATGGAAGGAGAAAGAGGAACATATTCTGTATTATCCACCACGAAAGTCCGACTCCTCGGTTCGGCTTCCGCTTCCACTCCCGCTTTTCGCAGGTGTTTGGTGTTGGTGTTGGTGTTGTGTTGTCCATGTAGGGACGTGGCACGCTGTCACGGGCGAGGATGCGCATCAGGCAGGTCGTTCGGGGTTTGGCATTGGATTCGGGAGAGGAGTTCTGGGAACGAATGAACGAGTCAGGGATACTACGGAGTATGCGATGCGGGCGGACAAGTCATATACTGTATTATTCAGAAGCGAGTCATGACTACAGGGATGGGCTGGGATGGGATAGATTTATTTGGAGGAATGTACTGAGTATGACTTATAGATGGTTGGGCATGCATGCGAAGGATACACTGTACTTTGTTATATATATGGACGGACCTATGGAATGGCTTAGGTACGTACGGTTTTGATTTGGGGTAAGGGCGGCGCTTAGTTTATACCCATTGCTATTTATTTCACTTAACAGACTCGCACATAAAACCACATTTGTACCATTCATTTGATGTGATTTGCTCCGGCTAAACCTCAATACTGCCCGTCATATAAATATACACTGATCCTCCCCCATCAACCACCACTACACCTCAAAGTCTCTTCTCCACCGTCTTCCAATTAACCACATCCCACACCGCACTAAAGTACTCGGCCTTGCGGTTCTGGTACTGAAGATAGTACGCGTGCTCCCAAGCATCAATCCCCAACAACGGCTTGTACTTTCCTACCACCGGGTCCTGGTTGGCGTATGTGCGGATTTGTACCTGTCCCGTCTCGGTGTCCTTGACGAGCCAGGCCCAGCCGCTGCCTTGGATGCCAGCGAGCGCGGCGTTGAATTTGGTCTTGAAGGAGGAGAGGGAGCCGTAGGACGTTTCGATGGCTGTCTGTTTATTGTCAGAATCCATGCTCATTCAGAGTTCATGTAATGTAATGTCATGTAATGCAATGTCATGCAACGAAAGTTTATATTGAAAGAGTGGTCTGGTTGCAGGGGAGAGGAATAATGGGGTGGATAGAAGCAATACCTTCAATTGCCCAGCCGGCTCACCACCACCGCCATTCTTGCTCGGCGCCAAGTTCTCCCAGAACAGCGTATGGTTGATATGGCCCCCACCATGGAAGTTAATCACAGGCTGCAGCGCGATCTGGGCAGCGATATCCTGCTTCGATTCCGCAGCCTGCAGCTGTTCCGTCGCTGTGTTGAAGCTGTTGACGTATGTTTGGTGGTGGTTCTTGTGGTGCAGCTCCATGATCTTGCCGGAGATGGTTGGCTCCAACGCTCCATAGTCATCTTGAGCTCGTTAGTTAGAGGTAGGGTATACATACAACATCGTAGAGGGTTGGATGAATACGTACATGGTAGGTCGGGGAGAGTAGCCTTTCCACGGACGAAGCTGGTGCTTGCCGCAGAAGCAGCTCTCGTAGCAGCACCAGCTCTCAACGCCGAGCGAGCAGCTGTGCTTGTGCGGAAAAGTGTAGCAGACATGCTTATTTTGATCAATTGTTTAATTGTTCAAAAGTTGAAGGTCGTTGTATGGTATGGAGAGGTTAATCAATGGAGGGGATGGATGGTTATAAGGCACTGTATATCCGAACCGAATTCACCGAAAATAAACATCACATCATCCCGCAGAGCAACCGAGGATATGGCAGGGATCAACAACATCACGGCCACGGCCTTCGCGCTTCCAACGCGCCCCCTCTAAATCAATATCCAGCATCAATTCAGCTTCCACTCCTTTACACCTCACATCCGCAGCAACGGTAGGAGATTCCAATCTCCTACCCAACAACCAAACCCCCGAAATGTCCTACTACGATATAGACGCCATCCTCACAGACGCCCAAGTAAAAAACCCACCTACCCCTCCCTCCCCCACCATGCCATCCATCTATCTAACCCACCCCCAGAAAGTCCCC